ATCTTATTTAAACAATAGGCCTGCCCTCCTCAATATTTGACCAAGTGTCCACCCTGAGCAGAGGCTATAACTCCCCACTTTTTGACAATAAAAGCTTAGAAAATTTAGCATACTTTTATGACTGGGAATCCTTTTTTGTTCATTTTCTAGGTGTTTTTTCTTGTTTAATGGCATGAAGCATTTTGTAACTTGGTTAGCTTGGTGTTTCTTATCCTTAAGCAAATTAATCTCATTTTATAGTTATTGATATTTCTCCCAGCCACACTGTTTATAAAAAGATGTGGCCTTAAAGAACTTTTAGTCACGCCCTTTCCAGCCCCACCCCCCACCCCTTTTCTAGACTGCTTCGCGGTGCCTGCGTCGAAGGGTGTAACTGCTTGCAAAAAGCGTTATATCTGAATACTTATTATACTCCATGGTTAATCCCCCTCCCCTCTCGAAGCCGTTCTGCTATAACGAGGAATCATACCTCGGTCTTGGTTTACCAGTATTCTTGTATTCTACTATTCAGCCATTGCACGAATGCTCAAACTGAATTGTGGTTTGGCCACCTGTCAAATATTCGTTTCTGCTACGTTTTCTATGACAATGCCTCAGAAAAGTAGTGTTTTGCTTTGGCTAGCTAAACTCAAAGCTGCAATTCCTATTGAAAATTTATTAAAAGCCACACAGCTCCTTAACAGATGAGCTCACTAAAGATGAAACGTTACCATCTCCTTATTTTAGAAAAAAGCTTACATTTTGCCGCAAAAACACACATGACCTGAAGTGCTATCTATCATGCTTAATTATTAATTACTTTCAGTATTAAAGAGCTTGAAGACCTGAATGAGTTTGGTCGTGTTTGCAAGGGGCAAATAGAGATTCAGATAACGAATTCATACGCAGGGTGACCTATTGTAATGTCTGTTTTGTCAGTAGTTATTAACATATCAAAGCCTTTAGCATTGATGAAGAATCAGAGAGACCATTTTTAATCCTCACAACGTGCTGCAGTGAGAAAGTCGATGGTGTAGTTAGAAGTTCTTCTCAAGATGCGTTTTCTACCTTGGAAAAAAAAGAAAGGTGACGAAGATGCTTTGCATCCTAACAAACCGATTGGTAAGACTAAGTAGTTGTTTCTTCTTGTCTCCCAAACACCTTATGCTACCAAATTAATACCATCAATCAAAAGTTATCTTCACATTTCATTTTGATACTTTTAATCCAAGCTGACTGATTTTTATTGTTGCTTGATACTAAATTCATGTCCAAATTCGGGTAGTCGATATCATGAGCATTCCTTGTTTATTTTGCTTGTAATTCCATTAGATACTTTCTTTAGAGGTTTTCTTGCCATAGCAACCTAGTGTCGTCATTTCAAATCTACTTGCTTTGTAAGCCATTGCCATTTTACCCTTGAGCGAACGTAATATATTTTAAAGTATGAGAACCAAGCTAATAGTGTTAGCGTAATATATTTTGAATCTGCTACAATTTTGCAATGTTGCTATTGTGTCCAAAAATGAACCAGTTCCAGTGATACGTCTACTAGAAATGTAACAAATCGTTAAAGTCCATCGGCTTGAAAATTCGCCATTCTTGGCTAAAATGTTTCGAATTGTGGCAAAATAGATCAGCACCACTATTTTTGTTTGTCGTGCTAGTTTTAATGATGCTATAGTGTACACCCGTTAATGGGACCTCTAGAAGACATAAAATATCTGTCTCACTTAGTGTCCCGAATCTCTTGCTAAGTAGGGCAAAAGGAGAAAAGGATGTCCCCTTTAGTGAGCGATTGTACGAACTCAGGCTAGCAGGAAAAAAAATGTACACTGAAAATTTCTAGTACAATTTTAACAAATAGATTTTTGTACACATAGCAGGAATATGTGTCCCTGAATAAGAAAAAATTAAATCTTTTGCGGAAAACTGTATTTGTGGATCATTGTAAATTTTTCGCGGAGCTTAACTTCGCGGATTAAGTTAAAGTAAAAGTTGCACTAGAAAACTAATCACAGATCAAATGTACACTGGAATAGTGGGCTACCACGAAATGTATATATCATAGATATACAACATCACATGGGAAAGAAAGTAAATGTATTTTGTGCGGCATTATATACCAACGCTATGTAAAATTACTTCAATGCTCTCAGTACTATAGCACCCAATTCAGAGATTAGTTTTCTTTTCCTTGACCAAGACATCTGAGAGAAGCGTTCACGACATTAGAACTTTTTGAAATTTTCACAATCTAACATTGGAGAGACCTACTTGAATTAACTTCAAAACTCAGGAAGAAGGAAAGTTTCACTCAACTGGGGCCTTACTTCAGCAAGTCTTTTCTATTAAAATAGATATTAAGGAAGTTAAAGGAAAATATCCAGGGTCTCACTAATTGAGAGCATACTGCATTCTTCAACGTTAAAATAGGCTTTGTTAGCATCGAATAGGAAAATTGGTGCTCTACTTTACAGTTACAGTATGCAATTTATACAGTTTTTTTTGCTTAATTTCAACTCTGCTAAAGGTCAATCTTCCATAATGACTGTCCAACCTCTCTTTATAGCCTTTCCGAAATCCCTTCATATCATCTGAATCGTTTAACCATAACATTTGCCTGTAGTGTTTTTATGCACGCTTCTAAACATATCAAATGTTTTGCAGATTCCCCTTTCACCCAGCAGAATCTTTCTGCATTCAGACTCGAAGTTTCAGTTTCAACGATGCTTCCAGTGCTTCTTTGTTTTACAATTTCATGTATTCCAATTGGCATAGTCTTTCTGACCGTCAATAGCAAGGTATGCCTAATATTTTCAGCATAAAATGCATTTTCATATTGAATAAAAGCATTTACAATGTTTCTTGTTGCTTATTCTACAATACCTGCCAAAAGACAATTACATCGCTACAAAGCATATCTTCAGCTTCCCAATCAAACCATCGTGATTCTGTAAGCTTTTCTTAAAATGTTGAAATTGTGAAGACAATCTATCCAAAGGTATGCCCGAGTCAATTGACAACATAAGGCATGCGTGGCTGTACCCAGCGACCCTGATTTGGAGAATTTCATGCCAAGTTCTTACAATAAGTTGAGTATGACTCATGAGATTTGAAACCTCTAACTCAGTTTACGTTCACTCAAACCGAGTGTTGGATTAATTGGACCAAGTTTATTTTATTTCACATGCGTTTTTTGCTCATCATTCTGTTTGTCTTCAGGTTCTAGAGAAAGTTGTAGAATATACGAATTGCAAGCAGTATGAATGTGGCAGTTCATACAATCCTGCCAGTGGAACAAAGAAGTATTGTTGCAAGGTCACCTTTCAATTGCCAGAGGAATTCAAAGGCCAGGTTTTCATGTACTACAAGCTGGACAATTTCTTCCAGGTTTAGTTAAAATAATTTTTCTTAATCATTAAAAACTAAACTGTAAAGGCCTCAATTACATTAGATTGTCAAAAAATACTCTTTGTTCTGGCCAGAGTCCTTCAAAACAAAAGTCGCTGGAGAGGGTTAAGGGACTATTGTATCTTTTCTCAGCATTTTCTTATTAATTTCATCCGAAATACGATATAAAATCTGTCGAGACCTATAGGGACATTTCACTTACCATTGTGGTTACGTCTGTCTTTTCTACAAAATTGAAGCCTTGGTGCTCCTGTTTCAAAGATAGAGTTGTTGAGAGGAGGACTTATGCAAAACATATTATGTTTCTGATTGTTCCTAAGTAGATTAGAGATTCTATGAAAGTTTAAAAATCAGTACAGTTTTCTACTATTGGTATGAGCATAAACTTGTCATTGCCCATCTGAAAACGAATAGTATATCAATGTCAATACTTTAGCAACGCCTGTGGCATGTGGTGTCTTTCAATCAATGGTTCTATCAAGAGATGTAGGAACAAGGGGCATCATGCCCCCAAGTTTTTGCAAGTGCCTTTTCAGGAAGAGCAAGTTCTTCTTTAAGGTTGGATTTTTACTGTCACAGTGCCCGTTTTGCTGAAAAATCTTGGTTACTAGTGACCACGATAAGTGCCCTCACAAAAGTTGTATCCTCCAATGTTTAAAATACCCCAATGTTAAAAATGCTTCATACTTCTTGCTATTTTTCTTGCTTTGCTTTTAGAACCACAGGATGTATGCTCGCTCCAAAGATGATGAGCAGTTTTATGGAATCGTGAAAACAACCTTGGCACCTACTTGCAAAGAACCATTCAGGCATAAAAAAGAAAATTACAAAAATAACTCTTGGAGCATACCAGTCACACCTTGTGGAGCTGTTGCAAACAGTCTGTTTAACGGTATAGAAATATTTGTCACTAAAAAGAATGATTCGCCTTTCCATCAGTATAAAGATGTAAGAGCCAGTCTGCTAAGCAGAGACATTGGGAGCTGAAAGCACCAGGGGCACGTACTCCCAAACTTTTGGGGGAAAACCACTTTTCCTTAAGGTTCCGTTTTATGACTTTTACAAAAGTGTAAAGCAAACTTAACAGTCATGTGCTCTAGCTTAGGATTTCTGATCTTTTCTTGATAGCGCCAGACAAATGGCTTAAGTATGTCTTAAAATTTTTGTGTTTTTCAAAGCCATAAGTGAAATTAAATGTTGATAGCACGAAAGAGAAAGAGTTAAGCAATAGCCAAGTCATCATCTTCGGCAGGCTAAAGGTCTAGCAGGGAGTTTAGCTTGAGAACTGAAAGACATGGAAATATCAGAAATTCTATACAAAATCTCTTTCCTTAATAGGTTTTCTTGGTACCAGACTCGTTCTTATTTTATAAAGAGTGAGTCTGGTACCCAGGATGCCTTTTTGGAAGCAAGAAAAGGAGGCCTCCTTTCTGTGTCACCTCCTATTGGTCATCACTATAAGATTTCAGAGATATGATGTCTTTTACATGATCTTTACTGCATTGACCTTGAACTTGATATGCTTCAGTTTTTGACCATTTTGTCTAGCTTATTCTTGCTAAAAATGCTGAAAATGCTAATAATGTGCCGTCTTTTCACCAACATAGATACCTTTAAAATGGTGTACATTCAGCTAGGCCCGGATCTTGAAGTGACCATGTCACAAAAAGATATCACATGGTCATCTGAAAAGAGCCATAAGTTCCGCAACCCGTCTCTCAAGAACGTACAGAATGGAACACTTTCTTCAGCACTGAGAGGGTTTGGTGCCCCTATTAACTGGCAAAATCCTGTCTATCAGCTGAGCCCTTACGAGCCTGAGGAGAATGGATTCTTGAACAGTGATCTCATTGAATGGATGAGGACGGCTGCATTCCCCAGCTTTCGAAAACTTCATAGAAGGATCATTCACGTTGGAGCACACTTTGAAAAGGGCCTGCCTAAAGGCAACTACCGTATGGACATCAAGTACAGTATCTTTTCACCGTGAACATACCTGTCCCCGCTATTTTGCTTAGCTATTGCTTGGTGCCACGCCCTTGCTATTGCTTGGTGCGTCAATGTCTGTAGAATAGAACGAAACGTTAGAAAGCAAGCTATTTCAAGACACGTGGCCAAAGTCTTATAAATTATTTAAAACTAATGGGGAAAGAAGCCACTTTCATTGGTTTTACGTTTAAAGGGACACTAATCTCCTCCTTCCTGATAGTGTCTATGAAAGTTGTCTAGATTTCCTTAACTATGAATCACAGATTACCCTGTAAAAGATTTCAAAGGCAAGAAGTATTTTGTATTGACGACAGCTAGTTGGCTTGGTGGGAAGAACAGTTTTCTTGGTGTCTGCTACCTCACAATTGGAATCATTAGTTTCATCTCTTCGTTTCTGGCAACAGTGATGCACATGAAGTCCAGAACAAGGTAATCATACTAGGCGAAATATTTGGGGTTGGTGGTTGAGCTTTCGTGATCAATTCATAGAGTTGTGTTTGTTGCATTTTATGTGACATCCCCCTTATTCTTTTATCAAGTATCAATCGAAAGAAAGATTATAAAACAAAAATTCAAGTATGTTGGATTCCAATAGGTTTACTTGCAGATCACTAGGAAGTAAGTATGGAGGCTTTTTTAGAGTTACAACAGCATTCAGGGACGAAACTGTTGGGGGGTATGGGAGAGTGCTGCACCCCCCCCCAATAACCGGGAAATAAGAGAAGATTTATTAAGGAATTGTAGTTGAGATATGAATTGCAAAAACTTTCGAGTTTCGAGCAGAATGGTGGAATAAGGGAAAAGTCTTCCGGAAATATTGTTTCAGACAATCCCTTTCTGGATACAATTGTATGCTTTACTCCATATTTTTGTATATCCCCGTAGCTGTATATCTCCGTATGGTTCATGTCAGTAGTCTTCATTTTACAGTATTTTAAGTCGCTCTTCATTTGGTTGTGATTTTTTGACTTTACATGAGATTTTCAATTAACCGAGAAAGTAAAAATTCAAAATTTTTTCTCTTCTTTTTCAGAACACAGAAAGTTGGTTCGATTGATAATGGTATAGAGTTACGTGCAAAATAAGACATTTTGTAATGTTTTCTTTTATGAAATGGAACTAAAGCATTAAGCAGAATTTGATTGCACGCAGTTTTTAAAGTATGGGATTTGTTAGAATAAATAGAGCTGGGTTTGCATTTGAATAAGTTATCTGTCTTATAAGGTAAAGGTACAGTAATTATAGGTAGAGTATCAAAAAAATTAAGTATCGTGAAAAATTGGTTTCATAGACCTTTGTTTAGACCCCAGGAAAGGGGAATAGGTGTCACCCCTATCTGAAATTTTTGAATTTGCAACACCCACTGTTTATTTTTTACTTGGCGGAAAGAAGTGCTTGAACTGATGCTTCCAATAAAAAGATTGCCATAACTTGTGAATAATATAGAAACATGTTCTTTAAATTAGATTTTTGGGTTCTTAGCTTTTAATAAGCTTCAATCTTGTATTACGCACAAATCTAATGTACAGCCTGTACATAGTGTTATAAAACAATAGATAGTATTTGCACGGGTTGTTTGCCATGATCAATGGCGATGTGTTTTGTGACTTTCATTTATAAATAAGATTTATTGTGTCGCACTTTTTGCATGATATATTTCGTCACTTATTGCATAAAATTACTTAGTATTTCTTTTTTTCTGGCTCGTGTATGTCTTCCTTGAACTCTAAGGCAACAGGAAATTGTCTTCATAATGAACAATCTCACACCAGCTCTTTTCTTGCTAAAATATGCATATTTGCTGCCCTCATTTAAACGGTCTTCTTCAAAGCAAAAACTAGGTCAACAAATACATGGGCTCAACAAGCAACAGCCACTGACAAGCCTAGTGATAATAACCATGGATGCAACATTTCTGTAGCCATGGTAACAAAACATTGCAAGAAAAGCCTTGATGAAATAAAGTAAATCAAAGATCCAGAAAAGATTATAGATTTTAAAATTTGTTAAATTAGATCTAAATTACTTTTTAATTCAACTTATGTTGTCAATTCAACTATAAATTACACTTAAATATTTTGGATAAGACAGTTACTTCTATCCAGGGTTTTGGAACATATTTGCTAGATAAAAGGTAGATTTTAATTCGGCCGTCGTCAAATTCTCTGAATCTTGCAATCAAGGTAATCTGGAACAAGGACCAAGAATTATCTTTTGCAAAAATAGCCTTACAATGTTCAAAAGAGAAAGCTTAAGAGACTTGGAAAAACTACAGCAAGCTATCAAGCCAAGTCTCTTTTTCCCAACTAAACGTCAGAATGTTGAATCATGCAAATTAACAATGTTTAGACTACTAGCTTTCGCTCAAATAGTTAGTTTACAAATCTTGTAACTTTTCAAGCAACTTGCAAATGGGATTTTGTTTAGCTTAAGGAATTTTGAAATTACTCTTGATTATTGTAAAGAATGGCCAGCTATTTTTTACGATACTTTTCTCTTAAAAGTAGGCTGCAGTCTTTGTTATATTTTATAGGTCTGTGCTCTAGATTTATAAAATTTAGCATATTTAAAAAGGGGCCTAGGGCAGACTACTTCGACTGGACTACAAGAATGCAACAGGAAAAGTTTAAGTTCGCTACCGCTTAACAAATAGCTATCTTATGTCATAATTTTGATAGTAAGCCAGAACAGGGCAGTGTGCTGTTCTTATCATCGTTGGTAAAAATTAAAGTTGTGCGTGTATAGAAGAAATGAAGCATAGAACTAAAGTGGTTGTCCAAAAACAAGAAATAGTTCATTTTAGAATATACCAAGATATGCATCATAAACAAAATTAATGTCAAGGAATATGAGCAGAAAAGAAGGGTATGATGTGAGGGGTTTTGAAAATTGTTGCAATTGACACCGCAAAATTTCTATTGAGTAGGTGACACTTTAACAGTCTAGACCTAAATGACTGATTAATTTCTAGCCAAAATAAGATAGACAATGTAAACAGCCCATCATCTGTTGAAACAAATCTTTTAAATTATGATGTTACAAAAATACATCTTCTCCAAAAACACTTTGTTTGTTTGTTTTGACAAGATGATGTCACATTTGCTTTTGTTTTAGAACAAAAACTCCACATATTTATAAACTCCCTGGTTTTGCGGAGGAGATTCAGAAACCAAAAGTGTTGTTGTTGAAGGAAGGGCAGAAGGTTTCCAGGACAAGATGGCGGGATTTGCGAGTCGTGCTGACGGATCAAGTAACGACGATGGTAGCGAGAAATCTACACCTTCAAAAGAATCACGAAAGCCAGGAAGTATGTTTGTTTCCTCAACGATGCTTCGATTTCATTTCGTGTTTTTAAACTCTCCTCTTTGACCGTAGTATCACAACGTTCACCTGCTCAACTCGTATTTATTTTTCATCTTGCCTAGATTCCGATTTTAAGCAGCAAAGATTAAAAGCGTGGCAGCCAATCCTGACTGCATCATCTGTTCTGCCAGTTTTCTTTTTCATCGGAGTAGTATTCGTCCCTATTGGAATTGGTTTGTTAGTTACTTCGAACAAGGTAAATTACCTTAACACTTGCTCTGCTTGAAAGTTTTCAAAACAGGCAGGCACGGGCAGATGAAAAAGCCTTTACAATGCTAAAGGTAGCCTTGTAGCTCGCTTTGAGTGCATGATCACGATTTATTTTACTAATTTTTTAAGAAACTTGAGACCGCGAAATTTCCCGTTGTCAATTTCCTTCCTGCTATGTGGTGGCATTAGTAAACGCATTACAAATTTTCTTTGCAAACTTTCTTTGTCAGTTTCCATCAAGTACTGTTTTGTTATCACTTGGTAATGGACTTTGCTCATAACTGGTTAATAAAGTTGCTTTTTTCTAGTACGATTTTGCCTCAATTGTAAGTTATACTGTTGTGTTATATTGTACAGCATGCAAACTAGTCTAATTGAAATAAAATGTATGTATGACGAGTTAAAATAAAAACCATTATTTTCATAGGTTAAAGAGAAAACAATAGATTACACTGATTGCAATGGATGTGACAAGACACTGGTCACTGAAAAGAATTTCACCAAGCCATGTTATTGCACCTTGAAGTTCAAACTGGATACTGCATTTGATAGCAAAGTATACCTTTACTATGGTCTGTCAAACTTTTATCAGGTAGGGAACATAATAAATTCAGCTTATTTAAAAAAATATCAATGTGTTAAAGAGGAGGGACTTCTTTACAATCAAAAATGGAAAATACTTTCGTTTTACCTTTCTCATACTAGTACATCAATGAACATTACTGTGCAATTGGTGCAGCTTCTCACAAATTGGGAAGAACAACAACTTACAGTCATCGGGGGGCAGTACACAGAGTTATGGGGCTGATAATAGCTTCTATGATCCATTAAAAAAAGGGGATGAAACTAGGCACCAAGTGTTGTCCCCTGTGGACAATATTATTAAAATATGTGCATAAATCATATCTAGCCTCTATTCCAGTTAGCATGTGTTGTAAGTTAGTTTTTGTGTGTGTATGATTATGATGAAGATAAATATATTTTGAGGTCTTTTTACGTCTCAATATTTGGTTTATTACACAAGGAAATGCTTGTTGTAAGGGGCTGTTCAGTTTTGCAAGTGATTAAAATACAGAGACCATGAATTAGAAATGCATTTCTCTAAATGAAACAAAAACTCCTGTAAAAAGAACCACAATTTTAGAAAATGTAACGAATGGAGCTTGTATGTCATGTTATTTGCTACATGTTTTTTAAGCTTGATGACAATCAGAAATATGGGCTAAATTTGCTCCTGTTGAGCAAAATCCTGAAGAAAAGACACTTCCTTCATCTGAAAAAAGATTAATTTATTTGGAATGTTTTGCATTGAAAGACACCTTAAAATGCTATTTGATATTGAATATCAAATTTTACCACAAGTAGTAGGTAAAATATTAATTTATAAATTCTGTCCTTGTCATAAATTTGGCCACTTATCCAGACGTTGCTTGTGAGTAAATTTCTTATACAATGAAACCAATGAAAAACGTTTTGGACATTCCATAAATGTTTAGTTTTATTGTTTCTAAAGGCGCTCCATGTTTAAAAGATATCGGCTGATTACATAGTCATGTCTAGCCACGTTAAGAATTTCAGAACTATTACCTCCAAAGCCAAAGCATGCTTTTATATTCATGGAAAAAAGGAGTTGTATCAATGGGTTATCACTAACCTGGTTGTTTGGCAATGCTGGCAGTAATAAAATTGTAAAACTATTAAGGTGATAATTGACAAAGAGCTCATTGATAACAGATGAATACGTGCATTATGGTTTTTGTTGGCAAAAGAATAGAAATTTGTTTCATTCCTAAAATTTCGGTTTCATGAACTTTTTTTCTGACAGTTTATATGTGTTCATGATCACAGTTTTATTTGGAAAATAGTGGTAACAGACTATTAACCTTATTACCACTGCCCGCTGCCCCTGATAGTCATTTTTATGAAAGAAAGACAAATACAATGTTCAAAACATTTGAACAGGGTTTATATGTCCATTTCCAAAACTTTGTAAACCCTCGAATTAGCCCCCACACTCAAATAAGCCCCCACTTAAAAAAATCATTTTTGCAAATAAGCCCTCCTCGAATAAGCCCCCATGGGGGCTTATTCGAGGGAAGCATAATGACAGAATAATATCTTATTTCAAGTAAGCTTCCTTTGCAAGAAAGGCTTTTTGCAATTTATTTCATTGAGAAAATTATGTCGTTCTTATATCAACCTTTGAGAAAAATACTAAACTTTGAAATAAGCCCCCCCCCCTCGAATAAGCCCCCCCCTCAAATAAGCCCCCACCCAAAAATTTGTTTTTGCAACTAAGGATTATTCGAGGATTTATGGTAGTTGTAAATTCTGTGTATTTTTTATGTAAAATTATGTTCTGCTAAAGCAAAATATTGTCCCTGAAATTTTGTGCTAATCATCTTTTTCTTATACTTTTAATTTCTAAACTATGCCAACTGACACTCATCCTAAAGACGACTGACTCTACACTGAAATTTGTTTCTTTAATAAAAATATCAGCCATAGAAAATATGCCATATTTCAGTTCAAATTAAGTAAATGTATAACTGTCTTTCTGTGACAAATCTATGAAACTTTAAGTCAGCAGAGTTTTGCCAGCTTTCACATGTTAAGGGGGTACTTCATTTGAGCATCAGCTAGAAATTCTCCCATGTTGATAAAAAGTCTTTTGTAAACAACAAACAACTACAGCACCTATTGTGCTTTAACAAAGGAAGAAATTCCTAAACAGCTTCCTAAACACAAATTGACAACTAGTAAAGATAGTTAAGACTGTAGCAGAAACTGTTTTTTCTATCAGAATCACAGAAGATATGTGCGATCTAGAGATGATTCACAACTACATGGGGACTTGAAGATGAAAGTGGCTGGTGATTGTTCACCATTTGATAAAGCCAATGTCATGGTAAACAATCAGAGTGTGAGCAAGCCAGTAGCGCCATGTGGAGCAATTGCCAACAGCCTTTTTAATGGTATGTTCTGATATCAGAATTTTATGATCAATCAGAATGTTTCAAAAATCCTTTACTTTTGAGATCAAAGCCAGATTTAATATTTACTTTTTATTTAATTCTATTGCCACGATTTGTATTGATTATCAAATAAAAGTATTTGTCTAGCATTTTTTTATTGTTACCAGATACTTTTGTGCTGTACCAAATAAACAGCACCAAACAAAGGACCCATATTCCTCTGTCTGGCAAAAACATTGCATGGAAAAGTGATGTCAATGACAAGTTCAAAAATCCATCTGGAAACATAGTGGAGAAGTTGAAGCCGTTTGCAAAGCCATCCTTTTGGCAAAAGAGTATCGCTGAGATTGAAGGATATTTCAAGAATGAAGCTTTCATTGTATGGATGAGAGTTGCTGCCTTCCCTACGTTTCGAAAACTGCACAAAATAAAGGAAGGTGGATTGTCAGCTGGCGAATATGAAATTGATGTTACATACAGTATCCTTTTCAATTTTGAAGTACTTTTTTGAATACATTTAGTTGCATGGTTTTAAAAATTTGTTTTTTCCTAAGCGTAGTTGTGAGGACAATTTCTATCCCTCAGTGTGTTTCCGAGTACTCTCCCTCAGTGTGTTTCTGCACTTTAGCTAATTTTTGACATTTCATTTTGATGGGAAAATTTTGACCATGGGGTCAGTAGTAATTTGGTACAACTCTTTGCCTCTAATGATTTGACAAATTTATCTCATTTTCTTCACCATCATATCATGTCTAAGTATTTTCTCGTCCTTCTTTGACCCTTTATTTTGATTGCGTCAGTTGTTTTCACAGAAAGTCCTTGTTTGGTGTTGAACTTGTTATAAAGTTTTGATGATAGTCCTTAACTAAACAGATTATCCTGTATCTGCTTTCAAAGGTGAAAAGCGTGTGATTTTGTCAACATCAACCTGGATTGGTGGAAAGAACCCATTTCTTGGTATTGCCTATATCGTTGTTGGCTGTATATGCATAATTTGTGGTGCAGTTTTCTTGTTTGTCCACTTGAAAGTGCGAACAAGGTAAGAGTCTGTCCAGATTATCACAATTTTTCTATGAGTATCTTGCTTATATCTTTAATTGAAACATTTATAGTTCCATACAATTTTTTCGTTATATCTAGAACCTGAAACCCAAGGCGATAGTCACCATCGTCGTCATCATCATCCCCCATATCCAACGGACATGGACTACCCTGAACTTCTCTTTTTAATCTTCTCAAACACCTTCTGAACCGTAAAACCCCAGTCTCCAATCCATCCATTTCTTAAGCTGGCTATAAAACATGTTTCCCTTCCTCTGCCTTTTCTTTCCTCCTCACAATCCTAGATTCCCAAATGCATCTCTTTGTAAATCTTATTCCAAAGATCTTGCCAGCTTTTTCATATCTCTTATTTCTTTTCTATTTCCTTTTTTCTTTCCTTCAGTGATGGACTCCTTGGGGATGTGAGGGGGGCGGTCGCCCCCAATACATTTGAAGCCAATGATCTTTTGTTCTAAAACAATAAGCAAATGCGACATCATCTTGTCAAAACAATAGGCTTGCTCCCCCCCCCCAAATGTTTGACCAAATGCTTGCCACTGCTTTCCTTTCATCTTTCCTTCTGACAGCAAACTGTTTAACACGACGTTCTGCTCTTGCACTTGTACGAAAACAAAACTTTGATTTATATCATTCCTTGATTTTATTTTGCACCAGTAATGCATCTTGAATCTTTCTCTATCTTTTCAGGGCCTTGAAGAATCTGTAAATCTGTTCAAAGCTTGGTGTGAAATTTGGTCAGAGCGTATATTGTATATCGTTGGGATATTTAATTTTGAGTAAGATTAATTGAGGCAATATTGCGAATGTACCCTCTGTTTAGAATTTTATCATACGAACATATTTGAACGTTTATTGAATGTCAAGCTTAGAATTGTTTCTTTGCAATAGGGATATGTTCGAATAAGCGGCTTAAGGTTGTTTCTATATGAAGCAAGGAGTCTCTGTGCACTTGTCTTGGAATATGTTGACAAAATACTATAATTTGGCGAGTGGTCTGTCGGAAACGTGTAGAGTCTTTGCTTTTGTGGGTTGTCTAGCCTTAAGCATTTATTAATAGTAAGCTATTGGAAGAGGGGCTAGCCTAGGCCTCTAGATAAACAAAATATTCATGCAACTTCCATAAGAGGTGATAACTAAGAATTTTCAAAACGCAATTCATTTTTAACTTTTTCGAGATAAATGTTCCGGGCAACGATCTACGGAAATGCTTTAAAATTAGATGCTTGACAAGTTTATTTACAAAAGTATAAATGCTTTTGCAAATAGTATTAATGGCGGGTGAGGCTGCGTGGTGATCAGTTAAAACGTAACTAATTCATACCTTCTTTTGGTTTTTCGATTTATTAAATTTGATGCGAGTTGAGGTATTTTGCACCTGTTTGTGGGAAATTAGGCTGGACTGTTTAGATTTTCAGTTAGTTGAAGTCTGTTTATCAAATTTAGAGCCTAAATGCCGTGTAAATACCCAAATTATGTCGCAGCTATTGGCCATGGATTGATTACCTGTTACCAGATGACTTCAAGATAGGTGAAAAGGATCATGGTAGATATTGTCATGACAACGACCGGCTGGAATATCGCTAGTAAGAGGTAGAAAAGTAGCTTTGCAGAGTAATCTTGCAACTGCTTTAGGGCTAGAGTTTACCCCTAACAAAACAAATTGTCTGGTATCAGAACCAATTCTAGCTTACACTGCGAACTGCGAACATCCAGTATTTTACCACAGTGCTTTCAGGAAACACATTTTGTTTATTAATTTGTTTATTCGTGTGATGTTCTGGAATTTCGAGTTTATATTTGTCGTGTTTAAATTTGTGAGATTTTACGTTTAGAATTAATTAGAAAAATTACAGTTTATTGATTTCATTGTAAATTTACAACCGCTCTTGCCACTTGCACTGTTTGATGAGTAAAAAAGTTGCAGATATATCTAAAAACCGCTGAAGACCTTTGTCAGTAGCACTTGAACAGAAATGAGAAGCAGATTGTAAAAAGTATTTGAAAATTGTTATGAATCCACTTACAAACTTAGCACAGTTGATTGAATTCATTATTGTTAACAATTAAATACTTTTTCATTTGTATGTTTCATTCTTAAGCTGCGAATTACCATAACTTGCGAGCCGCTTCCTCTTGCATAAAGGCACTCATCTTTCTGAGTTTTCGTCCTATTTTATATTTCTACATTAAAAATAAGTCTCCTTTTGTTTGAAACTACAAAATTAGATTAATTTTTCAGTTTGCTATCTCTCTGCACCTCCCAAACCCTTCTGTCAAAGTTCGCCTCCGAAGTTGCGTTGTGGTTTTATTAAATTTTTTTCGCCTCTCTGGTCTGCGTAACCCAACGACGATACCTTTCTTTTGGTTCCATGCTATACAAGCTCAGAGCTGGACTCTACGCACGCAGCATTTCTAATCGTAGGCCGGTTAGCCCAACAGGCAAAGCTGCTTCATTGCTTGTTTCATGCTCCTCCGAAGTGCCTTGTTTCTCACAATCATAATTACCGGACTGAGGCTAGAATGCAGAAATGTGAGTGCCAAAGCCCACGCGTATAAGCTGCGCCTTAGATAGCTAGCGTGAATGTTCTGCGTATACTCCATATTGGCCCAAAGAAATGCGGACCAGATGTACGGTATATAGCATAGGAAAAGGGAGATAATAACAATAGCAACGGTGCTTGTGATTGATAGTTCCTTCTTGAATGATGCTCCATGTTGGCTTTTTGTGTTCCACGCGTTTTCATCTTTATCGTGAAAGTTTAAAGGCATAAACCTAGAAAAGTATTGAGGTCTTTTTTGCCCATTTGTTGGTATTATTTGCTCTACTTTCTTTCCGTTGTCTTCTTTATCGTCACATATACACTCATAAGCACGGTGACTGTTTTTAACTATGTCAAATCTATCCCTGTTCGAATCTGGCTTTCTGTCGTAATCGCTCGCTTTTCGGTCCTTCGGAACGGGAAGGTAGCTTGGATCGGATTGGCTCCCGGTCCCTTGTAACTGGACCGCAGCCACACCTGGGAGCATGTATACCTCCATGTTTCTGTCACCAGAGACTTCATAAGGAGCTGTCTCTTCAAACACTTCAACTTCCAGTTTGAACGAAATCCTTTTTTTAGGCTTTGGATTGCCATCAACGGTTCGGGATTGTACGTTAGAAGCTTGCGGCTTGAGAGACACACTATCGCGTAACTTACGCGTATGGTTTCGAACAACAAAGAAGATTCGTATATAGGAGATAAAAGCGACGGTAAAGTAGACCATGCCGATAACAAGAAGCATCCGGGATATCGAAACAGGAGAAAGAAACAGTCGGCAGAGAGATAGCACTAATGAAACCAGCCAGGAGCAGCAAAGAATGTTTTTAACAAGCTTTCCAGAAATCCATTTGCGATAAAATGCTGGCGAAGAAATTAATAGAACCCTGTCTAACGAAAGCAGTAGAAGCGTATTGGCCGTGTTGAAGCCCAACAACATGAAAACCAGCGTCAAAATCAACTCGAGTTCACAATTCATGGTTACTCGAAATTTGATAATCAAGAGACCAGGAATAACAAATAACGAAATGCCGAAATCAGACAAAGCAAGGCACGAAATGATCCTCATTGTGTTCTGTTTTATCAATTTGGATTTGAAAAGCCCAGCAAGAAGTAGCAGGTTGCCCAATATACCAAGGCAGCTTGAAATAGAATTAAAGATGAGGTATCCGTATTCGAGGAATATGTCTCCAAACGGCCACAGTGTATTGCAATGGGTTATGTTTTGATGGCTTGTGTAAACGACTTTCATTTCGTCAGCCCGTTGCCACGTCTTGTTCTTATCAAATTACATATTGCTAAAATTTGACAGCGAATCTGCCTAGAAAACGCGAAAATGGTAGCCAATGGCTTTTTCAATATAGCATGTTATTTAATGAAGTCTTTGCCCAGTCTTGAATTGTTCGTTTCAGACTGTCGTCGCAATTCGGCGTGTGTATTATTCGTTTATATTATGTGTATTATTTCGAGTTTACTTGCAAAGTTCAAATACACTGACTCCAAATTAACTCCAAATGAGTATATTGCTCCATGCGTGATATCCGCTTGCGTAATTCTTGGTCACATTTTGAATTGAAGTCAATTTTAATTAAAGACTGTCCTGTCTCATTATCTTATATTCCAAAAATGTATCATCGGTTTCTTCGACTTTTACCTTGCATTCATAGGTATTACCAGTTTATTTTTCGATTCGATAGACCAACTCTTGACTTGGTCATGTTCACTGTGAGGTCCACATCATCATAAATCAGTTCTGGTGTCGCTGATCACGTAGGATTTTCTGAGTTTGCGTCGTTCACCAGTGTAGATAACCTCAATGCGCAATGCCTGATGGGGTTTCGATTATGCAATTTACCATTGAAGGTTATTTAATTTTGCAAAGGGTAAATAAACATTGAATGGTTGAAAGACAGTGATCTCAAAACGCAATGTGACGTACAACTTTGCATGCAGACACAGGTTTTGAATCCTTTTTTCTGCAAAGGACGATCCTAATCCAAACATGCCAACAAGACAAACTTGCAAGATGTTGAAAATAGTCGTGTCTTCTATTCCAAGGACATAATCAAAAGAAACTGTAACCCCCTGTCACGATATTAGAGAATCTAAGCAGATTTCTCTTTATTATGACCGATCGAATTTGACAAACAAGAACTGTTGTTCAAACTTCCATGTATGCCTAGATGAGTTTGAGGTGTTTCCTATGAATACAGTATTTAAGTAAAAACCTGAACCCTTTAGTCTTCTGTCAACATCTTCCGGTTTATTTGAACGACTCTTGACAACAGGCAGTTACTCCTTTGATCTGTGTGGTTAGGTATATTAAACTAAGCCTGGCCTAAATTATTTCTTTTTATGTTTTATTTGGAATCAATTTATGATCCACCCACAGCTCTGTTTGCTAAGCAACTACACTCGTCACTAAGTCATTCCAATCAACAGATAGACTTATCAATAAACCTTCTGAGCTTCATTTGATATATTCTTGTCTTTTATAAAACTTTAAAGACTTAATTCGAATGGTTCTTCTTATCAGAAACAGATTCTTTCTATCACTCATTTAACACAGCGAAAGTATACTGCAAGTATTTATATAAATATATAGAACAAGACATTTCATTTAGTTTCAAGTGTCCCCCTTCTACTCTGCCAACATGACACTGACAAAAGAAGAGAACCTAATACACTCCCTTGTGATACACCACGAGTTATGATTTGGAGATGTCCTGTAATAGCCATACCTTAATTATACAGTGAATCTATAATCTTAGCATTAGGCCAATAAGTTTATGTTTATAAAAACTATATTTATTTGATTTGATCAATTTCAAAAAGTAAACGACGTCAAGTAATGCGGTGATAATATGGAGTCCTCTCTTTTTCAGCCTTAACGTCAAGTTACCAGCTAATACAGATTACTTCATTTGGTCGAATAGAAATAAATATTTTAGTGTAACATGATAGAATATGTTCCAGTTTCTCGCTGTATTTATTAGATGTTGCTAAGTTATTTCACCAAATTTATCATAAACTCGATGGGGGAAACGCAACGGAATATATAAAGAAAATCTACTTTAAACTATTTCAAACAATAGCTGGTAAATCAAACGTAAAGTAAAGCGCAATATTGTTTGTGATTATCGTTGTACAAAGTCTTTTGCAACTTTTTTCAATATTTTCTCAGCTCTTTACTGATACGAACAAAGCATCGGCAAGTTGTTGAATCACCGTTATATTCTTTGCTGAGCTGAGAATGATCTTTCTGCTTAAGCAGAACTCAATGAGCCAAAAGGTAGATGAAAGGCACTTTAACACCTTCTGAGAGGCATCGTTGTTGTTTTTTGTTTTTACATACCATTTCCACAATTGTGTCCAATAATGTTACATTTTTACTTCAAAAGCAATGCACTTAACTTTTTTCTGGAAGATGTTTCAACTGTGGTATCAACTGCAAAAATCTACCTCTGTTTTGTGTGCACCCCTCATTTGCTTGCTAATTTCAAACTCTCGACCTTTGGCGGCATTTATTTTATAAGGAGGTTAATTTACTGGCACCTAACCAGGATGATGTGGACCTACTGTCTTAAGAAACGCAGATAATACTATACAAATAAAGTAAAGACATTTGACCTATTTCCATTGTTTCTATCAAAGTTAAAAATATATAAGAAAATTCTTGCTACAAGGCCCAATATATTAAATGGCATTTATCTTCTTTCGTTCATTTTTAAGATGTTTTTTGAACGTTTCAATGGCTGAATTCTTCATTTCTTCGCTTAATGAATTCCACAACACAGGATCTCTGGAGGAAATTGACTTTCTGCCAATTTCTTTTCAGTATCTAGGAATCCTGAGTGTCTGATTCAACCGGCTACTGTGTCTTTTCGTTTTTGATTCAAAAAGAGAGTATTGAAGGAAGCTGGCAGGCTTTTTAGTTTGTACTTTTTCATAAATATTTCATAAATTATTTTTGTGTTGTTCATTATTATGTTTTGTTATGTTGCATAGTGTATAGCGCATAGAGATAGCGTCAAACAATTTTGTTTGTTGACCGAAAAGAGGCCCACAGATGCCAAAAAGAGGCTTAAAATGGAGGCAAAGATTTGATCGGCTGTTCCCGCCATTATCAAGGAAGGTCTGTGTAAAAGTTTGCTTTCTAAATAAACGTTCAACCTGTACAAAGTTTGTGGCTACCAAATGTACATTGGGATACATTTGCATCCTAAACTTTTGCTTGTCCTTGGATTAGTTTAAGGACCTTAAGTCTTAGAAGTCGTTTTAGGCCCATTCTTCACCGAGATTCCAAAAAGGCAAAGTTGCATCATCTTAACAAAGTGACTAGGTTATTCAAAACATGGAGGTAGACAGCGGAATTCTAGAAATTGGCGTCGATTTTAATGAGTTTGAAGACAATGAAAAGGGGACAAAAGATGAGAACTTTCCGGAAGAAAACATGGATGTTGAAGTTGATGTAAACTGCCCGTGCCCGCTTTCGCAAGAATCGTCCAGCAATCAGCCAGACCTAAGACAAAAAATAATCAAAAATAAAGAAGGAACAAAATACCAGTCAACGAAAATAGAAAATGATGTCGGTTTGCTCGAAAGAGCAGAAGAAGCAACAACCCTGCAGATGAAACAGCATCGTGATGGTAGGTTTATTTATGGGAAAGTATTCCAGACTGGAAACTTTGTTTCTTCAATCTTCAATCTGCCCAAATCCAAATGCTAGCAGTATATTTTATTGGTTTTCTTTTTCTATTATGTAGGTAATTACGAAATATTATTATTGTTGTAATGTAGAAGAAACATTTAGTAAATTTTTAAGAAACTGAACCAACCTATCTTTCTTAACAAGTTATTTGTTTCATCCTCATTTTGATCATCTGTTGCAAGGTTCTGCTAATCCTAAACAATTATTTTGATGTCAATAAACTACTTCAGTTTTTTCTGAGGTTAACATGCCTTGCAAATTTTGAATCAAGAAACAACAATAAAGAGCTATCTCTCCATTGATATTTGGCCACTGAAATTTAAGATTTGGATATGGCCAAGTGCTGGTATTAAGATTCCATTTTGAAATATTGTCAGCTAATGATATTGACAATGATCAGCAGTGTAGCCAGGGTGGTAAGATTGGGTCAAAGGTGAGTTGAGCAAGGGAAAATTGGGGTTCCACACCCTTTTGAATGCCAGAAAACACCCTTTTCAAATAGATTGTTTGCCTTTACCCCTACTTACCTCCCCTAATCACACCACTGACAACAATACTGGAAAAATGTGACAATAATGATCTGGAAAGTTGCTTTAGTGCTCTAGAAAGAAGAGAAGCTCTGGCAGAAAGCAATACCTGATTAGCCTGTTTCTTTTCTTTGAAATGATTTCTGTTACTTTTTGTTGATGAAATGATTACCACCCTGGTTCTGTAGATGAGATGGTTTCCATCATATTCTACTAATCAATTCATTGCAAAATATAAAATGCAAATTAAGTTCATTGAAAATTGAACAGACAATCTTCCATTTTCAAACTGTTGTGGATTACTAACTAAACGTTATCACAATCTTACATTGATGGCTAATTTTTTCTGAGGGCTCAGCTGAGCACCTATGAAGTTAAAGCTTTGTCTAGCACCGTTTTATGCATTATTCAATTCTGTTTATAATTATTCAAAACTAGATAATGGTTTTAAAGAGCATAGCAAGAAGCGAGATTCAAGATATTCTCAGAAAACCCTGTTTAAAGAACTTCATGCTTCTTCTGATCTTGATACTGGTATTCTTGGTCGTGAAATTGCACACAGGTTAGGAGAGGTAAGTTTAGTTTTATTTGCATTTCTAATTTCTAAACAAGTTGTTGCTTTTAAGGCTTTAGAAATTGGTTGATAATCACAAAACTGTAGCCATTTTTGTAGTTGTGACTGTTAAACAGTTAGATTCAATGAGACACTAATGGATCAAGGCATAAACTGAGGGGTCATCTGAAGGGCTGAGATATGTTTGTAGTACAGGTTTTGAGAAAAATAAACACTTTTTCCTGCTGCCTGCTTTGGTCTTGTATGACTATGAGAAGGTCTTTGAAGGATGCTATGGGATTTCATTTAGATCTTGGTAGGATATTACCGAATTGATTATATCCTGTAGAATCCCAAAAGGGTATTTTTAGGGCTCCGCTTTTTGACCTTGTAGAATGAAGCCTGGATTGTACAGGCCAGGAAGCGTTGTAGTTTTTGCATAGGGAAGCCTGAGTTTTTAAGAAATATTATCAGGGTGCATTTTGTGTGTTTCTGTTAAGCATATTTATCTTATCTTGGAAAGTGCGTATTTATATGGACAATATATCTAAGGCTTAATGATACACTTACTCTGTTGTTATATTACTGTGTATTTTGGTTTGAAGGCTAAAGTTGGACTTATCATAAACGTAGTTCGAGTGCTTGGTTTCAAATCTGCGATGAAAATCTTAGAAGAAACAAGAAGAATCGAGAGAAGGGGCGGTATGTTAACAACAGACCGTAGTAGAAGGCAAGTGAAAATAAGTTTGCTATGAATATCACGTCAAAAGCGATTTTCATAGAGCAAAGCTATTTTATTGTAATTCTTTCTATTTTTCGGTTATTATTGAACAGTCTTGGTTTAATAGGTTATCATCATTTACCTTTGATGGTACATGTCTTGATATCACATGAAATACATATTTCAGGTGGGGTAAGCAAACGGAAATGCACATTATGTGAACATTGTAAGACATCGATTAGCATAGACGTAGGAACAAGGGGGCATCAGTAGCAGATACTTGGGGGGGGCGACCGCCCCCCCAATACTTTGGAGGACAATGGTCTTTTGTTCTAAAACAATGGGAAATGTGACGTCATCTTATTAAAACAATAGGCTTGCCCCTCAATATTTGATCAAGTGTCCGACCCTGGGGGGCATACTGCAGTGCTCCCCCACTTTTTAAATGCTTCCTAATTCTATGTCGATTTTAATTGAGCACCGTTAATCGTAACATTTGGATTTGCAATTTGGAAGCCCTAAACATCTTAGGTTTGCAATATTCGTTTATCTATATAATAATAAGAAATAAGTCTATAGAAATAAGAAATAAGAAATAATATTCGTATAATAAGTCTTTTTTTAGGCGCACACCCGGTGGAGTTTACATTTACTGCCTAAAAGAGAAGGGGTACGCATCAAAGGAGGAGGTAGAACTCATTTTCAAAGAGGAGAAGGAGCGTTTAAAAGAAATTGCTAAACGGAAGAAAAAGGATCAGAATCTAAGAAAGAGAAAGGAACTTCAAAAAATGGATAGGCTCAAGAAGAGGGTTATAGAATTTGTAAATAAAAAGATTGCAGGTGAAGATGAAAAGATAAATGAAGAATCAATTACTGAGAAAAACGAGAAATCTATGGAAGTGATAAGCAAGACGAGCATGGAGGGAATCGGTGAAGAGAATACGAATAACAATTTGAAAGGTCCAGAGAATCTTTGATTTGTTATATTCTGAGGTCCATAACTTCTAAAGGATGGAACAAGTCTAAAAGCTTTCTTTTGGCTGAATTTGGTTGTTGTAATTCTCAAACTGGCATTGGTCTTTTTGAATTTGAAATGGCTTAGCAAAAGCTAAGTGAAAGTTGCGTAAATTTGACTTCATATAGATGGATAATTGTTAGCAAGGCTAGCAGATGAATAACTGAAGGACAGTGGATTCTGAAATTGATTCCATAATAAACATACAAGAGCTGTTTTGAACATCTCATTTCAGGTTGGTTATCAGCAATCCTTTTTGTATTGTCAATTCAGTATATGATAAGTGAAGATGAAGAATTGTTTTCAATGGATCTGGCATTTCTGAACTTAAATCTTATTTTACATAAGATAGGAGCAAACTCCATTCATTAGTACGCGGAAGGTCTCTACATAACAGGGTAATCACATCTCTATGAATTTTAATTGACTGAACTATAATTTCTTTAGTACTATAAAGATCTTATATTGACCCGGATTAATAACGTACTTGGGTATTTTCACACTTGAAAAATATTTACTATTTTTTTCTAATAAAACATTGAAGTTACTTTATCTACATTTTGGATGCACCCAACTGCGCGCGTGAGAGGACTGGCAAAGAGAGTGGCGTGACGTGAAGCCAAAACGCGTTGTTGATTATCGCCATTGCTGGCTTGGTCCTGACTGTAAGTGGTATACTGTCCGAAAAAGATGTTGTTTTCTGTTTTTCTTATTTGCAAGATTTCAGCGATGGTATATGACGTCACTGTATTATGTTTATCGATGGCAAAGTTGAATCCTGTTGCTGGGATCTATAAACAGAAACCTAACAAAAATGTTGTGTTTGAAATAACGAGAAAAACAGTCTTAATCAAACATATCAGATATAAATCCAAGATCATCGTAAGCCTCCAAAGTTGTGTTGATATTTGTCAACGACCAATAAAGTTGTTTAAGAAAGAATTGCAAAGACTAGCACTACAATCTCTTTGCACAACATAAAATAATAAAGCGTAACAGAAAAAGTCTTATACCCTGTATTTTGACCTTTTCCCGTGCCAACGCTAGACATGTCTGCTTCGTAAAACAGGCTCGAGGTTCTTGAGAATGTATTTCTTCATTTTGAACAATCAGCGAGGCATAAATTTTGTCTACCTCAGTTTCAAACAGATTCACAATTGAATGCCTTCCATTCATCTGGTACTGCCTCGTGTATATTTTATAAACCAATATATTTTTTTGTATATGTATACATATAGTCACCAATGTTTATATGCGTGTTTTTTCTATGAATTTATTGACAGACTCTTGTTTTACAGAGCTGTATTTTTTATATAAAGTAAAAAGCACAAGTTTCCAGGATATTACCTAAGAATCAAACTCTTGCGTCTGTTTGTGGAAATAAGAGTCATTCTCCAGGATGTTCGTTTATATTTTTCTCTAAAATGGTATCAAAATTTCTATCTATTTTGAACAGTAGCACTCTAGCTGCAAGCCCTGTCAGGAATTATCTCATACTTTCACTAACTATTAATCCTGCCAGGAATTATCTGATACTTTCGCTAACTATTAATCCAAAAAGAATTTTTCTTCCTGGATGGGCCTAGACAGGTTTTATCCCATAGACATACATTGTTCAATTGTCCCTGCATTACAGCGATTCCCCTTGGTTTTACATTTTAAAAGAAACAACATCTTTTTCAAGCTGAATGCAAAGAATTAAGCATTTGAACCAGCAAAATGAGATTGTTATCTCGGGGTAGTTGTATTTTGCACTTACTCAAAAGGCCGTGCGTCATGGTTGCATTCATTACAAATAGTTCCTAATTTAATCTCAAAGAGGCTTTTAACCATAGAGATAGGATAATTAATTATTGACAGAAGCTTTATTTATTATTGACTCTATGCTTTTGACAGAAGCCCGTTTCAAAACTCTGTAGTAAGCCATGTGTTCGAATTAATTTGCATAAAAATTCAACCCGTGGCGTTATGCTTCGAAAGCAAACTGGTAACGTGTAAACGGGGTGTGTACTGTAAATTACGTAAATTTTCTGTTCGTCTACCTTTTGCATATAATACGTGAACAAATAAATTTTTAGATATTTTACTTTCGGCATATTTATTCGTTATGTTTAAACACTTGCAAATCAAACGTTATCATTAGGAGCAATGTATTTCGAAATATTCTATTTTATTATTCCTTGTTTTTCATTTACTCCAAATACCTTTAGGGAGTGAAAAGTATAGGCTTCCTATTATATTGATAAACATTTTCAATCTCGAAAAAGAAGGCCTAGAATTTTCCGAACCGTTATCTGGATTTTATGAATAAAAAAGGGTGAAGTGGGATTGCATAAGGTGCTTTATCTTGAATACCACGATTCTTATGGGCAAACGAGAAAGAGTCAGAAAGTGTAATATGTTTTGAAACTCTATGGAGTTATAACTTTTTCTTAGACTAACTTTATTAAATCATATAATGCCAAAAAGTTTTATGGGCCATATAATGAGAAGAATGGTTTGGAAAAGCTAGTGATTGAAGGGAAAATCGAAGGGAAACGGCAAAGAGGAAGGCAGAGGCTGACTTTCCTGGAGGACCTAGCGTTGGCTGCTGGGTGCAAAGTGCTGAGAATGTTGCGATGTGTTGGTTGAGATCGGGCTGGTTTCAGACGCTTGATAGCCAACGACAGGTCCTGACATGGCACCCAGAGAAGAAGAAGAAATGGAACCCAAAGAAGAAGAATGCCAAAGAAACTGGTATGTTGCTTTTCTTTTCTAGATCAAATTCAAATTCGACTTCCGATTTTTTTTACTTTTGTCCCAAAGCTTTTCTTGTTGCTTGCTTCAATGAAAACTACAAAACAGGGGGAAATGGTAGCGTCAAAAGTAATACCCTGGGTGCCAGAGCCTCAGAGAGTAAAAATATGAAGAACGGGGGAAAGGGATTGCGAAGGAGAATTTGACTCTCTGAGGCTCTGGCACCCAGGGTACAAAAGTAAATGCGCAGATGTTGATGGGCTTAGGGTTTAGCCCTTACAACCATTTTAAGGGTTCTGTCCCCACTTAAATAGCTTTTCTAGAGGTTCAGTGGAATGTAGAATAAACAGGTCATCCTCCTAGTTTTTATTTTCATTTTACACCAGTATTGTTTTTTCAATTAAAAGTGGCTTTTTACTAGAGTGAGTCTGGTACCCAGGGTACTTTTTACAATGCTGGGTTTCACGTAATTCTTTTCAGTACCAGGCTCTCTCATCTTTTGTTCAGTTGTTGCTTTAATATCTTCCTTGGGCTCTAGCTCTGCAATGCAAACATCACCTGAGAAAGATTTATTTTGGTCCTGTTTAATGAAGATTCAATGGCTGTATGATTTGCACTTCAATCTGGATGGCTCTATGGCTCATGTGCAAACATCAGTGCGCTCTGGGTCAATACAGAGTTGTTCGGTGGCCCGTCAGATGGCCTGGAAACATTTAATTGTCAAAACAGCACTAGGATTAATAAAACTTCTTCAGGTTTTAAACATAGTCTTTTACCACATAAAGCTGGATGCGGTCAGTCTTAATAATAGATTTTGTACTTTAGATTGCATTAATTTGGGATAAATTATAAAAATTACAGGATTCGGTCGTTTTTAGGAAAGCTAAAACGTGGATTTACCTTTTCTTAAAATCATATGCGTTGGATGTGAATTACTTCTTTATCGCAACTGATTTGCGATAAAGATTCCGACAAGGACGATGGAAGAATTTTGCCACAGATGCATTGAAACAGACGAATTCCTTCAAACACTTGGCAATTATATCGAGAAGACAATGCGCGATTGTATGGCTCGGGATTACAATGAGATCCTTTAGAATCCAGATGTCAGCGGAAGATCGCTTTGATTTTGTTGCTAGACAACGCTGTGTTTCACCTCATGAGATCACATTCGTTTTATTAAACCATGCAGAATACCTTGAGATTATACTGTCTCAAAACAAGCTCTCTGAAAAAGACACTTCACTATAACTTATTAATTCTGATAGCCGTATTTGTTTTGTTTTGATCGCTTATAATGATCAAAACGTTTAATTTAAATGCTGGAGGACTGGAGTCACTACTGCAGCAGAAGTCAGGTGATAAAGCCAATTTACCCAACACCAGCAGATACGCATGGCCTACGAACACGGAGAGCGGAAGAGCGTCCACGAACCATAGCTATCCAAGCCGTTCGAGTCGATCCACCACGAACTCCTTCTTCACCAGAAACAGTCCTCACCCAGCAAGGGTAAAGCATATCAAGGGGTTGCTTGATGTGCCGATATGCACCGTTTTAGATGCCAACATTGGGGATAGCCGACCGAACACAAGGTTTTCTGTAGCAACACCTAGCACAGATGATAAAAGAAAACAGGTGGAAGAAAGCTTCAAACTGCAAAATCGTTTAAAAGAGAAAGCTGTCCCGAATATCGGATTTGGTAAGCTTGATAAGCTGATCTTTGCTCTTTGAATTTCTTCTCCATTTGGTATACTAACCATAACAATCGTTGTGATGGCAACTGTCGTCCTGTGATGGCGAGATACAATAACAATCATAATTAGGCAAATGAACACGTTCTTTCTTCAAGGTTGTTGCAAGGTAATTGCATCTTTTCCCTCTGCAAAATAAATTCCCTTTTTTAAATTACTTCCTTAAATTGAAAAAAAACTTCCATAAATTAGTTCATCTTAAGATCTGATTGTCTGCATACTACTTAAAGGCCCCCCTTAAAATCCTCATTGTCATAATTGGCTTGTTGTAATCGTTGTTAATTTTTTGATAATTTATCATTCCCATCACTATGAATGGTGCCCTCAGATGCGATGCCAATGCTCAGAAATAGGGGCATGTGCTACCTCTTATGGAGAAGGCAGCTCCCCAACGAACATTCTCGGATATCATATTGCATCGCCCTGTCATTGTTGGAAAATTCTGCCCAAGTCAAGCAGCTCACATAAATAAACAACTAAATTGACTTCTGTTTTGTGAGCTGTATCAGTTCCGTTCCCAGGTTCATTGGTACTATTAAACCCCCCCCCCCAAGAAATCCTTTGTTTCAAATGAGCAATCCCCTTTGTTTCTATTGCTCCCTAACATCGGTACTCCCAGTAATTCTATCTTTCCTACGGCTCTGGACCCAGTAAAAAGAATTTTCAATTCTTACTTGTAGATTACTTCATGAAATTGCACTCACTTTATCTTTGATTTTATTTAATGGTAAGATAGAAAGAGTTTAAAGAGGAAATTGGATAGTACAGTTTGGATTTAAATGCTGTGAGTTGGATTGGAACGTTGAATGGTTACATGTCGAAATCACTGATCTGAAAAAAAGACTGGATCGAACAACCTATTGTTCTCCTACATCAGCAAGATGAAGCTAATCGAGTCTCTCCACCTTGAGACCTCTCGCGCCTAAAGCTTTGGGTTGCCATTTGTTCAAACGACGCAAACACAGTGCTGCGCCTTAAATTGTGCATTAGCTATTAAATTCTAAAATATTCTAAGATCGAAAAGGCCTAGGAAAATAAGTGAACAGTGAATTCTTCGTTTTATAAGCTTAGTACTATGGCAAAAATGTTTAATGTCACTTGCGAATGATGCAAGTTTTTGTTTCAACGGTTACTTTGAATTTTGCTATGAAAAAGCAAGTTGAGCTGAAACCAAGATGATTGCACTCTAGTCTCATACAACACGACTAGGTCTCAAGATGGACGCTGCAATGTGGAATCAACGCTGGGCTGGAGAAGCTCGATCCAGTCTTTTTCTGAGATCAGTGGTCGAAATGGGCTATGCTGCTTCGCCTCCACTAGAGCCTCAATAACATTGCATTCCTGGAGTACTAGATTTGTTTGGTTTATTAATTGGTTTAATTCTACAAAATTTCAGGCCTCAAACAGCGAAATGCGTGTAAGAAAATTACTTGGCAGAGAAATCGTTCCTTTATCGTCTGGATCTAATAAGTCCTATCTAACTTAGCGAATTCGAGAGTCTGTGGTTACATTTTCGAGGACTGGAAAGTATTATGCAAATTTTAATTTGAATTTTTTACTTTTTTCTCAGTCCCAATTGCACCAGGCTGGAAAGAAGAGCTTCAGCGTCTGACACAAGCTCTTAACATTGGACAGAATTCAAATGCAGCCCAGCCGAGCAATGCACCCCCTGGAATGCCTTCTCGTCAAGGCTCAAGGCAACAGTCGAGGCTAGGAACAAGAGCAGGAACGAGGCAAGGCTCAAGGCAGGCTTCTCGCGATGCACTACGAAAGATTGAGAACGATTTTGTTCGAAACTCTCTGTCGCGTGGAGGCCAGAGACTTTCGGGGGAAAATATTGTTGGAGATGCGGAAAGACCTAAAACGTCTCCATCCATGTTAAAAGATACGAGTGGCTTTAACCCAGAGGCGGATGAGGCTAAAGAAGATATAGTAAGTGTTTTTTGTTGTCTCTTATATTCGAAATTTTAGAAATGAAACGACTTCTTTGCGGCTGTTCGGGCAAAAAAAACTAGAATGGATGATAAATAAATCGATGAGTATACACAGATTGTTGAGTATACACAAAATTTTTCAATGAGTATACACAGATTGTTGTATAGAAATTTCTCGAAATTCTCAAAAAAATTCTCAAAGGAATTTCTCAAAAAATGATCTCTAAATAAGCAAAGAAATGTAGGAGAGAGCACCCCCTAAGCCCCGTATATTATGATTCAATTTATGACACCTTTAGGTGTTTATATTAAACTATATAAAAAGGTTTTGTCATCAAGATATCCGGGACTGGTACGTGATGCGCAAAAAATGTAATTTCAAATCATGTCGAAATGCTGGCTGATGGAGGCAAGTAGTGGAAAGAATCTTTACAGTTTCAAGTTCTTATTTTTAATATAGCAATGCTTAAGTTGCACATACGACGCTCTTATATTGCACAGTCCTTATAAGAGAATCGACCAATCAGCTTCTTACAGGTTGATGATTTGAAACCATGTAATTCGGTCATCTCAGTACTGTGGTACTACAGTATAATCCGGTTATAACGTACTTTAAGGGCACGGCGTATTAAGTACGTTATATCCGAAGTATGTTGTAACGAGGGTAAGTAAAAATTGACTAAAACCAAGCACACCTTTTGCTGGGACCAAGCACACCAGTAGGTTATATCAGAAAGTACGTATTGACTGAGTACGTTATAACGGGATTCTACTGTATCAAAAGAACAAGGAGGGCTCTTGCACAAAATGTTGCGGGAAACAATTGCAAAAGTAGAAATTTTGAAATTTTCGGCATCAATAAGGAGGGTGGGGGGCTCAGCCTTTCATTACACCCCTGGGTCATCCACCCATAAAGGAACGTTTTTGAATTTCTTTTTCTCCTCATCTTCTCTGATTTGTTTCTTATTTATTTGAACTGGGATTTGTGCTTTCTTACTTGTTGACTTCTTAATTAAAAAGCAGAAATTTCGTAATAACAAATACATCATCTTTCTTAGGTTTTTGGGTTATTGACGCAAATCCTCCAAACAGATTCTGTTCCTGCCATTCAGAATTGGCTTATGAATGCGCCAGAAAGAGGTAGGAGCTGAATTGCAGACTCTCAATAATGCTTGCTTTCATTTCCAATGCAACGTGAAATAGCTGTCAAGAAACACATTCCTAGTGCTAGTAATAACTAAGATTATAAAATATTGCTCACTTTATCATTCTATGTTTTGAAATAAACCTTTCGCTTTGCTGCAGAGAAACAGATCGTAATGGAAATGATAAAAGCGGTGAGTACTTCAGAAGAGGAAATGAGAGTAGGGCTACAGCAGATCCGCAACCCAGCATTTAATGTTGAAACGAAGGAGCAGCAGCAACAGGAGCGAGACAACCAGAGGCCTCCATTTGATGATCAGCTGTTGCAACATGAATCAAGTGTAGATTATGACGAAATTAAAAAGTACAATGAAGAATGGATGAAAGAGGAAGAAAAAATCAGAAAATCAAAACCGAAATCAATTTTGGAAGCATTAAACACCAAAGATACAAAAGGGTTGGTTTTTATATGTTTTGAAGCGTTTTAAAAATCAGTAGTACTCCATTCTGTTTTTATTTCAGATTTATTTACTAACCCATTTGATTTTTATTTAAGCTGATGGTTGATTTGATCTAATGTTTTCTTTGGTCGGCAAAGGCGAATATTCTGCAACTGACAGGTTTTTGCGACGGTAATCTTCAGGCATCTGCCAATTCTCTAACCTTCATCCAATCCTTCACCACCTTTTTGTATCAGCCTCTCTTGTATCACGCATTCTTCTTTCCTTAGGCAAAGCTATGCAGATTACGAATGGTCCGCCAATGCGGCATCAAATAAGCCTAGTACTCCATTTAAGATATTCGAAAAAGAAAAACCAAAGCCTGGTACAGAGGAAGCAGAAATCGAGGGTAAGATTGCGTCCAGTATTTTCTAAGTGTTACTCCAGTCCTGCTAGATGGTTATTTTAGAAAGCTGTATTTGACGAGCGTTTTAGACTGCACAACGCATTTTGGCTTTTTCACTATGATTCAATATTGCATGAATTAAGGTAGTTAAACAGGCTGCAAGGCCTTCTTCCGTTCATCATTCCATGAATGTCTGATAACAACAAAGAGCGACTATTTTTACCCAGCTCGAAAATAACTTGGTCTCCTGCTTTAACTAATCGGCGTTCAATAAACACTCACTTGGTTGGAAAGTGTGGAAGAGATAGAACAAATGTCTTCTGCCTTCTTGTTGGCGAAAAATTCCGACATCAAGATTTTTTTCATTTTCACTTATAATCTTCAGATTTTTACTACAAAATTTTACATTCTTCACCTTTTTATTGCAAGATTGGATTTGAAGCTGAAGACTCATATTGATAGAATTGCAAGAAGTTTAGCGCCATGGGTTGCAAAATTCATGAATTTGCGGTCTCATTTTTTAAAATGTTCCTTCTCTTCAATTAAACGCTTATTTTTATGTGCGTTTAAGATGACAGTTTCTTATTACTAGATCAATACAATATGATTTTTCTGTTTTAGAAATCCGCTCTACTCTGGCCTCGAGATCTAGTGCAAAGGTCCTAGGCCCGCAGAAAATGGCCTCACGACATCGAATAGACCGATGACGCAACAAGGAGAAAGACGAAAAGGTGGTAGCGCTGGAAAACAAGCTCAAAAAGAGGCTGTAAAAACAGTCATGCCATTCAGTGAAACCTGATGCAAAATCGTATTCAATTTACTATCTAATTTTTACTTATAATTACCCTTGTTGTCATTCAATCTGCAGTACTGATGAATTTGGACATCACTAATTTTGAAGTGTGGTACTTTTGGTAGTCCTAAACAGCGAGTTATTGACAAAGAAAATCACAGAAGTGTAAGCTTCTTCAAAAATTAGGTAGCGAGTCAAGCTAGTCTTTCAATATTTACCGTGTGGTATTTTCGTTTGTAGATGAATTTTTTGTGGAATAATATTTTGCAGGTACATGCGCTAAAACCATAGTATTATTATAAGGTATTCAACTTCGTTAATTATTTTCAACTTCCCCATCCTCCAGGGGTTTTTGCCCCCCCCCCCGGGACTGCCAAGTGAAAATTAATTAGAGGACGCCACCTTAAGTCTTGTGATTGATAATAGTCCAACATTCTGAGGACCTTTTTACCCTTACCTGCTAGCGGTTTTTGATTGGTAACCTGGAACAAATATTAAGGATCATTAAACTGACTAAGCAATGCCAAGGGTGCAGCTCATTGTAACAACGCAAAGCAAACCAGATCTTATTCCGTTTTTAGTTGCAAAGAATTAGATTGGAACTTGTTCATGTAATTTTAGTTTTGATAGATTTTAACTGTGAATAAATGCGAATAGCCTACCGGTGTGCTCTAAAAGTCTATTGCATCATTTTGACCCTGAAACATGTCTTGTTCTTTCTAACGAACCTTTAATGTACTCATATTGCGTGATGGGAATGAAAATATTCATAGGTTAACTCGTTAACACGTAATTCTTGGATGATCATGTGTGACCAAAGAACATTGATATGTGAAGTGACTAGATGCTGTCCTGCTGACCACCTGATTTTCAAATTTTTTTGGTTAGAAGAAATCTCATATCGAATATGTCATCCTTTTTTAACCTCAATTATTATTGCTCTTGCTCTGATTCTAAGAAGATGATTCGCAATGGCAATATCTATCATTTTTAAGTCGATTTGGTTATTATTTTAAGGATTAAATCGTCATTTGAAATGATATTTTTTCATTTCTTTGAAACGATAAAATTTTAATTTTTTTGAACTAATGCAATGCAAAGTGAATTTAAAATTTTGAGCTAGGATACAAAGAACCGACGACACCGCAACTTCTATTCATACTCGAAGTAACAAAAAAATCTGCTATCCCCGCAAAATGCATTAATGTTAAAGATGCATTAAGGAAATTAAACAGGACATGCTATAACCATCCGAATTTAAACTACCTGTCAGATGACTGGAGTACATTCCTTATCTGAGATGGTCATAATCCCATGAACATTTCCGATTAAATCTACACTCATTTTTTTTAATTAGAAACTGGCTATAAGAAACGAGTACAGGACCGCTGGACAGTTAGTAAAAAATTAAGAAACTTCAGTACTCGAAGCAAAAAAATTAAGAAACTATCAAATCGTGATAAAACTGAGAAGAGCGAAATTTGGTAAAATCTGAAAGCATGATTGCTTTGTTGGCCTAGAACTTTAGACACAAAGGATAAAAATATGCTTCCCACATCTAAATACAGCATAAGAACGGAAGCGAATCTCTGGCTGTGATAAAAAGGTTCCAAACATTTCATAACATAGCATAATTTCGTAACAGTAGAAACATCAACAAGTCTAATTTATTGGAGCAATATCAAGGTACAACAGATAACTGCAAGAGTTTCGGGTATACCATGACAAAGACGACTCGGACAATTATATTTCTTAAGAAAACATTGATGGGATTGAAGTAGCTTTACTTTAGCTAGATTAGACAGACTGTCTTGTGTCTGTCTTATGAAAAATTAGAAATATAGATTCAAAGTCTCTCATCTTTATAAAAGTTCCTAATATTAACTAAAATTTTTCCCTAGCATGAAAAATCAAATATAGTGGAGCCCCAAATATAAAATTCATGAAAACATAATTTAGAAAATCTTAAGAAACAACGAGTATTGAAAATTCCAGAACATTAAGAAACTGGGGTACTTTGTTTCTTATAAAAAATGAGTGTATCGTAGTAATAACGCTGCGACCAAAACTCCAGGTTGGTTCGAGAAACGAAATTGTATCTCATTTAGATACAAGTAACTGTTCTCAATAATTTGAAATTATCATTGCTGAAAAAAGGACGTACAGATATCTGTTGTATCCCTCTTATCGCGCGGGCGTCCTCGTGACTTTTAGCCCGCGAAGCTCAAAACCGCGCGGTTACATCGACGGCCTAAACTTCCTCGTATTGGGATCGAGGTCATCACTCATTTTAGGCCAGAAATGGTTTGCTGCAGAAATATATTACATTTTCATAAAACAAATTCAAATTAAGCAACACTGAGGAAGAGAAACGAATATCAAGGAGCTTTTAACTAAAAGACTCTTATTCTGTATTTCTATCGGAAGGGAGAATATGGTAAACTTAACGAACATTTGCGCTGGCAGAGGACAGAGTCTAATTTATGGCGTTAAAAGAGGAAAGATTCCGAACTCTTTGCGACCAAGAGTCTTACCGAAGCGAAGAGAGCAAGGGCGTAAGCAATAAATCATTTATTTTATGTTATCTTTTTTATAACGTGCAGTTTTAAGCAGATTGCTGCCTGTTGACCTGGAAAGCAAAGGAATCATACAGGAGAGTATGTATTCCATGGCAGCAGCTGCACTTCCGAGAAATGTTTTAAATCTTAAGGAATTAAAATAAGGTAAGCACAGTGCAACTCTCAATTTTTGAGTTTCACTGATATGTAAAATTGATTTAAATAGAATCCAGACCGACATACAGGGCCAAAGAGACAACTTCTACATAGATGCAAGACTGAAAATTGCGTCATTTCCTACTAAGCTATCAGATGAACCAGGCCCCTTCCATACCTTCATTGCATTCTCTGTGCATTATACACAATGTTTTCTTCTGGGTACAATTTTAGGTGCACCACACTAGCCAGGATCCATGTTGCGTATCTGGTAAACCCTACTCTGAAGGTACACGTCAAAGAAAGTCCAGGTGTATGCCAAGGTTCATGTGTAATCATTACGCCAACCAACCCATCCTCATTTTTCTAGGGCAATTTAGTAATCCATTTGGGATTATGTAATAGTATACACAAACAATCACAGAAAAGGCTTTGTGCTGCACCAATAAGCCATGTCACCAAAATTGCAGTTTACCATACATGCTGGCAGATGCTTGTCTCATACTGGTGCCCAGGAGCTTTGAAAGGGGTTAGGAGGGGCAAGTTGTCTGAAGTCCTTGCTTTGATAAGGCCCGTAATAATCTTACAACATGTTGCTATCAGATTGTTACAAGATCTATTTGCGACACAAAAAGCGACTACTTTAAAAAACTGCATTCCACAACTACTACTTTCATCACCTTATATACCTTATATACTTCTGTACAATCATACTAAAACTCTTAAAAAGCTTTTTAACAATTGTGTAAAAGAACATTTCCATAATGCCATGGGGGACAGAAGGATGTGGTAACAAAAACTAGTGCTCTTGAGGGCCCTGCTGGTGCCACATCAAATATCATAACTCCAATCTGAATCTTTGATATTTGCTACATGGATTACACCCTATCCCAGAATTAAGAAAAATAAAGGCCAAATACAGGCTGGGAAATGCAGCACATCACTAATGCAACAACTGATTAGTACAATAGATCTAAATGTAATCAAAACCTGGGGAACCATGGTTAATGTGAGGGTTGTTACGATATGAGCAAATTGCAGCACTCTTTGTTGAGATTTAATTATACTAGAAGCTCTTCAGTCAAAATTTTCTTCAGATGGAGGTAGAAATTGTTCCACTGTGTTCATCTGAATTTAAATGAGTATTAAGAGACTCAGCTTCATATATGTACCTAAAAAATTGAAAAAAATATAGTTAAAGCAATTTAGGCTCAACTGTTTAGACTTTAGATAGCCCGATGGGCCAGATTTTTCAATTGTTAGCATATAGGGTGCCCATCTGACATACTTTTCTAGTTTTGACTAAAATACTTTCTCACCATTCTAAGGCTCGTGTTTAATAAGAAATTTCAACCAGTCTTTTTGCACTTTTGCACAAGATGATGCTGGCAACATACTATCCACACCAGCATAAATGTGCAACAGGCCCACAGCACCAAAACTTGGCATAAAAAGAGCCCTGATACACCTAAGATGATTGTGAAAAGTGTCAAACTTTGGGGAAGCTGGAAGTAAAAAAATTGGCATTAACTTGCTTAATGTGAGATATAAGTGAGATTAAAGATTTCTTAACTGTTGCTCTCCTGGTCTGAACTTTATCCATCAAATTAGCCATCAAAAGGCATAGCTAGCAAAAGTGTAGCACATTTTTTTGCGAAACAACCATGTTAATTTCAAGCAATGTTTATCTCTAAGTAGAGATTCTGTCAAACTTCTTTTCAGCTGACAATGGTCTTCAAGATACTAGAAATGACAAATTAATGCTTTTCATGCTATTCACCCATTCTTCTATCATAGCTGCACAATGGAAATTTACATCACAAAGGTCACAACAGACAAAATAATTTTCAGTTAGCAATATAAATTATTTGGGGCCTAATACCAGCGCCAGGGCTGTAAAAATATGTTATTTGATTTGTTAAAATTTCATTTTGAAAATGTAGTTTCTTGTAGATCTTGCCAAAAAAACAGAAATATGCAGTTTCCTGTAGTTTTTCCAGTTTTTGCTACATGCTAACAATTTGCAGTCTTGTTTCCATATCAATTTTGGATATATTTTGTTTTTGTATCTACAGAAACATCATGCATTGAGGAAATGACAAGAATGATGGGTTGCTTGAAAAAAAGCAAGTATAATGACAGTGAATGCTCACCTGAAATCAAAGACTTTCTCTCTTGTGCTGCGAAGGCTGTAAGTGCCTAGTATTCTTACATTCCTAGTTTTCTTTCAAGGTATACAAAAAGTGGGAAAATTATCATAGATACCCCAGATGGTTGTTCATTATTGTATGTCTTGCATAGAATGGAGATTCTCCTATAACTTTCCAATATACTTTTAGCTATAACAATGTATTTAATCTATTATCTGAATACAGTTTTGGTCTTTATGAACCTATCAAAGTTTCCACTTAATTATTTGGCTTTAAATGTCTTTTTTATAATAAATTATATTAAGATTTTATTTCTTTTTTAGATTGAAAGGAGAGAATCTGGAGAATTAAGACAAGAAAGGAGCACAGAAGAAATAAACCATTTATTAAGGCTGTATACACAGATGAATAACAGAATCACTTATAAGCCTTGACAAAATTCAAAAGATATATACATTATTTATTTCTAATTTTTACAAAAATCTTGAAACTATTGTTTTGTTTTGTGGATTTTTCTTTTCTTTGATTTGCTTTCCCTGTTAGAACTCATTTGAGCAAGTTCCATTTCTGTATCCCTTTGTTTTCTTCTTTTTCTTTCACAATTATGTCTTTTTCTAACAACATCCTGTCCTGCACTTGTAAAATGTTCTTCTTTAACACTTTTTCCAGTATATTTCTCTTCCCATTCGTCTTCACTTGAACTTTTACATGTGGAAACTTTCCTCTTTCTTGACTTCTTATCCATCTTTGTATGATTACTGTCTTTTGTTCTCAGTCTTTTGTTTTTCTTCCTTTCTAGTTTTTCAAGTTTCCTCAGCAATTTTCTTTTTTGTTTATCAGTTAATGAGTTAATATACTCAATTTCTGCTTCAGGGTCTCCCATTTCATCATCTGAATCAAGTATCTGTTGATTCTCTGCCATTGGATCAATCTCAGTACCAATTACACTCTTTCTAAGAGTTAGGCCATGTTCCTTTCGCATATCTGAAATTAATCTCAATGGATCACTTAAGCAAAGACTGTTAAGTGCAGATTTTGATTCCGAAGTATTTTCGTTATACTTTGGACATTCTTTGTCGACATTTTGGTGACCCCATTTTCCACACTTAAAGCACTTCACGTTTCGAACACAAACGCCAAAGGGTTGGTCGTGAACGTCTAGGCCAAGTTTATTTGCGTACTTCGCTCTCGGGGCGTTTTTCTGCCATTCAAATTTTACTTCTTCCTCATCTTTTCCGGTACCATCATTCTCGCAATCTTTCTTCATACCCGGTGGTAAATCATACATGAAATTAAGTCCGAGCTTTATTTTATCCTCGTCCTTTTTTGCAAGTAACATTTTGTGTTGATAATTTTGTTGTTCTTTCTCGTAAGTCTCTCGCATTTCTTGTTCCTTTTTTTCTTTTGCTAAAGTTCTCTGTTCTGCCATCCATCTTCGCTTTATGTTAGGATAGGATCCAGGATGAAAGAACTTCTTGTTCATAAACTTCGCAAACATTTTGATTTTATTTCAATGTGTATTGTAACTGAAGTACTGCGCCGGTTACGAATGGTTACAAAATGGCCTAGAATTTCGACAGCCTCTTTTTGACGCCCGAGTACAGGCGAGGTTAATTTCAAATATGATGCAAAGGAGGGAAGTTACCTTAAAAATTCGATTCAACCTCCCCCCCCCCCTCTTCAATATCTGCCTTTTCAAAAAGTCTCCTTCTTTAGAACAAGTTTTAAAAAAGGCACAAGGGCTAATTTGAGCTCTATTTCGGAAACCTCAGCTTTCAGAATGTAAAGTGCTGGGCAGCGCTAAATGGGTCGATAATGCAATAGTTAGACAAAATTGATACAAATTCTCTTCTATGGCGTTTCAAGAAGTGGGGACTGCACACCCCCAAGAGGGAACACATACCTAGAATGACACAGGAGTAGGGACTGCACACCCCTAGAAGTAACCATACCTAGAAGGGCACAGGGGTGGGGACTCAACACCCCTAAAGGTAACCGTACCTAGAAGGACACAGGGGTGGGGACTGCACACCCCTAAAGGTAACCATACCTAGAAGTGCACAGGAGTGCGGACTGCACACCCCTAAAGGTAACCATACCTAGAAGTGCACAGTATTACGGACTGCACACCCTTAGAGGTAAAACATACCTAGAAAGACACAATATCTGGAGGTAACACATATCTCATTTTCATCAAGAATCTTCAGATTACATTAAGCTTGGCAAAATTCTATTTGCCATTTACGTTGAAGGATCTGTACGGTGGTTAACAACGGCCACGGCACAATCTGTTTCCACAGCACAGGTGATCTTACCTGGTGAAAAGGGTGTTTGCAATTTACTGCAAGAAATATCTTCATAACTGTATTATTCAACTAAATTTTATTGTGCGAAGCAGCCTCTGTAACCATAGATAATTTAAAGAGATAATCTCCTTATATAAGTGACAGGGCCTACGCCACGAATTTGAAAAGGGGGGCCAAGGCTAGTAAAAGTAGGGGGCCAAGGCTTTTCCCCCTTTTACTACAGCTTTAAAACTACTTGGTTCGCAAAATGTAAGGGCATGGCCCCTTTCCCCCCGGTGGCGTGGGCCCTGAGTAAGTGCCTTTATTGATATTGTCATAATCAAGTTTTGAGGAATCAAGGCACAAAATGTCCTTTGAAGACGAGCATTTCATGTTTTTAAATTTGTTTGAAATTAAACCTAACTACAAGTTCTAGTCTGGTTTTCCACAAAATTAGTCATTTGTCAGTTGACAGTACAGTTAGCCGGAAACCTTGATACACCCTCTACTTGACTGGGGAAAACTTACTTGGGAGTGGCTTCTCCTTGTTACCACTATGTGGACTACAAATTTACCTGATCAAAAAATATTTAACCTGAAATTCTTTAGTTGCTATCACAAACCTCTGCAATACATTTTGTCAATCTAACTCTGTATATAATTCGCAACTTTCGTTTTTTTATGATAATAATGGACTTTCCTAATAGTTTTGTCAAATCTCTATATCGGGACGGGCAAAGGATATAGTCACTACCCGAGGCATGGTTGCCGCCGGAAGAACAAAAATTTTCGAATTTCGATGCATCTAGTTCCTTGAAAAATGCACTCTTTTGAGCACATTTCACTAGAGCAATCCTTTGGCAAGTCCTTTTGAAAATTATTTTCTTTGCAAACAAATTGCACAGTAGATAAAAACAATTGGTACAATTTCGCCGTGTTCTTGAAAAATACCATGTTGTCAGTTACTTCTAAAGCTAGGCAGCACTGGTTGTCAATTTAGATCCCTCTTTCCATCTTAGCATGCCTTTGAAGAAAATCTGCAGCCTATAGTGAGTTGCAGTTGACGCTTCTACCTAAAAACATTAGAGGAAATGTTATTGATTTTATGATAGGAAGGTCTCTGAAATACCCCAGTCTCTGAAAGCGTTTCTTCCACCGAGCGGATTTTACCTGAAATTTCCTATTGAGATACTATTTGGGAGATGTGACAACCCCTCCACACTCCTCCCGGTCGCGACGCCCCTGGATTTAACCATCAATTGGCTGAGCCGATTCAATATGGCTCATTAAACAAACGATTTGTGCACTATTTTTAGGTCGCTTATTGATCTACAGTCGTTAAATAAAACCCACGCATATGATGATAATCTGTTTCCATAATGATCGGACTGGGGGGCTTGCTTCTGTTCTGCTTCAAATGTTTTCTTCGAAAGATGTTTGGTTGGTTGCTCTAAATGCTGCATCCAGGGGCCGGTTACCCCGTGGGTTACCCCTTACGCTTGATTCTAGAGCCTCGGGGAGGGGGGTTAAAGGAAGTAAAAACCGGGGAGGAAATAGTGGAAGAGAGTGGAAACGGGAGGGAGAAACGAGTCTCTAGGGAGGCTCTGGTACCTACGGTAATAATTGCCCCTTCATTTGATCTGAAGTTTGTTATGTGTCAAAGACTTTTTCAACGTTTCATTTATGGAAGAGGACACAAAAACAGGAACCTAAAAGTGAAAATCGTTAGCAACCTTTAGGACTGTCAATTCCACTCATAATTTTTACCTCTTTTGAACAACAGAAGAACCTTTTTTTACGGATTGTTTCACAAGCCAGAGGCATATCAACTATTGGTAACTTACAGAAAGTATTAAAGTGAAATAGAAATTCACACCCAGGCATTTTGACGGAGTTTGATGTAATACAAGGTTGGTATTTGATAAAAAAATTTGCGATTGGCACCTCTCAGCCAACCATGTGGAAACACTTCAGGAGTCAATGCATCGAAAATTTACCCCAGCAAATTTTGAATGTCTGTTGTTTGCCATAAAGTTCCAAATTATTGTATAGTTGTAGAATATGTCATGATACCAGCTCACCAAATACGATTCTCTTAGACGACATGATCGAAAGAAATACCATTTTCAACTGATAAAGTGTTTTATTTTATATTTTCTTTCGACAACTTTTTACTTCCCTCAACAAAAAAAGCTTGACATTTTAGAAGCCTTTACAAAACTTTAATACGACTACTAAAATCAACAAAAACATTAGAAACCAAGTTCAACGTTTCCGGAGCCTACCTTCTTATAAATAACAAGGTGTAACGTACATTTGTTGTTTACTGAGCTATCAAAACATAAAGATTTTCAGTACAATCAAGAACACTAGCCGTATGTTCCATAGACAGTTTGTTCAATATTGTTGATTTTAACATGTACGTGACCCCCCTAAATATTTACATTTGCAGTCGCGATTGAGGTGAATTCTACATTAATTGAATTGAATTTTCAACATAAACAGTAAACAGAAACTGGTGATCGAAGTTACAAGATGTGTGATGGCGACACGAATAGAAGGAAAGACAAGACCGGCAAATTTTGATCTGGGATTGCCGAATGAGAGCTCAGAGGAACACGAAGACGCGCCATCTTGCAATGATATCCACAGTGACGAAAAATGTTCGGATAAGGATGTCGTGAGCCCGTTAGAAAAAGAGTACCACGCTGATTTCTCAAGCACCCACACTCGGAAGCGTAGTGTCTTGAAAAGGGATGACCGATCGCGGAAACCTAGCTCATCGCAAAAGCGGGTTTCATTTTCGTCAGGACCATCAGAAAGAAGAGTCTCTAACGGTAAGCAAGTTTCCTAAATTTATCCTCCATTTTTTACTTTAATGGCTTTACCTAAAGGTTATTCTTTGACCCCATCAAATATACGGGATGTGAATTGGGAAAAGGGTGTGGGGACCCATGGGTTGACGATAACCACGATGCGCTTGATAAGTTTACAATTCTATGTTTGTGGAGGACATTCTGGCAATTCCTATGAAACCAGCATTGATTTCCAACGCGGTAAAACAATTCTAATTCTTTTGAAAAGAGATTATTGATTTCTGACGTCAAGGCAATTCTCAAACAAAAATGTCATGGTTGCTGAGCTTTTATCCAATTTCCTATTTGTCTTCGCTTCTATTTCTGTGGTTGAAGGGTAGTCAGAAAGAATTTTATATTGCATCTTCTCATAGATGGCATCGCACATGCAACTCCAAGTCTCCAAAAAAGATACACTGAAAACTGTCAAAATATACAATAATGTCACCTGTAAAAATATATGCATATCCTTGATTAAATTCGTGGGCTTGATCAAACCTTAAATACTGAGAAAAGTTTGAAATGAACTCCGTTCAGGTTGAAACAATATTTATGGCTCAATGTCATTCCATTTTGTTCTGTATACATTTCAATTGATGGCAGGTCAATAGCCACATTAATGTTTTTGTTTAGAATGAATTGAGTTCAAACATGTTTGATTAGGCTAAAATTGGAAATTTTTAACATAATTCATTTTTATGATGGTTTCAAGCTACAGAGTTACAAGAAAATAATTTCAAACCATTTAGTTTTCTTTTTGAAGTTATGTAGCAAATCCGATGAAAGCTTTTCTCATAACCCACAAGTTATTCCTAATTGTATAACAGTTTTGTGAACAAATCAAAGATATAATTATTGCTTATAAAGTTAGAGTACTGTTAAACATAATATTAGATAAAACATATTCAGGACTCTTACTAAGTATGTAAATTAACACCTAAGCCTTAATTATTCATTGATGTTTTTACAATCAAAGCATATTTAAACACTTTCTTTATTCACAATGCAACCTCTGTTTACTTATAGATGAATAAAATTATCTTTGCAGTTTCTTTTGACACTCATACTTTTTAAGACATTGTAGCCCTGACATATGAACAAAATTAAAATAAAGTTGTTTTTCAAAGTAATTAGATTTCATGACATAAGCTCAGTCTTCAATTTAAGCACCCACTCTAAATGTTTAATCATAAAGTGTGCTTGCAAGCTGCAAGACCAGCCCTTCAATATGTGAAATGTGAGATACTTTCTCTTTTTTCATATTTGCTATTTTAAGCTTTGACCTATGTTGCCTCAAAATGGTTGTTTTTGAATGACCTGAAATGAATGATGAGTTTATATATCAAGGCTCAAAGTAGATTAAAAATCTAAAGTTTGATGATCCTGTTTTGTTCATTGTTACAAAACCCTCTAACATACAATATCTATAAGTTTGTTGATGATTTTGGTACTTCAGGTAAGGTCAAATTTAATCTTAATGTAAATTGTACAACCATTCTTTTGAAGTAAAATGGCAGATGATTAATCTCCCAGGCTTTCACAGTAATGTGTGAACTGCCCAGACTGTCTTGGAAAACTAAATCTAAAATAAATTAACCTGAATTGAAATTGACATGAAATAAAATATCTCACAGGAAATCAGAAAATGTGTGCATTTAAGTCCAATGTTTTATGTACTGAGACCAAGGTGTACATATGTGCCAAGGAAGATTCAAAACAACTGAATTTATAAATGTGGTTTTCTGAGGTTTTGATCACTGGTCAGTAGAATTCTCAGTTGGGCCTATTCTGCCATGCAGTAAATTGAATAATACAAAATGCTTGACATAATGTTTCTATGAAAAGGTGGTCTCATCGAATACCTTGATTGTGGAGTACTTTGGCTATATATACTATGTATTTACATTGTATATAGTTTGAATTCACCAGAAAGACTTTGAGTTTGATTTTACCCATTAGAAATCCGAAGTAGAATGTTTGGCACAGATATAGCAAAAATATAACTTTCTAAACAGAGGGTGACCAATGCCCCCTTGGTTTTCTTTATAAGATTTAATATATTATTAAATTTATAATTAGTCTTAGTTTAATTAATCTGCAAGTGCTCACATAGCAATAATGAAAAATGTAACTATCGCAATGAGGATAGGAGCCCCTAACCACTTGTTTCACCATGTCTCCAATACTGCCCCAACTGCTTTTCCAGAAAGCCTTGAATGTCAAAGTTGAATGAAATTTCGTAAACCTGATGAAAAGATACAAGGGTATTGAATTCTTAGATATTAGTATAACATAATAAATATATCAGATAGGCAAATTGATTGGGACAGGCAAATTGTTTAGGGTCTAGTCTAGTACTACGAATTTACGTGGTTTTATAAGATTTACTTGAAATCCTTTAGTTGCTGACAGGAGCCTCCGCTATACATTTGGTCAATCTAGCTGTATGGCGTGTTAATCGCAACACTATTATATAATAAAGCAGACCTTCGAAGTCAATCCTTAAGATCGGCATATAGGGACAAGCACAGGATATAGTAACTACCCAAGGCGGTGTCATTTGTGTTTCGGTAGAAACGCATATTACACCCGCACCATGTTTGCCGCTGAAGGAATGGAAAATTTCGAATTTCATGCTTTCAGTCGGCTGGAAAATGCATACTTTGAAGCAAACAAACCAAGAACATGCAATCGCTTAATAAATCCCCAGATCTGGTACTGCGAAAGCAGCTTTTTATTTTCCCAATCGTACTAGAAAATATTTTATTCTTGCAAACGGATTTTTGCGCAGATAAAACGGCAGGGACAAAGGATCTGGAGCTCTTTTTAACTGCAGGTGACGCTTCTTCAAAAAAAATAAGGTGAAATTTTACAAATGGCACACTTTTACCCAAGTGGGCCTGGATTCAGTGCTGATAAAAAATCTCGAAATCGTCAGCGTTTAGTTTTGGCTACCACCAGGAGAATGTAACCAGCGGAGCAACTACTATTGGCTTAATCATTATTTATTTAAAGACGTGAAAGTCTCCAAATTACCTGAAACGTTTTCCGTTGAAATGATGTAACCTGAAATTCATTAGCTACCACTGGAGGGTGCTGTTACACCCATACACCCCTAGCCGCAACACCCCGAGCCCCGACACCCCTAGCCGCGACACCCCTAGCCGCGACACCCCTAGCAAATAGTTCCTGTGCTTTCGAAAAATTTTGTTCAAATTAAGTAAATTATTAAAAATAAGTTCTATCGCTTTAAGTAGATGTCTGAAAAATTATTTTGCATTATATATATTAACACAAAATTTGAAGGCGTAGCGTGTCGTTGGTTCCGTGATTGATCTTGTACAAATCAATGGCAATGATTTAGATCAAGACGCGGCCTATTATGCGGTTTCTTCAAATTGGATTGTATCAGTTGTCCAAAGTAAATATCAATAATATATGTTCGGCATAGGTTTTAGTTGATGAAAATGAAATGATCGCGTTTTAATTCCTACATTACCAAAAATGATGATACCTTTCCCGCAAAGATGGCGAAAATTCACAACACCTGCGCATTTCTAAGCACACGTGTTGCAGAAGTTGTACACAACAACTAAATAACAGCACTTTGGATTAGCAAGATTATTAAATGAAAAACGTCGAAAGAATCTCTAAGCATCGCCATTCGCTAGATATGAGCATATCACTTCGGTACCGCAAAATTTGAAGGTTTCCACGTGAAAAGATGATTTCCTTTGAGTTACCTTTGGAATTATGATCTGATACGATTGTCCTTCGTCTGTAACTTCGAGCTAAAATAGAAACTCTTCTTGTATTCTTTAACAAACCTATTCCTAGAGACCAACATCCGAACGTATGACCCAAAGTCGGGGCCAAAGTAGCGATGCCATGCCAACATAAGGCCATGTGACATTTCTTCCCCGGAACTTCTATATTTTCATAAGAAAATTTATAGAATGTTAAACGTCTAAAGCATTTTCTACAAAATTTTTATGGGATGGAACTGTATAGATCGAGAAATCTGAAACTAAGTCATATGAATTAAAAAATCCTTCTTCAGACAGACTTCATTAGAAAGGCCATCGTTGGACTGGCCTTCTTTAGACAGGCCTACAGGTCTTCCCCTTTACCTCGTTAAATTCAGTTTTCACCTTGAAAATGATGAAATTGCTGCATTCAACGCCTGACGATTTCTTAAACCCTAAAAAGTACTTCGAACAGGTGGCTAGACTCGAAATGAACCCAACTCTTATGTGAATCGTTGATAGCTGTATAAACTTGGAGATCCTAGTGCATTAGTTTAGGAGGCCTTTTCTAAACTCCAGCAAGCTACTTTCCGAATAACCGTGGTGTGAATTTGAAAGTCAAATTGTCAATCTAAAGGGGCCAGATACACAAACTTTGTAAGAATTCTGGCCTCGAAAACATTCCGAGAAGTGATTGGGGCAAAAGGACTTTTGGTCTGGAATTTTCAGAGAAGCATTCATAAATGCCCCCTTCTCCCTGCGTTAAGCGAAAAAGGCTTCAAACCTGAGAAGTGATTGAAAACTTCTACATTGCTTTTAGCATAGACCGCTATTGAAGTGGATAAAAGGAAAGCGCTGGCGTTGTCAATTGCAAGCTTTAATTTAGGAACAGACCCTCTCAGCACACACACTCTCTGTTCTGTCAGCCAAAGTATCCGATAGTGGTTATTGCTAATTTTTTCCGAGCGTGTGTGCCTTTTCTCAGGCTGTCCACATTCCCTTTGTTTTGCCCATTTATAAATTTAGATACACATAAAGTTTGATTTCTGTAGGCATTACATGAGCAAGAAGTGATTTTACAAATGAATATCTTTTTTCTACCACAAGTAAGGCAGCAGCTTCGTATATATATGTATGTATAACTCGCCACGCTAAAAGTATTTACAAGTTATAAAAGTTAAAAATAATATGATATATTAATTTACACTGAAAACAAAAAGATAAGAGCCTCTAATTTCAATGGCATGGATAGCATTAAAAGGTCTAGCTGACGATATTTCCATGATATTGATAAAGGATTTATCGCACCAAAAACGCGTAAAAAACGTGCATCTTTGACAAAGTATTTGCTGTGTGATGGAAGACGGGGGGAGGTGCATCAGTTTGTTGAAATGAGTAATAAAAAGGTAGCGAATTTCTCTATAAAAACAAGCCCAGGCTCTCTCGCTATGAGTACAATTTTCTGTAGTTTTTCTGACAGTCAGTGAATTTTTTCAGTGATATTTTCAAATGGCTATTTTTGTGAAGCACGTATCGTTTCGTTCATCGATATTCCAAATGCCGCTACACTTTTATCTCTATATCAAACTGTTTCGCTATTTTTCTACTTTGAAGCTTCCTGGACAACACCATTAGCCATTTATTATTCACATTTATTGTTCATATTTCTGCAAACAGTAAGGACGATATTTTGTCTACTGAGCGTTATTTAATCTTCTAATAAGTCCGATTTGTGATGCTGTTCTCTTTGCATGCTGCGAGATATCTTTTTCGTGTTTTTATTCGCGCCTATCGTTATCCGTTCTGATTTGGGATAATCAGCTGGCTTCTGTGAGTGACAGGGGTGGCGGCTGGTGGCTGACGGCTGTGATGGTGGCGGCTCTGTTAGTTTTGAGAAATTGCGTTTATCAAATACCAAAAATTAGTTTCAATTTACTTTTTTGAAACCAACATTAAAAAGTTTCCATAATACGACAAGATATGCAGATGATCATGTTTGTGGTAATTGATGATCATGATGATGATTACGACTCTAAGAGAGTCGGTTTGTGAGATTTGTAGCATACTGCCTCTCTCTGATAATATTAAGGCCCATAGAAATTGCATTGAACAGTTCTTATATGATCTTCTTGGAAAATCCCAGGACCTTCTACCCTCGCTTCTACCCAGGATTGTAGTTTTATGTTTGTTATTATCTTGCTTCGAAGGTAGTTTTCAGACACTAAGAAGCTTAAACGAATCGAGCAGTTTTCTGGTCCTTCCTCTCAATGTTACCACACCTCGTGACTCCTATGCCTGGAATAATAGAGAGCTAACGACTCCCCTCCCTCACTTTGGATGGGTGAAAGTGTGGTCGGTGCAGGGACTCATACCCCAGACCCTTGTTCTGTTTTCCGCAACCCTAATCGTTGAGCCATTCTCACCTCTGAAGATTACAAGCCTCATTTAAACACGATTTATCATGATAATCATATTCTCAATAATTCTGTTCCAGCATCAGACTGTTACTCTGTTATGCAAAATGGCACCGAATTTCTTAAACTGCGGCCTGGAGGTCGACAATATCAGCGATTTTACCAACTCACACCGTCTTTGGACCTTCTTATTTGGAAGCCAAGCTCAAAGAAACCCGAAAAGGCTGTCTGTAAGTTATCACTATTCGCATCATTCACGTCGTAACTTTTCGATCTTGTTTTTTTCTTTTTAGATAGGTGGCATTAAATTGATAGAGAATTTGCTGCATCCTTTTATTGATATAGCTGCATAGGAAAATCTATTTTAACGTTGAAGCTGAATAAATTTTCTTTCAAAAGAATTAGTGAACACGTCGGGTACACTTCAAATGATTTCCCCATGCAGTGATAAAATTATCTAATGAAAGATAATGCCAACTTCATTCCTAATAACCGATTCGTTTAATGCATAATTTATTGTAGGCTAACAACTATAAAGGCATGATAGTAATGGCATTGGCTGATAGTAAAGGCAACTACAAAGAAAACCTATTTTACAACTTTCATTAAGTTACATTATGCTAAAACACAGTTGGAGATTAATTATTTTTACAGAACATGTAGTTTTAACTGAAAACAGTTTTTTAAGGATATTGCAGTGTTTGAGCTAGTGGGATATTTTTGTAAGAAAAACTTTGAGGAGTAAATAGAAAAATTTGATTTGACGACGCTATTTTTATCTAGTCTTTGGGGGGTGATAAAAACTGATGTGCTAGAATGAAACATGAACCCTAAGTTGGGTTTTATGATATTCTAGCTTAGCGCAAGAGCAAACCTTATATGTTTGTTCTATCAATTCTTGTTCTTTTGCCCTAACTGCAAAAATCTAAGTGTACAGGGGATGAACCTGTTTCGAGGTTTGGGGAGGGGCAGTGCCCTCAATCTAACAATCAGTGATGAAAGGCATTGTCGTATTTTGCACGTGTCTAATCTATTTTCCCGTTTTTTGCTATAGACTCTGACAACCATTATTTTTAAATTCAAGCGATAAAAAATTTAGTATCAGTGTATGAGGTTAAGAGCGCTGTTAACTGATAAATTATGAACACAGTAATGTTTCGAAATCGCGATTTTGCTTTTTAAGATTTTTCAGCACCTCTGTTTAGGGTGGGATCAAGTTGGCTTACTGGACAATGGGTATTTAAAAATGATATATACAAACCATTCGTGCCGCCTTCCACCCTTCTAGAGAAAATGTCGTGGTTGCAAAATTTACCAATTTTTAAGAACTGATTCAAACCTTAATCCGCTATGTTCCCCAAATAGTTTATTTCAACTTATTCATGTCAATGATTACAGAACCATCTCAGAGGTTTTTTCGTGGCATTTATTTTGTGGGGTGTTTTCCTCGACTGAGAAAATCTTTTCTTCAATTGTTATTAAACAGCATTTCAAAATTAAGTAGGATTAGGGTCCGAAGAGCCCCTCCTTGATATTTTCATCAGACATGGAGGTATGGCAGTCCTGAGTATGTTTTTAAGGATGTTTATGAGAAACATCACTGTATCAAAAATGCACCTTTGATTAGCTGTTGTATCGTTTAAAACTAAATCTTTTACAAGCCCAGAATATTTGCAATTCTTTTTACCTGGGACCTTTTTAGTGGAGGAGTCATCGAATCCAATGGATATTTTTTTTATTTCTATATTCTCATAAAGTTTTGCAAAACAGACAAACTACAAGACGATGCCACAGGGAGCATGGAAATATAGCAACCCTATGACCATTATATTGAACATTGTTTACTTGAAATTAGAGTTACATTAAATGTTGCAAATTAAATGCTACAGATGAGTACTAATAACAAAGAAAAAATTTACAATTTGGAAGTACAGTTCGTGGGGTTTAGGGCAATGTAATATTCTTTAGTATTTATTATATATCATGCTAAATTTAATTGGCATCTTTTAAGCTTGATACACTATTTTCCGTAGTACCTGTTGATATGATATACGAAGTCAGGGCGGGTAAAAGCAGTGCCATTTTCAACGAATACGGCTGCGATTTCCGAGAACAGTGCTGTTTCTCGATTGTCATTGGTTCAAGCTTCGATTCAATTGATCTTGTTGCTCGCACACCAGAAGATGCTAAAATCTGGATTGCTGGAATTCGTCTTCTTACACGAAGAGGTTTGAAAAAGCTTTAACTTTTGTTTGTACTTTTTGGCCAATTCAAATATATTCAGCAACCTCTCTGAGAAAATTGGATTCTAGTCAAATACAGAGGAGCTAGTCGCTTTGATAAGTGACATCTCTGCTATGAAATATTGCCAGTTTAGCACTCGTTACTCACCCCTGGCCCATGTCATTGTTAGGCTGGTGAAACAGTACTCTTGAACCAGAGATTTGACAGTCATTTAAAGAAGCAAAAGTCAATTGGAAATATAACATTTGCAACTCAACTCTGGGATTCCATTAAAAACAATTCATAACTGCTTTAGGTCAGAAATAGCACTCTTATTGATTACATTCGTTGTTTGATATTCTAAGTATGTGAAAATCTTTTTTAGCGAAAATATTTTTCAGTGAGTTTGTCTTTGTTATTGCCTTTGTAATAAAAGCAGCTTTTCGTCTTAAGTTGCGCTCAGATCTTGAATCAAAGGCTCATTTCAGTTTGCTTTTTTCTAGAAATTGGAGGCGATTCGTGTCAAGAAATGAGAGAACAGTATCCTTCACAGTAAATTCTATTGCTAATTAGAATTTCCTCTATTCATTTCTGTGTAATGATTCTAAGCTTTCTTCGTAATGTACTGAACTGCCAAAGAGGCTCTTAAATTAACAATTTTAGTCATTTTTAAGTAATATATGAAATTTATCGAAAGCAGCAAGGGTATTTCCAGGTCCTGTAGTGAAGAAGTGTATTTATTCCGAGGATTTTGAGGATTATGGTTTTTGATGATTGGAAAAATGACTCAGTCAATGACTAAAGAATTGACTAATAATGACAGTCTCAGTGTTGCAAATTTCACTACTACGAAGAAGGCTCTATGTAGCATCACTTGCTTTCGTTGCAGACTACCCAGGAGTCGTTGGCTTAAACATCAAATTTTCTTTACATGAAGTACCCCAAAGTTCCTGATGTTTAAATAAACTCTCCACAGGAGTTTAACCTGAAGTCATCTTTTATTATTCATTTTCCTGTGTTTTGGTGCTGTTTGCAAGCGAAATTGAGAATTCATTGAATTCAATTCTAAAGTGCATAATAAGCCCTGTCATTGTATTTCGCTAGCAGGCTTGCTGAAAAAATCAGTTTATTGCTTTCACTAATAAAGCAATGTGCCTGCGCGATCTTTAGCTGTAATTTGAATTCTGATCAAGAATGATTAAGAGTTAGAGCTTCCCACCTGTCTCGTGCGAAACGACAGCTTTGGAAGCTTCATTTAATGGGCTTTTCCTACCAACTAGCAATATTTCTTTGAATCTAGCTCCCTGTTTATGAGGTAGATTTTCTAGATAAGCGAAAAAGCAAGTTGTTATGTCTGGGGAACAAGCATGTCATTTCTATGGCTAGTTTAGAATAATCAAGTGCCCTTTATTTCAATTCCTTTGAATTGAAAATACCGTCTCCTGTTTGATTTTTAAGGCCCAGTTCAAGGGGAGTTGATGTAATATCTAGATGTTTGCATTTTAGAGCATTTTCTAAATCAAAGCGATGATACACATTTAAAGTTGTTTGTAAGATGGCCCGAAAATTCAAGTTTATTTTCATGCGGTTCCAAGTTCGTTATGCCGGTTTTGTGCCATCTTTAGAGCTAATGGGTTCTTTTAAAAACACAATAGTTTCATTGAGAACGCTTTAGCTGATCAACATAAGCGTCCTTTTTTCATGGACGGAGCATGTATATGAATTACTGCCATGGGGGTTCCCGCCAAAGTAAGACCTCTTAGTCAGTTTGCTGATCAATGTTAACTGCTTGCGAAAAGTTACATCTTTAGAAAATACAACATTTAAGGCCAAATGATTGATAATGCCCTTTTTAAGAATTAAATCCAAGACACCTCGCTGCGTAATTTGCGAAGGTGTGGCCCATAGGGTTGTCGATTGTTATGATGCACCTTAATGAAATTAAGGTGGCTGGGGCAACAGTTTCAATCTGCCGATGTCAATGATAAAAAGGTTTTAACTGAAAAAGAGGTTACTGCGTTGGTGAGAAAGATGAGAATAACAGCGCCTGCCTCGATTATCAGACAGAAGTTCCAGGTGAGCGCAAAATTTGCATGTAACTTTTGCTAAATGAAGGCCCTGTGATATCTAGGACAGTCGCAGAATCTTAGAAGTATCATCCATGGCTAAATTCTGTTTTTTTAAATCATTTAGATGCGGTTGCCGACTCTAACGACAGTATATGTTTATACTTGTGAGAGATGCGAGGTCGTAGGTTGCACACCTTGTAAGCAATATATAAAATCTATGGTTTTATTAGGAACAGAATGGGAATTTTATCATCATCAGGTACCATCTTCTATCAGAGTTTTGGTTTGTTGACATGGTCATAGATAAAACTAAGGGGCTAATAGTAGAGATGGGCCCCCAGAACCACCTCTACAGTGTTTTTAAAGGGACACCATCCCTCTCTCCAGAAGGTCTTCCGCGCGAAGCCGTTGAACTCTGGAGTCGTAGCTCATCCGCCCTCATTGCCGGTCTCCCGCCGAGTTAGCCGTTGGCCACCGCTCTTAGCCCTGAGCTAGGGAACCCTGCCAGTTGGTACCAGCCGGGTCAGGCTGGACCTGTAAGCAAGTGGAGGGAAGGGACGCTTCAATTTCCCATTCATGTCCTGTCGGAGCATGCCACTGCCCTGGGGATTTGCATAGCCAGCGGTATTTGTGCAATGAAACTGCTTGTTTGAAAACAGACCCCTTTCTGGAAAATTTCAAAAGAGATGTTATGTTTCCCAAAGTAAATTTTATATACTGTTTACAAGTTGCGATGAAGGCCTCCACAAGTTGACATTCAAAGGCATCTAAACATAAAAGTGCTTTTAGCTTGGGAAATACCCAGACTCTAATACTCTCAACTGTTTTCAGAATCCAATTATGTCAATTTCAGGAGACCCTTTCAAAGAGCTACAACCCTGCAAAAAATTCGCTCACCAAGGATGAGTTTATTTCCTTTTTCAAAGATCTGACTACAAGAGCAGAAATTTATTTTCTAATGGTCAAGTACGTATTGCTCATATTATTCCTTAAGATTCAATGTACATCATAAATTTTGATTTTAAATTTCTCACCATAGAGTAACTTTCAGGGCAATTTAACTGTGAAACATGATACTCGTAAATTTCCTTTTTTCTACAATGTGACGTAAATTATCTGATAAGACACTGTTTTTAATAATTTTTCCTTTTATTTATTAATCATACGCCCATGTATTTTTGCTATTTGTGTAAGGCGTATTGTTAGCTTAGCATAGTGACGTCCAATAACACCTGCACACTCGTGGGCTTTCCTTTTTTGTCATTTAAGCGCCTTTACAGACTAACGTTTTCATCAAAAATTGCCAGGCAGGTGTTCAAATGATGCAACAATATGATTTTCAGGTATTCGAGCACTGGGAGGTACCTCACCACTGATGACCTGCTGATATTCCTGGAAACCGAACAAGGGGTAAGCATCTGTTTCAATGTGTTTTTTATTCTCGGCGAATCTGATTGAAGGAAATAAACTTTTTAGCCAACAACATCCAATCAAATTGATTTTTTATTTTGACCAATCAGATTCTGCATATGCGAACAAGCAGCTCTAATGGCAGTCTGATTTGTCATATGATCAGTATCGGTCATGTGATTAACACGAATATCTGATAGTTGTTCGCGCATTGATTACACGTGATTACAACTAGTTGTATGGCATTTTGGGATTAAGTGTGAGCAGTCTACGAAGCAAAACCAAGAATATACAGAATGCTCGAAGACATACAAATTAGGTAAAGAAAACATCAAGCCTAAAACCGGAATGACAAGTCAAACAGTTGTATTCATAAGGACGCCAAGTAGCAAGTTTTATCCACACGAAACCGCTCTTCTCCACCATGGCTTGTTGAGTGATTTTTGATTAAGTCTATGGCTCAGTTCTTCATTTTTCACCCGAATATCCTGATTTTCCACTTCTAGCTTCATCCTCTCTTGTCGATTCTCTGTTTCCTGTTGCCCTAATTCCATCATTTGTGTCTCCAATTCCTGATTCAGACTCCGGATCTCCTTCACTTCGCTTGCAAGGTCTCCTTTCTCCTTTTTTAGTGCATCTATGTCAGTTGTCAAGGCAACAATATGCTCCATGTGTTTTCTTTTCTCAGCATTCAAACTGTCGTTTGCAATCATGTATTGTCTTTCAAGCTCTTTATTTGCCTTTTGGATATTTTCGATCTGCAAAATTAGTTGTTCATATATCAATCAAATCAATTTTAGAACTAATATCTCTTAAATTACTTTCAAATGGAAGAAACGAAAATTACAAAACGGGAGTCCTAGCAAAACTCTTACAAAAGTTTGCTTGGGTTAATTTGATCGAAAGAGCTCCTAGAACATGGACTCCGGTGCAGATTGGAAAGTGAGGGGGGGGGGAAATTTAACGATCATAACAAAAGATTCTAAACAAGGCTCTAATGTATTGCAGAAAAGTGGATGGATCATGCCCGCAGGATCAATGCGTAGGTATTATGTGGGCAGAAATGGCCTCACTTTTTGCAGTTGCATCTCAAGAGACTTCGTGTTGTTGTTGTTGCTGCTGTTATTGTTGCTATTATCCTCTTCCGCTGCTTCATCTGTGATCGCTCCCGAGGTTGATCTTTCAGCCTCCGCTCCAAATTCTTCACTTACGATTTTCAATCTTTCTTGCGCGGCACCAAATTTACCGCTAAGTAGTGATTTTTTCTCCTGCAACGAGTCCAGCCGTTGCTCGGTGTCAACCAATTGCCTCTCCCTTTTCCGTATCAATTCTTCTTGCTCTGCCAGTTTCTCCTCTACCGACAGTCTCTTTTCTTCTGCACATTTAATTTGCCTCTCTAGTAATTCCTGTCTTTGGTATTCAAATTTCAGCTAGAAAATGAACTGTTTTTACTTAAAATCATGCACAATCCATTGCCTTATTCTCATTCATAATCCTAAGCTCGTGTGGAGTATTATAGTTCTGGAATTAACTAACTGTGTCGGTATCAAAGAAATGTCTGATAGTGAATTTTGTTATTTGGAAAACACTTGAAAATCAACAGAGTCAAGAAGGTTTAAGTCCTTCTCCGCCAAAACTTCCAAAGCCTTTCTCAGATCAACAATAAAAGCCAAGTGTGGAATGGGTGTTTGTCGTTGATCGTGTCATCGCAAACTTTTCTGATCATTTTCTTTCTTTTTAGGAGCACTTTAGCTTAGCCTATGTGCAAGCAATTTGAAACCTTAAAATTGTTTAATAGTTTAAGTAAAACGTTATATCTCTGTGGTTAACATAACAATTCTGAAAATCAGGGGCGGACACTTGATCAAATATTGGGGGGGCAAGCCTATTGTTTTAATAAGATGACGTCACATGTCCCAATGTTCTAGAACAAAAGACCATTGTCCTCTAAAGTCCCCCCACCTCGCCCCCCAAGTGTCCGCCACTGCTGAAAATGCTTGCCTACCTTTACTTTCAATTTCTCCGACTCTATCTCAAATCTTTTTCCTCGCTCTAAAATAACTTCCTCCAAGGCTTTCATCACTACTTCACTAACAAGTGCTTTCAATGTCACCATTTCAGTTTCTTTACGATTGTCTTCCCTCATTCTCTCCATTTCGTTATCCATGTCTTCTTTACTCTGAATCAATTCCTCAATTTTCTTCTTCAATAATTTATTTTCATCCTCAAGTGCTTTCTTGTTTGCCTTGTGGAATTGTTAAAAGTTTACATTTAATTCCATGTTACAGTAAGGCGTGTGCAAAGAACCATGTTATAAAGCTACATAACTTTTTAAATTTCCATATAACATATGATGTCAGAAATGCTAATGCCAGAAAGACTACAGAAGGCTATAACCCCTCTAGAATTACATTAATTTATGATTTGTGAACAGTAATCACCTTTATCATAATAAAATTATAGGATAAAATAGGTTCATTTTTGATGTTTTCTAGATCAATTTATTCGACAGAGGTAGAGATCTCCCTGGTAGCTTAATTATTTTTAAACTGATGATACCCCATTTTGTTTTTTCCCATCAAGCCTTTCTTTGCCATGTTAGTGGCAATTGTTTCACTCGTTTCTCGTTAAGACTTCATCAAACATCCTAAATAGCTTAATTGTACCAGAGGCGTGATTTAAAGAACATTTCGACATACCTCAAAGATTTCTATCCCACTATCAGTGCTGGCACCAATTTGCTTTGTATCTTTTTCAATTTTTGTATTTGTCTGCTTCGTGAAATTATCGCTCAAACAGAAACAACTTTCCTTTTTGATCACCTGCTTCTCGCTGGCCACGGCGGCCAACTCTTTTTCTCCCTTCGACAAACAACATTGTACATAAAAAGAGCCAAGTAAATAAACTTCTTGAGCAAAAGTTTCTAATGACAGTATATGAGATGTATGTGCAATAAATTGAATAAATATCAACAAGAATTAATAACAACAAGAAAAGAAAATAAAACATTGAATATAAAAGAATGGAATGGAAGACTTGCTAGTACTAATGGTAAGCAGTTTTGGTTAACATCAATATTACCATACTTTATTATCTGTCTGTTACCTGACACCCGATGATAATAGCATTTTTCTAAACAACCCCTATATCCTTCAATAGACATGAAACATACAAACTTAATTATGTCTAAACATATAGATAGTAAATATAGATTTCAAAACCTGATACTGCAACTCCATTTCGCGTTTTTTCACTCCACTTGCTTCCAAAAGCTGCTTGGGCTAAGTTGAACAAACCTTCAACGAAAAATCCATTGAACAGTGAGATAATGAATTACCTAAATGTATTCCAAGAAATTGATGCTGAAGAAGCATACTGTGACCACTAACCTTTATAATAGGATTCATTTTATTTGTGTTACAAGTTAGCAAACATAGCTATAGTCTACAATAATAGTGCATTCATAGTTTCGTACAAAAATTTTTCAAAGGCGTAATTATTTTCATTTTATTATCATATACCGATCACAAGAAAGACAATTTTGATTTGTTTTGATTGAAGTTCGGAGCCCGAATAGCTTGTTGTCTACTGACATTTATACAGTAATAGTTTGTTTCTTTGATTTATTACCATTTATGTCTATTCTTTTCTAGGTGTTTCTCTTAACCCGACCTTTTTCTCTTCAGACAAGTTACTATTATCTTTAGCTCAATTTGAACCGTTTATTGCAAAACTCATCCAACCCTGCATGAATATAAAATATCTATCCTCTAAGCAGAGGGAAATTTATTGAACGCCATTTTCATATTTTGTAGATGACTTGGGTTGGCAAGGAATATTGTTTGGAAGTTATAAATAGATGTGAACCAACTGAAGAAGGACGAAAGCGACAAATTCTTGGCATTGATGGTAAGCATTTCTTACAACTTCTCTTCTCGAATTCTCTTCCGATTCAGCACTTAGGCCCTACTCATCATAAAATAAAGTTTTGTGAAAGCAGCAGTTTACAAAGAAAATGTTAAAGAATTATTTTCTGAATACGTACTTGTTTTAGACAGTTCCTTCTATCATCAATTCATATCTTATATAAATTTCGTCTTGTATCTCTGTCTTATAATATATTGTAAGTTTGTAGAAATTTTCATTAAAATCTGTAACAAAGATTCGAATTTTCGAACCTTTTGTCGACAGCACTCGCACTTCGAACGGCCAATCGCAGAAAAAAATTAATTATTTAAATAATGCGACCAAAAAATCATTTTTCCTTTTTTTTCACCATGTATCGTTGCAACCGAAATACGAATGACACTTTGATAAAACAAATTAAAGACGAGCTACAGCTTTCTATTTGGAGAGGCCAGCCCTGACAAACAAGTGTAGAAACAGCCATTTTTTACAAAATTAAAGTACTTTACTAATGTAGGGTAGGTTTTAGGTTATTAAGTTTTTTAAGGGTAGCCTAGACCCCCCCCCCCCAGTATCTCGATCCTTGAAACCCCCCAGTAAACTAAATATTTTAAGTTGTATATATTCTGTTATTAGACTGCTAAGATAGTTCGGACAATGCAGGGCATTTGTACAAAAATATCTTATTCACCGCACAAATAGTGTTTCTCAGAATCGATTCCCTACTATCCGGTTAAAAATGTTTTTCTTGGTTCCTAAAAAGCGATGCGCTTTGATCTCTTTGGGTGAATCGCTGCCCAGTTTCTACGGTTCTCCGAAAAAACATGACCTGAAAATCAACAGCTTTGTGACGCGATTAATAATAGTGTCGGCGAGCGTTAAAAAGAGCATATTTAATTTCATTTCATTTCAAGATAATGATTTTTGGTTGGTTTGCATTACAGGATTTACAAGATATCTTATGGATAAAGATTGTGATATAATTTCAACTGACGAAACGAAGCAAATAACACAAGATATGTCGCGCCCATTATCTCACTACTTCATAGCTTCTTCGCATAACACGTGAGTTTTCCGCCGCTTTCTAATTTCGCTTCGAAATTATTAAAGTATTGTGTTCTCGCATTTATCAGCCTTGCAGAGTTGGAAAGCAGCAATTGGACCTATAGCGAAGAAGATGTGCAATGACATTTTTTCCAACTTGATTTGGCAAAATTATATGAGCGTGTACTGTGAACCCCCTGGAAAAAGAGTGTCGCCTCCTAATTCTTTTGTGTTTTGTTTTTCAACCAGGGCGCTGCAACATTTAGTTTGATTCTTCTGTCACATGATTCGCACATCAGGACTTTGCCTTTCTATAAAAAAGTTGATAAACCAATTTTTTCTATTTTAGAATGTTATCCTCTCTCGTGCGATTGTTCTCTTTTTATCATTTCTCATGTCGGACTCAGAATAAATTTCTGAAAGATATTCGAATTGTTTAGCAAATAATGCGCATTATCACCCTGCCTCAGGCAGCAGAAAAATCACAATGCGATCCTAACCGCAGTCGTATCATAATGGTTATTGACTGCTTTCTGTTCCCTATTAACTGCTTTCTGCTCCCTATTAACTGCTTTCTGTTCCCTATTAACTGCTTTCTGTTCCCTATTAACTGCTTTCTGTTCCCTATTAACTGCTTTCTGTTCCCTATTAACTGCTTTCTGTTCCCTATCAACTGCTTTCTGTTCCCTATTAACTGCTTTCTGTTCCCTATTAACTGCTTTCTGTTCCCTATTAACTGCTTTCTGTTCCCTTGAAATGCGAGCTGTTAATTTTGCTGTAAATAGATTCAGGAATGTCCGTGTAATTAAAGTAGCGAAATATCGATATTGTCAGCAAAATGATGAATGATGCCATAGATTGTTTTAGAGTTTTAGTCCCTTACCTTGTCCACAGCTTTTTTTGTTTCTCCAAATGGTCAAAAAATGCCAAAATTAAGTTTGTTTTCACTGTACGTTAGTAAAAGAAATGGTGTAGGCCCCTTCATGACACATTCTTATAGGAATATTCACAGGAATGTTAGGTTTTTACGAAACTTACACAGGAACGTAAGTTTCTACTCGTCATTTTTCGTAGATATTTGCTTGAAGATCAGCTGACTGGAAAATCGAGCATACAGGGTTACATAAGGACGCTACAAAGAGGATGTCGATGTGTAGAACGTGAGAATTTGCTAGAAAACTTATAAATTTACAAATCCCTTTCAATATATTAATTCAAAATTTATTTACTTGTGCGAAGAGTCTCAATCTGACTGTTGCTATCCAAAGTGAATTGTAACTTTGGATAGGAATAATGATAGCAATAATTGAATCATGATAGGAATAAGAGTAAACTCTGCAGTTTTTTGGTATTTTTCAAATGCTAACTGTGTAAGATGGCGATGTTGCTTTTCAACGGCTAGATAATTATATGCAAAAGGCTACCAACAAGGTTCCTTTAGACAATGGAATGGTTAACGGGCTCTCTTATCAATGGTTCTAAGCATTTTATGATTGCTCTTCTGGATTTTGCCTGGTGCAAATTCTAAGAAATGTGTTTTCTGCATCGGCTACCTCTATATGTAAACAATCAACTTTGTCTGTTTTATTCGATATAAACGCATTATTTTTTTGCAGTTGACTGCTGGGATGGTCCAAACGGCGAACCCATTATTTATCATGGTCGAACGTTAACGAGTAAAATAAATTTTTACGACGTTCTCATGGCTATCGATGACCACGCCTTCGAAACATCAGAGTAAGTTGAGACACTTAATAGCTCATCACCAGCAATTTACAATCAAGCTGCTCGTAATTTTCTCCAGCTCTTTAAGTTTCTGTGTACAGATTTTTTATGCTGTACTGGTTATAAGAAACTTAACTTGCAAACTTGTTTTGATTATGCAATGAGATCAGAAATATTATCCTAGTTCACTATTTATATGTTAAAAATATCTGATGCACTTCTTTTCACAACTTTTATTTAATCAACGATCTCCATGAACTTTCTTTCTTGATGAAAAATTCACCAGTCCCTGGGCATAGTAGAGCGAAAGAGAGTTCCTGTGGGGACTGTTTAAATGATCTGGGATCTAAAAGACCACTGGGAAAAGGGCAAGAAATTATTCAAGTGGTTATGAGAGAATAAGATTTTACTAGTTATTTTATCGACATCCATCAGAAGCAGTAAAAATATGCACCGAGAATCGGTGAGTTAGTCAGAATGCAAATCATCCTCCATCGCAGAGGCTAGTTCACCTTTCAGCACTCTTTGTATTGGCACGAAAAGCTTTCTTCTATTTTGGTATTTATATTTTGATTTTTAGATATCCAGTTATTCTTTCCCTGGAGAATCATTGCAGCCCCAAACAGCAAAAAGTCATGGCTGAATTTCTAGTTGATGTCTTCAAAGGTATTTTTCGGCAGCTTCTCTGCTGTACTGGCAACCTCTTATGATTTAGAACCAAAAAATTGATATTTATTAATTTATTCTGTTGTTTTAAAACATCACTCAGCATTGTTACTATTCTGGAAAGCAGTCTATTTTATTTAAGTACTAACATCATTTGAGTTAATCTCTATTTTCTTGATTACCGATCCTTAACTAAGTTCCCAAAAAAATTGAGAATTAAGAGACAAATCTGAACCGAAATAGATATGTTGTACAAGCATTGTCTTGAAATTGAACTAGAAGTAAGACCGTATGATCATTTCTTTGCAATATTTTCCACAATGAAAGTTACAAATCTCAAAAGCTATGAATGAAACCAAATTGGGAATTCCTTATAAATACTTTGTATCCACTGCTTGTAAGGCTGTTTAATGCAATACATAAATTTGGAGGAAAAGTTTTTGTCTCCTGTGACAGGGTCTAAAAAAGAAAAATATTATTTGCAGCCATGGGGCTCTTATAAAAGAGGACTGGGTAGCCAGTTGTCAGTCATTTTGATACATTCTAGAAGGGTGAAAAAAAATTTATAAACAAATTTGCTAAAAGTTGAAAAAATATTTTTCTGTTTGTTAGGCGCATTTAGACTAGTCTACTGCGTGTCGTCGGAGTCCAGAAAATTTGTTAACCTTCCTCCAAAACATCCCAGAAGGCAAACCTTCCTCATAAGACAAAATAAGGTGGGCGTGGCTTGGGTGTGTCATAGGAGCTTCTTTTGTTTTTCGTAGACCTTCCTCCGGTCTGTGGCCGTGCGACCGTAATGTTTTCCTGACTCTGCGTGGTGTGTTATCATCTTTGAAGCCTGTTCAGCTTGGTTTGCTTGCTATTGCGTACAGTTTAGTTGAATAGTTAGCCTACCCTCACCCATATCGTGTTGTCACAGCTCATATCATTCTCCGCTATTTCGTAGATAAACTCTTCACTTCTCCAGTCAACGAAAACCTGAACAATTTACCGTCGCCCGAAAGTTTAAAAGGCATGATTGTTGTAAAGGTATGTTGTTTTCATCCGTATTGATTACTTTATTGGCTATTTATCTGTCTTCCTTTAACATTGTCTCCCTTTCCTAAATGTCAGCGCCCCTTAAAATTTTGATGACTTCATGCCAAAGTCTTTATGAGAACTGCAAGTCGTTCTCACTTTTTGTCAACGGCTTAAAAGCGGTTGCTCGTCAACAGAATCCGAAACTCCTGCAAAACAAGACGTTTAATGATTTATTGGATATAGAATTAATTTGTGTATGCCATAAAACGCCTCATTCACATCACTACAACTACTCATCTTTTCTTTGTATTTATACAGAACAAGAAACTAGCAACTTCTGTTTCCTGTGACGAAGGCGAGGTCAGTGAAGAAGAGGAGGACGAGGCTGTTGCTTATAGCAACGGATCTGACAAAGAAAAATCTTATAACGACAGCGAGAAAAACGGAAACCTCACTTGGACATTAAAAAGCAACTCAAAAAATTTGAAGGTGCAGATTTTTACAAAGTTTAAGAATTTGCTTTTTTATCATATTTCTTCTAATCATCCCATTTTTAATACCCTTTCAACCAACTCAAGTTGGGAAGTATTGTTTCTTACAAAATACTTCTTATTTAGGTATTTTCTTCGTCTTTATGCATTTGAGCGACAATTTCCTTGACACCCCTCTCTTCCTTGATCTTACAACTCAAGATTTGCTATTCTTTAAACAAATATTTATTTTATTTTGCAGCAAGGTGAATCTACACCCCATAAAACCATTAAACTGGCAAAGGAATTGTCTGATCTCGTCAACATTTGCAAGTCTGTGTCCTTTCGATCTTTTCAGCAGTCTTTTGAAAATCGTAAGTCTTTTCCAATTCCTAGTTGCCTATTATCATTGAAGATATTCTGTCTTTGTCTTTTATACCGATGCCTTTTGTAGACCAAGCTCTATATCTATAGTTTCAAGATAACTCGCAAAAGTGAACACTCTACGCATTATTCTAAATACTTTTCATCTGGTTTTCCTCTTAGCCAGTGCTCGATAGCCCTGAAGCTTCATGCTCTGAGAAAGAAACGTGGCTTAATTTTATGAGTTATATTTCATCTTTGTTGTTGCATCCTGAAATTTTATTAAGCAAAAGACTTGTGCATGGAAAGCTCCTTAACTAATGATTTTATTTTTACTGGAGCTAGTTTTGCGAGTATGCAAGTATCCAGTCAATATATGCTGTTTTATTTTAAAATTTATTTTAAAATCGTGTTTTAATATCGTGTTTTGGATATATTTCAAAATGAAGTGTCGTATTGGCAGTCAAGAAACATTTTTTTGTGACTTTTTGAACTGCATTGAATCAACCTTGTCATTTCACTTTCATTTGAATTTTCGTTTCATTTCTCTTTGTACATACAAGTTTGGATGTTAAGCTGCTAGGCCTACATATAAGTTTAGGTATTAAGGAAGACTTTTGAATAACAAAAACATCATCAAAATAATTTATGCAGAATTATAGAACTGGAAATATTTCAAAGTGAAGAACCATTCGAAGGAGAACCTGAAGATTTAGATGAATGGAAGTAATTATTAATAAATTTCAAGCACTTTAAAGAGGCTCTCGTTATTAACAGAGAAAATATCGACATTACTCCGAAAGGTTTTTTTTGCAGAGAAATATTGGGAAATGTGTTCCATCGGAGAAACAACAGCTAGGAGGCTGTGCCAAACTGCACCGGAAGAATTTATCAGTTACAATAAGCGATTTTTGAGTAGAATTTATCCCGCTGGCAAAAGAGTTGATTCTAGTAACTACAACCCACAGGAGTTTTGGAATTGTGGTTGCCAATTAGGTAGGTTTAACTGTATTTTAATGTAATTCTTTGTTTGCTCGTATTTTTAGAATACACCTTCTTGTTTTAACAGGGGCTAGAACTCTAGTACAGAGCCATGTTTTTATTTCACTGCCCTCTTCTTTATAGATTTAAGTTCTATAATGTAATTTTCGTCGAAATTTATTCTTCTTCTGGTTACCTCGTTTACCAATTTCAAGAATAAATGCCAAGACACTTTTCTTAGCAACATGTAAAATACTATCGAATCATACTTTGGTGAAATATAGGCATATTCATACTGAATATTGCTCGAAAATTTATTAAAGCATGCATAGTGTTGATAAAAACAAGAATCTTTTGAATAATTTTACAATCCCTTGCAAAGTGGCTGCCGCACTATCCGATTTATAATTCTCAAGGGGGTCATAACAAGGAGATACCTAAGTATGCTTTGTTTCCGCCTTGCCTCGCTGGCTTGAAAATTTCCTTCCTTTTCCTAAGTGGCTTTGAATTATCAGTACCCCGGACTGGCGATGGATTTAAACCGAGGAAGGTTTTTACAAAATGGCAAAAGTGGATACGTTTTAAAACCTGCTGTATTAAGAGAAGGTACTATTTTGACGTTTTCTTTATTTCTTTTATCATTTTACATCTGAGACTCTTGTTTTGTATTAGTTCAAATTTCTTCAAGCAATTTATTGCCATTCATAGTTTATACACTCTCTATCTATATGGTCAGTTAAATCGTACGTAAATTCTTGCTTCCTCCTTACCTATGTGTTCTATTTATTTGTGTCCTATCATTTGCTGTTATTTTCTCACAGAAATCGCATACTACAGCCCGTACATGAAAGGAGAAATTCCAGGAAATTGTTCTTTCAATGTTCAGTTGAAGGTGAGGTCGAAAGCTTTTCATTTAAAGCATCTGCTCCACATCCCTAAGTCTATCATTGGATTGCAGCCTCATCAGACAGCCTGTGGCTTTGTAAGAAGGAAATGTCATATTGTACATCCTTAATTTTAGACAGCAGAATGAATTTTCTATCATATTTTGTCCTGTGAACTAAATCACCATACAGGAAGCTATGGATGATTTCAAAGCATCTATGAATCAGTTAAAAGCAGAAATAACCCACTTTCCCACAATACCACAATAAAGTGCAATGGAAGTGACTCTTTTATCCAATAGGATGAATTAAAGAAATAATATGAATAAAATATATCTAACATTTTGCCTTTGCATATGAAAGTATAGAAATTTGTGCAGCCACTTGATTTTTTCTATTTTCCTGCTGTTTCATAATGGGAAACATATTCTTCATAGGAGATGACTCGATTTTCGTTTTGAGAAAGGTTAAGATATATTGACTGAAATACGTTCTTAATAGAAAGCACGGTGTCTTCTACTCTGCATGAAATTCTAAATTCTGAGCAATTTCTATAAACTTTTTGCGTAGATTATCAGCGGTCACCAGTTTCCAAAACCGAAGGGATCGACGGCAAAAGGAGACGTAAGTAAATTAATACTTTTCCGACGTCATTTAGATGTATATGCAAGTTTGAAAAATAGCACGAAAAAGCGGAAACATGAAGCAAGTTCTTTTCGTCCGACACTCTATTTTCAATTTGGCCGTATGTGTATCATTATGAGTCATAAGATCAGTCATTTTTTACGTATATTTGTTCTTAGTAAGCACTTAAAATGTTTAAATAGCAGTGTTTTTGAAGGATATGATACCGAAACTTGTGAAGCATATAATTGACGGCCTACTTTTCTCATTATTGTATCTGCTTCCATTTTAGGATGTTGATCCATTTGTTGTCATAGAAATTCACGGCATTCCAGCTGACTCGAAGACTTTCAAGACTAGAACAGTTCCTCACAACGGTATGCTTTTGTTAAACCTAAAATCAGCAAGCTTGATCTCATCAACCCTCTCCCTTTAGCCTGCTCCTCCTTTTCTTTGTTAGCATTTTGCCATAGGCCCCCGGGCGACTCCCTTATATCTGCAATATTTATTGTTCTTATTTTTTTAGGTTTTAGTCCTGTTTTTGACGAAACCTTCGAATTCCATGTCAATTTGCCAGAACTTGCACTGATTCGATTTGTCGTTCTGGATGATGACTTCATTGGAGATGGATTTATCGGCCAATTCACGATGCCTGTCGAGTGCCTACAATCAGGTAATGCTCCGGAAAACTATGAATTTTATCTTAACAGGGATATTTTGCTTCAAATACGATCAATGATAGAAAATGTAGTATCCCCAAACAGAAACCAAACAGAAACCTAATCCGGTTGGAATCGCAGGACTATTAATGTTAAGTTTTCCAAAACACATCTGAAAATGTATTACTTGAGCCTTTATTGAAACTTTTTGATCAATGCCTCCATTCAGAGTCCGTAACAATTCCCTTTAAACTCGTATTGAAACGAGCATATTAATTCAAGAAAAGTCAAAGAAGACATCTGTTCAAGTTATTATGTTTGGTGGTTATTCTCATTGCGTAAGCTTGCACACCAATTGTACTTTTAATCATCCACCTGTCTCTTCCCTTCTTTTTGTTCCAATTAACTTTATTTTGCACCTTTCTTTAACTTTCATTAACGGTTGTCCTTACACAAATTTCCTTAAAAATAAGCTTTTAGGGTTGATTTCAAATGGGTTTTCGAAAATCCAGATTATTTTGTTTAAGCTTTTATTCAATGCATGAAGCTCGGTCTGCGAAGCAGATAAAATGCTTGAATTTTTTTAATTCGCATTTACCTTTCTGGTGACAAACAGACGATTTTGTTAAACACAAATCCAATCTAAAGAGGGGAAATTGTGGAAATTATGGTTGAATCAATGGGATCAATGGCAACGATGATTTCAGTTGAAATTTTAAGCCTGCTCTTTTAATGAACTGTATTAAGTTAAGGAAATGAAATAACAAGAATATGGCAAAGAATTAAAATGTTTTTAGGATGATTAGGTGTTAGATATGTTAGATGTAAAATTTGAAATAATTGTTTGCTTGAAAGTGATTCAATGGGTTCAAATGATTTCGCTCAAAGCAAAAAAGATAATTCATAAAAGCAATGTATTTGTTTATCCTCTCATTTTCTGTCTAGCATAAACATTTACATCAATCAGAGCATCTGTTGTTTAGAGTCGATGAAATCAAGAGAAGTTTCAAACAGTTGTAGCTTCTTATCTCAACTTTCTTCGACTGCCTTTATCACTTCGGACGCCGACTCACATGCTGCAGATAGTACTATAGATAGGGCTTTGTTAAATGAAGATCTATTTTCACGACTGAAATGATTGAAAATTTTATCCGTATTTTAATCTAGAATAAGATGCGAAAAGCTTTAACTCGAGAACATTTTCCCTCAGGGTATCGTATGGTTAAGCTTTCATCAAACAATGGAGAAAGCTTATCGCCGGCATCGCTCTTTGTCAATGTAGTTGTCACAAAATCATATGATGTAGTGAGTACAGCTTTGATTATATTGAGTGGCATTTTCAATCATGTAAAGTATCTGATCTTTATTCAACTACAATCACTGCTAAAATTCCATAGATATGCAGAAGGGAAATAAGTTGGCAGAAACAGAAATTTTATTCGTGTTCCAAAACGTTTGGCAGTGATCGTTGCGTGAGCTGTTTTGAGCCGGCTTAAGTTTGGGTGTTATTTTTTTGTGTCTTGAATTTAAATATTATGATACATCTCAAATTATTTCACCCATAACACGAACTCATTGAATGCAAGATTTGATTTTTATCTTCTAGCCAACACTGAAAATCCAGCGGTTCCCGTTCGTCAAATCTTTACGAAAAAATAAAGAGGTTTGATGATTTATCGTTTAGTTTCATTTTCTGCTCAGGTTTCTGTTCTCATATTTCATTGTATGTAGACTCTTGTTCTCTTTGAATTGTTATCCTGATAATGTGCACGTTATATGTACTTCATTTATTCATCATTCTCCCTGCAATCCTTGCCAAAATCAGTCTGAAGATGACAATATGCAAGTTCAAAAGTTGACACCCCATGACTTAACGGCCTGTCCATCAACATTGCCCCTTAATTGTTCCCCCGTTTTCTGTTCAATGTTGAGGTCTTAATTTGAAGTTTTAAGAGTAAAACATCAATTATCATCGATCGACAGCCATACACTATTAAGATCAAGTAACGTTGTTTTCGAAAGAGGGGAAAAAGCTTTCAATTTTATTGATCAATTCCTCCCGATCTCTAATTACCCTTTTGCCATATTTTCTTCTATTTTTCAGTTTACTAGCATGAAGTCGGTTGGAATAAAGGCTATTGATGACACATTCAAGGTTTGAGCCAATAACTTTAATTGATGTGATTTTCATTGATTGGTCGATGTGATCTGCCCTTTTTCTTTTGTCAATTTGTTTCGCTGCGATGCTACGAACGTAAGCTCATCCAGTGTAGACAAGTTAGCAGAAGCTCATTGTTCTTCGAAATTTTCATTTGTTTTTAGTAAGACTAAAATCGTTAAGACTTCTTGTCTACAAATTATGCAGATTATGAGATGCGGCTGGTTAAAGGAAAGTAAGTGATCTGTTTATCACAATCAATTTTGTAAAGGAAATTTTTCTTTTACAACATTTTGACCAAATCGTGTAATGTTGTTTGCAGTTTTCAATTCAACCTTTACGAGAGGCTGCAGTTCTTCGGGAAAATTTTCAAACAAGTTTAAATATATTCAAGGTAAAGAGAACGATAAATTCCTTTTGTAATCCTGCGTTTTAGGTTCATTAATAACAATGCTCGGGAAACGATCACTTTTAATGACATCTTTGTGCCTAAGTTTTCACTATTCTTAATCCAAGAATAGAAAACAGCAGAGGTAGTCTACACTTTTTATAAGAATAATTGAAGCTCAAAAATGCTAAAGCACAAGAATAAAATGATACATGGCCAGGCGGAAGTCTTATCAAATGTATTTGTCTTTGATTTTCGCAAAATTTTTAAACTTTAATAGCATTTAAAACTCACAGTAATACGACAGCAAGAAAGATGATATTATGTTTTGAATTTCTCCGAATCATACTGGGGCTTAAGAATTTTTTCTATTGTTCCATACTAAGAAATATATGCCTGTATCATCATTTGGAAGTAATTTAAGAATTTATCTATGCTTGAAATCGAGAAATGTTAGATTTTCGGGGCTCGAAAAAAGTTTTTCCATTAAAAACTGTTTGCAAAATCATGTCTTTTGTACTCTGTAAAGAAATCCTTGATATATTACCAGTGGTATTTTCGGTAATATTTCAATCCTCACCTTCTTAAAAAAGATTGAATTCAGCGCAATATGTTGTAAGTCGTAAATTCAATTCATAATATAGCGCTTTGTTTGCTGTTTTCTATATTTCTATATTTCTGGATTTGTTCTCCTCTGCCCGATTCCATCCTCTAGGTGAGCTATTCATTTATTTCTAGGACTGCTGTGGCCTTTCTCCGCGCTCCAATTTGAAGCAATGTATTCGTTTTCTGTCGAAAAGGGCTCTGGATATGGCCGATGGAAACATTTTCATGGTTGTCAATCAAGAGGTTTGTTTTTCTCTGAACGTTTCACGTCTGTCACCAGAGAAAATTGCATTTCTGAACCTACATTTCTCTGTAATACAAATACAAATTTCTCTGGGCAACTTTTTCACCCCCAATTGTCGTATTATGAAGCGTTAAAAGTTATTATTATCAACTTAATGATAACGAGACAGTGACAGTGTTAAAACGAAAAACTTTTTTGTTTTTTAAGTACCCGCGTTTGGAAGTTGAAGGAGATCTACCGCTGACCATGCAGCGTGCAGTGGACGCATACGACCAGGTACTATTGATTATTTGTTGGCCTAATTTACAAGATATTAATTTATTATTTTTCCTTCAAATGACTATTTCTGAAAATTAAAATGCTTTTCAAAATAACCAATATTTTGTATTTTAAGAACCAACACAAAACTTGAACCGGTGTCCAGCTAGAATTTGCATATAGGCATAAAGTCGAAGTTAAGCATGTAGAGAATAGGCGTAAAGTTAGGCCCGAAGCAATGTTGAAATTGACAGCAAGATTCAACCAACATTAAGTTATAATTGGCATTGAAAAAAGGGACAAAAATGTCAAGTTAAGGGGCAAAAATGTCAAATTGAGGGGCAAAAATGTAATTATCACAGCAAAGATAAAACTGTCGAGACATGTAAACAGAAACCTTTGAGATCAAGGATTTACCGTGACGCTTTATTAATGGTTGTCTTTTGTGTGTTTCAGCTTATCGAAGAAAGTAGAGTATTAATAGAGAATTCAAATAATGTATTTCAAAAATTGACACATGCAAGGAGAAGTGCTCTGGAATGGCATGTAAGTTTCTTTGCTTAATTTAAATGCCTAATTTTGAATAAAAAATTTATGGAACATTTTAGTATTTTTGATGATTTCTACTATGTGTAGCATCTACTCCGAATTGCATCTTCTGTTCAAAAACAGTCGAGAATCAATTTTACCTTCCATATTCCATATTTCCCTTCTTTGCAAAGCAGCTAGGTCTTTAACTGCACAATTCTTCAGCTCCATCCTGTGTGGTTCCAGTGCATTGGGGCAATGCCACAAAGGGTTAGAAAATGCTAGTATTTTCTCGTAGTAGAAGCTTGGTTTCTAACTCTATTTAGCTCATATGATAACTAATAGAGAACGAGAGACCATTAGAACATAACTCTATCTGCAAAATGGCACGAAATAGCAGAACTAAGACGCGTGTGGCTGAGATATTCTTTCCATGTGACACTGTCAGAGTAGAAAACATCGAATAATAACCAAAGATGTTGTGATTACATTCAGTTGAGGATCGCGTCTTATGTTTTCGCTATTTCGTGCAATTTAAAGAATTATGCTTTTGATTTTCCTGCAATGTAATTACACAAAACCCCCTCGTTTGTTCTCTAAGTAGAGCCAATGGAAAATAAGCGGATATGAAAGGCATCATTTTGCATTTTCAGTAAATTCTCATTTGATTTATTTTCCAGGAAATTTTGCCAAGCATCTGTGCCCGGGACAAACTGAAGGAAGCAAGAGCAGCGAAGGTTTCGAACTTTGTTATTATCAAAATTTCATTTCCTGGGTTTGCTTTAGCTCTTGTAGGTACTTTTTGCCTTGTGGTTTTTGAGATTGCTTTTCAGAATAAACAGGCTAGTAGTTTGTCTTAGTGCTTCGTGATATTTCTGATATCTTAAACTTGCGCCTACTCAAACAAGGAAAACATTGCCTACAAACGTACTTCACGTCTTTTGTGTGCAATACTTTCGATTATGTCCAAAACCCAAGCAATAATTTATTTCCAGTTGCAGACCGAAAGTACCTCGAGACTTCTAACCAATCCGCAACCAGTTACCCCTCGCATACACGGAAAGTCCCCCAAGAGAGACAAATATGTCCTTCAGTCTGCCCAATTCGATTTTCATTTTGTATTCCAAATGCCCCCGTGCTTTTTAAGTTTGTCCGTCTCAGAAGCTTATTTGGCTTTCTGATGTTGTTTTTCTCAGGTGATGGATAACTTTTCGTGGAATATTCGAGTAATGAAAGGACAAGCTGACCTTCTCAAATCTACATCTACAGAGTGTCAGGAATATCTAAAGCAGGTAAATGCTACATTGAGTGAGTGCCTAAAAAAGGACTCTTCTTGTTGTGTTGACGCTTTTGCAGTCTTGATGGGCCTTTTTAAGATCTAACAAAGAGTTAAAATTATCCCTCTATCCAACCTGCTTTTCGTTTTTAAGACAATAGGCTATTGTCCCCTTTTTAAGAACACGGCTCGGCTAGACCTCTTGCTTGTTACAAGGGCGTTGTTTCAAGATGGAGTCGTTCTTCGTGGAGTTGTTACAAGATGTCCCTTCCCATACACCAGGACTTGCAAATGTAGTAGAATATTAAAGTTATTCGCGGTTTGTTGGCCTTACATAGCTTATTGTGTTAAGTTTGTACAGTTCTGTTAGATTTACTTCCCTTTTAATTTGTTTTCAGTTTGATTATATTAATTTATTTTTTCTTTATTTGAAGCTTCTCCTTCAATATTTCAGATTCATGAAGCTGCAATGACGGCAGGCTTGATAAAATCATATTCGTATAACTTGTAAAAAAACATTGGTAAGACGCGAATGTGAAGTCGAAGAGACGAACTGATTGCGTTGCAACCAAAATATCAGAGAATATAACAGCATCGGATTCGGTGGAAATAGTGGAATAAAAATCAGTTGCTGGTGGATGCTTTTTAAGCAGGATTGAAGCAATTTTTCATGGCATGGAAGAACCAGGTTTCTCCAATGGTACTTGATGTTTAGATGCATGAAACTTGAGAATGAGCTAGTGAATCTTCTGATGGATAAGTCACCCCCGTTCCTGTCGTCAAAGAGATGCAGTCTGATGTCAGCCGCGATTTTGCATGCTTTGGACTATAATGTCTTGATGGGGGGGATGGCTAACCTATTAGATGCATTTCCCGGCTCGTCTCTCTATATCCATCAATAAAACTTGGCGGGTTGGATTCGATAAATGCATGCTGGGTAGAAAGCAAAACGCTGGTTGCGCCAGTTATGAACTTGAAAGACCTTGGAAGAGAATGGAGCTCTTTCGTACGGCATAAGTTTTGAATATGTTTTGCAAATCAATCTTGATGAAATCTTACATTTTCTTTTATTAAGCTTTTGCAAGTTTTTTACTTCGAAATGACGTTTTAACTTAGCCTGCAAATATAACAGCTAAACATCCACCCCCATCCACTGACAGAAGCGCCAATATTTGCTGTATTTATCCTAATGCAGAGGTAAGGTTTCAAAAGGAATCATAATTTTAATGATTGCATTCGTTTTTTCAAGAAACTGTTCTCTAAAAATCGAAGCAAGGTTTCTTTTTTCTGCCACAATTGTGTTTTATTCTTCGGCTCTATAGAATAATGTTTTTTGCGGAAATTCTTGGAAAATTTTTTACGGAAGATAAAAACCGACTGTACTGTACCTTTCTTGAGTCACGAATATAAATAATTTTATAAATAAGAATATAAATATTTGCTGTTATTGTCCCTTATTTTTTAGATATTTTCTTATAAATATTCAAAGTAACAAGCAGAAAAAAGCTCCTCAACTCAAATTAACCTTCGAGACTGAAAAGTGTAATAGAATCAGAAAAGCAACAAATGAGTGTAATTAAACCACTTGAAATACAATAGATGGATGATCTTTAAAGAAAAACGCATTGTATTGTATGTAATCGAAAATTTCTTGTGAAATGAAGTTCGCAAGAACTCTTGTTTGGGTTCAGATGAATGAATAATGAATATAGTGAGATCTGTAAATATGTACATATGTTTATTTTCATGTTCAATACCTTAGACTATTTATTGAATGAAAGTAATCATGATTAAATTACAAGTTTTTCAGTTGTATACTATTTTCGTTAACATCTTATACGCTAACTTTTATCATTTTACTAGACATCCGATAATGCCTTTATCTTTCAAATTTCTAATTTTGTCAGCTATATCAAGCCACCGAGTCATTATTTAGAAATCTCGGTTCAGTCTTCCCCACAGGGGGGGCTAACCCATAGGTGGAACAATCACCCTTTAAATATGCATTTGAATTTTACAGTCTTTTAAAGAATTGACCTCTTTTTGAAAATCCGCCGAGGCAGCCCCGTTTTCGTAACATCTCACCTGTCGCGGCTTTTAGGTTGTTAGTGAATTGATCCCATCGTCTATACATTTATAATTCTTTACTAGAATGGTGCATATTATTTGAATGAAGGGTTGCAGGGGAGTTTATTATTAGTTGCGCTAGCAGTGGTGGTGCTATCTGCAATACTAGAGAAATGCAATGAGACAATGCCCTTTATATAAAACCACACATTTTCGGTGGAATTTTAATGCTACATTTTTCTAGAAGTTCTATTTTCCATCACCAAATATAAAAAACTGTAACAAGGAACCCTACCTTGGTGCTGTCACTGCTAAAGTGGCCTTGGGTTTTGAAATTAATTTTTAAATCTTGTTTTGAAATTCCAAAGTTCTTAGAATTATAAAAGTGTATGAAAATTTTACTAAGATCCGCTAGACCTGTTAAGCCAAACACGGTTCATAAAAATATCTTTTTAAAAATGAATGTAATGGCAGCCCTCAGAAACTTCGAAAAACTCTCTTATTTTAATAGCTTATATGATAAAACTAATTATTGCAACCAAATTGTTTTTCTTTGTCTCTGATCTCTTATGTAGCCGGAATGCCGAAACGACATAATAATATGCGATCGCGATAACAAATTGTAGCATCAAGATAGTTAAGACCATTCTTAGTCGTAACTACATTTCCGAACATTGTGCGAAGCAATTCGAAATTCCTAACCAGTAATTTAACAACTAGAGCAGTTCGAATTAATAAGGAAGTTGCAGCTGTATATGATGTGTGTATGCTTGTTGAAGCAGTTTTCAATACAATATCTTTTAATTTGACTGATTTTTATGGCGACAAAATGTCAATACAGCTTAAAACACAAAGGCAGTTGAAGTCAAAGGGTTTAGAATGATAATTTGAGAAATGGTGGCAAGAGCTTACTATCTGTGTTATTTTAACCACAAATTTACACATAAAAATTTCAGCGACACTTCGGTTAAAACTATTTTTCCAAATTTTGTAATTCAGTCATTTGATGCTGTAGCTTTTATGATACCTCGGAAATACCTTATATCAAGGCTTGAATCGACTTGGCTTTCATCCCCTTAATATTCCTGATCTCTTTTATACCCTTGATACCACTACCTTTGAGCCAAAGATTTGCTTATTAAGTCTGATTCCACAGAAAACTAGTTGCACTTAACAGTCATTCAGATCCCTATCGTTGCCTTTTTCCCTTCATTTGATCATGCTTATACAAAACCTGACCTATTTAACAAGCAAATTTATTGTTTGTAGGAATTGGAATTCTTCTGGCATTCAGAACCGTTATACACGTCGGTACAAACAACGTGTCAAATGAACTTGGTATGCTGTTTTGTTATGTTTGATCAGAAAGAGCTTGGCTTTGGGTGTTATTAGGACCAATGTTTTTTAGACTTTGTGAAGATAATCGCTTAAAAATGGCTTCGAAAAAGCAAACATAATCGCTTAAACAAAATAAATGAGAAGCATTTTGAATGAAAGTTAAAGATCAAGAACCATAATTACCAACACTGAGGGATATCAGCCATTCTTTTCTTAATTCTTTATTTGGTTATAGTTCTTTTAATGAAGTTGAATCTAATTGTTTATAATTTGTTATAAAAACACAATTATCATCCTTTAGATAATCACTCTTTACAATCGCAGTTCCATAACATTTATTGTATTCCATTAACCTTAAACAGCTCTATGCAAAACATACCAACATGCAGTGTCAACTAACTATTCACCTATAACTTATCAGATTTATTTTATCTTCTTCTGTCATACTTTGCTTCAATAAAAAAAAAATTTCTTGAATCTTAAACTAATCAATCTTTTAGATAAAAACAATAATGCAGTTATACAAATTCGAATCATATTTCCAGCTTGCTACGTCAAAGTTGCTAGTATTCTTTTATATAAAGTTTTTTCTGTCTTAAATCTTCGTGCCATCACAGCCTACCAGTCTGTTTATTTCACCATCAGTCGTTCTCCTTGATTTTTCCATTCCTCTATGGCAGTTGTTTGCGAAGATTTGTCCTCTCTCTCGCCATAATTTTCACCAAAACAAGATGCACAGATAAGGAGCCATGCCGTCGTTTCTTCAACCTGGGTTTAGATTATTTTTCATTATTTCTTTTATCAAGACTTCTGTCTGTTTTCACTATTTTAATATTTTCTTTAATATATGTTCATAAATCATTGAATGTTGTTTTTTTCGGCTTATCAAAGTATTTGTTTAGATTAGGCTGTGCATGCATCGTGTCTTCGCTACTACTCCGTGCTCTCAACAAACATTTATAGGCCAAACTCTTTTTATTGTCTTAGAAAAAGCCCATGTTCACAGCCAAAAATGCCCTTCTGGTACGATTGTCAAAATCTAATTAGTCACAGGTTTGGTGGCATGAAAGCTTCTTTGTTTTCCCTTGTACTTATTAGAGAAACGATTTATGAAAATGCTCTTCAGTCATAAAATTACGCTGGTTGTAATTTAAGTAATGTTAACGAGGCAAAACAATACTCTTTCCAAAGTTTGTATCCTTGGATTTAGATGAATTGCAAAACTAATTCTATCTAAAACTTGCTGGGGGACTTGTGCCCCTAGCCCCACGATTGAACCTTAAACGTTACTCTGAAATTAAGATCTGGTATCCTTACGATTATTGTTATTAATATTGCCAACTGGCAGCTAGTAAAAACGTGTATTTATGCATCATTCAATTTAATATTATCGCTGATATTATGCACCATTCAGTTTTATATAATCGCTGATTTTTACCGTGCGAGATAAGGAATCCTCACTTAATTCAAAGGACTGGGCTGTATATATAGTACATGGATTTTACTGGAAACTGGCCGAACTGCCTCATCAAACCGAACGTTTCAATTAATCATTCTTTATACGAACCTTATCAGAATCATTCTTGTTCGCGTTGATTTCTTTGATGCTGCGTGGCTCCTTCGTCACGACATTTCCATTCGCCTCTTCAGGTGTCGTTGGTGTGTCCGAATTCCCGTCTCCCATCTCTCGGCTCCCTAACTCGAATTCTTTCTCGTTTTTACAAATTTTTTCGTCTCTATTCAACAAGACCTTCTCACTTTCTGTTGTGATTTTATCGTCGTCAGCACCTTCTGACTGATCTCCAGTGCTTCGAGAGCTAATTTCACTTGGGATGCTTTCTTGCGAACCTTCTCGCTTATTTTTGCCAAACCGCTTTGGCGAACTGCAGTAACACCGAAGCCAGCTTGATGACCAAAGATGTGAATTGCTGTCGTTCTCTTGGCTGTTGGTCTCCGAATGGAAGATGGAACGGTCGAAGCTTTTATCAGACCAGAAAAACTCCTCGCAAGAACTACATGACCCGCCACTCGTCGTCGAAACGGGGAACTCTTCGCTTGAAGAAGAATTGTCCGATTTATCGGTTGTCGTGTTACGACCGCCCATCGCTTCCAGGCGAGCCTTGTTTTCCACCTGCAACCGTTGTAGCGAATATTCAGAGCGCAAACGGTAATTGTCGAATTCTGTTTTTAAACTCTGCAACGTGGCTTGCAGTCGTTCATTATTTATGTGCTCGTAATCAAATCGATGCTGTAGTTCGCTGATTTTTTGTTCATATTCCAGTCGTGCTTGTTTCGAAATTACGACTGCCGATCGAAATGGTGGCTTTACGAGGCTAAGCTCTTCCAAGTCGCTACTCGCAGTTGTCGGTAATGGTGGAAGCATGGGCAGGTTATGAGAATCAGAAATTTTTATCTGACTCATCAACATTTGTCGCAACATTTTGATTTCCTTTTGGTACTGGCGAATCAGCGCGTCTTTCGGATCTTCGTTTATTCTCGGCCTATTTTTTATGTTTTTCGCCCTGTTGGCGTATCTCAACGTACTAAGTGTTTCATGATAATTGTTTTCGCCTGGGCTTAGACATGCGATCATCAAAGTTCGAGAGTTTCCTCCTAGCGAATCCTGCAACAGCCGCGTTAACTTCGACGCACGGTATGGTATGTGCTTGCATTTTTCGCTCACTAAGGCTGAAATGACGTTTCCCAGGGCGGACAAAGAGAGGTTGATTTTCGTCGCTTCTTTGAGCCTCTCCTCTCCTTGTTTCGCTTTTCGCTGACGCTCACTTCCTGCAAGATCGACGAGGTTCAGCCTTCCCGACCGAAAATGTTCTTTGTTGTCACCTTCACTCGTGAAGCACAGTTCGAAGTCAATAACGAAAATGCAATGCGATCGCGAAGAATCCGGGTTCAGTGCTGTCGCGCCTAGGGCTCTATTCCATCCACCGTATTCAACAACCTCTTCCATCTCCTCCACAGTGGTAACTTCAACAGATGAAAGCCCTCGCACGTAGACGCCCTTCTCTGGGTGCTCTTTTATGTCCAGCTTGTATCTGTTTCCCTTGTTAAGGAGATCTCGAATCTCCTCGTTGTATATTTCGAGATAGGAGGCTCTTATCGTGTAATACGTGACATCTGTAACTTGGATGCTCTCAAAAATCTGGTCAATCGCCCTGTTGATAATCCCGCGCTGCATATTTACCGATTGTATCCCCTGCATTGAAAATGTTTTACCGCACGACGTCTGTCCGTATGCGAAGACGCATCCGTTGTAACCCTCCAATACGCTTTCTACTAGCGGTCCAACGAAATCGGCGTATATTTCTTCGTTTGTCGATTCCGCATCGTACACGCCATCAAATGTAAAGACTTTTCGCGGGCTACTGATCTTGTCTCCAGGTTTCCGTAGAATGCATGTGCGCTGTATTCGATCAACGGACAAAACCAGGTCTGTGTTAGTTTCGACCTCGACGTCATTAAGCGGTCGGCACCGAACGATAACTTTAACACATTCACTCATCGTGTCGTCCTGTGCTTTGCTGGAAGAAAGATGACTAGTTTAGTATATAGAGCGGAATTTTCCAAAGCGAATTATGCAATGATAATTATTGCAGTCCTTACATATCAAGCTCGCAACTTTATCAAAATCCATTCGAATTCGTTGTGTGCAATGACTCTTAGACGAAACCTTTATGAATTACCTTATCCTTTATTCTTTCCTATATTCGTAATAAATCATTGAAGAGATCATAATCAGATGAAGAATACTAAATTCAAAACGTCAAAAACACTGTCTATATTTATTTGTCTAATTGACTGATAACACTGTCAAATTGCATCTTAGTTTTCTACCGGAAAGTTTTGCAGTTCTGCTTAGAAGATTTGTCCTGGATCTACGGCAATCGTACGGTCATTCGGAGTCGTTTCGTCAGTACTGTGTCGTTTTCATTAAAACTCTACCAGTCAAATAATCTTTTAGAAAGTCTGATCCTAATATTTATTTCTTATTTCTTTTATAATATGCAGGTTTTCTCTTGTCTTTTCTTGTCATATATTCCCTGAAACTGCACTTTCACGTCTCAATGCATAAGTTGATCCTAATTTTCTCCTCGTTTGTTTGCCTTTACAATCTCGTTTTACTGCCAAATCTTCCAGGCTTGCATCTATCTTCTTGTTGAATCTTTTGGTTTATCTACCAGTTCAAATCCAATGCAACTGTTCAAATTCATAAACAAATCGATTCCTGTCAATTCAATTCGAGGTCTTTCTTTCTATTTTCCACTCTTCCACTTAACAAACACTTCTGCCAAATCCAGAACAGTTTCTTATCTCGCTAACATCGCACACAGAATCTGCGTGTGTGGCTACAAGCACCTTAACCTTGCGACAATCGTGAGTTTGCTATTATAGGCACCTAAAATGGTCCCATGCATTCTTACAATGTTCTTCTTACTCCGAGGAAAGTTAGCAAAAGTGGTGACATGGGTCACTGAATTTGAACTCTGTTTGTTGTTTTGGTTATATCAATGGCAATCTTAAGTAAACATCCCATCATTTACTCACAATCAAAGGTTACTGGCTTTATTTCGGTCTAATTAACCTTACCAAAACAATTTACTTGTAACTAATACGTTATAGTTAGTTCCCCACAGATTGAACTGTTTGGGCCTCTAAAAGCACTTGCGATTCTGACCACGATGCATTGCGCGCTGTTCCTATCATAAACCATATCGGCTAGTGAGTTTGCCTTTAAACAAAAGTTAATGATACTCAAATTAGTTCCAACAATATATCCAAAAATCTTGCATTTTCAATACCCAACATTCATATTGCCTAAATTTTAATAATTTTATTTTATTCACAAGAAACATATTTCATCAGTAAATCATTTCAACAGATGTAAATTATTTCATCAGATTTTACCAAACCTTCCTTCGTGGGAGGGATCAGAATATCCTAGTAAATCTAGTTTAACTTGCAAAGAATTTCAATGATCTCTTGTGACATGATTTAGTTTGACATATAACTTTGTTTACCATGTTTTATTATCATAGCAAACCTTCTACTATGTTTTAAAGGGGTCGCTAAAAACTTGCTTTCGTGTTAAGGTGAACCAAAACGGAAATGTCTTCTTGACATTGCTTATAGCCAGTTTGCGCAAAACATGGTTAACAGATGGATTCAACAAACGTTATGCGAACGGATGCTATAACTCTATCCATTCTGCATGCGTTCATCTTTGGGCGGTTCTTGTGGCTAGAGACAGGCCCAGAATGCCATTCTAAAGTTGAATAACAGATGTGTCAAAATTGTGCTTTGGTTGTATGAGCTGCGGGTGTTAGGGCAAGATACTATCTTGTTGCGGATATTTCATATCATTAGTCGGAATCACCTAGTTACCATTTCACACGTACAACAGTAACTTATTCGTGTAATCGCAGATAACCTCTTTTGTTTTGTTGTATTATATTTTCTTTAGCAATGATGGACTTTGCAGATCGATGAACTAGCCTATGAGTGGTGCCTGTGAAAAAATTATTAACATATGCTGGGTTGTACTTTGGCCCCATGGAAGGGTGGTGTAAAGAGTGGATTTCTAAAATGACACCAGCGCCACCCTTGACTCTCTTTTTGTCTAAGAAGTTGTTCAAGTTAGGCCTGTTGGAAATAACCAGCTGCAAAAGCTGACGCTTCTGTGAAGCAACAACACCGTGTCCTGCTAATGCCAATTTGCAAGAATTCGGAAATTTAATCAATCTTACCTTTCATTCTGTTTCTGGAAGCTCTCATAGCGATGCTTCATTAATCTGAACATCAAATTGTCAAGCATATTAACCTTTCCTATATTCGTAACAAGCTTAATTTAATCTTGGCAAACCAAGTTAATGGATGTCCTTACACGGAGGTTAAGTTGCTACTTGCAGTGACATGGGTTTAGTTCACCCCAGATTAGGTTGGTTACCCTGCCCAGCGGTACAAAGGTAATTGGAAATCGCTCTTTTGCGTTTACAAAATGTTTGTTGTGCATTGACATATAACCGTATATACCTTTCTTCTGACCTTTCTTTTGTTTCTGATTTAGCTTGATCCATCATGTCCCCTCCAAGCTCGTTGAACGGTTGACACACCAATGACCTTTGTTATCAGTTAGCCTTCAACTTTGCTTAGTGCTTCGCATTACAGTATCTGCTCAGAATCTTGTTTATCTATTCATTGGCTGTCGATAAACAGTGGTTCCCGCTTAAAACAAATCCTTCAAATTGGTCATTAATGAACTCAGCTATAACTTTTTGATTTTCTTCAAAAAGTAACAGTCTGGTACTGATAATACTGTTCGGAAACAATTGACAACAAATTTTTACAGATCTGCCGGTTTTTCATCGTTCGAGATCTGTCGTATAGTTCCTTTCATTTGCTCCTTTGATCATTTGACTCATGGGCATGACTGCTTTGACAGGTCGCCTGCCTAAATCATCTTGCAAAATGTTTTCGATTCTAAGCGCACCTTGCTCAATGGAGCCAGAGCTAGTTGCTGCCTCTGACCAAAAGTGACGCTGTCACCTACATCAATTCATCTCGTTCTGTCGCCTTTAAATGCTAACAAATGTGGTTACGAATAAGGATGGCTTGATTCCTTTACGAGTTTATTTGTCTTATCCATTTTTAGCGCATAGAAGCAAGTTTCGATACCCGCTATATTACAGGTTTCAAAACATCATATTTATCGGCTACATAATGTAATCGAGGCTGCTGCAATTTCCTGATCGAGGTTTTTATGATCAGCTACTATTTTGATTTGAAAATTCAACTCAACTAGCAACAGTATCCATGGGGGATGGTGCACATACACCGCTGTTCACTCGCGTAGTCCTAATATACGACAATTCCCCTTATCTGTATACAAGCTTCTTGGGGACTCTTTGCAAAAGACCCAGCCCACTATTGCTTCTCTTCTATTAAAGAAACAGGGTCTGGATTAGCCATAAGTTATTTGTTCCCTAACAACCATATTTTAGTTTCTTTGAACTTTTACCAATGGATTGCAGCGATATTTTCAAAACCATTATCGTTTCAGTTGTATCAAGAAACAAATATAGATGTACCTTCGATGGTTCGGTAAATGTGCTTGCATTGCCTTTTTTGTCGGTAAAGTAATATGCAGCCTCGCCTTACCTTGCCACTCTCACCAAAAGGAAAATAACAAAACAAAGAGTTGCAAAACAGTTCAGCTCAAGACTAAAGGTTTGCGGCAGCCCTTAGGTACATATTTCTCCAGTTTAACTGAGATTTTTCTCATTTTCATGCCTATCTTTGTTCAGGTCTCGTCCACAAAACTCTAAATTGCAAAAATTGTTGGTTTATTCTGCACCTCCGCTGTTATAAGTCCATTATCAACCAAGTAAGTGTTGGTTAAAATCAGAAGTAGGTTTTACAACCATCTCGTATGGTTGAAGTTGAGCTTCGTGAATGGTGGGACGGAAAAATTTAGAGTTTATTAGTTTACAAAGTTTCATAAAGTGAAACAAGACGATACTGACAGAGCTGCTAAACTGGGAATACACGACAGGCATGTGTAATAGATTTGAGTATATGTAGACAAATAAAATATAGAAAATTCTCGAGTTGAATGACTTCTTTTTCCGAGTCGTATCGAATGTTGCCCCTCTCTCAAATTTCACCACATAATTTCTGTCCAATGCTTCACGTTGCTTTGCCGTACCATGTGTTATTATTTTTTATCAAATTGAAGTCTCTGTCTTCGAACATCCTTGCGTGTTTTCATCTTATTTCTTCATAAAACTCACAATGCTTCTGTAATCTCCAATCATACAAATCAACTAGCATGATAATTGTTATCATCCTTCCATCATTTGTACATGGTTATATTCCATTCCAACAAAAAGGATGATTAAAATAAAGCTAGCTGCTACACGACTGGGTCAGTTGATTTCCAAGTCAATCGTGATCTCCGTCACTAGACGAATGTCCCTTTCGTTTGAACCCCATTTCTTGTTTATCTACATATACTCAAATCTATTACACATGCCTGTCGTGTACTCCCAGTTTAGCAGCTCTGTCAGTATCGTCTTGTCAATACATAGCGCTATACGCATTGCAGTTTGGCCTTTGTAGTTAGCCTGCACAAAAGTACTATTATTAAAACAGCATACTTACAGAGAATGTCCAGAGAGCTTCTACAATCCTTGGTTCAACATTGCCTGTAATATGTCTCTGATGATTTAAGACACTATTGTGAGTATCGTGTATAGTCACTTAGAAGGGGAATTAGAGTTTGTGATTCTTCTGCGACTTCAGAGGCCAGAGTACTCTCTTGCCAGACTGTTTATTGCTGAAACGCCAAACATGCCAAGGATATGAAGTAACCAAACCGAAAATACTCATGCGTGAAGCATGCACATAACTGCGTCCACCAAAGTAGATACAAAACGCAGAACAAGACGAGTGCGGCGAGCAAGCCTGCTGGTCAATAGATAATCAGTGAATGAACCTGTTCAGTTAAAGGCGAGTTAGTTATTCCTATTGTTAAGAACCAGGAATCATACGGAGTTCGGTTCAAAAATGCACATATTCAAAGGTTGGTTACAATGTTAAACATTTCTTTGCTTTTCTCCTTGTTAACGATCTGCTTTTGTTCTCAACGTTGATATATGATACCCGCGAGTTTCCGTTGTGCAACGCGGGCAAAGAGACTCAGCGAGTCATGGTCGTCTCTGCAACAGTGACAACAGTTGCGTTGCAGAAGCAGTGGGGATTCTTGAGAAAATTTCTGCAATTCCTCATAACAATCAATTTTCCTTGCCGTAGATCTCGTTTTATCATCAGCAAAATTAATGCACCCTCGTTATGGCATACATCTTCAAAAAATATGTTTTACCTCTATATTTCTGGGGCATAGCTTTTCGGCGTAAGGGAACTATCATTTATCGATGACTTGAATAAGAATTGTTGTGGAATCTATGGATAGACCTTGATGACAATTTCTTTTAAACTAGGTATACCAGCACACACAGGCGTAGTGTTAAGAGAGCCCATGGGGCTTGATCTCTTGTTGAACGAGCCAGGAGGACCAGCCCCCTTGAATTGGCCCACTTTCAAGTAAGGGGTCTGCAACACAGTCTACAGGTTGAGGCTACATTTGATTGAAATTTAAAATTTAATCACTTTAAAATGTTTTGCACCACCCCTTTTCAAAACACCATTGTGTGCCCATGCTAGCACAACTGTTCTTCTTTTGCTCATTTCCAAGGCACATTTGGTCAAAGTTAAAAACAAATGAAAGGTTTTTCAAAGAATCTTGAAAAATGTTCGACCCTTCTCAATTTTTACCAGTGTGAAGGGGCATACTAAATACCAATTGTCAATATTCTTCCAAACCCAATTATCAAACGCATTGAAGATCTTCGAATAAGCTTATAAAAACCGTCTCTTAATTGTCATACAAATCGCTCGTTTTGTAGCTTCATCATAATTTTAAACTTCATTTCATACTCAAGTACAAATCAAAACAAATAAAGATATTTTAGTCGAAAATACACATGTTCATGTTCACATGCTCATTGTGGCCCAATGTCTTCTGCTGTATTTTTGTTAATGCTTCTTTTACCATTGTTTTTCATTTTCCCCTGAATGTCTTAAAGATCGTTCTTCTTAAGCCTGAAGAAGCCTGGCAGTTACTGTTGTATGGACCCAGGTTTAAGGTGAAGATATGGGGGCATATTCGGGGGGCTTATACAAGGGGGCTAATTCGAAGATTTCGGCATGCCAGGAAATGAGTGTCCATATATTTGTGTAAGGGAATGATTGGAAATTTGGGTTTTCATGACCACTATTATTACACTTTGGAAACGAATGCACTTGTATACCAGCTTACAAGAATGTAACAAATTGTTACGTCGTTAATATTAAATTTGCTATCTTTTCCTAGTGTGACTTTACTTTCATTTCAAGTTACACTCTTTTTTATAAGAACCAGTAAATTTCAGTTCAGGTTGACTGTTCTTAATTTTTTTTGAAAATCTGTGGCTGGATTGTTCTTAATTTGTTATTGAATTAAATTGAGAAGATGTAAGCAGCGTGTTCAAGCCCTATTCGCCAAGTCCTATTTGCCGTGAGTGGAAAATCCTTCATTTGCCGACAAGCTTGAATATTCACCGAAAAAGCACCCACACATGGCTAGAAATCCTCATCTTTGAGATCAAACGTTGTTCGAAGTTGCATTTTACAGTAGTTCAGCCTCAGCCTGTTACTAATTCGTTCTTAACTTTTGACAAATTTCGAGTTTCTTGTTCTTGTTAAATTGTTCTTATAAAAAAGATGTATATTGTCACAGTCGCTTTATCGCTTTATTGTTTTACGTTCAATTGTTCTAGTCCCTACCAAATATGGCTTTTCTAGCCTTAAAAGGAGTATACACTATTGTTCTAGTTTGCCTTTTGTACAGAGGAAACCATATCAAACTTTGATCGAGAAAACTAGTTCTTTCGCAGAGATTGAGTTCGGAGATCAGGGAGATGGGAAGTGCTCTCAAAGGCGGATCTCTCATTTCAGAGTTGGTAAGCAAGTTTTGAGCATCACAATTAAATTTTCTACAAAGTTATGTCTTTGCTGATGAACTGGATGAGCGTCTCGTTATTTTTTGTTTTTGTAGGCAAAAGTCCTTAGGAAAAGTGGAACAACATGGAATCCAGCAAAAAGAGCTTTCTCGACAACTTGTTTATGTGGAAAACCCTCAACAGATAATGTTCCCGGGCAAACTAGAGAAGGACCTGAAAAGGTAGGATACTAACTGTATAGGTAGCCTAAATTTTTAAACTGATCTAACGAAGATAGGCCGTTGGGGAACCATCACCATACTTTGTTGGGAAAAGAGCTTACCAAAAGCTCTTAATTATATTGAAATATAATTATATTGAAATAGAAAACTTGGAACTTTCTTTACGTACAAACTGTTTAAAAAAAGATTGCGCCTTTTGTTTATTTTTTGTTGCAAACTTTCAGCAACTTTGATTGCTCACCGCGTGCAGCCCAACCCACTCACTCTCTTGAAGCGCAATAGTGGATAACATTTGGCCATATTTTAAACAGCTAGCGAAACTTTTTCATCATTCAGCAAGATACCCAATTGGTTTTTTAAAATCCAAAAGTCGATAACTTTATTTTTATCAGTGAAACAGGCACATTTGCCTTTTTCTTGTTTGTCTTATTATTCAAGGTTGAGTATAACAGCTTTCTTTGCCCGTTTTTCATAACTTGCTAAAATATGACCGTACCTTGATAAAGACATGATTGTGTACACTCTTAAAAAAGTAGAAAAGAAGCTGCCCTTTCTCCTTGCCCTTCCTTCTTTCCAATTCAATGGATTTCATTCCAAATGTGAAGATAAAAAATTGACCAGGTTAGAGGGTAAAGTTTCCATGGCAGCCTTCTCAGCCTGCTATCAATTTTTGTGATTTCCACCACAACATGTGTCTTGATAACGCAGTTTCGTATAGTACGCACTTAGTGTGTCGAAGTTTTCACCTATGTGATATGCCTGAGTGAGGATTTTCTTTCAAATGAAAACATCAAAGTAGAAAGTTGGCTGGTATGTAAAGAACCAACGAATCAAAATTCTAAGACAAGTTGTAAAAGGGGGAAAAGACAGTTCAATTTTAGCTTTATTTTGAAAAACTTGTGGTATTTATGCTCTACCAATGCTCTTGACAGTACACCAAAGCTTTAGAACAAGCCTTTTATTATTGTGGTTTGTTGTTGTTTATTCTCGTCCCATTATGGTGTTCCTTATACACTACTATTAACGTCTACCTGTAGAAATTCTTTGAATTGCAAAATCTTCCATTGTTATTTTGCATCTCTCCAGTGTGAATTCATGTTTTGTTATATTATTTGCTAGAATTCTAAACATTCAATGGGTTTCTTTGATAAAAATTTAAGGGACTCTTCTAAATGAGAATAAGGATTAACATTAATAGGGAATACAGAATAAGGAATAAGGATTAATAAGTATCTGCAAAAGTCTTAACATGACAAATTTTTACTCTAAACATACTTTTGTGGCCTTTTCTTTTATTCATGGTCTTTCTTAATGATTCAGCAATAATCCAATTTTTTAAATTGTTTGGTATATGCCCTGACTTGACTTAAATACTAGGGGATTAAAAATATGCCAATCTTTCTTATTATGTGGACAACCTTTCGTTTTTGTTTTCTTTTAAAAAATGCAGAGGCGAATCCAGAGTGAGTTCCTTGGTGCACAGAACTCAGTCAGTTTTCCAACATATAGCTAAATATAGTGTTGCCTGAAACAAGTAGTATTTAAGCTAAAAAAGTGAAACCTAAAAATTCTAAATTTTATGACAGTCTCTTCAAAATCTTAAAATTGCCAGTTTCTTCTCTGTCGTGATTTGGAAATGATTTTCCAGACACTGTGGAGAACAACAGCAGTCAATCCTAGAACTCGGAAATAAACTTTTTGTGCCTTGGAAGTGAATGAATTGAAACAATGAATTTTTTGTTTGGAACACGAACTGAACTCAGTCAAAACAGCATCTGGAATTCGGAAATGATACCATATTTGTAAGAGAGCTGAACAATAGCCAGTAGTTGATTGGTTACCTATTGTTTCTGTTCTGCAAAACATTGAATTTGAAATGGCGGCTTCAGATGTCTTATTTTCGCGACCTTCGCAGCATTCTGGCAGATTATTAAATGTTTGAGATAAAACCAGGAGATATCGTTAATTTTCCAGGAGTGTTAACTGCTTTTGCTTTAAATTGCAGTCTTTGATGGCATGGAAAATCTATGCTAAGACGAAACACCATATTTTGATGAATAGGCTGGTGTCTACGGAGGCAAAACAACAAATTGCGAGCAAAACAAAAGGGCAAAACTTTGCTTTGGCATTCAAAACAAACAAAAGGGTATTGAGAAAGGGAGGGGGTTACAAAAATTTTCACAGAGGCACTGTTTTTCATCGGAAAGAAATCTAGATTTAATGAGTTGATAGTACCTACCCTTCCACCAAATCCCCCCCCCCCCCCCCCAATGGTACCAAAATGCATAGATATGAATAATAATGTTGTCTTATGCACAATTATCAACGCATTATCTGAAAGTCCCTATCCCTGGCCTGGAACTCAGTCAGGTTTTTTGCTGGATCTGCCCCTGAAATGAATATGTGTGTATGCCCATGATGTGGCATTTCAAATTCAAGCTTTGTCTCTATGAAGCTTTTCTTAAGAATTTCTTTTCTTCCCAATTTCATAGATTCAGAATCAGCAGAAACGAAACGAAGAAGCTGGCAGCTACACAGAATTGGTCAGAGACTTCTTAGATCCAAAGGAATTTTTTGGAGCTGTTCGAAAGCATGGAATTGATTACTTTTGTGGTGTACCTGATTCATTGTTAAAAGACTTTTGTGCATATGTCAGTATGAATGTTCCAGATGAGAATCACATTATTACAGCAAATGAGGGTACTGCCATTGCTGTTGCCTCTGGATATCATCTAGCCAGTGGAAAAACTGCAATGGTATATTTGCAGGTATGTTTTGGAAGCTGCATCTCTATGGAAACATATATCTGTTTTTGGAATCCCAGTTTGTAGTATTTGGGAAATATATCAAAGAAGCTTGTTTGTTGAGATGGTTTCCAGTACTATTATTTACCTTCATAGACACCAAGAAATTATTCATGTGGCTGTAGCCTCAAGGGGTTTAGGAAAAGATAGAAACATGTACTTTCAACAGGCATACAATTTTAATATGTCTAAGCCTATTATCTTGGCAGTGTGGTAATCCAATCTTATCACGCAAACAATGCAATCAAATATAGTGTCTCTTTGAAGCTCAAAAACAATATGGAATAAGCAACTTGTTGCCAAAAAATATTTTTTATAATTAAGACTAAGTGTTATGTCTCTGTTTATCATTGTATTTAGTCATGACTTGTTGCCCCTGTCAGTCATTTTCACCACTAACAACATGTTTGTATAAATTTGTTTATTATATAAATCTTTTCTCTAATATTTTCATGCTGATATCCTTAATGGTTTGTTTCACTAGAACTCTGGCCTGGGCAATATTGTCAATCCACTCATGTCTTTAGCCGTTCCAAGTGTCTACAGCATTCCAATGCTGCTTTTTGTTGGGTGGAGAGGTGAGCCTGGAAAAAGAGATGAACCACAGCATGTTGTTCAAGGGAAGGCAACTCCTGGTTTATTAGGTACAATTGCAGTTACTTGTTATATATAGTGTATTTTTTTATTTATTCTGGTTTTTGGTGTTATGGAAATATGGTACAAAGAGACATTGTTATTCTTTGAAGAAAGTTTCAGTGCTGTGAGCGTCTGAAGAAAAGGCAGTGTGTCGTATTCTTTATTGGCAATTGTTTGTTGAATTGGTATTCTTCATTGGCAATTAAAGCGTGGCAAATTATTTCAACTGATCAAAAGCAAGTGAGGGCGTTCTTTATGAAATGAAAACTTACTGAAATATAAATTTTGTTCTTTGTTTCGATAAACCAACGCTTGATGTACTGCCTGTCAGGGAAAGCAGATTTTCTTAACCTGAGTGAGATAGCCAGGAATTCATTTTAGCAAGTTTCTAATCTCTGATTTTGCAAGGAATACCCTCCAGTACAATGCTATCTTTGTCTTGTTGTTATGGGTTGATATAGAAAATAAAGATTTTTCTTCTTTGTTTTACATACAAAACAGAAAAACATACAATTAAATACCATGCTATAATCTTTTTGTTTGCCCAACAGCTGCTTGTGGCATTCCTTTTCAAGTGTTACCAGATTATCTTGAAGGTGCTGAACAGGTAAGACTTCATAACATTCATCAACATCTTCGTTTTTTCATTCAAAAATTTCCTTTTTACTTTACTTCTTGTATTCCTTTGAAAGTTTTAGATCAGTTATTCACCAATAATAAGCTCTGATATTTACTACCTTGCTAAAATGTGTGCTTGTAGGTTTGGATAAAGTTTTGGAATGCCAAGTCCAACGTTTAATAAACAGGGGAGTTTGCTTCCTTTTAAAGTATTAGCCCAACATATTAGCCAAATAGTTTTTAGAAGAGTTGTTTTTATATCATGAAATTAAAGTACCACGAATGCTCATTGCTCTTAGTGAAAATAAATTTAGATGTATAGGTAAATAGTTAATATACATTTTTCCCCATTTTTAAAATTAGAAAATTGTGGCCTAGATTATGTTTTTCTCTTGAAGTAAACAATGTCAACCAGCTCTTTTGGCATAAAGGCATGAGTAACTTGTTGAGAAAATCCCTTTTGCCATTTTCAATAACTTTAGATGCAATCATTTCATGATGACTAGTGTGGTAGAGTAAGGTCTTTTCTTGTAAAACTTTCTTTTTACTTATCATCATTGGAAAACTTTACTCATTTGTCACATTGTTCTTCTTTCCTTATTTTCTCTGCAAAACAGGGAATAAAAGTCCTTGAATGCAAAATTCTTTTGTCAAAAAAACCTTTTTTCGGCTATACAAATTTTGTATTCCTTCCCAAACTGTCTCTCTGCATTCATTCAAAATACTTTCTGTTGCGAAGGCACTGCAACTTTTACATTTATAACCCTTATTGGAATAAATGAGTTTTCAGAAATTTCAAGATTAAAAAACTCTTTTTAGAAAAATTAAATCAAATTAAAGGCAAAAAATTTTTGTTTTGTGACATTTCCTTGTTTTTAAAATCAATATCAGTTTAAGGTTCATCCTAAATATATTACAATATCTTCCAACTGGTTTGTTCCAGCCTAACTGTCTCCATTTTAAAAGCATGGACAGGAAATACGACAACCTATAAAAGAAATATAAAATGTTAAACTGGGTTTTTTTCAAATGAAGGAATCAAATATTATTTTTGATCAAAAAAAATTACCTCTCACTAAATGATGTTGCCATCAGCCAGCCAGCACAATGACTCCTTTGCCAAAAGATAGTCGTTTTAAAAATGAGACACTGACAAATACTTTATCTGCAATTCATGCAATTAATGATTTATTTAACATGGCTGAGAAAGAACATTTTAACAAATTTTAAGCGTCAAGTTTCAAAAATTAAAGGAATCCCCTACAAAGGGTTATTTTCTTGTATCGTTTTAAAATGTGATGCCTAATGATGTTTTGCAAACATACAGTAAATTTCCCTGTTTTTATACGCATTTACTTATTGAACATCGGTGTCTTGGTTACTTTTTGCTTGTACACATTTTGTTTGCAAAGGAACTATTGCCTTGTTTAGGCCACTCCTTTTGGGGTTTAGAGGCTTACAAAACGATACTGATAGGCCGACAATAATTCAGTTTTTCTTTACTTGTTTTGTTTTTTCAGAACTGACATTCTTTCGTTTTCCTCCTAACGATAAGTATTTCTTGCAGAGAGACTGCAAGAGCCGGTAATGGAGTATGGACCAAATCTTCAGTCACCGTGTCCGATTGATCGGACCAGACTAAAGAGATTATGTATAGGTAGATTTGGCATTTTTAATCATTGAGAGCCAAATATCACATCATCACACTTGAAGGCTCTTTGTTCGTAGGAATTCAAACCCAGCTATTTTGACCATGGGGTAAATGAAGTTAGAATTGCCTTTCTTGAAGGAGAATTTTTGGTACATCTATGCTGTTTTTAGCATCATCAAAATTTCATATAATCTCATTTTCTGGTAGTAATGCAACTTTCAGAATGTTACACCTAGCAAAATATCACGAAGAATAGTGCTTATTTTTTCTTCAACAGCATTTCCAGTATGCCTGAGGCTATAAAGAAAAACACTGGAACACTGCAATCGCACTCCCAAATATCTAGCTACGCTCGACAGATTTTTCCAACAAAATTTAGATTTTTCCATTCAAGCTAACGTGTTGCTTTTTGACAGGTTTTTGGCATCTTCACCATCATTTGAGGCTCCAAAATTATTGTCTTCTGGCTTTTTTAATTCGTTTTCGTCAGCCTACAAATGTTGATCTTTGAAACCTTTTCTAAAGGCATTGTACACTGCAAGGAAACATATGGAAGTATCAAAAGGCCCATACTGCCTACTGGTGAGAAGACAAACGTTTTTACCCTACAAATTGGCCAAGGATGAGCCAAAGTAAGTTTTTTTCAAATAAATATAGTTACTTGTTTACTCTTTTGACATTTTTAGAAGATAAAATTTATTAGGTATCCTCTAGGTAAACTGGAAGTAAACAGGTGTCGATTTTGTATCCTTTGCATTACGCTTGATCTATTTGAGTTCCCGGAAAACCCTACTCCTAAAAAATACGTCATTTTCTGCCTTCTACATGATCATTTATGATATACATACATTTCGTATTTGGAATATTTTGGATTCAATCTGTTTTAGTCATAATGCCTGGCAAAAATCTTTGTTCACAAAACTAGCAAGTGACAACCTCGTCCCAAACCCATTTCAAAGGCTTGATTTTTGAGAGTTTAATTGTCGTCTTATTTCATCTTATTAGGTAGTTTCAAAAACACGGTTTGGTTGGAAACCGTTGATTTTTCAGGAGTGTTTTCCAGTAGCTAATCAAGCGTTTTAGAAATGGAAAGTACTATTATATATTACTCGTAATTTTTTTGAACCTAATTTTGGCAGAAATCCTAGTATAACGTGAGTGGAACTTCTTTCTAGATTTCCCTTAAACCGTGAAGAAGCAATTAAGAACATAGTTGACTGCCTAAAAGACCGCGATGTGGTCGTGGGAACAACAGGAATGCTTTCAAGAGAGCTGTTTGAATATCGTGAAGCAAAAGGCCAAGGTCACGAGAAAGACTTCTTATGCGTAGGCAGTATGGGACATGCATCCGCCATTGCACTCGGTATTGCAACGCAGAGACCAAGAAGACAGGTTAAACAGCTTTTTGCTTTATTTTTGCAGTAATTGTGACAACCTTAGATTCTTGTAACTGTTGATAATCCAGTCAGCCCCGTTCAACATGCATAGTTTGCAGCAATCAACATATATTAAGCCATGTATCAATATGTCAATCAATATTAGCCAGTCAATGAACATGTAAGTAGAATCACACTCACGGATTTGTCAATTTTTATGGAAAGAATGCTTAAGCCCCTTTAGTATCTGTTGAATGCCTTTAAAGTTTTTTTTGACCATCCAAACACGCTTCTTTATAGAGTCATATTTCATATTCCCTTCGTTTTTTTCTCAGTAACATAAAATTTTCTTGATTTATTTTTTCCATTTCTATTTCCACCCATAGTGCTAGCTATGAAATCTCTTTCAAAACAGGTTTTCTGCCTTGATGGTGATGGAGCTGCCATTATGCATTTGGGTAACCTAGCAACAATCGGCAACCACTCTCCACCAAATCTAAAACACATTGTTATCAATAACGGGGCACATGATTCAGTCGGTGGACAGCCCACCGATGCAGCAAGAATGGAAGACTTCAGGATCACTCAAATTGCCCTTGGAGTTGGATACAAGCAGGTAAGAACCACACACATTGAACTCTTCCAATGTTGTAAGGTTTTTATAAAAAATGTCTTTACAGATGGGTACTGATAGAAAAATACAATAAAAATCAATTGTTGAGTAGTTGTTCTGAATCTGAACTATATAGTCTTGAAGAATGCAGAATAATTCCTCTAGATATTAAAAAGTAGTTAAAGCCCCTGGAATTTGGTGAAGGGTTATTGTTGTTGCAGCTTGGAACGTAACAGGCGTAAGTCCTAGAGCTCTTAAGTGTGATGTCATAAAGCACACATAATTGAATTTTGACCACATAAACGTAAAGAACGCATTGCAATACTTCTAAATATGTAAAAGTTAGGGTGAGAGATAACCAGCAAAAGATTTCAAGGCCATTTTTATGTCCTTTTTTCTAAGAACTATTGCTCTTATTGCAATATCCCAGCCAAATACTGATAAATATTATTATGCGGTCCAAATTATAAAATGCTTAGTATCCTTACTGAAAATTGACGTAAAACATAACAAAAAAATAAATAAAAACTGATGTTAAGAGTCTATGTTCGCCATAAAAGTGCCATCTCCATTAATGTTTCAGATTTTTGTGATGACCGTTTTCTACCTTGGTAGAACAGTCTTACACATTAAAACCAACCCCTTCATTACACAAAACTTCTAACATTTAAACACTGTCTTTAGACTCTGGCCGTGTTTACATGAGACCTTGACTAGATAAGACCCGGATACTTCTTGATTTGATCCTAGGCTTTTGATAGGATCCAATCCAAAACAATTTGCGTTTATACGAGATTTGCCCAGATGAGTTCCGGAAATAACACGCGCACGCGTTTGGAAGATTAGCATGGTAGAGACGCAACATGAACGGATCCGATCTTGACTAGATCTCACATTGCCAAGTCTATCTGCACATTTCTATAAACGGGTTCTTTAAACATTTCACATCATAACTTGATCGCTGCTTTGCTATTCAACAGGCTTTTACTGCAGTCACACCTGAAGAAATCTTGGACAGTGTGGCAGCAATGCGAGAGATGGAGGGCCCTGTTCTGCTAGAGATAAAAGTAAACAAAGGCAATAGAAAGAACCTCGGAAGGCCTACTCGTACTCCAATTCAAAACAAAGCAGACTTCATGCATTTTCTTGCAATCGATTAGTTGGAGCGAATGTAAGAATGAGCCTATCAAGATTCAAGTCGCATATGGCTGCTCCGAAGATAATGGACTCTATAAATTTCCCATATTACCCCGCCCATTTTTTCTTGTAAAATGCCTATACACGACCCATACCTATTGCTTGTGAAATAACATACTGTCAGATTAAATATATCAAACTTTGTTCAGAATAGTACAACCAAACTGCATATTGAATTAGTACCTCAAGTTTATCGTAAAAAAGTAGTTATATTGAATTATTGCCTCAAAGGTTTGTTGCTTTGTTAACCTATGTTTGAGTACCCAGCTCAAATTCTGTTGGTTCTTACAAGAGTTTTTTGGAAGGTTGCAGTCGATTGTGATCATATGGTCTCTTATTCTGACATGTCATGTTAGTGAACGAGAGTCTCAAAACCCTCTTATCTACAGTGAAAAAAAGGGAAAGATGCTCGTTCGCTTCCACAAGCATTTGTTCGTTTGGGGGCACTAATCGCCAATTCTCCTCCCCCCTCCGAAGCATAGGGCCCACATTGATACCCTCATCGAGAACCTCTGTTCGAGAGGAAATCTTCGACGTGCAACGGTCGCTCATCAATTTTCTCCCATTATTCCGTCCCCATAATAAGTAATAAAAAGCCATGCAAAATGTTGAAAATAACACGTTTTTTGTTTTTGTTTCCAATTTATTGCTTACTCAGAGCCATTGTATTTATGTTGCCAACAGTTTAGAAAATGTACGTTTTGAGTTCCTAAAGGCTGCACTTAAACGTTGTTCTGTGCGTCACAAGATTATTTTTAGCGTATGTGAAAATATATTTCTCGATGCTGATGCTGAAGCATAGCTTGAAAAGCATCTAAAATATAATATTAAGGTGCGTCTGTATCTAGAAATAAGGAGTTTTCAATCAAAGAAGCACGAGCCTTTCTTGTTTCGTCGGTTTTCCTTTGTTTACTAAGCATGTTACAACGGTTTTGGTTGGTAACCTGCAGTAACCAGATTCACATTTTAACATCCGTCGTATAGCGACATGTGGGTAAAAAACAACATGTTGTCAACAATTAACAAAAACAACAAATCAACATTAACAAAAATCAACAATTGAAAATAACTGGCCGCTGAAGACCCTCCGCTAGATGAGGTTTACCGTAGGATAGGAGATGACCTATTGCAACATTGAAATCTCCTCTTGAGGCAAACTGTAAGAGACCTATTACTCGAACAGACTTGAATGTGCATTATGAAATACCTATATATGAATAGTATAATTCACATGTATTTAGATTAGCTTAGAAATGAGCACAGGTTCTTTCTCTTGCTTCTAACAACTTTTAACCAACCTTAAACAACAGCATGATGTGTGTAAAACTCAGTTATTTTACTTGCTATATTCCAGTCAATTTGAAACAAATTTAACTGAATTCACCTGGTATTTAAAGGGCATGTGCCGACATGTATCCAACATGTGTCAACATGTAGGGCATGTATCCAACATGATTGGAATAAAAAATAAAGAAGAAGAAATGAAAAGTCACGAAACAGTGGAATTCCACTCCAAACGCTTTTGCTTTATTAGCCAATTGTTAATACGGTATATGCCCTTTAACGGTGTTCTTCCAAGTTATGCCGTCAAAGAAAAAAGATTCTGAAAGTATGTTATTGTTACGTCAGGCTTTGGAAGTTTGTTAAAGAGGCAGAGGCTCTGGATAACAATATGGCAATTTACATATAATAAAGATTTAATACCATATGGGTCTACGATGCCAAGGGTGCTTTGAGAATACGGTACTGATTAAAAATGTTTTTCTGTGATGGTGTGATTGTCGATCAACGATAGAATAGTTTGAAATGATATAACGAGTCATAACAATTACCATAAAAAATCTTTAATCATTAAATTTCATCAATGCAAACATTAAAAATCATTTAATCATCACGAATAATCAATTGCAAAAAATATGCAATAAAAACTTGCAATAAAAACTTGCTATTAAACTCAAAAATCTAATATTGCAAAACAAGAGAACAACTACTTTCATCAAAGGAGTAAAATATTTCATACAGTGACACGTGTACAACAAGCTTTAATTATAATTGGTTGATTTTGATTGACAGACTTATTCTAACCAATCAGATTCCCTGATAAGTATCGGTCAATCTACAAGAAATTGACTTGTCACTTGATAACATCGTGTTGCTAACAGTCTGTTTTCGTCGTTATTTAGATAAGTACCACACGCAGCTAACTTAGTTTTTGGGACCCACCTACAAGAAGGACGCGAACTTCAACACACTTCGTTGTCTTCAGCATGTCTTTCAGATATTTTACTTCGTTGTCTTTAGCACGACCTATGCCACAAATTTCGAATTGGTTTGAAATCAGCAAGAGGATAAGCTGTGTTTTTAATACTATGGTTCAATTAATAACTACAAAAATACAGAAAATGCACACAAAAAAATATCAAAATCCAAAAGAAAATATCCAAGGGAAACAAACTAAAAGAAAACATTTTGTTTGTTTTATTGTTCTTGTTGACGCAGCGACAAAGAGCTACAATCCCGGATAAAATGTTGAGAAAAAATGCAATTTTTGTAATTTTCTACTTTACCTTGCCCCTGTAAATTCGAATCCCTCGTTTCCCTGCGAAGCAATGTTGGATTTGTAGTTCTATCATTTCTCCTTCAGAATCATGCATTCAACATTGAATTGGGGAAAGGGGAAACGTTATTTTTTAAAGGAAAGTGAAAATATAAGCCATTTTTGAAAAGTCTCAACCATTTTTGTCCGGGATTGTAGTGTGTATACATATTTGCATACCAAAGGAAACGAAACGAACGATTACGTCACATATGCGATAAGATGTATCGAAGGTAAGAGGTACTGTTTAATGGTATACATATGATACGTATAATGAATCATATTCAAGGTTTTGATTTGAACTAGGGTAATGTTTGAAATCGAATCATTTATATTTTGTGTAGGATTAATCAGTGTGTCTGTCTGTATATTGTGATATACAAAGTGATACATTCATTCTATTAAAGCTTTAAGAGACTTGATCGTCAAAACAATTAATTAGGTTCGTTTTAGGACGAACTTCAAAGAGGCCTTTGGTACATATCAAATCAAAATATTTGAGAAAACCAAATTACGAAAAATTGAACACAATATACAAAACTTAGTTTCAAAAAACCTTGAGGCATCGAATTGCCTTCTCGTTGAAGTAATTTTCTTCTCTTCTCTTTCCCAGTAGCCGGCTTGTTTCTGCTAGCATAAGGAAACAGTTTTGTGCTAATTTGCATTTTCCATTAGCGAACAGGGCAAAACGTGCGGCCTGTTTTAACAGACTTCTCATCTCCTTTAACTCATCACCATTGAATTGCGAAGCAGTGATTGTGTCATTTCTTGTTCGCTCGCTCTTAATAACTTGGTTGTGGTCCGATACATCACTATCTAAAGAAAACCCTTGAGAGGGTTCAGCCTCCATTTGTTTCTGATCTTGCACCCTAACGTCGTGTACCTCGTCGGACATCGTTGGTGTAATCTGATCGTCTAGTCCATTCGCCTGAAGCTCCTTCCTAATACATGAAGCAATTTCGTAAAGCGTCTTTGCAGTCTGCCAATGGATCCCAAGGACGACTTTCTCCATCTCTAAATTGGAATAAAGAATCCTTTTAGCTTCCTTGAATTCGTTCTTCTTCATGTGCAACATGCTTTGCACAAAATAAGCGTTGCATGTGAAAGGGTGTTCGCGGCCAAGATTGTCTTCTAACATTTTTGTAGATTCCGTCAATAAATCCTGAGCATCGTTTGCCTCCGTCGTCTCCAAACTGAACGCTGTGTAAAAATACAAAATTAGAATTAAAATTAAAAATTTGCTAAATTTAAATCATCAGCAAACTTAATTTTGACTGACAAACTTTTAAGAATGGGATCATTCTCTTGTCAACTTTTGTGACATTCTATTTGTTGCCTTCATGTAAAAATTCTAGCACCATAAATATGAGTAAATAATCCAACTTTGGCTTGATTACCTGTTTGGAGCTGATCGCAATCTGCAGCGTATGCCCTGTTTACTACATTTCTTTGAGCATTGTTTGCGAGAGTTTGTTGAGCAAGATTGAGGAGCATTGTTTTGGCATCTTTAATATACTCCATCCCTTTGTTAAAATGATCCATCGACGTATCGCCATCCCTTTTTAGGCTCTCTGCAAGCAAACAAACACCCATTCCTCGCCAGCAATGAGTGTAAAGCATCTCTGTGTCACTGTCATCACATTTTAGTTCCTCTAGGCTTTCCAAACTTGCTTGGAAGAGACTCTTTGCTTCAGAACTGAACTTCCTGTTGCCATTAATGTGGATGCTCATCGAGGCAATGCACACGTTGAGCTTAGCAACAAAAGCATTATCTTTGTAATTCAAAGCCTCTCGTTTCATGCGTCTGTATATTCTGCCAACTAGCATAGGCTTGAGCATGTAAATAAGAAAATGGAATACGTTCAGCTGGGTTGCAGTGCGGACAGCTGGCTCGTACATGCTTTTACGCTCACTGCAAATCATCAGACTCTTTATGATGTCATCTTCTGTTTCCCTAAAAAGTCTAACGATTCTTTGTACTCTCTTGTCGGTAGAACATTGTGCTAGTGACATTTCGACTGGAACACCATCTGAAGGAGTGAATGGCTCTAGAACACGAAGCTCCTCTCGTGCACCAATTGGCAATCCCATGAAACAGTTGCTTAAAAGTACAGTTAAGTTAAGAAACATCTCCTGATGCTTGGCAAGTGCTTCCATTTGTGAATTCTTGAGAGTGTCATCGGATGCAGTCAAACTTCTTAGGATATAACCATTGACGCGGGGGATGTTATACACCATTCCTTTGAAATCAACACACTCTCTCGACAAAAATAAAGTGCCCTGCTCACAGAATACATTCAGTGTACTGTCCTCCAAATCATCCCTGCAGTTAACAATACGATTTGCTTGCTCAATATTAAATCTGCTCGTGAAAGTCAAAACCTGGATCAGAAGTCTTTTTTCTGTCACATTAAGATTGCCCATAATCGCCTCTAGGGTCTCTTTAACTTCTTCATCATAAAGCATCTTTTCCACTTCTTCAAACTTGCATTCAATATAACGGAGTAGATCCTCCTTGTTGTCAACAACGAATGCACTTTCAATATCCCTTTCAGTAATTCGTGTAAGATAGAAAGGGAAGCACTCAATTTTCGATACGATAAGATTTGCAATCCTTTTTGAAAAGCTTGGATCCTTTTCTCTGATAAAGTTCATCGCTTCTTGTTCACTTAAGGGTTTCGCTACTACTTCCACCGAACTGTGTCTGTTCTGCGCATACAAACTTGTTCTTTTCAATGACGTCACGGCGCTGACAACAATTTTTAACTTAGTAGCGAGCCTGGTATCTTTTCTTAATTTTAAGAGACATTCACAAATGCTTCTGCCAGTTTGAGTCAACGAGATCAAGGAAAGATCGAGAATCAAGATTATTTCATTGTAATTTTCGAGCAACCCATTTAAGGCACGGGCAGCCTTTTTGCTATGATCTGCCTCAGCTTGTGGCTTTCTTGTTATCTCCTCGATAATTTTCTTGTTTAACCCGTTACTGTTTAAGTTTCTGTCAGCCACAATTCTCACGACCCTAGTACTTTCAAAGAACGGGCCTTCCTGGATCTTCTGATACAGAATGTTTAGGGATGTTATTTTCCCGCTTTTTGGTGGCCCAACTAAACAGATAACAAACTTTTTGGGGTCGTTAAGTTCGCTTAATATTTTTTCCACCTCTTTTGAGTTACGCAGCCCTTCAGTGTCTGACGGTTCCTCTTCAAACACTTTATCTTCGTTTTGATCAAATTCTGGAACATCTTGAATAGAAAAAACAAAGCTTCTGAAAAAAGAAATGTCTTGTTGTGATTTTGGGTGGGTTTGAACAATCAGCTCAGCTAGTCACATGATATTCTGATAGTTAAATTTTTAACACGACAATAAAAATAAGTCTGGATTGGTTATATAGCGATTAGAATTGGCTAAAAAGGGTCAGGTGATAGAAGAAAGTCAAAAACAAAATGTTTCCCGATGTATATTGAAAGTTTAACTTACTAATCCGTAAGTAATAAAATTTACCATCATTATATTCATTGTCATATCCTGTGTTTTACAGATTAAGTATTGATCAAATCAGATTGGCTGCTAGTAAATTCACCAATCATCACCTTTGTATAGCTACAAAAGGCAGCATACTATGCCCAGGAGTACTATAGGCAGGATTGCATTTTGGAGGGACATCACTAATTGGGTTTAACAGGAAAGAAGGAATTGTTCATTGTGAATAAACTTCATAACATTGGAATTGGAATTGTTCCTCACATAGTAGCTAGAGAGGGAATAGAATATCAGAAATGAGTTGAGCTAATTCTCAAAAGTTTTTAAGCTTTGGCTAATAAGTAGATCAAAATGATTGTTCTTGTTGCCAAAAACGAGAACATAATTTCATAACATCCTAGAAATGATTATTATAAGAACAGGATTATAGTTATAAAATTTAAATGATCTTTTTTCACACAATAAGAGGCTCATTATTGTAATGTCCACAATTTTTACTAGCCCTGTGCAGATCATGGCAGTATGTCTCAAGAGGAGATGGTTTTTGCCTTGATATGTCATTATTAAAATTTTTCCTAGCTATCATTACGTTAGTTTGTTTCGTTGGGCCAAGATGGGGCTCATTAAAAGACCTAACGGGAAAACCTGGGATAATTTTGCTTTTACAAAAGATTATTCTTACCAAAGGCAATGTAACTTGAGGCTGCAGACGACATTGAGCTTGGAATGCTACTGAATGTCCTATTTGTAAAGAGTGGCAAGTCTAGGGAGTGAAATAATGCATTTATCATGATAGGATTTTGGGATAAACAAATGGCCACAGACAATTAGTTTTGTGACACTGCATTGGAGAATGATTGACACTGCATCAAAATGATAGAAGTTGTCCCTGTCTTTCTCAGAAAGCAGATCATGAGGTTTTGACCATAAAGCAAATCAAGTTATTATCAGTACATGAGATGTGTACAGATAAATACATCAGTGACTGCTAGATTGAGGGGGCTAAGCCAGGGACAGATTTACCAGTGGATGCAGGGGGTATGATACACCCTCCCCAATATTTTTGTGTTCTTTGGAGAATTTTGCTTTGATTCATTAAAAGTGCATATTTTGGTGGTCAGTTGTAGCAAAATGATGTAGACAAGTTGTTTTCTTAATCTTATTATCTTCTTTATCTGAAAGATAGAGGCCGAGTTTTAAAAATGTGTTTCCATCAGTTTCCAGTCACATAAAGGGTGTGGCAAAAGGGTGTCAAATAAAGTTTCTAGTCACATTATCCAATCCAAATCAAAGTCAATCATTATCCAACACCCCCCTATCCTTGCCACTTAAATCCATCCCTTGGCTTAGCCCCCCCCCCAATTATTTCCAAAGTATACTTAAACACATATAAAAATCATCTTCCTCCTGGTTTTTAGCCTAAATTAACATTCTAGTCCCCTCAATCGGTAATATGACCTGTGGTCCTTGCTTTAGATAAACTTTCAAAAAAATCTTAGTGCATCATCTGCAACAATTTTTTTGTACCTTGTCACCTGTTGATGGAATATGGCACAGGAGCTATGCATTTGAGATGGTCCTTTAATTTAAAGCTTAGGCTGGCTATAACATTCAAACAATAATGTACCTGCTCATGTACTTGCATAAAGAGAAACAGATCAAAGTTTTGTGGCTAAATGTCTCTCTGAAATGTCCCTGTAGACTTTTACTACTAAGTTTTTCCGACATCCTGCACCTAAAAATAGCTGAATTGACAACAAAAGCAAATCGCAAATTACCTGGAGACGTAAAGCAGTATCTTTTCTTTAAATCATCAGATACATCTTTCCGGTGAATGTTTTCTAGAGAACTTAATAGCCTCGTAATAGTTGCTTGATCACCCTTTCTCCTAATCCATTCACCCAATGCCTTAGCACAAACATCTTGTACTTTCCAATTAAATTGTCTACTATCTGCCTCCAGCTGATTAACAAGATCACTAGAGTCCTCAGGTGCCAAGAGATTTCTAAGTAGTCTTTGCCAACCAGTTACTCTTTCTGAGACAAGCAAAATATCATCACCACTGGCTACAGAACACTGTCTTTCTAAGAAAATGTCTTGGCTTGACAATGAAAAATTAGTAAAAGAGCTTACGGTAGAGGAATATGAATGCATTGCAGACGTGTTAGCTTCAACTAATGGTCCTGTTTGCGTGGTCCATAACGACTGCTTTGCAATTTGGCGAGGAGTGGATGGCGATCTTCTTGCTCCGTTTGGTGTTTCCATCTTTTTAGCCGAGTAGAATGGCTCTTAACAGTTTCAACGGATCATGGGAAGGATTTCGAGGCTTAAAGGAAAAGAAAATACTGGGCAAGGAATCAAAACCTTTTCTGCATACAGCACTTCCTTGTCGCCTCCCATTTTAGCACTTTCGCTTTCTTCGAAGAAAAGCCTCGTTCTGAAGAAAACTAAACACAGGGGTATAACAGACCTCTGAGAAAGAAAGAAGAAAGAGAAGGCTTCTGTGACAGATGATAAAGTATTATGGCTTGGCCTCTTACTTTTTGGCCTTTTTAAACATTATTTTTTTAAATTATCTCTTTAATTTGAATAACGACCACTGATGGTAGTGGTAGGTAAGCATAGTTCAACTCTCAATCATGAATTTCCCAGAGATGTAAAATTGATATAAACAGGAAAAAAAGTGCCGAAAAAAATATGCACACACTCAAGAATCACTGAGAAATTTGATGCACACTCAAATGTGCACACTTATCACTCTTGCACTTATCACTCTTGCACTCCTGGGTAATAGCTTGTGCACTCCCGAGATCTCTTCAAAAACTGCCATGAAATCCAGACCGGCTTGTTGGTAGGGATGACACTATGGGGTGTCAAGGGGGGCAGCTGCCCCTCTCCAAAAGTTCCCATTGACAACCCGTTGGCAGCCCAATATAAGAAAAAAAGAACTGTAGGCACTTTGAAACTTTTGAATGAATTTACTTTTTTTATAAACACCATTAAATTGAAGTTCAGGCTGGCTTTATGACTCTTAGTAAAACCATTATAACCATTAGAACTATGAGGCATGATTGTTCTTGGTTTCTTCATAAATCATGAGTTTGCAAACAGTGCAATTGCTAAATATTGTGCTTAAGGAGGGTATTAAGGCACCATTTGCAAACAAAGTTTGAAAATTCAGCGTCAAAGCACCTCTAGAAGGGAAAAACTTTGTTCAGAATTACATTCTAAAGTACCTCAGCCATGTTGATTCTTAATCTCTTGACCAATTTGAATCAATTGAAAAAAAGAAATTTGGAGGCTCTTGTTTTTATAAATTGTCCTTTTGAGAAAATGTTCTATCAAAAACTGTTGCCCAGCTCCATGATTCATTAGGAATCTGAGAGGAATGAAATAACCAGGGCCACAAAGAGGGAGGCAAGGGGGCAAAGAAGCAAATTTTGGTTTCTAGTGCAACCCCTGCTTTTTGGTTCTTGAATAAAATCGCGAATTAAAGTTTGATCTCCCTGATAAAAAAGGGGCAGTATATCAGTAACAAGTACTCTGTTTTTCACGGTTTCATAAATGCACTTTTGTAGATGGAAAGAGTTTATTTTCTCTCTTTGTCTTTTTTAAGATAAGCAAAAAACAAAACCAATCAAAAATTCCAATTTTTTTTCATATCACTTTTATTCCATTACTGAAATATAAATTCAAATTGCAATTAGTTGAACAAACACTCCTTATGTAAACAGGCCTATGCTCTCCAAAATTTACCCTCTAATGTATATTCCTGTTGTTAGCAGACTAAATATATAAATACCTTGTAGGCACAATGCAAGGATCTAGAATACTTGTTGCCAGGAAACTTCCTGATGCTGCCATGGATTTGCTTAAAGAATCAAGGTAACACATTAAATTTTTCTAATGGATGTTAGAACTAGATTTTTTTAAAACAGCCAGGGTTCATTAGCTGATCCTAAACCACCAAACTAAGAAATGTTGAAGAGCATAAAATCACAACACAAGAACTATCAAATTAGTGGTTAGTTATAGATGATTTTGTGCTTGAGGATTAAGAGTGTGTAAATAAGAAATTTTTCAAAGTATTGTAATAAAAAGTTGGATTGCTTATGATTAGCTCCAAAAGAAAATTTGGTAATAGTTTCAGTCTGAAGGCTCCTTAAAGACCAGATGCATAATTATGTTATTTAATGACCATCATAAGGTAGGGTTGTTAAATGTTTAAAAGAACATAGTTTTTTAAATACACTTACTACAGCAAATGGAAACTGGATAGACATGATTCTGGTACCCTAAGAAATTTTTGTAAAAATTTCTTTACATTTTCTAAAAAATTTCTTATAGACACACGATTGATATTTGGCCATACTCTGAGGTACCCATTCCTAGACAGACACTACTTGAAAAGGTTTCTGGCATCGATGGACTTTTATGCCTGATAACTGACAAGATAGATAGTGAATTATTAGATGCGGCAGGTAAGATTTTGATGAATTCATTTGTTAATTTCAGCAAATAAATTAGGTAACTTGCATTACATTATTAAATTTGCTGAATGTATATAAGTATAATTGAATTAAAATTGCCAAATGCTTGTACAAAATTTGTCAAAATTGGTTCAGTTTAACAGTTTATAGTCAAATCCTGGTATAGTTTGAGCTTCTTTGATCTTGATACAATTTCTTTACCTTTATTCATATTTGTAAGATTATCCACTTTTTCTTAATAACCAGGGCTGCAGCAAAGAGCAAATATTATGGCAAATTCTTTTTACAGCCATCTGTTAGAATGCTTTGTTTATATTGGTGTTGCAATGCTATCCAATACTATCTCACAAAATACAAGGAAATTCTGTAGAAATTCACTATACATAATTCTATTGCTACTGCCCCCTTGGTGAAATTAATTTCTTTGCTAACAGGAAAGCAGTTGAAGGTTGTGAGCACAATGTCTGTTGGATATGACCATGTCTCTGTGCCAGAATTGAAAAAGAGAGGAATTATTTTGGGAAACACACCTGATGTCCTTACAGATGCAACTGTAAGTACCATTTTGTAAAAACATTTCAATAATGCAATGCCATTTAATGATGCTATGAACTTTGCAAGGAAGGATAACAAAGACTCAGATGCTTCACAAAAAATACTCTTCACTATTTTCTAAGAAATATACAGAGTCCAGGAAACATTATGGCTTCTTGCCTGTTAGCTGGAGCAAGTCTACCCAACAATGCAGTAGTCTTGAGGACATACATGTATAACTTGACAAGAGTATATAAAGTGAGAAGATTTTATCATTGTGCTTGAACTTTTCTTTTTTCCTGAAAGAGCATAAAGACCAAACCATTGATTTTACTTGAATTCCATTTCTAAGGAACTTTTATTCAAAATGTTAAGGGAAAACTTCAAGAAACAAATAGGGCAACATTTCATCTGAAGGAAGATTGAGTTGTTTTCTAAAGAGAAGATTGGTAAGGTTATATACAAAAAGGGTAGGTATTTCTGATTGAATTGAATCATCCAGAACGTTTGATGACTGAAATATAGTTTCAATTTTTTGTATATTTTGTAATCACCTGTTGATATTTTTATGATATTTTTAAGAAGAATGATGTTATGATGTTGATATATTTTAGGAAAGAATCAGAAAAAACCTTTTTGTTGTATGTGTTTCTCCTCTGTTTCAGGCCGATTTGACAGTGGCATTACTCCTAGCAACCTCACGAAGATTGTTTGAAGCAAATAAAGAAGCTAGACAGTAAGATCATTCTGTTTTTGTCAGATGGGGAAAAATTTGTCATCTTTACCAAATACAAGTCAGATTTTTATAGTTACAATATTGTCACTATTTAGCTAAGTGCTTAGCTGTCCCCTACCCCACCAGTGATTCCCAAACTAAACTTAAAGCCATACAATGAATTGTCTTGCTCTTAGCTATTGCATGTGGAGCTCTCCTCCTCCACAATCCTTAATAAACTCTGTAGCCCCCTCCACAATCCATAATAAACTCGGATAGTGGTTTTTTTTTTATAGAAATCCTTTCAGTCAGGCCTTTTGGAATCTGTCTAAACAGCTCTCGATTCACTCCTGGATATATATTCCCATTTAAATTTTAATAATAATGCGATGTTTAATAATCTTTCTATGACATTAAGAAAGGACGCAGACGTAACCTTCTGGTGTATTTGAGTTTGTTCATCTGATTGTTTTTGTTTGGATATCCTTTATACTCGAAAACATCATAGATGGAAATGATGAATTGATGAATAGGTGAATTGCTTTTTAGGGGAGGTTGGGGAACCTGGAGCCCCCTGTGGATGTGTGGGACCGGCTTAAAAAACAGCATTATTGGCATTTGTGGAATAGGACGAATTGGTTAGTTTTCCTAAGTCTACAAATACAATAAAAGCAAGCTAAAAAGCAGACTGAAAAGGAAGCAACCACAAAAAGCCTAACTAAAAAATGAAATATTTCTATAAATATTTCATGAAATGTAACAATACATTTCTAGCCATGAAGCTTTAAGTATAAGCAAAATGAAAAAGCACTGATAAAGTTATGGAGATAAGGCCAATATGAGTTAATCATTAGAGCACGACTTAGCTTGAAAATTGTACTTCGAGCTGAAAAGGAAGAATTTTTTCAGCAAATACTTTTCTTTGTTTAGTTTTGGCAATATGTCACAAAACACTGTTTGTTCTGGACAAGACGCCGTTGTACATGTCCTAACAAATAAAGGACATCCAGTCCTATTTGAATAGTGGATTTGAAGCTCGAGACGATGTTTCTATCAGGCATTTTAAGATTTTGAAAGCTAACTAATTGGTTAGCGATGCTGTATCGACAACATGAACTCTTAAAAGAAGTGAAATTTGGTCCTTACTTCCTTGCTACAGACCTTATCCACGGAAAAGCCTTTTGTCGTTTTTAGAGGAAACTCTTCCTGGGATACCCTGTGGATGTGTGGACCGTCGTTAAAAAACTCTGTTGTCGGCATTGTTGGCCTAGGCAGAATAGGTCAGTATCTTGTTTAAACAAAAAACCTTGAATAATGGAAAGTTTAGATTCATTTTATCAAATCTGCTGTATTGCATACCTTCCAAGTCTTGCGCTTTCGAGAATGGAGGCACAATGGAAAGTATGATAATAACTATAGGACTAATTAGGAAGAGAAATAGATCTCACAATTAAGAAACATAAACATGACAAGCAAATCGATATATCAGTTGGGTAGCACTTTGCAGAGGAAATTTTGCCACCAATTTGGTTTCTTCAGTCAAATTGCCAGTCGATTTGAATTGCTACACATATTTCCGTAATCGCGTAACTCATTTTCTCTGGATATCTTAATTTGCTTTAAATTCTATTTTTGCAACGAAATTCATTGTTTTATGAAATTGAGAAAAGCTTAAAAATCGATTTTTCATGCTTTGTATCCTGCAGATGTTATCTTAAAACTCCCAGCCATTTATGCTAGTTTCAACAAGGAAAATCGATTTATTTTTATTTTTGCAGTAAGATATTGGCCTTAGCTTACCGCAAAATGCGACAGCCTGCAAAATTGATTGCTTAAACAGGAATTGAATTATTGTATTTGATCTTTTTAACGCCCTCTTCCTTTTTAACGCCCCTTCCTCATTACCGACCATCCTAAAAGTGAAAAAAGTCAATTAACGCCCCCTTTTTATTTAACGCCGCTGATAAAAATGTTTGATAAATTGTTGTTTGGTTGTTTTGAGGTTGTTCTATTTTTTCCGTTGTATAATTTTTCTGAGATTCTTGGAAGAAATTCAGAGGATAAGGTACACAAATTTGCTTTCAGGAATTTTAAAATTAACCCTATTTTTCTAATTAACGCCCCTCTCTAATCAACGCCTAAAAACTAAAAAAATTATATTACGCCCCCGGCGTTAAATAGATCAAATACGGTATCTAGAGTCGATACTTATTTGATAACTTTCACGGCGTCACCTCGCAAAACTCCCTAACGTCGATTAGTGGCAAGGCGCGGAAAAACAAATTTGAAGCCTTCCCATAAAAGTTTCTTACAGCTATCCAATTCTGTTTTAGGGCATGCAGTTGCCCAAAGACTTGTACCCTTTGGCATCAAGAAAATTCTTTACACTGGAAGAAAGGAAAATGAAAGTGGTTAGTTTGAATAGATATCATTGCTTAGAAACATTGAATTTTATCTGACCAACGCTGTTTCGAATCTTCAATCATTTTTACCTGCGACCATGCTGTTTTAATTTTTTACCTTTCTATCTTAAGCTGTAACCATTGTGACTTCAACAATAAATTTGCACAATCTAAAAGTTGTTTCTGTCGCAAAAGGTTATACGAAAAACATCCCCTTGTCATTCCTTTATCATAATCATTATTCTTATTTGTTTTTCTTCGTTTGCTGCGTAATTTGTTTTAATTGTTGAACAAGGGGAGGGGTGGGCAATTAAAAGATATTATAGGGCTTTTAACTTTGTAAAAACGAGGTTTAAAAGTATAGATGGAGTCGAAGGGCCTTTTAAACAGTTATGTTAATAGATATTGCATGATCTTACGAGAAACTCCATGTCTTTTTCAGCAACTAAAGATTTAGGAGCAATATATTGTAAGTATTCTGTTTCTTGATTACTTGTTTCAGGGAAAATGTTAAGGCTAAAAATCTATTAATTTGTTTCTTGACAAATACAACATTAGAAAGAGGATGTTACAAGGCATAGAATACACATATGTAACAGAATCATCCTTACCCATCAGAACAACTAAGGTCCAGAAGAAAACAGCAATAAACCCAAATGGTAGTGGAAAAGCAGCACACGTTCCCCTGTCTCACCAGACACATGATAACGCTCATGCTCGTAAAATGTTTTCATAAATACTTTTCCTCGCTCGTAAACAAATCCATGTTGTAAGCAGCCTTTCCTCTGGCTGGTAGAATTCTTGGATATTTCCCCAAGTACTAAGTCCATGATTTCTTATAAAAAATTGGTACAGGTAAAAATTTGTAAAGCTTTTGTGAGAGGAGAATAAGAGTTTTGCATAGAAAAATGTTTGCATTATACCTACTTATAAGTATAATTGTTTATTTTAGTCGTATTGTATTTATGTTTTTTATGTGTCATCTAATTGATGACTTTTTGAAGATGACCGATCTAAGTACAAAGATATCACCCGTTAGCCTGTTTCATGAAGAATGTGACAGCTTGATACCGAAGCTAACAGATTGGTACAGAGGCTACTAGCAAACGCACATTCAGGTGACCTCAGGAATTTCTCCAAATATTGGGGGGGGGGGCTGACCGATGGTCTGACTCTAATTGTTTCCTGCCAGTTTGCCATTTCATTCCGAAGGCCCCTACCTTAAAGATGCTTGTTTGATTTCTAAAAGACATGTACTCTTCTTCAATCCGTGAAGCTAATGATTAATTCTGCCTCCATTTTGATAAAGCATTTTCATTTCAGCTTCTTTAGACAGCCTTCTACAACAATCTGACTTCGTAATTGCTTGTTGTGCACTGAACGAAAGTACACGAGGTGTGTATAGGCAAGCATTTTTTTATGTTTTGATAATTCAAGGCACGGGTGTTCTTGAAATTTTTCTCATTTCAAATTGCATATCATATATTGTTTCTAAATCCACTTAGTAACGGTTCTGCATGAAATCTTCGGTAGCATGTTTGACAACCTCTTCTGTTTTGTTAAAATGAAAATTAAGTGTTCTTACAAAGTGCGTTCTTATAAAACTAGAGTGTGTAACCACAATGCTTTTTTGAACTCTTTCTACATACTTTTTTTATAAGAATCTAGTTTATAAGAATATAAAGGCTCAAAATCGCTGAACTTTAAGAATAATTTTAGAATAGTGCAAGGCTCAAGCTTCATCAAGAGTAATTTAAAAACAATCTTAGGCTCAAAATAAAATAATTTAAAAATATCGAGGCTTCGAAAAATATTCTTATAAAGAAGTGTGTATCAGTAGAAGAACAAAATTTAGCGAGAATAATAGCACGAAACGAGGACAGTTGTTTGTGGCTTTTGCGGTTCTTTTGAAGTACATATGCAAATTTAGACTGTATGACGTGAAAGGGAAGCCACGATATCCATCACAGTAGTGTAGCGGGGATGGGACGGGAGTGGGTTTTGGTTGCGGACAAGTGCTTTATGCGAAGTTATAATATCATTGACTTTGTGCACAAGAACAAGCTCCCTTTTGCAGAGTAAACGATCTCATTGAAGTCCTCACTACAAGCGTGATTTTGTGTTAAAAATCTTTTGTACACAGTGCGTTATTCGCATACATTATATTCATGAATTTCTTTTCAAGAAATGTTCAATAAAGATGCATTCTCAAAGATGAAAGACACGGCAATATTCATCAATACAAGCAGGTGGGTACCAATTGGTATCAGTATGCATCTGCAGTGTTGCAAGTATATTGACTTGTTAGATACGTACACTATACACGTTGATACACGGTACGGTTGACATACGATAAGCCCTCTTTGAATAGTTTCTGTTCCATTGGAAAGGGCGTACTTCATACTTGCCCAGAATTGATGAAAAAAAAGTTTCTTCGAGTTCTTTTTATTGGAACTGTTTCTTATTTCTATAAAAACCTAGTATTCTGCCATCGAAATATTCACAGTATAAGGATACCCAAAGCACTTCAATGTTTTTTACTCATTGAGGTCTGCCGAAGTCTGGGAATGATTTTAGCAGAAATGTCGATATCACCAACCTAACCCTTGCTTCCTATATGTTATGATAAGACGGCGTCACAATTTACTCATAGCCACATATGATAGACACACATGCAGGTGTAATGTATTTGCATGCAGTTACGATCGACAGCCGATCACTTATCAATGGAAAAATTGATTTTCTTATCAAATATTAAAATTATGCCAGAATTATGCTAGATTTCAAAATATGCCAGCTTATATGCTAAAGGACAATTCTTGGCCAAAATTATGCCAAAATATTTTGAAATACAGGGGTGGTGTTGTCAACCAAGAAGATTTAATCGAAGCGTTGAAGTCAAAGCAGATTAAGGTAAATTTTGTCAACCAAACAACTTCCTTCTTTTTCATCTTCCATTTTCAGTTTTTATTTACCCTTTTTAGTCAAGCCTTGATACTGAAATTTTTAACTTTTGTTAATTGCTGTCGCACTGATTTTTATTATGTTTTTGCAAAAGATTAATCATGTATTCTACAAAAATTCATGCTAGAGATATCTTTGCATCAAATATCTAAGGCAAAATCGCAGAAGGGAAGATTCTTCATACAGAAAAATTATCACGTTTACACAAATTTCTAGAATGATAAAAATTATGAATGCTGAATTTTCGAACCCCAAACAAAATGAAGTTAATTTTCTAAAACATGGTATTTAAATAAATTGCGATTTTTCGTCCTAAGGTTTGAGGATCTCCAAAAAACAAATGCTTTGTTTAGAGCCCCCATTACTCAAACCCAAAAGATTACCACTAGAACCTTATGTTCAAGTATTTTCAAATACCCCTCCCCCCTACTGGGTGGGTATACTATGTTCAAGTATGTTCAAATCCCCCCCCCCCCTACTGAGTGGGTATACTATGTTCAAGTATGTTTCAGTACCCCTCCCACCTACTGGATGGGTATACTATGTTCAAGTATTTTCAAATACCCCTCCCCCCTACTGGGTGGGTATACTATGTTCAAGTATGTTTAAGTACCCCTCCCCCTACTGGATGGGTATACTATGTTCAAGTATGTTCAAATACCCCTCCCCCTACTGGATGGGTATACTATGTTCAAGTATTTTCAAATACCCCTCCTCGTACTGAATGGGTATACTATGTTCAAGTATGTTTCAGTACCCCTCCCACCTACTGGATGGGTATACTATGTTCAAGTATGTTTCAGTACCCCTCCCACCTACTGGATGGGTATACTATGTTCAAGTATGTTTCAGTACCCCTCCCACCTACTGGATGGGTATACTATGTTCAAGTATGTTTCAGTACCCCTCTCACCTACTGGATGGGTATACTATGTTCAAGTATGTTTAAGTACCCCTCTCACCTACTGGATGGGTATACTATGTTCAAGTATGTTTCAGTACCCCTCCCACCTACTGGATGGGTATACTATGTTCAAGTATGTTCAATTACCCCTCCCCTTCTGAATGGGTATACTATGTTCAAGTATGTTCAAATACCCCTCCCCCTACTGGATGGGTATACTATGTTCAAGTATGTTCAAATCCCCCCCCCCCTACTGAGTGGGTATACTATGTTCAAGTATGTTTCAGTACCCCTCCCCCTACTGAATGGGTATACTATGTTCAAGTATGTTTCAGTACCCCTCCCACCTACTGGATGGGTATACTATGTTCAAGTATGTTTCAGTACCCCTCCCACCTACTGGATGGGTATACTATGTTCAAGTATGTTCAATTACCCCTCCCCTTCTGAATGGGTATACTATGTTCAAGTATGTTCAAATACCCCTCCCCCTACTGGATGGGTATACTATGTTCAAGTATGTTCAAATCCCCCCCCCCCTACTGAGTGGGTATACTATGTTCAAGTATGTTTCAGTACCCCTCCCCCTACTGAATGGGTATACTATGTTCAAGTATGTTTCAGTACCCCTCCCACCTACTGGATGGGTATACTATGTTCAAGTATGTTTAAGTACCCCTCCCACCTACTGGATGGGTATACTATGTTCAAGTATGTTTCAGTACCCCTCCCACCTACTGGATGGGTATACTATGTTCAAGTATGTTTCAGTACCCCTCCCACCTACTGGATGGGTATACTATGTTCAAGTATGTTTCAGTACCCCTCCCACCTGCTGGATGGGTATACTATGTTCAAGTATGTTCAAATACCCCTCCCACCTACTGAATGGGTATACTAGGTTCAAGTATGTTTAAGTACCCCTCCCACCTACTGGATGGGTATACTATGTTCAAGTATGTTTCAGTACCCCTCCCACCTACTGGATGGGTATACTATGTTCAAGTATGTTTCAGTACCCCTCCCACCTGCTGGATGGGTATACTATGTTCAAGTATGTTCAAATACCCCTCCCACCTACTGAATGGGTATACTATGTTCAAGTATGTTTAAGTACCCCTACCACCTACTGAATGGGTGTACTATGTTCAAGTATGTTTCAGTACCCCTCCCACCTACTGGATGGGTATACTATGTTCAAGTATGTTCAAATACCCCTCCCACCTACTGGATGGGTATACTATGTTCAAGTATGTTTCAGTATCCCTCCTACCTACTGGATGGGTATACTATGTTCAAGTATGTTCAAATACCCCTCCCACCTACTGGATGGGTACATACTATGTTCAAGTATTTTCAAATATCCCTCCCCCTGCTCAGTGGGTATACTATGTTCAGGTATGTTTAAATATCCCCTCACCCCTACTGGATGGATTTATTGTAGTTGCCAATTTGATTTTTTTTGCTGTACTGTAATCTATTTTGCTTGATTTTAATAAATTCTGTGGTGGCTCTTTTTGAAAAACTCTCTCATTTCCCTCGTTCCCCGTTTCATGTGCGTTGATCATACCTTGTAGGCAGCTGGTTTAGATGTAACAACGCCTGAACCACTAGCAACAGATCACGAATTGTTTACACTAGAAAACTGTGGTAAGGATCTTATGAGATGTTTTATCGAGAATTTTTTTCCTCCTTAAACTTTGAAGCATATAGTTAAAATTAAAACTGCCTTGAATGGGTGTAAGTTGTTCTGTGTTTTTGAGATTTTCCCCGTGATATTTCGATATTTTAGAACGTTTTTTCGTAAGTATCCTTGTATCCAACATTTCAATTTTTTTTAGTATACGTCTCCCACAATTTGCTTGTGGTTTCAGGTCTACTTTTTGCGGAATTCGTTTCTTCATACCATCACCCGATTTCTAGGCGTGATTAACTATTAAAATTCTTAAGAAAAACACCTTATTGCTACAAAGTCACCCGCTCTTCTAAATACTTTAACATACCACATCTAATCACGTGCAAAACATCAATGACATCATCTTATTTCTTTTTTTCTTTGCTTCGAGTTTTCAGTTTCACTTTTTCTCATGTGACGTTTTTCTGTAATATCTACCCTTTTCAATATTAGCAACAATTTACAAATTCACTTTGATTTGGTCAATTATGACGAATATCAAGAACACTGGTTAGGTATTGCTTGCATACCTACACGACGTGTCAGAGTTGTTTACAGCCAAGAAATGATCATCGGCATTCGTGTTTCGCCATGCTCATTACATTTTAGAGAACCATATTTCTACTTATATTGAAAGTCACGTCTTAAAAGGCTTAAAACATCGTCTTATTGCTCGTTTACTGTTTCTATTTTGAGGCTGTATCTGTTGTAGTTACTGCACAACTGCGTTGTAAGTGCGGTGTGTTATTACAGACACCTAATAGGCAGGTATTGGTACACCGGGAAGTTCAAAGGGGCAGAGATTTGGTGCTCTTAGTGAGCTGCCTAACGAGGGATAAATTTCAACATTACTTCGGTTTTTTCCTGGAACTGATTTCTAGCCCTTTCCCCAAAACTGCCCATTATATTCCACCTTATGTAGAAAACAAACATTTTGAAACATACTTAAGCTTTGGTATGTTTCAAAATGTTTCCTTTTTTAAAGCCACTTTGAAATTCTGTACCACAAAAATATTTTTTTCTTTTCATCGCCTCTCCAACTCCAAACAATGATGTTTTATGGAGGTTCAAAATCAAATACATCTTCACCATTTTTAATGATAATGATGCTGTAAAGGTCCTTATTATTTTCTTTCGTTTTGAACATCTCCATAAATGAATCAATCTACTACCCTCAATGTTTAGTAGAATCTACTTTATGACTACAAAACTAAAGCACTGCGGTAGAAACCTAAAGTACCGCGACCCCCCAAATAATGATAGATTCACATTTTAACCGTCTAGTTGTTTTTCATGTCAAAAATTTCATGTTTGTCGTATCTCCTTATGGATCTTTCTTACCCTTGAATTGCTTTACAGTTCTGCTGTCGAATACACTTGTTTATTGTTTATGAAATTATTAAATCGTTCGAGCAATAATAGCTTGAGCATGGTCAAGCAGACCTGTAGGAGCATTTAAAACGCACGCGAAAGTACAAAATGGTTACTTTTTACATTTTTGTGCCAAATATACAAAAGTGTCCTAAATCTGTCAGAAAATTAGGCTTAAATCAGTATCCTTTCAAAAGCTTCTTTTCGAAAGTTTTTTGTCCGGGATGATTGGGCGGGAAAGAATCACAGCATATGTTTTATCAAAGTCTGAGTTTTGAAACTGAGTTTAATTTTCAAAGGATGCGGATGGTAAATGCTTAAGACTTTGTTCTTTTTTGAAACACTGTTTGGCCTGCACAGCTTATATCCGCTCGATCCTAACACGATCCGCTTTCATGATTCTTTGAATGATTCCAGTTCTTGCGCGCATCCTCGTCTTATTTACTTTGATATTTTGATATTGCCGTATGTAAACGACTACGTAGGCAGCACATTGAATGTAACGTCTTTAATTCCACTTACCTCTAATTTTCTGTCACATTTCCGGCAATTTTGCAGAAAGAAACAATATTTTTTTCAGGAAAATGCTTCCCGGCCTCTTTAATGCGTCACATTTGATTTGTCGATTTTATTCGTGTTCAGCGAGATGGAAAATTAACAACGCGACTAAATTCATTGTTGCGCCATAACTTTGCCGGTAAATTTCCTTGATGTTCGCTTCTGAGTACTGTAAACAACACCTGACTGGAGAATTGTGGTAGCACAGTACCACAAAATCTACACAACGCATCTACGATCGCAAGATATGCATCATCTAAAGGGCCCAACCAATGTGGTACCAGCTATAGAACATTTACCGCCTTCATTTAATTTTGCCCAACATTAGCAGTCAACGTTTTCTATTTTGTGTCTTCTTTGCTCTTTCATGGTTACATTAGATCATATTTGGTTTAATCTCCATATTTCTGTTCATTATTTGAAGTCGTTTATCAGGACTCTCAACTCTGTGACGCGACAAAATTATTGTCCCTAGCGAAACTAATGGAAATAGACTCTTTTTTGTACTTAAAATGACACTATTCTATTCCTTTCTAATTATGAATTAGTCTTCAAAATTGTAATTGATTAATAAGGGTCCAAGGTAGAAAGATCTTCTTATGCAGATGTACTTTCACAAAAAAGATTGTGCTTTTTCTCCCCTTGTGTTTCATTTACTGGGGTGTCGTCAAAAGCGCTTGCACCACGGGGGTATTGGGGCAGTGGCCCCTTGTCCTTGTGATTTGTAGTAATTTTCTTCATTGTTCTATTTTAACCCCCATCTTGATCCTTGGTCCTATCCTTGAAAGCAGGGTTTCCAGTCTGTTGCCATTGGTTTTATTTCCTTCTGTGAGATCACTTAGAATTTTGGTATGTATACATCGCTTTGTGACTTTGTGCTATTACACATTATCTCTTTCCCATAGTGGTTTTGCCTCACATTGGCAGTGCAGAGGTGCAGACTCGAGTTGATATGGCAGTGCTGGCTGTGAAGAACCTTCTTGCAGCATTAGATGGAAAAGACATGCCAGCCAAGGTCGTATGAAACAGTTTGTTCCAAGAATGTGGCCAATCACGTTCAAAACGTTTTCTCTTGTGATATGACATTTTACTCTGTTGCTAAAGTGATGGAGGGATACGAAATCTAAATGTTTTGTAAGTGCCAGGATAATTGTAGAAATGTTTCTTCATGAAAGTAGCTTATGAAGAAATATAAATGGTTTTGTTTGTCATATATTGCAATAACCCCATAGACATTCTGAAAACGTTCAGACAGTTTTTATGATCAACACCTCTCATTTTTATTGTCTTTTCATAATTAATCTCATATCACAACATCTAATTCTCACGTAAAATTTAATTGTATTGAATACAATTAACTTACCTACAAAGAACAGATACCTTCGAAAGGAGTTTCTTTGTTTCTTTTAATATTTATCCTGGTCTGTAAAAATAATAGTATGAATCTACCCAAGGTGTGTTTCCAATAAGAGAGATTTTGAGATTACGCACCCCTTCCCCCCCCCTAGATAGTGTTGATATAATTGCTGACGAAATACGTATGCCGCAACTTTGAGTGATTAACTAATGGAGTAGAGAGGGGGGAGGTGTATCGGTGAAAGTCTGTACTCTTTTGCTGTACTCTATGGCTGTACTCGATGTATGCTACCCCTCTTTGTTCAGCTGTTTTCTCATAAGCTGGTCCAGGGTTGCACGTTCTTGGTTTTTTCAATGGCAGGAGTAATTTAGGAACAGACGCCCCCACCAGCTCTCATTAACAGTATTGGCTTAATGATGAGTAAATACCTGTCACCAAATACAATATTACAATTACGATACGAATTTATGTGCCTTAAATGTCTCTTACTAACCCACAAATTGACATTAGTATGCATCATTATGGTTTGGGTATGAATAAAAGCAGAAACTTGTTTGGTAGCATCACCATTCATGCCAGGCAGCTTTCACAAGAAGTAGCGCTTGTATGGTTTCAAAATGGCAACTTCAGTTTTATGGAAAATGGCATTTCTGGTTGCATTATTCACGTTATTTATGACAAGCACCACAGCCAGTGCTAGATATAGCTACGGCTACAAATCGTGCATCGTCAGCAAGCATCGGTATGCAAGAGATGCCTTTTTTGGAAGAATGGTAAGTTTTGTTCCCCGTATTTTCCAATTAGTAGTTCTTCGTTTTGAGTAAGCCAGCCGCTATTTCGTAGCAGTAATATTATTTGTATTAAGCTAGTTACACTGACCTCGATGAAAATTAGTTTATTTCATTCTAATAACTTTTTTGAGGTATTTGCTATACCAATCACATTGTTTCTCGACATTTTCCGTTTTTCCTGCTAGGTGTTACTTCTGCTGCTAGGTTTTCCTGCTAGCATTCTTTGCTTTCTATGCAAAATATTCATTGAAATTTCGTTTTTGGAATCAATCTATCTAAAGATTTACAACTCTGTCATGTTTAAGGTCTAAGCAATTAGTATCCTATGCACACCTATATTTTTGTTTGATATAAAATGTGTGATCGATATCTTGTGGCTCACTAATAATAGCATAACTTGTTAATTTTATAAAGATTATATTTGTTTACATTTTAAATTGGTGAATGTGTTAAACGAAGTGAAAAGATATCTTGTCATCGACTATGTTCAAATTGCAATTATTAGAGCCATGCTATTTGTTTTCATGTCTTCAACTATTTGAGCTCAAACTTAATGTGTAAAAGTCCCTGATTTTTGCAGGAAGACGATTTCAGGCAAGAGGAAGACGATTTCAGGCAAGAGGAAGACGAGTTTAATGTAGATGGTGGGTAGTTTGAAAAGGTTCTACTATGGAATCAAAATGTTGATTGTTTGCTTTTGAACATGAACTTCTCCTGCAAAACCTGTCTCTCTTTATTATAGAAAGAAACTTCTGCTATTTGTGTTACAGTTTTTCAATTATTAGCAATATGCTTAAGATCAATTTTGTTCTTCAGACCCACATTATCACGCATCATATCCGACGTACATAGTGAAATTGCAAGTTCTCCACAGGTGAAATAATCTTTTTTTTTTACTCCGAATTATCTTAATTAGTTTAGAACAACTTTCGGCAAAAAGACTACAGGCAGAAAGGCTACATTTTTCATTTTAACAACAGTTTTACAGCATGCTTCTTTATAATTAGGCAATGGATTAAATTCTTAACTAAAAATTGAAGTGTAAGCTTAATTAACGAGAGAATTAATAGCTGGAATGAAGTAATATGTTAGCTTGACGAGACGTTTTGCATTCATTGATTCGAGTAGAGTAGATAGAAAGGTGTTTTAACCCTTGGCACTCAGCACACATTAGGGTGAGAAAGACACTGATTGGTCAAAATTCAGCCAATCAGGTGCGCCTTGTTTCCTGTTGGCACATTTGTTGCCATATATGGTATTAGTCAGTGACATAGAAACTAGGAAGCATTTTAGTTTGGGAAGGCACATCTTTTAGAAGGGCACTTATCATGGTTACTTGTGATCAACAAGTCCTGGCAAAACGGCATTTGGCACCAAAAACTCTAACTAAAAGGGCATTTGCAAAAGCTTGGGAGGGTTATGGTGCCCCTCGTGCACCCCATTTCCATACGTCTCTTATTTTAGTCTTGAAAACTTTCAATTTATTGCCCGGTGTCTTAATTCGTTGATGGTCTTTTTACAACAGATTTTCTGCTATTTTATGAAATTTAGAATGTATTTTCTTTATTTATTTTTGACAATTTGAAGTATTTTTGACAGATGTCGTTATCGCCTCTGCAACAGCGATGGTGCAAAGATACATGTCTTATCGTTAAAGCAGAGGAAGGTAATTGAAAAATATCTTACAAGTTTATATCGATTTAATGCAAACTTGTTTCAATAGTTAAATTTTAGACAATAAAGCTAATCTAATTGATATGCTTATAATTTTCAGAAATTTGTGAGATCGAGAGGAAATTTTTACACAACTATTAGATTGTTTGCCTTATTACCAGAGATCAATTTTTCATTCAAAACAGCAACTAAATAACACTGTCATTCTAAAGTAATTATCAAAATTGGCAGTCTTCATGTTAAAGTTAACTAAAGCTTTGATCTTAATGTCAATGCCCTTGTTTGAGGGAGGCATTCATTAAGTTGAGGCGTTTATAAGAAGAAGGCATTAGTTGCAAATAAGCGACTATTTCATTATTTACTAAAAAGGAGGGGCATTAAATTTGAGGGGGCATTTATTTCGAGATAGGGCTGTCTTAGGGGGGCATCCATTTGTAGCTAGGTTTTTATAAGAGGATTATTCGGTATTCCAGTTGTACGATAATTATTTTGGACTAATGTATTCGAAGATAGGTTCTAGAGCCTAAATACTTCTCTTCTGACTCCTATTAGTACCGAGTTCTGTCTTTTGTAGGTACGTCTCCGTCGAGGCAGCAGTTCATTTTAGGGCGGTTGTTCGTTTTAGGGCGATGTCCATCACCTCCAATAAAGTTCTCTAGTGATGGCCTCACAAAAAATTGATTTACAAATTTTTGGAATTTGAATCAAATAACATGAAAAAGCATCAACAAATGCTTCCAAATGTGCGAAATCAACTACATGTTTCAAAAATAATTGACCGAGATATTGCCACACAAGCCCAAGCTCTTTCCCTATCAAGTCACTATAATTTCGTCTCTATTCATAACCTTGTGAGCCAATAATTCGTTAGCAAGCTTCAAACATTTCATTGGCCAGATCTCCCCCAATTTTTAACATATTCACCTGACATTCAGAGTTTCAAAGTATTGTATAGTGTTCTTTTAGGTTGTATTGTCAAAGTCAAAAACTATATCGATTTTTTATGGCGTCACTTTTTAGGCCTCAAATATGGTCTTCACAAATTTGATACTTTTCTAATGTAGGGCGGTGACCCTTCACGGAAGTTTCTCTGTAGAAACATCAAAATTAATGCGTTGTCTTTCAAACTTTTCTTGAAACCTTGACAGGGCTTCATTTCAACATGTTATCTCTTGCAATGCCATTTTCAAATTTAGGCCCATGTGCACAGCATGCTTGAAACCCAGATCATGCTTCATTTTTACGTATATCGTTACTGGTTACGACACGTCGTAATATGTATAATTGTTAATGAGCCATGATTTCCGTCTTTCAGCTGTGCTATTTTGGCAAGTACTCTAAGCGGTACCAAAAGCGGTATATAACTGTAAGTTGTAAAGTGAAGGGTCGTCCCAAGAAAGTTGTTGTTGATTGGCCAGGAGACTATCCAAGTCGTTTGATCATCAAAAACATCCGCACCACCAAAATCATCAGAGCCATTAAACCCAAGTATGACTGCATTTTTACTGCCTTTTTTGTTGTTGGTGGTGCTCTTTGTTGAGAAAAGGACGTAGATTTCATTGTCTCTTTGCTGTTGTACCACTTCATTGTCTCTTTGCTGTTGTACCACCTTGTCAATGGTCGGGGAAAATTGACTTAAAGTAAAATTTAAACGTAAAGTTATACGAAGACCTAGGTGACCAACTCATATGCTTTTGTTTACGAATCTGACTCACAGAGTAACTAAGCTGTATCAATCAATTTTCTCTACAGATCACAATTGCAAGTCGTCGACTTTGCATACCTGAAGTACTGCCCCAAAACCCCGTTTATTCATGTCCCCAAGACGATTGTAATAACAGACGAAATCCAAGGGGTGAAATGCCCCACTGGAAGGCTTCGTTTTCCTGTGGGTTCCGTTCAAAGTTTCAAGGAAAGGTAAAAAACTTTCAGATCATTAAAATCAGTTTTCAAATTTATTTTCGACTGGTTATTCATTACTTGTAGTGAATTGTATGTTGTTATTTTCTGCGGTGGGAACGAGGACGGCAGTCAAACACAAAAATACTCAATTTCACTCAGCAAAGCTTCAATTATTAATTCGAGCAATCATGGCACTGCTGTTTAGAAGAACACGGCTTGATTCAAATCAACTCAAACCATTTAAATACAGCTTGAAATGCACTCACGTAAATACATGTTAAACCTGTGTCCAATTTGACTCTTAAATACACGATCCTTTATCAAATAAAGAAAGCATCCAGGTTCTTAAATTCTTAGATTCTTTTTGTGGATTTTTTCTATGTTTTTCTAATGGAATTGTCAGTTTTTTGTATTCGTAACATTATCTTTTTTCTTATTTCTCATCTATAATTGATACTTGTCTCTAATACTTCTCATATCTTTCTTTGTTTCCTTACTTTTTTGTTGTTCTTTTCATTTCGAATTCCGTGTTTTGCGTGTTAACATTCTCTGTTGGTTATTATTATTTAACCCTTTAATCTACTTTTTAGTCAATCATCATTTTATTTTAGCTTGTTAACTCTTTCTTCCAAGGACCCTTGATGGACGACTGAACAACAAAAAGATGATATTTCTAGGTGCGGCTGGCGAGAACCTCATTCGATTATCCCCTAATGCTTATGTTGATAACATTTCGATACCATCGGGTGCCTGCACCCCTGAGCAACTGGCATTGGGTACATGCCCCTTCCCTGCCGAGTTCAGTGGTACCGGATCCAACCGGCCTAATGCGAGAGTCATCAGCAACGTCCTATTACGTCAGGTTTGGGACTTCACATTTTTATTTTAGCACAGCTCTGTAAAATCGCAAGCACAAACTAAAGGCTTGCCTTTTTCTGCAATGACTTTGTCAACGAACTGCTCAAGGATGGCATTTGATAAATGTTATGCTCAAGTTATCAGTCGTGCATGGTCGTTTGGGTTTTAGATGTTACAGATACTTAATGTAAAACTTACGTTGAAATATGGTACATTAAAGCAAACGTACATCTGAAAATATCTTATTTGTTGTTTGATATGAAATAACGAGAGTGTCAAGCAATTCGAAGAGACTAGTCATGCTTGCTTGTTAATTCAATCTAAACTTATATTTTGTTTTCAGAATAAAGTTATCCCCAGTCCTAGAGGAGTAAGCGATTTGATTACATATTGGGGCCAGGTTAGTGTCTCTTCTAATTCTACAATCCCTTTTCTACAAGAACATTTCAGTTAACATAGATATCTCTCATATCAGTTCATTTTTATCTTGCTAGATCTTAAAAAATATAAAAACACAGGCTTAATGGACAGATTCTTCATTTCAAAATTAGATTCAACAGCTATTTTACTTTGAATGTTAAGCAGATTTCTGATATACGCAACATATCCGTCGTCTTTAATTTTTCGATCTATGTTATCCTGTTTCACCAATAATAGCATAAACAATTCTCGCAGTAACGTATTGTACAATTGCAGGAAGGCTGATATGTCGTCTGTTTTTAAATCCACTATCGATCTGTCTCATATGATTCATTTTGCTTGCAAAGCTGTTCTATTCTGTAATGAAAATAATTGGCCCAAAAGTCAAACAGAAAAGTTTATTTTAATGTTAACAGGCTTGATCTTATCCATTTTTTATGAACAGCTGCTCTAGACAATACCTCTTTTGTCAATAAATTTTCAAATATTCTTTTGGTTCGAAGGTTTGCTAAAGCGTGATTTCAAGATATTTTTTATATAGAGTAACTTTTTTATATATGCGGATATCAAATTTTTTTTAGTTGTCTTTCTGTTGGACGCACTTTCTTTGAATTTTTTTTAGTTTATCGATCATGACATCAGCCTTACAGAAGAGCTGCCAGAAGACTTCGAAGGTCAGACGCCCATTGACGTCGAGTTGCCAATTCCTGTTCCAAAGGTAGTGAAATCCTTTTCTTGAGACAAAAATTTCTATAAAAATTCCAAAGGAGAAGTAAGTTTTACGAAGAGCAAATGGCGTTAGGATCGTTCAACAGTCATGTTGATCATGTCAGTATTGCAGAGAATCAAAAAAGGTCTGAAAAGAACAGCTTGATGGAATTTTAACTGATAAGCCTAAAGAAGACATGATTTGCATCCCTGGGTTTTGTAAATCAAAAGAAGATTCCTCTTTTCGCGTTACCAATTAATGTGTATCGTTCTCTTACAAACTCGTCTCGGAGAACGCTTTGGCAATAGCATCTAATCTGAGTTGCTCTCTTTTTAGAATCACATCAATTTGTTTGTAAAGAAATTTTCTGTTGTCCAGTGACATTGAATAACAGTCCTCCGTTGAACATCCGGAATGTCTTGTCACTGTAACGTAGAGTATGAATCGTTTAGTTAATAGTTCGATTTACAGATGGCAGTCAAATCTTAATTGTCCTTTTCAAAGAGGCTTATAGTGTTCCCTAGTTTCTGTCAAGGCTTTTGTGTAACTGATTTGGCCTTTTTGGCTTAATAGTTTGATGCGATTTATTATTTAATTTGTTTAAAGTGGACAGATAACGTAAAAGAGTTGCCTGAGAATGTCATACTAAGAGATTGCTCAATGTTCATTTTTAGGGTGACGTCATATTTGATCCAGACAAGACAGGAGTTGCTGTCATACCTCTTCGAAGATTTAATTTTGACATGTAAGTATTATGAAAAGCTGCAGAGGCCTGGGCCATGTTGCATTATTTTTTAAATGAAAACATTTTTTTCTTTTTTATCACTGCTATAAACGAATACAAAATACAATACTCTCTGTCGTCCACAGCAGAAATAGACATGACGTCATTTTTTCTGGCTATAAACGGCACTTAACAAATACTTTAACCTTATGCTAATAAAACAAACACTTTGTGAACCATGGCACAATTTAATTTGGTAGGCGATAGCATGCGCCAGTTTAAGGTAGGTGAATAATGGATTTAGGGTAGATTTCAGGTATATTAATGAGAGCATTAGATAGATGAAGGAAGGCGAGTTGATGCGGGAAGCTAAACACTGGGTTATTGATGCTGTTGCCATGATTTTTAAAGAGCTTACTTAAACTAAAACTGAACAAAAATTAGAGTTCGCTAATCGTCAAGTTTCTGCTTCAGTTAAGTCTGTTAGTTGCTTTGATTTATGCTATGGATGCCTCTAGAACCATTCGATTGTCAGTTTCATCAAATGGTGGGCTACCGTAAAGAGCCAAATTAAGTAAGACCTGTTCAGTCAGAAGAGTGAATCCAGTGGCGTACCCAGGGCTGTGGTAGTGGGGGGGTCTGGGGCTCAGCCCCCAGAAATTTTTTGGACCACGCCCTTCAAACACTCGCAAATGCGGGGAAACGCCCTTTTTGCAAATTTTACCCCATTATTTGATTCATGTCAGCTACGGTAAATAGCAAAGCATTTTACCATTGTTATTGACACAAGCATACAGTATACAACCCCCCCCCCCCCCAATGAATTTTACATCGTTTTTGGACAATACTCGAGGACCATATTTTAGAAAAGTGGGGGGGGTCCGGACCCCTCAATTCCCCCTTGGGTACGCCCCTGAGTGAATCTGTTCAGTTCAAAGCCAGTTTTAAAAGATATGAAAGCTTTTCCTGGCAAACGGACTTTTCTTGGTTTTCGTGTTATGCATAGGTATCATTAATATTGCTTCTACAACCGTTATGAAACAAATTCAAATAGTTTGAAGAGGCTAGATGCTCTTTTCTCTAATTTTGCAAGAATTTATATTTTCACGTGACTATTATTTGTTTCATCTGATTACGTCTACTTGCTGTCGTTAGTATGTGATGAACGGTGTTCAAGTGCCATTTAAAGCAACTAACATAAACCATTCAGTGAAACCTCGTGAACTTGCAATAGCCAACGATCTCTAAACAATTTATGATCGATAAACTAACGTTTGTTTTATTGTTGCTGTTCCAACTGCCAAACGTTAACACAAGCATTGAATGCTGTAAGTCAATGCTTCGAAAACCCCAAAACCTTGTAATGTAGAGGGTGTCACAGCATCAGCCCTAAAGTTAAGAACAAACTTGAATGTATAGGTTGGTTTAGAAGAAAACTGTGATTTCATTCATGTAATGAAAGGGAAAAACAATTTGTGAGCCATTCCGCCACGCCCAATCTTCAATGATAACCAACATGAACAACAGATAAGCAGAATCATGCATTTCTTCCCTTATAGGTGTACTGGAAATGCTATTTGCAACTGCCCAAGAAGCCACATTACTGTTCTGTCGTCCTTTATTGATGCAAATACAGTTTATGGAACAAACGAGACGGTGTCACGTGCGCTTAGAACCCTTGTGGACGGGAAGCTTATCGAAGACAATGGATTTCTTCCTGTAAGCTAACACACCTCTGTTTACAATTATAGCTTGTAACCCTTTTGTTGATTATAACAATTCTCAAAGATTATTCCAACGATAATGGGTGTACTGAGTGACTTTGAGTGAGTGATGCTAACTTCTTCTCTCCTTCCGTCCTTGGGGGCTCCTCAACCATTGGCTCAAAGGCATGTGGTATAGGAGCCCCCCAACGATTGAAAGCGTAAATTACTTTTTTAAGCAAGCATTTTGCAATTGTAAATAAATTCACTTTGATATAATATAATTTTGACTTGTTTTTCAGCTAAATACCCTGGGGCTGCCCAACCAGAACCCCTTGATGAGAGACCCAACAATGCTTCGAGTAGCAGGTGACGTAAGATCGAACACTGCGCCCACGCTGTTTATGTATCATTCGCTGTTTTTGCGCGAACACAATCGACAGGCTGGCATTTTCAGAAAGAAATACCCTCTGGTAAATTTTATCGATTCTTTAAAATTCTCTTTGATGAAATCTTTGCCTTGAGTGGTAGATCAGCAGGGCAACTTACATCTATCGACCAGGTAGAAATATTTCCTAAAAAGATGCAACAAAATGCAAGCCAGCGTTGATATTTTCTTGCGAATATCGCGATTTTTTTTCTTATTGTGCAGTCAATAAACATTATACTGGACCTAGAAGTGGCGTTTCTGTCAGCCATACCCATTTTATTCTCAATTTTCAAAGATAATGTAGATTTTTTACTGCATATTAAAAGGTGCTATGTGATGTGATTTGTGTGCTTGTAGTTGCAATTCATGATATGCTTTTGACCTATCAAAATCTTCCCAGAAAGTCAACAGTACCATTGTTGTCAGATTTCTGTAGCAGGCGTCACGTTTAATTTGCATAAACGAATTAAGGCACCAGTTTAGTAATTTTTACATTTCATTCCGAGATGTTTGTTGGCAAAGCGATATTTATGTTCATATCTTGATTGCTCCTAGGCTGACGATGAAACGATTTTTCAGCTTGCGAGAGGCAGGGTGATAGCCGAAGTCCAGTCGATTGTTTTTAATGAATATTTACCTTCGCTCGTCGGTGGCTTTGGCAGGATACCGAAGTACAAGGGATACAACCCCAAAGTGGATCCTTCTGTCGCTACAGAATTCTCAACAGCTGCATTTAGGTAAGTTTATATGTCTAGACAGCCTATTGATAAGTTTTTTAAGTGAAATTGTCTCGTTTTTAAGGGCTGAGTAGCTGTACCAAACAACATTTTAAAAGCAACAAATTACTAAGTTTACTTCTAGTTTGACCAGAATGGCCTAATGATACTCAAATTAACTTTTACATTCAACATGGCTCAATATCTTGAAGTACAGCAATTTATTACTAATGTGTGAATGAAGAAGAGGTCACTGTAGCAGGCTGCGTATCTCGGCGTATTGCGGTGTTTCTTATTTGCTACAATTTATTACTACTTCGTGAAATAAGCAAAATTCATTCTTTCTTAGGATTGGACATTCTCAGTTAAGCCAATTTGTTATTCGTCTTGATGCAAAAGGCAAGATCATCAAATTTGGGAACTTGCTGCTCCGGGAAGGGTTTTTTAGGCCAGAACGAGTAACCGATGAAGGAGGGCTGGACCCTATAATACGCGGAGCAATTAAGAACCCTGCGCAGGACATTGACACAAATATTGTGGACGAAATTCGCAACTTCCTTTTCGTACCAATGTCTCCAGCCTCGATTTGGCAGCGATAAACATCCAAAGAGGAAGGGATCTTGGAATTCCTGATTTCAACACAGTCAGAAAAGCGATTGGCTTAAAGAGTGAGTCCAAAAACATTTCCCAGTTTCTTTTTACACGTGCTATTTGTTTTTTATAAGGCAAATGAAATTCAACATTTCATTTATATTAAAAGCATACAATGTCAATTCTAGGTGACATGTAGGCCAGACCGTGTGCAAGATCATTGAATTTAAATCTTTCTAAACAGCCAGCAACTATGGACTATGAACTAGATATAAGGTCTCAGTACAGTTGCTATAATAAATGGCAAGATAGTTGATGACAATTATTGAAGATGAAATTTGACAAAACATTAAGAATAAAATAACATCAAACCACATTTGCTTAACAAGTCAAAGGATTATGAATAGTACATAAAAGAAAAAGAAAGAAACTTTGTCCGTTGTGTAATCAGTGTTATATATTGACGTATGCATTAAGTCAGTAAAGAAATCTAGCCTTTGCTACACAATGCTCACCCATGGCACCCGTGCATTCTGACACATTTGTTTCTTGATTCGTCTTGGGAAGCGTTTATAACAATGCTATTCCTGGGTACAGTAGCCCCTTCTTCTCGATTTCTTTCAAGCGCAAAAAGTCAGATACTTTTCTATTCTGAAAGCTACTCCTGATGTTTGAATTTATATCTCTCTCGTAATTGGATGAAACTATTGCCATAGAATACTCCACGACGTGTAAAACATGGCGGATCTACACAGGCTTTGGTGTCTAGAACAGGGCAGTTCTAAGTTGCTGCTCCGAGTTTCAGGCTTAATGCGATCTTCAGACATCTACTGGGTTCAGACCACATTGTAGATGAGACCGATAATTTCGCCCCATATCATTATGAGTTCGTTAAAAGATAAATATCTTAATTAGCTCCCTTCCAGTAACAATATCTTATGCCTTTGATTGATCTTGTCGTAGAATTCAAATCATTTAGTGAGATCACCAGTGATCGCAAAGTTGCTGCTACATTGCGATTCTTGTACAAGGACATCAACAATATTGATTTGTGGGTAGGAGGAATCGCTGAGGACGCGGAGGAGGGTTCGGAGCTTGGTGAAACTTTTAGGACCATAGTGATTGACCAATTTGTAAGGGTTAGAGATGGTGATCGTTTCTGGTATGAAAATATTCTTTCAAAAAGGGTGAGTAGTTGGCAGCAGAATGCACATATACGTGTCCATTTCAACAATAATTTAAGTCATTTGTTCTAAGGCGTTTGATAACCTCTTGCTTGAGTTATGTATAGGAAACTTCTACCACGGCTAGCTTTCATAATCCTGTTGAAGAAAAAAGCAATACTTAACAAAAGATATTCTTGTTTTGGCTGGCAGATTTAAATCTCTATAAAGTTTCAATTTGTCGACCCGGTTTGTCGTCTGTTCCTTTTTTGGCAGTAACTTATGCAAGCTTTGTCCAAGAAGAGAAAATTTTCAAATTCACTCACCAAAAATCACTCAAAGGAATTATAGTCGAAAATTAGAAATATATGTTTAAAGAAAATCCTAGTGAAAATTTGATCTTTAATTTAAAAAGCATTATTTCGCTTCTTTTTCGTAATATATCTCCACATTTATTATTAACCAGCCTATAACTTTGTTGTGCCTGTGTTTAAAAACATCATTTCTTCACCCTAATGAAACATGTATTGATTTCATTTTCCGAAGGCTGCGGCAAGACACAGATTCGCTTTGATCGTTGTTAAACACTACATTTGAAAGGTCCAAGATATTTCATTGATTAATCTGATAGAAAAGGAGTCACTTGTTTGACGAAAACTCCCCACTTTGCAGCTTTCCTACAGTTTGTAACTACAGAAAGTCGAAATAATTATGAAGAAAGCCGAGTTTTAAAGCTTTATTTGTAAATATTTTATAACTGAGGTGTTCATTGAAAAACTGACGGACGAGCTCATTCGATGAAGAAACCCTGTTTCTGTTAATCTAATTATAAAATGGACCAGCGAAAAGTGCATAATACACACAGCTGTTCAGAGATGCGTACCCAGTGCCAGCGCGCATGGTGCATAGGGTGTAGCTCAGCCCCACTTTTTTCAAAGTAAGGCCCTCCTTTTTTATGTATGAATTGATCCTAAAAGGTTTTTTACACGTTTAGCATAGCATGGCACTGAAACGATGCAGGAAGAGTGTTTTTTTGTATTAGAAAATTTGCGTTGTCAGCAACATTTCCTGTTGGTTATGCTCCGTATATAATCTAACAGAATCGTAAAACCATCTGCCAATTATTGAAGGTTCTTTGATGAAAACATGTTTGGCTGAATTTAATTGATATTTTCTTACGAATTTTAGGAGATTGAAGAAGTTGAAAAAACAACACTGAGTGAAATAATCAGACTAAACACAGGAGTCATCGACCCACCTGCAAATGTTTTTTTCTCCACGGAGCTTTGCAAAGATGTGAAAGATTTCCAGTGTGTCAGACGTTCTGTGTATTATCCAAAGTCATACAAGTGATATGTACATAAGCTTGAACAATGATTTGATTGATCGGTTAATCACTGAGATGGTAAACAATCACACAAGACTATCGAGTGAATCATTAATTATCTCCTAATACACTGAAAGCTTTATAACAGTAGATTTCTCCTATCATTTGTAAATCACTTTTTGTCTTGATGATTATTTCAGTACTAAATCAATGCACTGCTTATAGCATTAATTGAGTTTGCCCAAATTGTTGCTTTCTTTTTGCACCTCTTCTCGTATCACACTCGAACTTGATGTGGTCCAAAAATCTGAATAGAGATGGATTTGCGAAGAACGCTATAAAATTGATTTTTATGAAACTACAATCGTTGCCAAAATTGTTGGAAAACTTACAAAAAACCTAGGAAATAGCAAATGCATGGAGGGGTGGTAGATGAATCCTGGAGTCAACTTTAGGACGTGATTATTGTGTTATTATGATGTTCCATGTATTTCTTGCAATTATGGTGCATCTAATGCAAAAGGAGGCTTTTTATTTAATCACTGGCAAAGCTTCTTGTCGTTAAATGATAATCAGTAAATTTCATGATATGATTCATAAATTAAAGAGTCCGCAAAAATTGTTTTTAAAATCGCTGGGTTTATTTGTCGCCAAGCATGAATGCCACCGCCAGAATATGATAATATTCAGTTGGAAATTAGTATGTCGTTTACATCATTTGAATTGCCCTGCAAAATTTAATCAAAATAGTGTGAACACATCTACATCACAGAAAAACTGCTTGAGATGCAGAAGCAACTGCACAAATAAATTTCCTGGTGTTTTCCTGAATTGGGATGGAATTTTTCATTGAATTGAATTATGTAATCTCGAGTCACATGATGCTAAACATGCGCCTGGATTGGCTAATCGCGAAGCCTATACGACTGTTTTGCCGTGAGGTAACCAGGTTGCCGCCACAGCAAACCTAAGAGTTAAAATTAGCAATTAATCAAATATATACGGATATTTACACCACAAGATAACATAAGCTTATACTGGAAGAATTTATCAATAAACCTTTGTGTTTTTCAACACATTTTGGTGAGTATTAGACATGATTTTGTTCTTATTGTGACTGCAATTTCGTAGGCCTAAAGCTCTGTCACTAAGGAATAGTAGATTAATACCAGCTTATGAGTACATTATTCGCAATTTCCTCATACTTGTCATGATCCAAGGAGAGACAGTCAGCGATGAAAAATGTCAGCCATTAAGTAGAATTCAATCGTTTCAATGGATAATTTTTCATAGAGAACCCGGAACGATTTAGAGATGTGTTAAAAACAGGTTTGGAAAATGGTTGTAAATAAATTTCTGCACTGTGGTAATAGATAATGGTATCTGTTTAAAATAAATGCTGCCCCGTTTAAGATAAAATAGGTATAATCTGAATACCGATGTACACAATTGTTTTATTTTTCGAAGATATTTTTCAGGTAAATTTGCAGTAAAATTACCTAGAAGTATATCTTTTAGATAATTTGTGTCGCGCTGTCATAAAAACAAGAAGATCGTGATCTTCATGGTTCGTTGCTAATTTATCGGTATGATGATTTCTGATTACGCATAACTGTTCAGAACAATTTTTGTTTATTTACATGGGTTCTGGCGCCGATCGTCTGAAAAGAGTTTAACATGTTTAAAAGGGTCAATGAACTAGAAATACCTGCTGCGAACCTTTATTGAACCTGTCGATGGTAGTTGTGCTTCATAGTATAGTGCACCGGGAGCAATATTTTTAGAGATTTTGATGCATAAGTATGCTGAAGGAAGTGTGTTTGCGATATTTAATAGGTAGTCGGTATGGTTTTTAACTGTAATAACCCCCTGACAGTTATTGGCTTATCTTAATGGTTATTAATTGTGGAGTGAATGGAGAACTAGGAAACGATGGCAATTTATTTCTTTAACGGAAATACTTGTTTTTCTTGCCGTATAGCGTAATGTATAATGAGTCTTAAAAAAATGCATATTAGAGACATAATGAACTATGGTGCACCAATCAAGGCTATATATTGTCAATAACAGGAGTGATTTTAAGAGGATTATACCAAAATTTGTGCAGTATGATTTGTAAGATTAGGAAACAATACTTAAATATCTCAGTTGCTTTCTACTATTTCTGTCAATCTTAATTTGTTTATATAATAAGCAAAAGGTGTAAGATTAGCCTTGGAGAGAATTTGCAGTGTTAAGAAATAAATTGAAATAGTTTGAGATTTGAATTTTATGTATGAATATAGTTAAAATTGTTTATGCATGTTTTCTGAAGATAACATTTTGTGATATCCTGGATTAAATTGCAATAATCTTGCCAGCAATGATTTGATGTTGTTTACACTGAAGATTATCAATTAAAACTTATCATTTAAGTCCTTCTACCTAAATCTATCTCTTTGTTGACAAGGTTGAACTTAATGTATATATTTTTTAAGAAAGCAATCAATTTAGAATTTTCCCTATGGTATATATTTTTTATATTCACTTTTTAATGTTTCTTCTTGTGGATATAAAATTTGAAGAGAAAAATCTTCTATCAAAAGTATTTTTGGATAACTGAAAGCTGATTGAATGCAGTAAAGAAGAAGAGAAATAGACTAAAGTTCATATTGAATTAATCATGATTAGATAAGATTAAGCAAATAAGTTTTCATGATTTGATATCAATTATGTATTTTTCTGTAGCACACAAAGTTGATACTATCCATATTGTGTTTTGTTTGTTTGGTTGAATCCTCCATTAAGTATGTTTTCACTAACATCATATTGTCTTTGTTTGAAAGTAATGATATGTCAGATTTTTTAATCTATTTTAATGAAAACCACCCTATTTAATCATCAGCTGTATATATAATTAGATTTCTTTATGTCAACAAAATGTTGAGGATTATACCTAATAATAGAACTATTGAAATATTTACATACATGACTTTTTATCCTAGACCATTACAAGGTTTTAAATTCTGCAAGATTGAGATTGATATTTGAATCAATTAAAATGGAATTTGGATGAGCAGGGCTTGCAAATTCATTTCATGGCTTTGTATTTGGATGTAGCCAATTTTTGGGAGGCTTTTGAATAAAGATGCAATATTGCAAATCTTCTGATGGATGCAAATTCAACACTGAGTCCAGTAAGTGTCATTTTTCATATGTTATTTTGAATTAGGACCTTACAGACCTGGAAGTAATGACCTTGGAAAGTGCCAGATCAGTCACAAATGTTTATACTGGCACCCTACAACAACAAACAAAGAATAAAAATTGATACAAAACATTGTTAAACGCGTTCAGTTAAATATTAAAGTTGCAAATGTTAAACATGAATATGAAATTGTTAATAATCAGTTAAATCTTGGCAAAATACAAGGTCCTGATGGCACATTCCTACTCATTTGGATATTTTGTGGCTGAAAATGCTAAAAATGCAGTATTTTTGTGAAATGCAATTAGCATGGTCAGTACCAAGTTACTTGGAAAAGAACACAATCTCCATTTATAAGAAAGAAGAAATGCTTGTCCAGGAAAAAGCTCAATATAAAACAGTAGTTTGGACATTCCGTGGATAGTTGTTTTCCCTTTAGTGAAAAAGAATGGAGATACACTGTTCTTTCAAAAAATATTACCTTTTAAGAACCCTTAGCTGCACATAGCCAATTTCTTCAAATGCTCACATGGCTTGTAAAAGACATCTAGTACCTAACTTAGTACAAGTTTGGAAGTTAAACATCAGAAGTTTGCTATGTAATAGCTAATTCTGTCCTTTGAATAAGTTGGTAATAAACAAATTTTGTTCATTAGAAAAGGGTTCAATGATGGTGTTCTTTTCAACACGTTTTTTTTAATTTTTTTTAAATCCTCCCTTTAAGTATTTCATCTTCTGTAAGACACATCTTACAATCCTCCTAAACCATTATCTGCTTTGTATCCTTGTTACCTAAGTAATAATCTTTTGCTAAGAAACCATAAAATATTTTAATCTCCTTTCATTTATTACATGGTAGCTAAAAATATACTCAGCTGTGAATTGTTAAGACCCAAAATTGGATCTTATATACCTAAAATTTCTGCATTTAATTCCTTTGCTTTGTTTTATTATATCTCTACATGTTTTAAGCTCAAATTTTGCTCCTTGGGACCACTTCAGTTAAGGGAACCAGATTTTTTGGCTTATTTTACTCAAGTTCTGGATAAAGTCACCACTTAAGATTCCAGAGAATAATCTTTATTTTAAATTCCTACCAATGTCGCTCTATAGATGAGCTTTATTATTGATAAAACCAAAATTTTAATTTCCAGGAGCTCAAAATTCCTTTCATTGTCCTCTGACTTGTAAATGTCACCCAGTAATTTGACTTTAGTTTGATGAATTGTAAGGAAAACTGGTTAAAAATTATTTCTTTTTATTATGCAGCATTTTATACAAGATTTATAAACTTAGATGTATTGGAAATGTTATTGAAACACATAGAAGAATTATACTTGATTTTTATATTTTTGTTTCAAAATAATGATATTGACTAAATTCGATTACAAAGGATCCTAACTATGAGATACTGAAAGTGAAATTATGGAAAGTTATTTAGTCGAGAAAGGAGATTTTACTTAGTTCCCCAATAAATAAAAATCCATTAAAAATTTTCTCTTCACAAACAAGGCAGAAAAAGGACATTAAAGTTCATGCCTTTAGGATTTTTATGAGATTTATCTTCCTTTCATCAGGTCAAAGATAAACGCTTTCTTTCCATTTGCTTTGTTTAAATTGACAATGTGCGTCGTTTAACTTCTTTCTGGTTTCAAGAGGAAATGGCTCCTAATGTTACATCATTTCTTTTCTCCACCCAGCTTCTTTTGCATTGATAAACAGACCTGGTCTTCTTCTATAAAACTATCTCCGCTAATGTACTAAGCTGGCGTCAGCAGATAAAGAAATTTGTATGCTCGTAAATAATTAACGGGGAAAAGGAGATTTATTGTCTTCAGCTAAAATCCGTTTTGTTGCTACGATGTGTTGTAAATATGATAAATCATTTAAATTCATCGTAATAATTTTTTTTTCAATGTCAAAAGATTTTTTTCTTTAAAGTTACGTAAATTCAAGTTTAGTGCACAACCTCAGCGCCCCTTTTCATTTATCCGTTCTATTAAGTGACTGATTAATTTCTCGTCCTTTTTTGTGTTTGAAATACTCAAAATAGCTGGAGAATAAACGCAACTTTTTGCATAAACATTCTAATTCAGTATGAATTCCAAAATCAACAGAATTTTTGCGGGAAAACTGCACAAATCAATTCTCAGTGTTTGCTGACTCAGTTCCAATGAGTATATTGAGTTCGACTTAACCCTATATGCATGTCTTGTGTTGATAAAATTTGTTGCTATTCAGCTTAGAAATCCTAGTTAATTCAAGGATGAATCTGATCGCTTGTTTTAAGAAGATTTCTTCGCAGAGCATCGGCATGTGAAATATTTTGTAAAGATATTTTAGCGCATCTTGATCCAAAAATCTTCGACGTAGATTATACGCCTTGCTTCTCAGTACGGCCTCAAATCAAATCCAGCAGACCTTGCGGGATTATCATGCCTTTGCCTATAGCAGGAACGTTGTCATTGATATATTGTTGCCTGTGGTTTCTCGATATTATCACTTAGGGGTACATATACTCATTGCACCTGCCATTGTCCAGTATGAAACGAAGATTGATTCACCTGCCCTTATCTTATTGTGATTATGAAGGCGTTGGTGCTGGGAAACCTCAATGGCGGTGTACTGCCAGCATCCTTGGTTAATGTTCAAGCTCATTTGTCGTGTTAAAACTGTCTCTGGGTCAAATACATTAGCAATTTATTCTCTTTCTTTCGCTTGGTACCAACAGCGAATATCAACTAAACAGCTAGCAGATTTCATTCATTACTTTGTTTTCCTGAATTGATTTGCCTTTAATTGTAACTTGGCGCTTTGATAAGTACTAAGGATTTTCAGTTAATCTTTTAGTTTTCAAAGCTTATATTTTATAGTCCGTATTAAAGGCAAATTAATCTTTAGTTTGTTCATTATTGTCAGTTGTCTATGAGATTATTAAGTGTTTGGATGTTGTTATTCGTAAATTTTTGCGATGGATTAAGATGTTTTTGAGCTGTATGTTTATTCTCACTTTTGCAACGTATTTTGTATTTTTCTTTGTTGAATAATTCCAAGTCTGATTTGGTATATTCCCGAGGATACACAAATACTTGGTCTTACCCTCATTTTGCTTTTCTAGTTGACCTTGAAGTTTGTTTTTTCACGAGATCATTGTTGATGCAGAGAGCTCGTGATATAGATGGGGGTCGAGAAAAGGCATTAAAATCGAAAGTACATTCAAAAGTCGACTAGGTGTTGCAGGAATAGTCAGAATTGAATGTTTAACTTTTGTTTTCTGCGATCAAATGTTTGTAATTTTGCAATATGACTTTTTGATATAATTAACTAGTGGATTGAATGTAATGACAAGGGAAATCGGAATTGGGAAAATTTTCTTAGTTTTTCAAAGAGTTTTGCACTCACTTACTTTTATTTTTAATCCGTTGTTGGAAAATCGACAAAGCATTTGGTGGGGTATGTGCTATGCCAACCAATGCATTTAGTAATGCCATATCCACACTCTGCTTCCCAGCTCTCTCCACTTTATGTTGCTCTCTGCTGCCACTGATACGACCTATTTCAAAGTCATTCATCATTGCTGTTCAATTGTTTTAGAACTCACCTGTAACCTTGGCAGTGATACCGGCTTCAGAATCGGCATATGCGAAAATGAAGAAAATAATCTCGTCCCCTCGTGGCAAACGAAGAACAAGTACTGCAGGTATCTTACTATTAACTGTTATGGAGCCCGTGACAACTCCATTAATATTTATCCCCTATTTTTGCAAACCCCTTACCTATCTATTATCTGTTTTTCCCTTTTTGTTACAGTCGTGGCTGTATTGTATTGTATTGTATTGTAATCGTATTGTATTGTATTGTATTGTAATTGTTTGCTACTTAGCTTCCAAAGATTGTTTTAGGACACTGAAAAGCTATGCTTATCGAGCAGTCCCTCATTTGGACTTCATTCAGTTTTTCAGACAATTTAAAAACACAGCTACTTACAATTTAAAAACCCTGTAAATGCTGCCAGAAAAAGATTGAGAAAATGGCAGTTAGCCATTAATTTTTTGCGATCCAGTGTCGGGCCCCATATAATCAATATCCTGTCTGCCATCTGGCTGTGGTTTCACCACGACATTTGTATCAGCGAACCAAAAAAACCAAGAAATTGAGCAAAGAACCAAGAAATGAATAGATGTTCTTGCATGTTGCCACTATAGCTTCTCCGAGTTTCTCTGCACTGTCTGTGAACAGCTTTGCCCCAGTTTACGAATCTCCTCATAATCTTTTGATCTTATTTTCTTGTTCTTATTAAGGATCCACCAATTCAAAAATTTTTGGAGTGCCCCTTGATGACATTGTCCAACGGGACAGCAACGATAGTGGTGTTCCTGCTGTGGTACAAAAAATGTGTCAATTCATTCTTGATAATGGTGAGTCATTTAATACCAAACTCAGTTGAAACCTAATAATTTTCCTTGTTCTCTTTAAGATGGTCCAGGATAGCGTTTGGTATCCCAGTTTTGGCTATGCAGATAACAAACTTGTGCTTCGCAAGTTTGAAGCCTTTGAACTGTATATTGAAATAGCAAGGAATTGAAAGACTTTGTAAAAATAGCTTATATGAATTTGAGATATATGTGAATAATATGAAACCCCTCCAAGTAACCATAGCTTATCTCAACCGTCTAATGAGGAAGTCCCAACTTTTCAAAACTCTGTTCTGTAATGAGCATTCATAAAAGTTAAGGTTGCCCAGTCATACATCAGTTGTTATCAGATATGACGAATAATGTCAAAGAGCACTGCTAAGATACGTGACTACCAAATGGGATTCAGCATCATTTGTAAAAGAGATCATGTGGCAACGCAGAAGCTCGCAGTTTCATTAATTTTTAGAAAACTAATAAGTTTAAAAGCTATTTGTGCTGGTTGATATGCCCTACTGTCTTTGACTTGCGATCATGCTCAAATATGATTGTTTTCTCTGTAATTTTTATTGATTTTGTTTAGGGATCATCACTGAAGGAATTTTCAGGGTTAATGGTAACATGAAGACTGTCGAAAAACTGAAGACCCAGTTTGACAAGAGTACGTTACTTGAAGCGGTTTCAAATTTAGATTTATGTCATTTCTCTTAAACCATCCCGTTTATTAAAAGAACTAATGTAAGGTGTGTATACCTGTATGCACCTATAGCTCATAAAATATATGTGTGTTTATAATATGATTGGGAATGATTGCATACAAACTGCTTTCTGTAAAGGGTACTGTGACTCGTAAATGTCTACACGAGTGTAACACGAGGACAATAAGATAGTCATTTTTCATGGTCTGTTCTACTGGCATCTAACTATTTCTCCTCAGAATAAGGTTTGTAATGCCTGTATAACGGCATGTGGTGCCTTTGAGGACAACACTTTCTGCTCTTTTCAAAGCTCCAAAAACAGTCTCTTTAAAAAAGAAGTAAAAAAGTCACGGCCCTCGTGCAATTCTCCCCCTCCATTGCAATCCCTCACTCTTTTCCAGCGACAATGTGTAACAAGGATGTTAATAACATAGCCATATTAAAGGGCTAAATCCAACGTAAACAAAATTGTTTTGAATGTGGAATGAAGAGACTTTTATGCTATTAAGTATCTACAAAAAAGCTAGGTTAATCTAGAAAGCCTTTTCATTGCTTGAATTTTTTACAGACGGTGATGCAGATCTCGAGGAGACTAATGACGTCATGGCAGTTGCGAGCTTGCTGAAGATGTTTCTGGTTTGTTTTTTAAATATTTTACAGTTCTGTTTGCTCGCAGTTGTGTTTCAACCTACCATGATAATTCTATCATCGCTTTATTATTTTTCTCCCTAGATTTTCACAATATTACAAATAGGTTCCTTATTATTTCTTTATTTTGCTAAATGCTTTACTTTTGAACTTTATATCACGAAAGGTGACAACTGGGTCACTTGTATCTCTTTCAAAAGTCTCTCAGTTTTGCTATTGTTATAAAGGTTTCCCGCGTTTCTAACTTCTATTTTCATCAAATCGTTTTTGTGTTTTCAGCGCGAGCTACCAGATTCTGTTATTCCATATGACATGCAACCGTCTTTTATAAAAGCGCATTCTCAACGTAAGTGTGGATTAAGTCATCTTATTTATGATCCTTATTCTCTTGCTACGTGGTTCAAATCATGAAACTGTTAGCCAAGATCAAGCAAAACCTAGACTAATAAACAATCAATGTAATTTTGAACTTTTTCGATGGATAAACCTAGCCCCATTGTTCATGATATATGGTTCAATGAGTACCACGTATCTGTTTAAACAAAGCAGAGGTCAAACTGTTTGGTTTCTTATGAATTTCAAACATCAAATGAGTTGGGGACAGCCTCCGGGACAAAGGAACCTGTGGAAAACCCAACAATGTTTTCCCTTCACATGGCTCAATCTATCTTACCTACTTAACCAGATTGAAAGTCACCCTTATGAAAGGTGCATACCTGCCAGATCCAGTCTCCAGATCTGTTGTTTATCGGGTTGATCAAGACAACTTGTATTCTGACTCATCGCCAATCTACACCCCCGAATGCCTGACTTAAAAATACACGTTAAAACATGTACTCTTCCCTTACAATGTTGATCTATGTAACCCAGTAACTAAAATACATGTTAGCAAGACGTGCTCTCTGTGCCTTTGCTGTTGCTCTCTTGCTTGGGTTCCCTTACCTGCATGTAGAGAATGGGATACAAGAAATGAAGATTGGATCGACAAAATTAGACAAAAAATTAAACTTAAAACTTTTATGTCATTTCTGTTTGTACAATGTTTTGTGTTATACCTATGCGATACATTTTTGCTTCATATAAACTCAGACATACAATATTTCATTGCTTTTAGTTAGAGAAAATAAAGAACAGCACCTAATGGTTCTAAGGTAAATTCATTTTCTCTCTTGGCCCCTCCTTCCATTATTCGCACCTTTTTTCAAACAGTTCCGTATGATTGTTTTCTTTTGGGAAAATTTCATTTTGCTTTGTGATTTTCATCATCAGGTACCATCCTCTATCAGAAGGTTGGCCCTCCAACTATCCCAAACCATGACCCTCCAACTATCCCAAAATCTGAGTTTTGGTTTGTTGTCATGGTCATAGATAAAACTAAGGGGCTAATAGTAGAGATGGGCTCCAGAACCACCTCTACAGTGTTTTTAAAGGGACGCCATCCCTCTTTCCAGGAGTTCTTCCGCACGAAGCGGTTGAACCCTGGAGTCGTAGCTCATCCGCCCTCTTTGCCGGTCTCCCGCCGAGTTAGCCGTTGGCCATCGCTCGTAGCCCTGAGCTAGGGAACCCTGCCAGGTGGTACCAGTCGGGTCAGGCTGGACCTGCAAGCTAGTGGAGGGAAGGGACGCTTTAATTCCCCATTTATATCCTGTCGGAGCATGCCACTGCCCTGTGATTTTACTGTGATTTGTGATTTTACTCTCCCTTAAAGAAATTGTTGAAAAAAGCCTTTCCATCTTTTTCATAAAATCACACTGAAGTTTCCTTGTTTAAAAAACCAACAACTTCATTTTAGATGATCTAATTCCAGATATTCATGCTTTTACTGTTTTTTTCAGGCACTTAATACACAAGATGCCACAGTCAAATTTTGACCTTTTGAAGTACTTAATCGAATTTTTAAATCAAATCACAGATAGTTCAGGTAAGCAGACCGTTATCGCCAGAGAAAATATAAACTTTCGTCGTGATAAACATAACCCTGCGAACAAAGTCGTTTTAACGTATTTTTATGTCATTTAGCTTGCAGTAATTTTTTTGATTCATTGCCATCAAACATTGCTTTTAGATTTTTTCCCAATCCTTTTATGAAAATGACCCTTTGCATTGAAAGCTTAGATCATGATAGTTGTAGCTCTGTTGTTTTTAGCAAATATTTGTTTTTATCGAAAATATTTTCATTTGTTTTTAAGAATAGGGACGATTTTGAAAATCTCTGATATCCCCTCCATAATCTGTTAAGCACCTTTTCACTGTTTTGAACCAAAAGTCCTTTCATCAAGATCTGAAAAAAGTTTTGAAATATGAAACAGCTTTTTTTAAATTCAAACATTTCTGTTCATATTCTTTTATGTCAATTCATCTTAACAAAACTTCATTAATCTTCAGTATTCCGTTAGGCTGCTGTTCCCCTAGTAAACAAGAAACGCTTTTCACTTTCATCTTTATTTATCTTTATCTTCCCTTTGTTTTATCTTTGTTTCAATCTTCATTTTTATTTTCATTTAATCATGGTCACAGCTGTGAGCCACAACTTTTTGACCTTGCTCTTTATGAATGAAACATTTCCCATTGTTAACTGGAAGAACCTCACCACTGCCTAGCCTAGCTTTTAACTTTTTCTTTTTGCAACAATCGCCAGTTTTTGTATTTATATCTGACTGAATATTCGGCGATTTGTTTCAGACACGAACAAGATGACTCCAGTAGCTCTTGCTGTTGTTTTTGGACCGAATATATTCAGGTATGTATACGGACTATCTGTATTACATAGATCGTTGTCTTCAGTCGATTTTTATCTTTCTTTGAATGCTTATCTGCCTTCAAGGTAAATTTAAAGTTTCAGAGAAAAGGTTTGTGTTGCAAATCTAATGAAGTTCGAGGGGCGCTAAATTCCAAAAATTCGGCATGTGAATTGCATTGTGGGATTCAAAATCATCCCAGCGAATTATTCCAACCTTGTCACATTTGGCTTTTCCTGAAACAATGCAAGACAACCATTTAACCCCCTAACCCCCACCAACCCCTAAATAACCTGATTTCTCTAACTGATATCATGATGTTTCCAATTAATTTGTTTTGATGTAGTTTTTTAATTTTTTCAAAGCGAAACAGCATGAACATAAACTGTATATTTTCTACAAGTGCATTAACAGGTGGTGTTAGTTCACTACGGTTTTCACTCAATTTTCAAACGTTTCAATCAGCTGTTTTGCTCGATATTATGTTGCTGTGTTTTTTTTGAAAAGGCTGTTACGCCACCTACTAGACTTTTTATTCCTTTCGTTGGTTCTTTATTGTCGGGCAGATTTGCTGAATCTGTTTTGAATAAATGAAGTTTTCATTTCTTTGAGAGACTAACAATTGGCTTTGTTCATCGGTTCATGTAAAGCAATGTTTACCCTCTTTGGATTCTTGTTTTGACTTAATTTACGAATCTGGATACAATATTCCGATTTAACCACATGTCATACATGCCATGGAGTTTTGAAACTGACCACGCGAATCATTGGTTTTCCATGGTAGTCCGGGGTAATATGACATCTAATAAATCATGTTGCCTATCCAGACTCGCTATGTTTTGACTTGAATTGACGTCACCTTCCAAGCAACGCTGACTTAAAGCCTTGGGTTTAAACAAAGCATGGCTGTTTTTTCGATTTCATAGCTGGAATACCTTTCGTGATTTTCATGAACAACAACAGAAGTCCGTCATCTTTCCAGAAGGCTTCAAATCACCCTGGATTCTAAACTTTGTAGCTTATCACTTCATGACGTGGGAAATTTGTCTTCTTTGATGTATTTTGAACCGTATTTGGATCACTGATTGACGTGATTGCTTCATCAAGCTTCGGGGAATCATCTCGAGCTATCTTTATGATGTTACTTGAAGTAACGTTTTAGTTGCTTAACATTATTACACGCAGTTACACACAGTTGATACATTGTTGGCGTCCGTTACAAACACGCTTATCGATCGTGCAGGTGTGTCAAAGGGCTCTGATGTTTACTAATTTACATGTTCGTCTATGCCTGTTTTTGCCATAGGGCAGTTCCTATATAAGTTTGAGTAAAGAGTTGCTCGTTTCATTCACAGATGCAGCGACACCCTTCAAGGGCTCCAAGAGCAGGCCTGTGTCAATGCAATAACTTGTAAACTCATAGAACAAAGTGCATACTTGTTCGCGGTAGGTGTTATCACCTTTGAGAGCTTTTCATTTTTCAGTGCCACTTCTGTCCTTTCTACAAATAAAGAAGTATTTCTGTCGTTCTTTATTGATTGTTTAATTGGTCTAAATGCTTGTTTTAAGAAGTACCAATACATTTTTTATTTTTTTATGATGTATCATTAAAACAGTTGCTATATGATCGCATTGAATGTTAAACCCAGAATAGCAACTTAGAGCCGTCCTGTTCTTTTCACCAAAAGCGTGTAGAGCTCTGCCTCCACAGCAACGAGAACTATTTGACAGACTGATAAAAAGTTATTTCTATTTATTTTCATGTATATAGAAATCTAGCCCTTTCAAGTAGTGGTTGGAAGCCCGAGACAATCTACAATAAAATCTAAGATCGCTTGGCTCTAGCAACCATATGAATATTTTGTCCTCAAGGACCATTTACTCAATCTCAGTTTAAAATCTTTTTTCTGATTACTATGGATTGTTAAAGTTTAGCAGCATTATCAGGAGGCAAAAGAATATTATTTTTAGAATTATCCAGATATTGAATTATATGGTTGTGGAAACGTTCGAGCAATTTTGAAATTTATTGTAACTATCTGTCGATTTTCCCTTATATCATCACCAGAAAAGCACCATTTTATTTGTTTATAAAATCGCTACTTTACATTGCCTCTAGAATTGCACTTGTAGAGTTTGGGGTTATTAAATATGTACTTCAGTTTTCTTTGTTCCTACTTTTTCATTTTGTTTTCTAAGTATGCTTTTTGGATTTCAAAATGCGAGGTTATAATTTTCTCAATTTTTATCATTCTAGCCCAACACCTCAAACCCAGAAGATACCCCTCGCGTTAACAACGAAAGGTACACAATCTCCCCTCCCCCTCAAATCTCATCTCATCTCAAAATCCAATCTCTAAAATTTTGTCTGAATATCACATCTATAATTTCCTTACCTGAATTTGGTAATTTTTTTATTTATTAAAAATATTTGATAATGTTTTGTATATTTTTACCTGTACATGGAACCCACTTGTGTTTCAAGATTAAGCTTTTTATTTGTTAATATCCAAAAAAATTTATACATTTCTCAAACAAGATGGTAACTCCAGAGAAACAAAATATTTGTCAAACTAAGAAACAAAAGATCTCACATCCTATCCTTTATCCTTGCCTCCATTTAGCATAATTTATTACTCTTGCTGACGGATTTTTTTAAAAAGGAAACCCAGTACAGGATCGATCATAAGACGTCATGTGATAATTTTTTATTACACAAGGCTGCAGCTAGCGATGCATTTCATGCAACGTAGCTCTTCTACTTTATAAATACTCTGTTTGTTTCTAAACTGAATGTTTTTCTGTTTGCTGTTTCACTAACCTTTCAGTAAGTTTCTAATGAAATACTATTTGGCGCGATACAGAATGTCTTTAGAAACTTCTTCATTGTGTATTGACCCTAGAATTCGCAGATCAAATCCTGCGCGCCGATGACAAGTTGTCTTTTGTTATCAAAGAGAAGCTTTCGTTTGTTTGTAGTAAATGTAGCTATTGTTTGAGTTTATTATTTTGATCTTTTTGTCATAGCTCTGTTGGCGTTGAAGTATCACCCAGGAAAAAGGTAGATTTGCATTCTTTGAAGCGACAAAACAAATCAATTTTTTCGTTTTTTGGCTGTTATCATAACGTTGAGCAGTTCAACACAGGGTCATCCTGACCTTATTAACACAATAACCTTATTCGTTGCCACTCAGACTTTATTTGGTGTCATTCACACCTTATATGTTGCCATTAATACCTTTTATGGTGTCATGGACACCTTATTAAGTGCCGTTAAACATAACTTGGTGCTTCCAAACCTTATTGAGCATTTTTAGGTATATTTCTGGCTGCGAAGTTTTCCATTTGCAATATCAATCGAATGGCAGGTGATCCATTCACTGATAGGATTATTAGGGGTTTGCGGGTTCATTGGGGGCAATCACTGCCTTATATTTTTGGCTGGTATCGACTTGAAGAAGATATCAACGAAAATCCGCCGTAGCCATGGTATTCGTAATTTTATCCATTTTCAGCAATGTTATTTATTAACATGAGCACAGATGCCAGTTTTAAAAGCCAGATTGTATTTATATGTCTTATTGAATTCCCTTTTAGCCTGCTCGACCGCCTCCCCCCAAGCTGACACAAGGAGCTACTTCCCCAAGAAAGGTCTGCGAAGATGAAAACTCAAACATGGTGGATAATGGAAATGTTATTGCGGGAAGCAGCAAAGATGGAAAGAATTTGACAGAAACTCGACTGGAATTGGTCAGGCAGGAAATGCCATCTTCTGATTCTCGCAGTTCAGGGCAGAGTTCAGGAGGCAAACGATTTCAGAACTCACTGTATGTTTTACGAAGTGTTTTTCGATATTATGAATGTCAAGGTTGCATTGACAATCATCTTCAGCAACCCTGTGTTCATGGACCTGATCTTCATTGTGTATTCTCAATAACTATGTTCATCACCTTTGTCTTGACAAACATCAAAACAACATACACACCATCATTGTTTTCCCCATCTCTTACAAACATCTTCTTCATTTATCTACTTCAGTCATCTTTATCAAACATCTTCTTCCATCATCAATGATCAGTCATCTTCTCCCATCATTTTCTTCAATTATCTTCGCCATCAGTCATCGCCATCATTTTCATCACTCTCGTGATTAATTGCCACCATTTTGATAAAAATTAATCGTCAACGATCAAGAAATCAACGATCACTATTGTTGAGTGATTTCAATCATTGATCCGTAGAGTTATATCAATCAACGAACCCAATCGCAGTCAATCACCTCCAAAACCAGTCAGACACATTTCAGTTCCAATGGCCGCCTCCCCAAGTCGAAAACAGTAAGTACTGAGACGGGAACACCATTTGGATTATCTTGGTTAATTTCTGTGAAAGCATTCAATAGTGTAAAGTTTTTCAAGAGAAAAAAGCTTCGCAACTCTTTGAAACATATTTTGTATCATTTTTACTTCCAGTCAAATGAATAAACAGCAATTTTTGCTTTGGGGTTAGATTGAGCTGGGATTTAGGCTTGCTTGCTACAAAGTCCTAGACTTGCTTTGTGTGGGTGAATTCAATTGGTACCAAATATTTTACATGCTAAGGAAGAATAACTTCACTTCACAATCAAAACTAACCATCAGTTGCCTTTTGCAGAATACTGGATAACACAATTCACGATGCTGTGAAGGAGCATTTATTTGGATCGCATTTTGTGACGTCATCGTCAGAGTCAGACACACACGTATGTTTGGTATTCCTCGAAGACGCAGATATTTTCGATCCGATTTGGTTTTTATTTTAAGGCCGCTTTATCCCTCTCCAGACTGTAGAGAATCTATCAAACAGAATATTTTGTTATGTGCGAAATATTTTTCAATCTGCAAAAATCAATGACTTGAAGCCAAATCTTGTAAATCAATAACTCTATTGCGTGCTCAGAGTTTCGTTCTTGAAAAGCTACTGAGGGATGTTTGATAACTTGTTTCATTGTTAAGAGTGAACTACTGGTTTTCTTGGTTTTTATTATTATAATAACATTCCTTGGTCTCTCATTGTCCCCGGCCCCTCTGAAGAAAATCAACAGAAAATCGTACATCCGTAAGGCCTTGACAAACAGTGGCTATTGCTTTAGCGTACTCGAAAAATTATCTTCTTCCTCCTCCCACTGTCATCATTCCAGATACCGGCTTGGCGAAATGGTTTGATCTCTGCTCAAACAATAATATCAATTTTTTGATGCACAAAGTCACTTTTAAGTTAATTCTGATTGTCTCTAAATTCAAAACAACACGCTAAAGGGATCTATGGCCTACCTAGATATCATCACCTCGAGCTCTGGATCTTCGTGATCGACAAAAAGTTTCTTGGCTGCTTCGACGGCAAATCTCTTCGTTTCGTGCTTATTATTGTATGAACTATTTTAGTGCTTATTTTATGAGAGTTGTTTATGCCAATGCTGAACCTCCCTTTTAGGGGAATGATGTTACAAATTCTCAAGAAGAGAGAACACAGGGTATGTGACGCTTCGTTTGATCCTATGTCTAGTGAGCAGATGGTCAATGGTTTTACTTGCCAGAAACTCATGCTTCCCTACCTAATCTATCATCTATTCAATTTTTGACCCGTTAATTTCTGGAAACGTCTTCATATCATTTTCCCAGATCAACCTCTCCTTTTTCTAATTATCCTTATAATAAGCCCGTTGAATTTCGTTTTATTCTGCCCTTTGAAATAAATTGTATTTATTTCTTAAATATTCCAAGCTCGGAGTATTTTCCCTGTCATTCTTTGTTTGTCTTTCCTTTTGAAGTTTTCTCCGTCGCTTAAATCAAATGATAACTTTGTCTTCTAGACTTAATATTTACACAAGTTTGTAATCAGTTAATTGTAATCGTCATTCTAACGCCGGTTGACGTCTTCACAACACTCCGTAATAGCCAAAGCAGTCTCCTGAAAAACTGGCAATATCTGTTTGAGAATAAATCACCTCCCCATTTCTTAAACACAATTGGCTAAAAATCTCATTATTGCAGCTGCCTGACCGAAGCAAACTGGAATGATTGAAATGCTAAAATTCTTACTTTTGATCCTTGGTGAATGGGATAGGGATTCCATTGAAATTCGAATCTGATTTATAACTTGCTACACCTTTTGGTCTTCTTAATAGATATCTGGCGTTATTTGTATCACTCTGAAGCGATATCAGTTGCCTAAAAACCTGTATCCTCATTAATTTTTTATTACACTTGCACTAGTTTGATACATACATTTCTTAATGTACATCTTCGCGTCGCAGGTGATTCAAATCAAACGCCTATTCGCGATATGCTTAAGAGATACACCGCCGAAAAACTATCGGCGGCGGACAAGAGAACCAGACCTGCAAGCCACTCGCCCGCCATGTTCAGCCAGGCAAATAACACAGGAGACACGGTAATTTATAGACGTTATTTTCAAATTTCTTTTTAAACAAGGGGGCTGTAAGCACAGAGGTAACAATTATTATACATTTTTAAAATACTTATCGATGAGAATTACAAGCTGCACTTCAACTCTAGAGATTCTATCAGGTAGATGGCCAATCATGCTCTCTTGTTGCAAAATACTTCAAGGGCTGACAAAGGAGAACCCAACAATGTTATTTACCACAATAATGCACAAAACAAATTATTTTTTATTAAGAATAATTAATTATTTGTTAATAAAAGCTTTTTGTTGAAGCGATTAGAATAAGTAAGACTGTCGGCGTCATAAGATATTTATCTAACGACAAAGATGTACTTCATGCTCTGCAAGCTTACCTTAACCAGATCGACCTACAGAAAATAACATTTACGTTGCCATCTTCTCGTTGCCATCTTCTCGTTGCCATCTTCTCGCTGCCATCTTCTCGTTGCCATCTTCTCGTTGCCATCTTCTCGTTGCCAACTCACCGTTAACACCTTTACATTAACACTTTTCGTTTTCACCTCAGTTGTCACCTTAACGTGACCACCTTTTATCCAACTTCAATTATCTTTATGTTTTCATCTTCACGTTTCCACATTTACGACACCATCTTTACTTTGTCTCTTTTTTTGACCCCAATTCCCCCCTCCCCAATTTAGGTCCTCTCGTGATTATCATTCAATTCAAAATCCTAATCTGGTGATCTAAAGATAATCTTTTCGATATAGCCTCCTTTAGAGACGACAGCTCGAATGAACGAGCCCATCGAAATCAATCTGAAGTTATTTGATGAAATGAAAGACCATTGGACCGGTACTTTGACTAGCGTAAGTGTGTCTTTTCCGTTATGGTTACGGTTGCGGTTACATCACAGTTTGTTTTCTCTATTCTATTAGTTTTGCCTAATTTTGTAGCTGCTTTGTCGTCCTGTTTTTGTTATTGTACAACAATTCATACTTTGGTGAATGCAACATGAAAATAAGCTTTTTCGCATGGACTCGAATTTTTCCACTTTTTCGTGCAATTCTGAGTTTTTCTAATACGTTGGGAATATTTACATGACTGTAATTGTCACTAAAATGTTTTTTTTCTCTATTAGCTCACATGCAACAGAGCCCCGCCGCCAAGACGAAAAAAGAATAATCGATTGCAGAGAAAGACGCAATCTGAAAACATCGATGAGTTGATCAAAAATGGCACTGGCTATTCCAGTCTTGAAGTTCCGTTAGGCCGACAGAAAAATTCAGATTCAAACGAACTTGATATGGACTCAGTGTCAAAGAATGACAAGAATAAGTCTTCTAACTCAGAGAATCCACTTTTGATTCGAATTAAAAATGGGCGATCGGCAAAATTACTCAGCGATGTATGTGATGATGCTGACGAGAATGAAAACAACCCCCCGAATGAGTCGATGGTATTATCGTCTTCGATAAAGGTAAAAGATAAAACCGCGGAGGTAACGTTGTGCGAGTGTATAAAGCTCGAATGATACTATTGTCATCTGTTGCAGACTTCTACTGTAGCATTCTTCGCTTGAGAGAGTTTACACAAAATATTTGCCTTTTTTATGTTTACAGTAATGTTGGAATTTTTTCAACGTAACATGCACATTGCTATCCAAGGATTGTTTTATACCGTCAGGATGAGGGCGTCGGATAAGAATGCAATGAATAAGAATATTTGGCCTATGAAAGCTTTTCAAAATGATATCTAATAAAGAATGTTATAATCGTAGGGGGGGGGGGGTGGGCACATGCTCGACAGCATGAAAAATCAATAGAAAACCGTTGGAATACCGAGTTGGGTTGCTCTAATACTAAGCTTTCGTGTTAACAAAGTCAATCTTCAAGACCTTTCAAGTAGGCCTCCAATTTGCAGCAGAACTATGTAATCACATAAAGAGTCGTTTTCTGCACCAGAACACCTGATGAACTGCCTCTGAGGTACCGTTCATAACAACATCATTCAAGTGTCATCTTTTGTATCGCAATGCATCTCATGTATTTACTCATTTGGTTTATTGCAGCCTGAAAATGGTGGTAGGCCAATTGTGCCACCTCTCGATCTGTTTCGAATGCAGCAGCAGGAAGAGACAGAGGGTATGCGCTTTTGATTTGTAAATACCGCTTACATTGTTGAATATCATTCACGAGAAAAACCGTTGAAAGTTTCTTACCATGATATAACTTCATATTATTGAATTTACTCTTGATGAATGCTATATTCTGAAATGTGCCTTTTGCCCCGCCAAATGGGCTTTAAGGAAAATTATCATGGCACCGAATTTTCTTGGAAATGACAGGCAAACATTGCCTGTGATTGATTAACTAATATTTATCAATCTGAATTTTCTTCCAGACCCAGCAACCAGAATCTCACCAAAAGAACGATTTTCTCAGTATGTTTTTAAAGCTTTTTTCATCCTTTTTTATATCATTGTTAAAAAACACAAAACAAAATACAATATTCTGTGCCGTTCACAGCAGAAATAGACATTACATCATCTGGTTCTTGCTATGATCACTTAACAGTTGCTTTAATTACAATAACCTCATAAAAGTAACACTGTGAACCAAGGTACCATTTCATTTGCCAGGAGCTTGCATACGCCAGTTTAGGGCAGGCGATTTCATGGTTACGGGTTGATAACAGGCATTAGAAAGACAAAATAGGTCAAAGTAAGCGAGTTGATAGAGGAAGCTGTACACTGGGTTATGGATACTGATGCCATGTTTCACATAGAGCTTATTTAAACCAAAACCCATAAAAAGATAAAAGATCATAAAATATTTTTCAGTTTTATCACAACTTTAAAAAAATTGTATTTTACTTAGCTGAAGTCATATTTCATTTTCATCTGAATTATGACAACTCTTCGTTTCTTAACTTTTTATAAACAACACTTATGTTTGTGTATTTCCAAGGTTTATCTGTGTAAAATTTTCCAACTGACTTTCAAGTTAGGAATAATTTCAATCAGTTTGTCTTTATGATAAAACTAAACAGATTTGCGTTATCGTATTACTTTAAGAAGCTCGTCACACACGCTTAATGTTTGATTTCCTATGTTTGCCTGTGATTCAGTTCGCATCACCATGCTTTTAACCTAATTATGCTACCAAGCACTGAATTCTGATTTATTTTGTCTTCTAGTGTTCTTGCTGATAGCCCAATTCGATCTCCAAGATATTTTTCCAGCGATGGCCAAAATGAAAGGCAAATCGACCATAAACAGCAAATATTTCTAGAGAAAAGGTATGTTTTTATGCAATTTGTAACTTCGCTTAATGATAGATTTTCTATGTTTGTGGAAAAGGGAATGTTTTTATTTATTCAATACCATGTAGTTGCTCTGTTACCTGTTACCTGTCACATATATGTTACCTGTTGGTCAATAATTGAATCTTCTGCTCAATACTGGATCAAATCATAATGCAACAATACTACTTCGGCATCAAAACCTGTATCATGTTACTTATATTTCTATCTAATTAGACACGTAATCGTTTTGCATGTTATGTATTTCATACCTTAGAATTAATGGAAATTACAGAATTTCGAGTTGCTCTCTTTGATTAGTAACTATTTGCTTTTTAGGCAGGACACAGTGCCAGTGTTGGACATGTCTGCAAAAGATTTAAAGAAGCGAATTGAGTGTGAGTAAAGGAAGTTTTGAAAGGTTTTATTAATTAATTCTAGGAAATAGATGGCGGCTGTTGCCGACAATGTTGGAAAACCAAGAAAGGAGCTCATTATGTTGAGATCTGAACCTGCAGTAAGAGATCAGTTTCACATATTAAAGCCTTCCCAATTGTCGTGATTTGCCCATCTATAATTAAAAGAAATGACTTTGTTGTTTTGCAGCTCTCAAGAAAATTATCGCAAATTTTGAAACATCCTTCGAAGAGCAACATCATCGACCGGTATTTGATATTTTTATTGCTATGATATTTTGTGTTGGCATGTTGCAATTTACTGTGTTTACATTCTGTTCTTTATTCATCACAATCTGTGTTTATTTCTTATTAAATATAATGATTAGCTTAAAATTGGATTGAGCTAAAAATTACTTGAAACCAAGGGTAATCACCTGTTTTGTTGTTGTTTTCCAACTAGATTTAGCAAAGATTGTAGGTAGCTATCAGTCAGATAGCTGATAGTTTTCCAAGTTCAAGTGAAGTAGGATCCTTTTTACTGGTTACTTGGTACATACTAGAACTAGAGTACTGCAAGCGTCCTGTTTGGGACCAATTTTACTCCTTACTTTGACAAGCAGGATTCCCAATAACGTCTGGCTTCCCTTTCAGCCAAAGTCGTCCGAAAAGGCCCAGGTTAATAAATATATTGCAGAGCTGGGACGTGCCAAGAAACAGCTAAGAGGTGGGTTACTAACAGGACTGTTGCTATAACGTCATCGTGCTTTCAATTTCGGTTCTTCCTTTCAGTATGGTTTGGGTTTATACTAACATCGGAAGGTTAAACAATGAGCATATGTTGTGTGATTAAACTATTTTTTTGTCGTATAATATAGCAGTGTTTAAGGCCGAGGTAAACGATGATTATACGCTATTTATTTTATATAACAATGATAATGAAAAAGTGTCAGAAGTAGATATTTACACCAAGGTATCGATGTCACGCGAATCGATGAAGAAGAATACAATATATTGAGAAGAGTAAATCAAATCTATTTTGATTTCAGGCCAAGAATTTATCCAGATTTTGAAAAATGTCAACATAAATTTGAAATACATCATTGTAAAAGATAGTCTTGTTATCGTCTTTGTATTTTTTATTTATCATTTTTTATCTTAATTTCATTTCAGAACTCATGACCACAATCAAAGGTAGTGTACTAATGTTTCTTCAAATTTATCTTCCCGTTATATCACTGTTACATTTGATCTCACAATAGACATAGACAATTACCTTTCTCACAATAGACAATTACCTTTAAATTCTGCAGTTTAAATAAGGCGAAGAGGAAATTTTTCATCCTTTTACTGGCGGCCAATGAGACAAGATTTTAGAAACTTTCCTGAAAAAAATGAGAATACACCCTGGTCTGAGTGTTGAACCTTTAGCAACGTTTTCTTTGAAAAGGGGTGTCTTCCTCAATGAAAGAGCACTTGTCAACATAGAAAATTCAACTTGCTGAATAATAAATGTTTGCACCCAAGGGAATGTCCCTACCAATGGCACCCATCCCATTCTCTTTACGGTTGGTAGCCTATATCCTGCCACTTTTCTGGGCTCTGTTTTGTTGTCAAATTGAGAAGCTAAGAGACAATTAGTGGCTACCATCTTTACTGCTGTTAACAGCTGCTGCCAGTGCAAATCTTAGCAATCTAGGACAGCCGCAAGTCCAACCTCACTTTGCTCGAGAAACAAAAAGCAGGTAGAGAGTTTTTCCTCGAGCTTGTCAGTAAAAACTCCATCACTTTGTTTGTTAGATTGCAGATTGCTTAAGATCGGAACAAATTTTGATCAGTTTTCTTCTTAATCAGAAAAAAACAGGATTGTCGGATGAAATTAGTCGCCTAAATATTTGATTTATACCGCAAGAGTTTCAATGCAAGCCAAAAAAAACGAAATCTGCATTATTTGGCATCAATAGTTTTATTTTCTAGCAAATAATACGAAGTTGTGTTAATCTGTTCACCGCAAATTTCCTTTGAATATAATGAGCCTAGCGTGGTTTGAATCAAAAATGCTGTTTTTGGATTGAATAATATAGATCTGTCAAGGTTTATTTTATTAAAAAACGACTGGCTCTTTAAATCTCTCAAAAAGAAGCAAGTGGACGGCAAAAGAACTTCCTTAAAGGCTTTATAACATTGTACCTAACCAATTATGTCCCAAACCAGATATGTCCCAAACCAAATTAGTCCCAAACCGAATATGTCTCAAACCATTTTAGAAAGTTTGCTGTTGCTCTGCAGTAATTCTTTGTCATAACTTTCAGTCTTGAAATTATGTGGCAATTGCATTTTTATTGTCTTCGATTTTTTAAATTTTACGGTAAAGGGATACTGCAGTTTGGTTTTTTCAAGGATTTAAAAAATTCATTGAAACTTTATATAATCAGAAGTACTATCTTTTTACGATTTGCTATTTTTTTAATTTGCTCTATTTAAACCCAATTTGACTGCTTTTCCTAATCTTTGTTATCATCCCTTTATTTTCAATGAAATTGAAGTAGCTGTGTGGTTCACTATCTTTTTTATGAACATTTTTTAAAATTCTGTATAAATTGGATCAATAAAGTAGAAAGTGAACATAATGTTTGATCATATGGATGAAAATTCTGGGTGTTCACTGTTGTACAGGAAATACTTTTATATTTACATCCTGTTCAACTCATCAAAATGTTCATTTATAGATAAATAAACCAACATTTTAATAACAATTGTATTTCTGCTTTGATTATTTAGAAAACCAAGACAGGGGCGACCAAACTGGTACTGAGGCAGTCAGTTTTGCACCAAACTTGAGGGGTATGTCATTAAAATTTTGTGGTTACCTGATGATTTCGATATTTTTATTTGTGGCACATGTGGTAGGGGGTAGCGGCTGTTTTCGTCTGCGGGTGGGGGTCTTCTGTTCCTTGTCCTGCACTTGTTTCTTTTCTAGATTTCAACACGCTGATATCGTTGCCTGACATCTAATGTGAGACAGAAACTTCACATTCCTTTGTAGTTTCTTTTTATAAAGAATATTGTAAATTTTTGAATTGCAAGTTACTTTCATGGTGATTTCTTCGATGACCTGGAGCCCATTCCCGCCATGATAGGCACAGTAGTTGTCTGTTATTGGTTTTTCGTCTTTTATTGATTGTGTAAAAAAGTATTTTTATTTGTTTCTGTGTCTTGATACGTCTCTTTGACTTTAAAAGTTATTCTGTCGCATTTCACGGTTGAGGCGTGTCAGAGAGTTTAGCAAACGAGGTTTTTGCTGTTTACTGGAACAAATGGAGATTTGTATTCTTGACAGGGGTATTGAATGCATTTGAAGCAATTTAGAGGCTGCAGAGAAATTCAATTCAATCGAAGACATTTTAATTTTGGGACTAGGCAAACACAGTTGGGAATTTTAAGAAACTTGGAAACATTAACTCTATTATTTTAATTTTAATTTTCAGACATTAAAGTTCGAGGTGGAAAGCCATCGAAAGAAGACACATTGAATGCTTTATTGAAAAGGCTGAGCGAAAAACGATCAGTTTCTGGTAGACCGGAGGAATTAGAGGTATGAACCAGATAATGTTTTGTTTTGTAAATGCTAATCTAATTGTAACTAAATGTCTTCAAAATTGTTTATCGTTAGCTTATGCCGATGTCTTTAGCACTGTGACATTTCATTGGATTCACTTGCCGGGGAGAATTTGACAGGACCAGATAAAGGGGCTGGAAAGAGTCGAGGAGCTTGCTCCTCAGCTCAGAATATAATTGGCACAGTAGAACTGTTGTCTGTCAGAATGTATTTCTCTTTGTAATGATTTCTACAATTCTTCTCTGGAAACGTAGGTAAATCTTTATAGGGTTTTTAAAATGATCTTCTGTATGGTCCCAAGGTCGTTAGAATTTGGGCTGATTTGTCTTAAAGACGGGCATTATTTTCGTAATGATTTCATATTTAAACATTGTGATCAGATGGGAGCCTAATCTACTGCCTTTTCAGATGATGTCACCGGACCAACTGAAAGATGAAAAGTTAGCCGTGCAAAAGGCCTTGCTGCAATACGAGAACCTCCATGGAAGGCCGGTAGGTTTTAGAAGGATTTAATACCAGTGATGTACCTCCTTACATCCGTCTTGTTATGCCGTACGTAGAGATATACTTGCTTTCAGCAAAAATTTCCTCGTCATGTTTGTTGCCACCTAGCAGCCAAATGTCTGTATGTTCGAGAGGATGTTAGTGTTTTGACGTGTTTTTGCAATATCAGCAAGGCCTATTTGTCACTATCTAGCCCGGATGATTTGATTTCTTCTGTTAATCGTTTAATCTGTATTTTGTATAGCTTCAACCATACTTAACACTTTTATAGATAAAGTATCATTTGTTATACTAATTTCAATGTCCTTCATTTTGTATTACTCTGTTTATTTCTGCCTAGATATCTTCCAATCTCTGCTCCAACATACTTCAGAATGCCTTTGCACTGTAACACTGTCTGTATTAATTAATGTTGATATCATTTACCTTTAGAGCTCAAAGGAAGACCGGACGTTAATGCGGCCGATATACGAACGATATCGTAAAATCAAACGATTAATTGCGACCCCTAGAGTAAGTTTTGTTTTCAGTTATTTAGTCACTGGAACTGGCAAAGAATATTTCTGTTGTCACTCATTAGATTACTGTTTTTGGAAATTTTACTGTCTAGATGATTTTTCTATAATTATTTTTCACGGTAGCACTCCAAGTTTTTGTAACGATAAAAAGCTGCATTTTCAGTCTCTAATTTCAAACTTTACTTCCAATTTTAAGCCGTTTGGTTATGGCTTTACATAGCAAAGTTTTATTGAAAAGAAGAGAGAATTTTATTTCCAATCCTCTACAATTTTAGGATAAGCAAGAAGAAAATAATGCGAAAGGGGAAGAAGTTCCTGACACTGGAAGGTTTGTCAAGTTTAGTTTCTTTTTTTATGAAGCTTTGAAGTTTGACGTCACATATTATTCTTTTCTACTCGTCAGCTACTTTCAGTTGCATGAAATTCATACGAATGTTCCTGCTGGTGGCAAAAATGCATTCAAATTAGAACTTGTCAAATAGCTGTGTGACAACAAAGGCGAATAGGCACATTATTGCGTAAATAACCAGAATAGAATGACAGAAAGAGGCAATAGATAATAATGAACAATTATTGTTGAATAATTTGTGACGAATTGAAGGATAAAATGGATATGGAGTGCCAGAGAAAAGGTCTAAAAACCAACTTTAATGAGGGCATACATGTAGAAATGGGGGGGGGGGAGTGTTAGGGAAAAGTGTAGGAAAGCCTATTAATGATTTTATACTTTTATATGTAATGTTTTTATAAACATAGTCATTTGTTTAATTTAGTTTATTTTTTCTGTGTCTACAGATCACAAGATTCGTCAGACAGTACGGCGAGAGACCTGCAACCAATAATGGAAGGTAATTACAAGTGAAAACACCACAGCATCTCCATAAACATGAAATCAAAACTCTAGTACATTCATCTCCTAAACGCTAATTTTTTTATTAATTTATCTTTGTTAAATACAATCACATAATGAAGAATAGATTTGTTTCATTCAACTATTTGCTCAACGTCCACCCTCAAAAACTTCCGCCTTATGCGTTTTCCACTTTCTGAAGATGCCCTTTTTCAGTAATCTCCTTGTCTGAGAGGCTTTTTCAGCTTCATTTTCCAGGTTAAAATGTCCGATTTTTCGAGACACATTTTCTAAGTAACTGCCATCCTCCTTAATTTTCTGAAAGAAGTTAGAGAAGGGGCAGTAAACCAAAAACGTCCTCACATTTTCCGCCCCTGGCTTCCACGTTCACAAACTCTGCGGCATCTCCTCAATTCAAAAGAGTTATTTTCAAATTTGGCTTCATTTTTGTCATAACTTCCTTTCAGGTGAATTTCTTTCTGGCGCAAAGATGAGCAATTCATCAAAAGTTAGTCTCGTTTTAGAATTATTTTTGTTTTTACGAGATGAATAAAATAATTTTTATTATATTTAAGAAGAATGGTTCCTTATTCCATGTTGAGTAAAAGGAAAAACTGTAATTTATTGATTAAAAAGATATACATTTATAGATGTAGTTATTTATGAAAAAGATATTAATCTGTTCGCAGATTAGTAATGGTAAAAGCGAGTCGAATATTAATGATATATTTCAGTTGTTGAAACAGCCCATTTTTCGTGGTCATGAAGCGTAGTTTCTATTGCCATTTGTCCAAATGCTCATTACGGTTTCAGATGTTATCATAATTCATTTTCTTCCTGATTTATTTTTCTGTGTACATAAAATGGACTTTTAAATCTTTTATCAACAGACTGACGATCCATTGGCTGGAAATGACAATGGTCTCAATGATACTTTCAATATCACTCGAAAACCAATGGATTTCACAGAACGCTTTGAAACTGAGACTGATGTTAGTGAGCCAGCAGTCACCCTAAACGCACCAAAATCGACCACTTCGCCCGGAACGATGAGTGAAGCAGTTCTCCATGACGCAACTTTGTAAGAACTTTGTTACCTCATCAGGATATCTTTAGATTGATTTTAGCTGTTATCAATGTTTGGCTAACTTCCTTTTTTACAAGCACACTAACTGATTATCTTCAGCCAAAAGATTTTCTTAAAAAACTATCAGCTCAGCCGAGTTTAGCCCACTTCTTTAGGGAATTTGTCTTAATCCAGGTTTTCTACGTTCATTTCAACCCGGATAGGCTGCGTGTACACTATCAAGCATTTTATCTTGACTCTTGAACTGAGAATAATTAGCATAGTTTAAACAGGGCTTTGCAGCTTAAAGTCCATCGACAGCTACTTAACTGGCCTAAACGATTTGCCATTTAACCATTGGCCAATCAATAAGTATGTCAATGGTATTATGTGGGCTTTGCAACCCAACTTAACAAGAAATCGCACCTTTCGTGTGATTTTAGTTTCTAATTGCTATTGACTGTGCATTTTTACAAAAGAAGACGACAAAGCCGTTTGCTCTTGTCTCTTGCAATCGTTTTAAGCCTCTCGTAATGCGCTAAATCTACTTGATATTAGGCTCAATTCAGTTCAACACTCTGCATATGCCCCAAAATCCTATGTGGCCGTGTTGGGAAACCAATTTCCTATCCCTATTCCTGTCATGGACATATTTATACCTATCGATTAGGAGCAAGATAGAACTAAAACAGCTTTTTTAACGTAGTCTTAGTAAGGCACGGCTTTCCGAGGCAACTTACATGTTGTAGCACGGTAGATTTTTTCTTTGCCTCAGTTATCATGACGTCACTTTGTTTATAGAGACGAGTTACTCAAGCAACAGAAACTGGCGAAAAAGTCTCGAAAAATTCTTGGAAAGAAGCTGAAAGATTACGAAGATGATTTTCTTGCTACTACCGGCAGGTTAGTTTATGACAATCGTGATCACAGTTTTTTGCCCTAATGTGGGAGAATATATGATGATGAGATGATTTAATGATGACTTGATTCAATCATAAAGTGATTAAAGGATTAGGTGATAAATGATTCGGTGATTAAATGATTGCGTAACGAGTTACTCGGTTTATAGCTGGGTGATTTGAGCAAAATCCTAATCGATTTATTCTAGGGGCTTTTTATCTTCAACTCTAAGTAGTTTTTCCAATGACTTGATTCCCTAAAGAAATAATTTCATAACAATGGTGCGAAATAATCTGGTGTTGTAAACATCTTTTCTCCAATGTTATGTTATAGATGAACGTAATTGACCGCATAGCCTGAAGACACCTGCACAATCAGCAAACATGTTACAGATTGCCTGAGACATGGGTGCATGAACAAATGCCCTTTCCCCACCAATTGACTGTAATTTGGTTCCTATTCTTACGTTTTTTTAGCTTTGCCAAAATAACAATTATCTGTTAGCAGTACTCGGATCCTTCCCTGACTATATCTAAGGAAATATTTTACATATTAATGGCTGAATTTGCACATTTAATGGTATTTGACGGTATTCGGTTTGCAATCTATTACTCCCAAATTTACCCTCTCCCATAATTCTTCCTTCAACATTTCCTCGTCTCTAAATGCCTGGTCAAACAGAGCTCTTCAAGCTTCCACCAATTTAACAAGTTTGATAAAGGCCTTTTTTTTATTTGACAGTTTTCTTGCTTTTTTCATTTCGATGACCAATATATTAATCAGTCAATTCTTTTGATGATAGAAAAGTGCAAAAAGAGGACCGAGGCCCGTTAGAAGAGGACTACAATGAGTACAAGGTGATGACAGCTTGTTGTTGTTTACAGAATATTTGTTGTTAGATCAACGATAAAGAATTGATTCTCCCACCATCCTCGGTTAAACCAAACAATTTTGGCTAAACCAAACATCAATTAGCTTTAGACCTCCAGATTGAGCCTCTTTCTAATTTTGATTTGGTGATGCAATCCTGTATGCCCCGGATCGATGTTTTTTGTTCTGAATATATGCTGGTACAAACGATTGCCAAGCAAATGGTGCACGGGTAATACAACCCCTTTTTTATTTAATGCTGAATCGTTTAGTAGAATGATTACGAAAAGCGTTTGCGAAAATTTTTTAAAGTTTGAGATCTGGGTCTCGTGTGAATAATGATTTTTTTTTCATGCTTCTAGATATTCAAAATAGCTTAATTTCAACATCATGTCCGTGTCCCATATTCACCTTTCCCTTTTCATTTGTCTGGTAAACACACAAGTAACACTTCAATTATTTGACAATTTTTGGAAGGGTTGTTTTGAATTTATTAGGTAATATTTGAAATTTTGGAAGCCTCCATTTCAAAAGTTTTGCAATTGTTTCAATTGTAGCAAATCCGAGCGCGGCTGCGACTTCTGGAGGCCTTGATCAACAAGAAGAAGGCGAATCAAACTGTCTAACTGATTTCTCTTAAATTGCATATAACAATTCTTCTTACAAATAAATGTATAATATTTATATCATATCTTTATTTATACAATCATGATGTACATAATGTAAAAACACACTTGATTAGATTCGATTGTTTAGTGTGAGTGTAGACTTAAAACCACGAAGTATCTGCTACATGACTTCTTCTTTCTAGAGAGACTCATCACTTTTGTAAGCACAGTAGCAATATGATGAGGCCACGCTATGTTTTGTTTCTAGGAGTTGCTAGATTTCCAGGAACCCAATACCAGGAACAACTTATTTGGTTATGTTATTTTTTAACCTTATTTTGCCTGACTGGCTACTACAGCCTGCATTCTACCCTCCAGATCCCACAAGGGATGTGTTCTTAAATTTACGATGAAATCTATCACTTCAGTTTTGTCAGTTTTTTCCCTACTTTTTTATTAATTTCAGTGCAAAAATTAAAAAAAACGCCAGCAAATTACCGTTATTCAGTGTTGCAAATTCTGTTTCTTCGATCATGGGTTCCCAGTGTTTTTATTCTGATCAAAATTTCTTGTTTGAAATCGGTGTTTACAATAGGAAATGCAATCCAGAATTACAAGAGCTTGAGTTTTGAAATAAATTGATATTTTCTTTACTGAAAGGGTTGGGCTGTTTGTCAATCTTAAATATGTTGTCTGGAATCAGTTTGAGTTGGAATAATCGAGCCTTATTGTGTGCAAAACAAACAAAATGGCGGATAAAAGGAGGTGAAAATCGGTCATTTAAAGCGAAACAAATCGGCTCAAATTTAATAGATAGTTGAAATCAGAAGTCGTTTTTTCAGCTCCAAATAAATAAGATGAGCTGGCGAGCTCATTATAATTATCACAACCTCATCAATATGTAAAATATTTCGTGTGTCTCCATGATATGCTTTCACGTCATGCCAGATATATTCACCTTCTTCCATGCAAGAGTAGCCCTTGCCTTTTAATGAGAGTTTTGTATTTCTAATCACATCTGAATATTTCTTATTATTGTTACTGCAGATTTCTTACATTCAAATTTTCAAAATATCTTCAAACAAATTATGCAGGCGTGGAAAATCAAATTTCCATTGTTTTCCCTGTGTTTGGAAAAGTTCTTATTAACATGACTCGCTAATTTTACGTGCCATTAAGTATAAACCTTTTTAGTTTATACCTAATATGAAGTACCATATAGAGTTGTCATTTGAGCAATACTAATACCTTCCTTTAATTTATCATCATTAATTTTAATTCTTGGGATGAATTGCTTGAATGGTACAAGCCCATTTCTCTTTAATGGACTCGTATAAAATGGCAACAGTTTTGTTATGGTTGCAGCGTTGCTATGGAAGCAGGGTTGTTAATCAAGGACGTTTACTCGTGTTTATTAATTTTACTTTCTTTTATAGAAGATGAAATGCATATGAGGTTTTTTGTCTCAATTATAAGATGAAAGTGAATTGATCTTTCGAGGTATTTTAAGGTCATTCAATTTTTAACAATTTTCGTCATAATTTTATTCAGAAAGGATTCCCTACTTGAACGTGATGTCATCTTCGCCTGCTTAGTGCATTAGAACTCGGATGTCATTGTATGAGATGCGCCCAAGGTGACATTGGCACAATCACAAGGGAGGCTAGGGGACGTGGCTCTCTTGACAACCTTGCTTCTACTTTCCATTCCTGTTTCCATTCATGACGTTCTATGTTTTTCAGTTAAGAAAGCATTAAAAAGTTACTCATTTTCCTCTGTAATCTATTTGGGTTACTTGTTAAGCCCATTTCAATGTCATTTTCAGCAAGACAAAACTGCAGATGAAGTTTCATTTTTGCTTAAAGAAAGCAAGCAATCACGGCCTTCAAGGTATTTCTTGTTTGAATCAGTTCAGCCTGATATCATATATTGTTATCAAAGAAAAAGTGCTTTTGATTGCGACTTTGTAGCCCCCTCTTCTGTTAAAAAGGGCTGGGCTGAGCTCCCTATCATTTACGATGTATGCCAACTAAAATTAGGCCGTCAGGACTCGGGGCTGTTCTTGTGGCTGTCAGGACTCACAGCGGCCCGATCGCCGTAACTTCAATTATAATTTCCGCGTTTGCAATCAGTATTAAATGGTTGTTTTGAAAATTTGAACACAGCTGAATATTTGTATTTATTTATTCTATATGTATTTAAAGAATTATATAATCTTTTGCTTCATTTTCTGTATTTTGAGTCTTAGTGATTCGTGAATGTGAACTTTTTCTGTTTAATTTTAGCATTTCTCAAAATAATTGCACAATAGTAGGCCATGCTTCTGCTACTCTGACTTTCTCTTTATATCCCCCATCGCAAATTACCCCTCTTCTGTTATTTGCTCCACTAACCCCTCGCTGTTAGATTAATTATCATAGTTATGACCGAACAAAGAAAATTTGCATAGCGAATTATTATTATTATTATGCATTGATGCTATGTACTTTCAAGACCTACAGGTACGGGTCTCATCTTGTCTCATTCGATGTTTCATTTTGATATCTTTAGCGAATTTTGAGTACGTTTCCCCTCTGAAAACTAGCATTTTGCAGTACATTGCCACAGGTTTTCAACCCTCACAATTGCAGCATGCCCCTCTTTTGAATTTCAAGCAGCTCTTTTCAATTGGAAAACAAAGATATTTTACACCTACGAACGTGGTCTGGATCACGCAAAATGAAATTAATCAAATCAAATGTTGTTGTCAATCGTTTGTTTACTTTTTAGAACTCAAGTTAAAAAGTTCGGATGGAAGATATTAAAAGAAATGATAACAGGTTGATATTTTGGATCATGAGCACGGGTTCTCTTTGGAACAGACCAAGAAGCCCTCACACCAACCGATAGCCACGCTGGGGCTGCTACGGCCTGTCATGTATTGAAAATTGTTGTTCAGGATTCGGATTTATTTACTTTACATCTTCCACTTAGAAGCTAGCAAATATCGAATTCGTATCCTGATATCATTTGGGTATTTGTGATCATCTATGGACACGTTTTGGTATGATTTCAACTCTTGATCGTGAAGATGCATGGCATGACAAGGTAAGAAATCTTCAACCAATTTTGTTTTAGATCTTTCATATCGATTAGTGCTGGCGTAAAATACTAAGACATTTCTCACTTGTTTGCAGGTAATTCGCTATATAGTGCTTGTGAAAAATTTGCGGAAGACTTCAAATACTAAAGCCACGTGCGCTCGAAGCGAAGATGGTTCTCCTTCAAGCTTTCGAACTTTCAAACGCCGGGACTTGTATTTACTAATTTGGAACATATTTGAGTACTGACATATATTTTGATGTTTAGTTACGTTTTTGTTGTATCCTAGTTCTGCATTTTCTAATTTGTTTTAAAGTTACGTCTGATATAAGTACCCAATTCACTGATCGATCGAATCTTACTGAAACAAGCAAAACTGTGTCATCTTCTGATTCTCTTTTACTTTTTTGGTAAAATTGCTACAGTTATTTTCCTATCGTCGATGACAATCGCGTGAGAACGACATTTACTTCTGATTGGAAAACCCCTTATAGGCAAACCCCTTTTTACAGCCTTAGCATTTCCCTTCTGGTAGCTTTTATCCCCCTCAAGGTCACCCCGCATTCCATATTAACTCTGTTAAACTGCGATATTTGAATTGATTTTATTGCCTCTGAAAAGTCCTTTCGTCCCTTTAGAATTTGAAGACTTTTTACGATACAAATTCGTCTATGTTGTACTCCAGTTTGCGTTTACTCAAAAATCAACTTCTCAGTTTCTTTATTTCAAATGCGAAAATTTTCGTTTCATTCCTGTTCTATTTCTTCGTAACTTTTATTGAATTGAGCCCCGATTTACTATTATATTTTAGTCTCAAATCTTTTGAAATTACCCCCGTTTTCCATTGTATTTTCGATTTAAATATATTCAATTTACCCCCGTTTTCCATTGTATTTTTGATTTAAATCTATTCAATGTACCCCCGATTTTCCATTGTATTTTCGATTAAAATCCATTGAATATACCCCCGTTTTCCATTGTATTTTCGATTTAAATCTATTCAATTTACCCCCGTTTTCCATTGTATTTTCGATTTAAATCTATTGAATTTACCCCCGATTTTCCATTGTATTTTCGATTTAAATCCATTGAATTTACCCCCGTTTTCTATTGTATTTCCTAGTAGAATCCATTGAATTTACCCCCGATTTTCCATTGTATCTTCGATCTAAATCTATTCAATTTACCCCCGAACTTCTTTGTTTTTAAGTCACATAACTATTGTTCAATCCAAAAAATTTGTTTGTTTTCATTAAAAATTGTCTTTGAAGTTTGATCATGTTTCTTTTGTCTTGACTCGGAAAACCTTTGGCTATTTCTATAAGAGCCTTTATAGATTTCTATAGAAATTGAAAAGATATTCCCCCGTCTTTCTATTAGAAAATCCCGTTGGCGATCGAAGGTTTTCCATTGTTCTTCTACGGCGGCCATGCCCCTAAACGGTGGCTCTAAAAAATGCGGCTAGGAGCCGCGAATGATTGACAGGTCATTGTTTTCAACCAATCAGATTGCTTCATTTGAGCCCTTTTGGTGGCTGCGGGCGAGGGCCGTCACCTATAATATAGCGAAAATTTAGGAAACAGCGGCCACTGGCGGCCACCATTGTTTTTCAACCAATCAAATTGAGCCATTTTGGTCTCACTCTATTGTTTACTGACCAATCAGAGCCCTTCAATTCAAATTTTCTATTGTTTTCTGACCAATCATCATTTAGAAAGTTCTATTGTCTTTTCAATTGTTTTTAACCAATCAGATTCGCTCATTTCAGCCCGATTTGCCTCGTTTTGATTCCCACCGAAGACGGGGGGTTACAGCCTCGTTTGGACCGGTCAAAAGACGGGGGTCAGAAAGAATTTTTGCTCGATTTTCTCCTCTTCATTCAAGCGATCTTACTCTACTTACAATGTTAAGTTCTACCTTAGTGCTGAGGAGACTGTTTTCGAAAGGGGTTTTTCTCAGCATGGTGTTTTAAGCAAAGGGTTAACAAGAAGGAAAGAAGTCCCCCTTGTTAACCCTTCGATTAAAACACCCTGCCAAGAAAACCCTTCGAATGTTGTGTTAGGGGTTATGTTAACATGGTGTTTTAAGCAAAGGGTCAACAAAAAAGAGAAGAACTCCTTCCCGTTAACCCCTCGATTAAAACACCGTGCTAACATAACCACTAACATAACACCGAAGACAGTCTCCTAAGCAACTAATTAAATACATTAAAATACAAATACAAACTAATTAAACGAAAAAGGCCTATTCTAAAAACAGATGCGAACAGGCGCCTTGTTCACACCCATTAGAAGAATATGCCTTCAAATGTTACAAAATGACTAACTAGAAATAATTAACCTAACGAAGTATCGATACTCTCTCGCATTACGATATCAAACTACGATTATGATAAAGAGGGTTCTATGGAGAAGGGTAGGGTCTTAAGCAGTCCTATATCGATTATAAACAAGGATAATTTACTAAAATGAGCTACATGAAATGGAGGGATGCTTAATATTTAAAAGCTAGAGATCTTGAGCTCGAACAGGGATCTATAGTTTCTAATCGACTTAGCTAAGAGGGTGCGGGAGGTGGATACATGCAAAGATACAATGACTGAAATTGCCTGTAGGGTACGGGTACATATGCAAGATGGAAATTTCTTTACCTGGAAACTCGATTCGAATCCTATCCTTCATAGTGCGAAACTAATATGTCATAAATTGCCTCTTAGCTTCTTCAAATCAAAATCTTGATTATCATAATATATGTGGCAATGTTTCTTTGGGTCACCTCTTGAGCAAAAATCTTGGTTTTGGATGCGAGCGAAATTAACGAGAAAGTACCGATTGCAAATTACAAACTAACAACAAAGTCTCTTCAATAAAAGTCCAATATCTCGATAAAGTGTTCTTGTATCTTCCAATCTTCACAATAAATTCAGCTTCACCAATATGACTGCCTTCAAATCTTGCTGCGGTCTGCAAAAAATAAACAAGAAGCCAGCAAAATCGAAAAATAATCGTCCATGAAGCAATAAATTAAAACTACAAGATCCGAAATCCATGCACGTGGTAAAAGTTAGTCTTAGATATCCTTGTTTACTTTCTCAGCGACGGAATCATCCAAGCCTATAATCATTACACTTTGCATTCTATCCACACTGCATAAAAAAGAGTGCCATTTCTCGTGCAATCATGTCTATGCTTTTCTCAAGAGGCCGGTTGTCTCCATGCAAGTCAAGTTCTGCCTTCGGTGATAAAATGTATTCTTTTTGTAAGGATAATCTTTATCAAATTAAGTCAAGCAACATTTTTCTCTGATTTTGCCTTTCTTCCCAGCTTGCAAATTAATTTCAAACCGTGAAAGCAGTAGATGAAAATGAAAAAGATGACGACTGTTTCAAGAAATTAATAAATTCTTTAATCGTTAAAGTGCAGCTTCCAGTTTTATATAAATTTGAAATCTGCATTATTATATTAAAATCAAATATTGCTACCCCGCATCAATGTTAGAAATAATTTTCTCTGAAATACTTTTTGACTTTTTGACATCAAATGTTTTAGTTTCTTCCTCGCAGTTAAACAGTCTTTACTATCCCAGTCTTGGCCTTTAACACCTAAACCAACCTCCAAACATTCCATCAGCCCTCCCAAACCACCACCAACATCCAAATTCCAAACCAACCAAAAAATCAACCCAACCTTTCAAACCTCAGAATCTCCAATCAATAACCAGAAAAGTAAAGACTGAAGTATCTGCAGGTATACTTAAAAAATCGAGGGGTGCACTCTTTTTATTGAAACATGTTTATCGGATTGCATTATATTTGTCTCAAACCTTTTTATATATTGCAAGCTTTTTTGCTGTTTCTTTACTCCCGACCTTAAATGACTGAACCTAAGCTTTGTCTTTTTCACAGAGTATTTCCTTTCATCTTCATACAATAAGCAATAATTAATTAATTGCATAAATTTATGGAACTTTCTGTATTTTTTGCATTATTCACTTTTATTCTACCTAGCTGAGTTTTGTTTCCCCAGCAGTTTTTATGAAAACTTCGGCATGCTGAAATAGATTTCGAATTTTCAAACATAATTTTTCAAACCTTTTAAAAAGTTTTAAGTTTTTTTAGTGAAAATATTTATTGAAAATATGGCTAGAAAGTAACGTAATCAAAAATACTTACAATCTGTCAGGGAACTTTCAATTTTTTTTGTTCGACTTCAGTGCAGGAAAGTCTGAAAAACAAAAGGTAAACATGAATAAAGAAAAATTATAAAAATATGATACTAAAAAATAATCTTATATTTAACTGCTTTAGTTGAAGAGATATAATTGGCAGGATATTCCTGTATTTTGTAATTTATTTAGTTATAAGATACTATAAAACTTCTTGAAATCTTCGAAGTCTGAACGATGGAACTATTTTTCGTTGGATCACCAATAATATTGTAAAAAAACCATGTCTGATGGATATATTGCATCTAGAAAACTTTATGCAAAAATGCGTTACTTAGTTTCATAGCCTGAATAAATGCAATTTTTTGATAAAAACCCAAATGCAGAAGTAGGATAAAAGTAGACTGAGGGCGTTACGACGGGGGGGGGAGGGGGGTGAGATAGAATTTCAGTGTGGCTTATGGGTGGAGGGGGGGGCGAATCTATTATCCATATGTCAAAAATTAGACAACATTGAACAGTTATAAGTCATCATTTTCAAATCTTATTTTTAGAAGACACTTTTGTTGGTCCACAAAATGAAATCAAAAAAGGAGGAAAAGAAGAAGGTGAAGAATAAAACTTATGGTGATGAATTATTGAATCAAAATAAGTACGAATTTCTTAGTATAGAAATATCAACGGGATGTTAAAGAGTCCACAATTTCAATTTTAAATGGAAATTCTAGTAATAGCATTCTTCAATTTTCCAGGTTTTATAAAAAAAATCAGTCTAAAGTTGTCCTTTGACTTTTATGAAAAACCAGCCCCTATAATTCTCGGTCTGATTGTAAAAATTTGAACTATCATAAGTATATGTCAGTAAAGTTGCTGAAAAATTAAAGGCTGGAAAAACCACAAAATTTGCGTTAGAAGTCATTTTATTGTAAACTGGCACTAAAAATTGGCTCGCAAAGGGCATTTTTAAGTTTAAGTGTCACTTCCAATGTAGAATTCGAAGAGAAAGGAGATTGGGGGGGAAGGGGGGCGGTAAAAGCGAAAACATATCTTTTTAAACAAAGGGTAGAAACTAGACCCTGAGGAAATCGTAGGCGTCTAACGACAACTATTTCTTCTTGACTTTGCCATTTATTTGTATCTGCTTTTGACTTCTAAATTTATTTAAAGTTTTTCAGCTTAGAATACATTTAATTACATATTGATAAAATAATAAGGATGCTTTAAAATTTGTGGTTGGTTTAGGGTGGTACATGGATGCAAGCTGTTAGTGGTTTCAAATGAGCGATAATCATTTTGTCGAAAAGTTTTGTCTAATCATATCTTTTGCAAAGAGTTAAATCATTTGGCACACGACTGCCATGATTTTGCTTTTAATAACCAAATAAGCATTATTTCGTGATTGTGATTTTATACATTGCTTTTATTGAATTATCGATTTATTTATTTATTAAATTTATGAAATTTAAACTGGTATTAAAACTTTCTCCATTGGTATACCGTAACATGAAGAAAAAACAATCGAGCAAAAAATTGAGCTGGGAAAAAGAAGAGATTTTTTTGGGTAAGGCAAACACTATCGGGTAGGTTGCACTATTCCTGACAAGACCCCTGGAATTTTCCAACTTTTCATTTGACTGTTTTTAATATGATCATGGATTGATCGAATAAGGAAAAAGCTTGTTGTTCAACTGTTGTTTTCGTTTTCAGATTTTACGTCTATTTAACTGTAAGGTCGTTTAATGAAACAACTGAAAGTCGGATGCCGTTCCTGACACTTGAAAATCGGATGTCCTTCCTGACACTCGAGAGTCGAGCACCATTACCAGCCAAACTTACTAATAATTTTGCCAGAATAGTTTTGAATTACAATAACTCAGCCATCGAAAATAAAAAGGGGCAACTCACCCAGAATTTGAAGATTCGTAGCCACAGTTCCACTTGCTTTAAAACCCAAGTCTGTCTTTCTTCGCCTTATTCAATGCATAAATTGGGTCTAAAAGAAGCAAAAACATTCTTACTATAAAAAAGATCTATCGAAGAATAAATCATATTTGCTAAAGCAAAGAAAGTCAAGAAAGAAAAAAATAAGGGCAAGCTCTCACATGCGTGATGAAACAGTTTCAATTGCCTAATAGTACAGTAGGTAGTAAATTGTTTCGCACTTAGAAATACAATAGGAATTATACATGATATGATTGACAATATATTTAAGTATTTCCACAAAACTAAATAAATTCCTAAATCCTAAATAAATTTTCTTCTAGGCATCTGTGGATTCCAGTATTTATCCTAAAGTCTTGCAGGATGCAGCGATTGGCCAAAAAAGGATTTCTTTAAATGTTTTCCACCAACTCCAAAATAGCTAAAAAGCTCATTTCAGAAAAATGAAAAATATTTCTGTGACTAATCAGAAAAATTGGCTAAATCTTATGAAGTACAAAAGATAATAGAATGCATCAATACCTCTTAAAGAATTCTGTATTAGTGATTATTTCTAAGATTTCCATCAATTCTAAATAAATGCGAGTTTAGTTTCGGAAATGAAAAGGGAAAAGACAACAAAACGGGCACTTACCTGTTATACTTTATATTATCAGAGAATCATTCCTTTCTATCCTTCTTAGGCTAAACCTTAGATAAATCAAGGCCAAACCTGGAGGAAAAAGCAAATTTCTCAAAATAAGAGAAACGTGATAAGAACCTAAAGAAATATAGAGGACAAAAAATTGCAGCAATCGATCAGTAAGAATGTCGCATTGGTAGTTATTTCAAAGCCTTCCATCAGTCTCAAATAATTAAAAAAAAACTATGCTAAGAAAATCAAAAGACAAAAACTGTGAAGAAAGAAGAACTTGCCTGTCATAGCCCATGCTTTGAAATTGTTATTCTGTTCATTTTCTGAAGCAAAAAAAAGCTATACAAAAGATTATCCAAGGTTCTGAAAAGCGGAAACTTTAGAACATGGAAAGTTTAGCAAAGGAAAAATTTTGCACGATCGAAACCAAACCTAAAAGAGAAAATAGAACATTTTAAAACTAGAGAAACTAGTTTTTAAAAGGAGAATAAAGGGCAAAAATTTCCAACAATCGACCATAAAGAATGTTGCATTAGTACCTATTTCAATTGTTGCTACCTATTAGTACCTATTAAAATGCGAAACTATGCTTGGAAATAAAAAGACAAAAAACTGTAAACAAAGGAGAACTTGCCTATTAAAGTCCACATTTTCAAATTGAATTTCTTTTTTTCGTTCCAAGCTATAATGTTCGAGCCTGTAACAAAAGAAATAATCTCAAATAAGAGAAGGTAAGATAGAAAAAAACCAACAATTGACCATAAAGAATGTTTTATTTGTAAATATCTCGAATGTAGCCACAAGTTTCCAAGAAAACGAGTAACTGTGCTGAGAAATAAAAGGACAAAAACTACGATCAAAAGGTGAACTTGCCTGTTGTAGTCCTTTTTTGAAATTGTCATTCTGGTCGTTCGTCTGAAGCAAAAGCAAAACTAACGAATGATTAACAAAGGTTCTGAAAAATGAAACTTCGAAAACATGGAAAAATTTTGCAAAAGAAAAATCTTGCACGACGGAGACCAAGCCTAAAAGAAAAAATGAAACATTTCAAAACATGAGAAACTAGTTTTTATAGAAGCATAAAAGACTAAAAAATCCAACAATCTACCATGAAAAATGATGTATAAGTACCTATTTCAAAAGTTGCCAATAGCTTCCAAGAAATTGAACAACTATGTTGAAAAAATAAAAAGACAAAAAACTGAAAATAAAGGAGAACTTGCCTATATTATAGTCCATATTTTCAAATTTCATTTCTGTTTTTCGTTCCAAGCTATCAAGAACGAGCCTGTAAGAGGAAAAAAAAATCTCAAATAAGAGAAGGTAGCTTCTAGAGAAGAATAAGATACAAAAATTCCAACAACAACCATAAAGAATGTTGTATTAGTACTTTTTCAAATATTGTCATACGTTTTCAAGCAATCGAGAAACTATTCTGAAAAATAAAGAGAGAAAAACTACGATCAAAGGATAACTTTCCTCTTATAGTCCATGTTTTCAAATTGTCATTCTGGTCTTTCGTCTGAAGCAAAAGCAAAACTAAAAAATGATTAACAAAGGTTCTGAAAAGCAAAAATTCTAAAACATTGAAAAGTTTTGCAAAAGAAAAATCTTGCACGACGGAGACCAAACCTGAAAGAAAAACATAAAACATTTTAAGACAATAGAAGCAACTTTTAGAGAAGTATAAAAGTCCAAGAAAATATTTGCAGTTTTTTCAAATGTTACCGTCAATTTCAAGTAATTGAAAAGCCGTGCTCAAGTTCACAAAGCAAAAAGATATGAGCAAAAGAGCCTTTGATGTCCATATTTTCAACCTTTCATGCGTTTACTTCGTGTGAAGCTAAAAAAATTTCAGAAAAAGTTTATAAAAGGTACTTAAAAGCTAAGACGGTAAAAAGTAAAAAGTGTCTTGAAAGAATGAAATGTTGACTTTGCAAGTCCTGACCTGAAAGAGAAAGAAAATATGTTGAATAAAAAGCATGTAACATGGATTTAATGAGACAGTTTCTAGCATATAATATCGGAACCAGAATTCGTGTGAATTTGACAAAATCTCAATGTAGGCGCACTTTTCTTTAAAAAATATAGCGTTCTGGATATTAGAAAAACATGCTTAGAATAATAATTTGAGGTCAGTGTTTTATAAGTCACTAATAGAAAATGCCCTTCATCTTTTTCGTTCACTTGTGATGAGGGAAAGATAAAAGTTTTTGTCGTGGAATGAACTTACAAAGGAAAACGTATAAACGTATAGCTTAACCACAGAAAAAGCTAAAAACGATGTATATGTACGAGGAAACGTAAGGAATTCTGTATGATATCATTTTTCAAGTGAAAATGTCTCGTGAACGGAAGATTTATACGAATCAAGTTTTGCTAGAAAAAGCTCATAGATGTTGTTTTCTTTGTACAAGAAATACGATTGTGATTTGTCGAAAGGTCTGCAACCTGTGCTTTTGAGAGTCAATCAAAAATAATTAGGGGAAGATTTGCTCCATTTTCTGTTACACCAAGAATTTCATTTTCACCCTGGTTTATTGATAATGTCACAACACTTTGCTTTTTGGAAGGCAGCCTTAAAAATGACTCTTTCCTCAACTAGTTTGTATTTTGGTTCAGCCTTGATTCACTGAATATATTTTTAAGATGTTAACTTTCCAGACAAAAAACAAGTCAAAACTACATCAACCAAAACTAAACCACAGCCAACCAAAACTAAAGCACGGCCAACCAAAACCAAGCCACGCCCAACCAAAACCAAGCCACGCCCAACCAAAACCAAGCCACACCCAACAAAAACTAAGCCACACCTAATGAGAACCACTATCGAACCTAAACGCCACCTATACCAAAACGAACCAATCTCAAACAACTCAAAACATCATTAAAAAACATCCAGTGAAGTCAATGGCAGTTGGCCGAAACTTTCCAAAAGTGCTTTTACTTCTTAGTGAAAGGTTTACATTTTAGTAGAAAATTGTTCTGACTTGTGAAATTTGAAAAAAGCAAATGTCGTGCAGTCAAACAGGTTTTTGACAAAACGCCATGTTTCTGGTTTTTACAAAGTTCATGAAAAAGTGCTTTTCTTTTACTTAAAAAGGAATTTCCTAAGAGCAAAGCTTCGAAAATTTTGAAACATCTGAAAATTAGTTACCGGTCTTTTGTTATTTCTTTGCTCAACATCTTGGATTTTGTATATAATTTGATTTTCATGATTTGGTGAATAGAACAGGACGGTTCTAAGTCGCTACTCCAAGTTTCACGCTTAATGCAATTATCAGGCAACATTTGATTTGATTTGGAGTTCATTCCCCTTTCATCTTGTGTACAGATGATACTTTTTATAATTTATTTCGAGCTTAAAAACTTTTGAAGCTAGATAATCCCGAAAAGAGGTGCAATTATTTTCCCTAAAGATCTTGCCATTTCTGTCCGCATTGTTGATACATCCACATAAAAGCTTTTCAGCTCACATTAATGGCACGTAAAAGATACAAAAAATTTTAAATACAATCGCTCTTTATTCTTTGCAGTGATGCTAGTGTATTTTGTTATTTTCTATGAAAACTATTATGAAAACGTTACTAAGGCTATTACTACAGAAATGTTATTTTCTTAAAAATTCATTTAGAATACATTTACAAAAATTATTCTATGACCCAAAATATACAATGAAAGAGTTTTTTATCTTTTGCAAATAGTCAATAGGTTGAGATTTTCACGACAAGAATATACTTTAAATACCTTTTCAATTATGTACATCTTCCGCAGTGTTTCAAAGCAGATAAAATGCAAAATGGTAGTAGCAGCCATTTTAACGCTACAAAAGAAATGAAATGTTGTAACGTGTTGTAACGTGTTGAAATGTTGTAACATGAGACAGCAAAGAAAACAAAAAACTAAGGAAAGGAATTATTTCGTTTAATTTAAATGTTAGATCTACAATCTTTGATATGATAGAAAGATTTCTTTCAAATCTTAGACCAAGAACGGATTTAAGTGAAAAGGATTGTGTGTGTGTGTTAGATAATGATTGGACTTTGTTGCCACACCCTTTGCTTGACTGGAAAATGATGGAAACGCCCATTTTTAAAATCCTGCTTTTAACTTTAAGGTAAAGAAGATAAGGAGATAAATAAAGTTAATTTTTGCATTAGTTTGTTTTCTATTTACCAGCAAAAATGCTTTACCGAATCAAAGTTAATTTATCGATGAACACAAAATATTGGGGGAGGGGTGTACATTACATTATAATTTACGAAGATGTGTTTTTTATCTGCATATTATCGACATTTGCAGAAATTCTAATATATTTATAAATTTCATTTAGTCATTATTAATATATCCAGAAAACAAGAAAAGCGTGCCTACAATTTCGTATCTTTTTTCAAATGATGCTAAATCTTAAAGGCTTAGAGCCCACCTTTAAAGCAATTTAGAATAAAATTAGATTCTGGGCTTAGAGAATTGCCTGGATTTGTAGCTTACATCATGAACTTATGGAAATTCAATACAATTGGCTAAACAATTATATGTTTTTGATAAATCGTAAAGGGCCGGAGAAATTTAAAGAACTGTTTTTAGGATAAAACATAATTGAAATTCAAAGCAAACGACGATAGTGGTTTTATTAAGGATCACTGATACCACTTATCTGGAAAGGCATTGTGGCCAACGGAAAAAATGAAGCAAATTAATTCGAGATTTTGTAAAGCAACTCAAAAAAAGTTTGGGTATGCACTAAAAAAAAGCACCTTTGGTTTTACTGGTGACATATGTCTGTTCTTATTCATGTCTGACTGTGGATATGCTCTACTTTAATGAATTAAATGCTCTGCTGTGAATTTAAATTTACACATGAGTAGAGAAACTCGAAGGTTAATTGATGCTGTTGACTTCGTTGCCGAGCCATTTTATTTTATGTAATTCCTTAGACAACCAATGCCACAAAAGTCAAAAAATTGTGGATAGGTTTTTTAGGCGCTATCCGTTTACGTTTGTAGCTATTATGAAGAGGCAGGCTATGAGCGTCGATAAAGAATTAACTGAGAAGCATGACTGCATACCTTAGGCCAACCATCTTGTCCTTCTCGTTTTTGCAAGCACGACTTTGACGCCTTGAAAGTAAGAAAAACACATTACATATGATATAGCTACATGCCCCAAAATAAATTCTTCATAAGACAGAACGTCAAGGAAAGTTGCTCGACAGAAACAAAACGAGGCGTTTGCTAACTTACAAATTTCCTTAAGGCTGCAGCCAGTGGATGTACAGAGACAAGTTCCAAACCCAAGCATGAATGGCAAATAGCGAATAGCTGTAAGACCAAAGCATTTATACTTCCCGCCCTTCATGAATCCACGCCTTCTTTTGTTCTCGATCCATGCATAATTCGAATGGACTCTTGGGAATTGTGGACATGTTTGTCAGCACGTATTAAACAGGGCGTATAATTTGGGAGAAGATAAAAAATCTGATGAAATATAAATTGATTGCATTTGTGTGGGATTGTACTAAATAAAAATATATTAAAAGTGGTCCATATTTTCTAAACTTCTTTTTGCACCAAACTACCTAAAAGGCCAATTTTCATATTAAGTTCAATAAAAACTTTAAAGGGACATTTTGCTGGCTTGTACATCCTGATCTGCATATCAGTCCAAAGTAAGATGAAGATGTAATGTTTCTCGTGAATTGCATGTACTAAAATTCGAAAATATTGAAAAATAGAGCTACAAAATACAATTGACGTAAAATGTGACCATAGACGACGGTGCAAAGTCTAAAATTTGGATAGTTTCTGCTTGGTCTTTATTTATTCTAAATAGCTGTGCCATCAAAATTTAAGCAAGAAGTATTTGTTCTTCTTCTTTAAAGGCAAACGCGTCTAAAGGCCAAAAAAGATATTCATTTCGTGTGGATTGAAGAAAAGACAAAAACATCTTCAATCTACTGAATTTGTCAAAGAGAAAGGCAGAGTAATCAGAGGCTTTCAGTTACCGGCTAATCTTCAATTATCGCTTTATCCATTTTCGTGTTGCCCTGATCTTTTGCAGTGTTTCTGGAATAGGTTTATTTGCGGCCATTCTGGCTATAAATAAAACCAGAAGAAAAATTGGCAGAACTTTATTTATTAATCTAGCAAATCCCTATTAAGGCTGCGCCATTTTATGAATAGAACAATGCCATTTATGAACGTTCTTTATGTCTGATGAGTGTACACAGGTGAAAAAGAAGATTTTTGCAGTTACAAGGACAATGATGAAAAATAATATGATACAATTTTGCATATCAAGTACTTAGTTACGAAATAAGAACTCGTTAGTATATGCAAAAATACCTGTGCTAAAAGATCCATCAATATAAATTTTTACAGCAAAGGTACAACAAACAATATATCACATATCTGTTTTCACATATACAACAATGGCAGATAAAAGTCGATAAACCAAACGATAAACAACTCACAATAACATACAACCTACAAATTATTTACACTTAATTCTCATTCCATGTATTCATGTTTAGTCACATCAATCTTATAACTTGGAACACTTCTAAGTGTAATAAATAGTTTTAAATTGGTCAATGCTCTTAAGAAAAATTTTATACCAAACTTGAATTAGGTTGAATATGAATGCCAAAATTTACAATTGGGATGGGGGTTGGATCAGAGGAGGGATTATGGGGGAACAGGGGTTAAATAATTGGGCTCAAGGAATGGAGAAGACATGACAGACAGGATGCAGTATAAAAAGAGTCACTGCATGGGAAAGGGGCACGGTCATGGGAAGCGGGTACGGTAGGGAAGGGGACAGGTTAAGGAAATGGGCTGGGTATAGGAAGGGGGCAGATCATGGAAAGAAGAAAAGACATAAAAAGAGGATAATGTGGGGAAAGGGGCACGGTAGGAGTAAGGGGAGGTAAGAGAAAGGGACACAGAAGGGGAAAGGGTATGGTAGGGGAAGGAGGCATGGCATAGGATAGTGAGGGGGCCTGGGCATCTAATTATTACTTTAGTCACACATTGTTCATATAATGATACTCAAGTACAAGAAAACCTCTCAAAACTTTCTTAATTCCTTTGGAAAAAATACCAATTATTGCTTGCGTCTAAGAAAATTTTATGTCATCAGAAAATTTCATTTCATTAGAGAATTTCATTTTATCAGAAAATATCTAAAAATAATATACACCAATTATTTGCTGGATAATTCGTGTACTCTGTCGTACTTCTTCGAGGCAGCGAATTATTTGAAGGCACCAGCACCTTTACTTATTCTTAAATGTTCTAGAGCTCCTTCAAACCTCATCAGCGATCTATTGAATACAAACTGGTTTACAGTGGAACTGATAACCTTTTAAGCCATGACATCTTGACTTGGAACAGAATTCGCAGCAAAGGGAGGATGCCGTGATTGACCTTGCAAACATCTAAGAAATGTTAAAGCAGCCAATAAAAAAGTTTTTATGTGCTCCATTGTTGACAGGGCATTAAAGGGTCTGTTTCAAATGAATAGGTTCTTATTGGCGTTTCACAATCAGCTGATTCTGCATCTGCTAATAAGTCATCTGCTTCAGTATCAGAATCGGCAGCAAAACTCGTCCGTCCACATAAAACCAAATCCTCTTCACGACTACTTCCATCTTCTGCTACATTAAATAGCCTTTGAAAATTGTCATGTGCATTTGCAATGGGCTCTATTCTTCTGTAGTTTTCATCAATTTCTTCATAGATCCCTTCTCCGTCTTCAATTTGCTCATAAATATTATTGGCACTATACTGGACACTGGAGACATCTATACTGGGCACTGGAGACATCTATAGAAAAGATTTAAGTTTTGATTCAAAATGAAAAAGGAACGAAAAGATCAGGACTGTAGAATATGAGAAAGCCACGACAACATTCCCCAAGGTGTGTATATTGTTTACGGGAAACCTATGATAAACTATATAGCCATGGTATCAATAACCTTGGACGTTTTTAACTATGCAGCACACTTCATTGACACTTTTGTGCTACCCATGAGCACCTTTGCGCAATGTTGCCTAGAATGGCAGCTTTTCCACTGATTTTGCCTGTAGTTATCTGCAATGACTCTCCCATTTCTCTGACTTAAAAATCTTAAAATAACAAGACTTGTTTTAATTAAAACTTCTATCCTTTGTCTATGAATGTATCAATAGGATATCGCCTGTCTGCCTTCATTCGTACTTTGAATCAATCAAGTCTATTCATCAATATGATACTCGAAAGGCTGCTAAGAACGACATTTTCTTTACTCAAAAAAACACCCTTCAACACGGCTGTCCGTTTTTCTGGTACTGCATCGTGGAATATCACTTCTACTGACATCTGATCTGTATCATTGGTTTGCTTTCGTTATAAATTGAAGTCATATCTGCTTGCAAAAACATTAACAGCTAATGCTTGAAATTTTTCACCCTGTTTTCCACTTCCCACTTACATAAATCGGAGTTTCATTTTCTTATTATTTATTTGATATCTTTGAAGTGCTGAAATATTTTAATGTATACTATAGGGGGGCCTCTCTTCTCGACTAGCTTTGCTACTGAGAGAGCTCCTCCTTTAAATAATTCCCCATACATACATATCCCACAGATAATTTGTGTTCCATATCTTATTGTTATAGTTATTGTTTGATATTTGATGTTGCTGCATTTTCATTAGTATTTTGTGGAAATGTATGTTGTGGAATTTAAAATAAAATGAGCCTGAACCTGAACCTGAAAATGAACCTGAACTCTGTAATGAGTTTTGTTTACAAACTCCGAAAGGAAGGTTTTGTTGGCTCCAGAAAGAGAGACTCTTCTCATGTCACCCGTGGTCACCTAGCCTCATTCCCCCTCAATGACGTGAAGCGCGCGTTGCATGTATATATGACATCACAAGCAAATCACCTGGAGGTAGCTGAATATGTAGTCCGCAGCTAAATTAGCAAATATTTCAAAAGAAGGGCTAGAAATATGTACGTTTTGAACTTTAAAGGCTCTTGGACAACCAGCATGCTTTGCGACCATATTTTAAAAACCGGCCTAATTTCGTACTGCATAGAAATACAAACACAGTCAATTTCTCAAGACAGCTGCCGCTAAGCATGCCGGTTGTGCTTTAATTTAATCACAGGATCTCTTCGCAAATCTTTGCCGAGTTATGCCTATCTGTGTGTTCAATAGCAAGCTCCAAAAATAAGAAAACAAAGAAGGTAATTAAAACAATAAAAAGCTGGATCAAAGTGAACAATCTGTACTTACATCAGCAGGGCATTCGACAAAGACGGGCTGATTCTCCGATGACACTTTTGTTTTCTTCCTGGGAAACAAATTTAGTTTGTTAAAGACAGGCCCGCCGAGAGCTGTTCTGAGGTCAAAAGAAAGATTTTGCCCGTGATGACGACATCAAATCTGTGATTGTTATTGTTGTTGTTATTGTTTGTTATAACTTTGTATAGCCCCTCTTAGCTCGGGGCTTGGCGCAACCTACCCCCTGCCCCATCTTGGAAAGCCTGGTAATAGAAATTACGAGAGAAAACAATTTGTTCTTTAAAGTGAGCACATAATGAAGATAATATTAAGATTATGATTATAAAATCTACAAAAGGACAGGAGCAAAACATATATCAAAATGTTTTACCTATTTGTTAAAGGTTGTAGGAAATAAACTATTAGGATACCAATTGTTGGTTAAGGACGCTTCCCTTATCAAACTCAAATGTCAAAAAATTATGATAAGATCATTAGACTTATTACAGTTTTAACTGAAAAAGTTTAGGCGTACTATCTGATGGCAGAGCAAGAGAAAAAGAAATAGAATTAAGAAGACAGGCACTGTAAGGTTTGCCTACTTCTCCTAGATGCAGCGTCCAAGCTTCATTAAAGTTCATTATCACTGGATATCATTTTGTTTGCAAAAAGGTTATCACAAAAGTAATAAGATTTTCAAAATACTAATGCAAGGATCAGAAATAGAATCATCATTTCATTTCATTACATAATTTATTTGTTAACGCAGGTTAAAAAGTGGCAGCCTCAAGGTGGCTGATGTGGACCTGCAAAATCAAAATATTTACATAACTAAAATCATGGTAAAATTAGGAACAAGTTTACACTGTTCATACAGTTTCTTTGTTTTAAATTACTACTATCCTAATCCATGTGACATCTTTAGGGTTAAAATTATTAATAATATACATTATTTTTCAAATCCTTGTTTCTTGTGACTGAGGTTCCTTTGATGAAAGTTGTTGTTTTCAGTTCCGTTATTGCCTTATGTTTTAATTCATATTTGAAATTTTGCGTTCTTTACAGATCCGGCAGAGCATTCCATAGCACCGGCCCTCTAAAACTCAAAGTATTTACTTGTAGTCTGTCCTTTTTGTACGGAGACATTATGAAATGATCCTTCAATGGATGTTCTCCCACTCCTTTTATGACCTCGTACATCTCTGTTGCTATCATTTTGTTGTACATATATCCCAAGTTGTTCCAGCTTGCCATCTCTAAAACATTGTTTGAGTCAACCGTTCTTGGAATGTTCTTTATCAATTTGCTGATCTTATATGCTGACTCTCAACTTTCTGGAACTTGCTTCTTGTGCATGTTCCCAATACAGTCATTGCATATGTGGCTGTTGGTATTACAGTTTTAAATAAATCTTCTATAGCACTTTTGTTGGCAGGAATTTGACTTTTTTCAGCATGGAAAACTTTTGTGAGAATTGCTTGTACACCTTATCTATATGTGTGTCCCAGTTTAGTTTGTTGTTAATATTCACTTCTAGGAGTTTACTGTTCTCCTTATATTCAATGATATTATCTCCAATTGATATTGGTAATAAGGGGCCCGTAAACTTCTTTCTGTTGATTATCATAGCTCCAGTTTTCATACCATCTTATTTTCTTGGCACCATTTGCTTATTTCTCTTGCCAGCAGATTCAGCTTGTTTGTGCAATCATCTACTGATTTGATGTGACGCTTGCGGTGATGTCATCTGCATACAAATGCACTTCCCCATTGTTGACACTATCAGCTATATCATTTATATAGATAGAGAATAGTCTAGGGCCCAATAACGATCCTTGTGGGACACCATACTTTACTGCTCTCATTTCTGACTTTACGTCATCAATTTCTACATATTGCTTTCTTCCTTCTAGGTAAATTTCAATTTAGTTGTACAATCCTCCTGTTATCCCTGCTGCAATCATTTTCTGCTTCAATATGTCGTTGTTCACAGAATCAAACGTCTTGCTAAAATCCAAAAAGAGTACACCTAATACCTCTCCTTCTGTCACATGATCTCTCCATTTTCACTCAAGTAGAGCAAGACTGATTCTGTTGACGTCCTCTTTTTATATGGTCATTGATTTTTGCGTCTTGTCTTTTCTACCTCACTGTCGAGTTGATCACATATCACAGCTTCAAATACCTTGCTGGGTACAGACAGCATAGTCAAAGTTTTGTAATTTCCCCTGTCTGATGCTTGCCCGCTTTTAAATGCAGACTTCACCTTCCCCTCCTTCCAACTACTAGGTTATTCTCCTTGCATGTACCTAATCCTACATATATTTGCTGTGCTATAACTAAGCTCTTGTGCAGCAATCTTCAGCTCTTTCGTTGTTATCCCATCAGGTCCACTGATTTTCTTGGGGTTCAGTTTACACATCTTTTCTGTGAACATTTCATTCGTTATCTCTAGTTGATTTATCGTTGGTGTGACTCTGTGAATATACTCAACAGGCACCTTAGCTACAGGCGTTAGACTTGCTGCTAGGTTTTCTCCTACAGTAGCAAAAAACTTGTTTCTGCTTTCCTTTTGTCATCATACACCATTATCCCAGATTCATTTTTTTATGGGACCTATCCTTTTCTTTTTTGATTTCTCAGTTTTTGAGATTGTTCTTATCGTCTTCCAGAAATCGGAGCTTCCTTTTGAGATTTCTTCTAATTTCCTTTCCAATAGTTTGCTTCTGCAGTCTTGAGCTCTCTGCTTACCTTATTTCGCAGTTTCTTATACTCATCTCTATCGTGTTGATCTTGTGTTCTATTCAACTTTAATAGTTGTTTATAGCGCTGGTTCATGAGTTTTCTGATACAGCTATTCATCCAAGGGAAATTTCCTTGATCTTATTTTTTCTGTTCTCTTTGGTAAGTTTTCCTTTGCTATCTTTGAACATAACTGCTCAGTCATCCACAAATTATCACCTATTTCTTCAAAAATGTTACAGCAGTGCCATGGTGCTTGTTCAGCATCTGTTCTGAATTTACCTCATCAATTTTTTCCAGTTAATTACTTCCTTAAATTTTGGGGGTGGTCGTGGATGTTTGAATTTCAAAAGTGAGTAGACTAACCTATGGTCTGATATACCAGAATCAAGAACTCCTGCGTTTATGATCTTTTCCTTGTCATTTATCAATATGACGTCACTGAGAGTTCTTGTATCCTCTGTTATCCTTGTTGGTTCTTTTATAATATTTCGAAGGTTATGTAAGTGGATAAACAGTCTCAGTTGTTTACCATATCCTTGTTTTGCTTAAGCATATCCTTCCTTAAGCATGTCAATGTTTAGGTCACCCATTATTAACAAATTTGTCCTCTTATCCCTGATTTTCTCTACATTTTTTGCAAACTCCTCGTAAAAATTGAACTGGTCCGGGGGTCTGTCAACGGCTGTTACTGCCATTTCTTGAGAATGCATTTCTAGATCTGCCCAAATGGTCTCAACTTCGATTTTTGTGTCTACTTGTAATTGTAGTTCAGTTATATTCAGATTCTCTGCGTAGTGAAAAATAATTCCTCCACCATTGTTCCTTTCTCTGTCCCTTCTGAATAGCTTATATCCTTCAATCTCAATCTCTTCATCCCTTCCCTTAATAAGATTTGTTTCAGTGATCCCTAAAATATCCAGTTTTGTTATTTCCAGTATCAGCTTTAATTCTTGCAGCTTAGCTTAGCTTCGCTGTTAGGCGAAAGGCACGTGCCTCCAGTGATAAATCGTAATCCGTTTGAATCTTCATTCATTAATTTCAGCAGTCACCTTTTCATCTCCTACTAACATTTGATATCTTCTCTTCGAGGCTCTTGTGGTGATTCCAGTTTCACAAAGCGACAAGGTCAATAAAACTGTGACTATATTTCGCAACGAAAAATAGCGTGACGCCATGTTTACAATCACTTAGGTACTAAACAAAACTGGAAGAGCATGTTCAATATAAAGGATAATTGCCTACACAAGTTTAGGACCAAGAAATCTTTTAAATTGCCTTGTATTTTTTATAGATGTTGAAGCAAAATATACAGGCGATGACTTGAGGGTGATGTTTTCATTAAGGCTTTTATTAAACAGCAACGTTCATTAGAGAGGGGCCTTTATTAGAGGGAGACGTCTACAAAAGCATCATAATATTTTGAGCAACTGTAGTTTAGATGCTAGTGATATGAAAAACTGACTTATTGTAAATAGGCACAAACAAAACAGAATGATAAAAAGCTTACCTCTTGAGCAATATAAAAACAACAAGGAAGAGAATAAGGCCAATTCCAAGAACACCAAGCAAATAAAGAAAAATGACTCCGTTACCAATTTCATTTCCTCCTGCATTACATGGAAAGAAAAGGTTACATGCGACTTTTAATCAATAGCAAATATAAAATAAATCAATAGCAAGTATAAAAGTATGGGCAAGTGGATTCAATGGGCCAATGACAATATACTCTAAGGCTGATAAAAATTGGGATTACTAGGATACTAAGATCTTCGCATTCTGAGTGTAAAAATCAAATGAGTTCATTAACAAAATGATGAAATTTGCAAGGAAAGGAAGGGAGAATAACTAGAAAAATCAAATGGAAAAAGTTATCTATTAATCTGAGTTAACAGCTACTTTGCAGTTCAGTTAATTTTTTCAGTCACGTTGAAATCATTACCTTTTAGGTTTATTGAAATGTACTTTTGGTCGCTTTGTGTGCATCCAGCAGAATTGCAAATCTCCAGTTGCAAGAAATACCCTTTGCTTGACAGCAGCTCATCCACAAAAGAAGACGATTTGTCGATAGGTATACGCATCACTCTCGATGCCTTATTTCGATCGTCTTCCTTAAAAATCTTAACAATGGTTTCGTTGACGATGCCATTGCATTGCTCTCTTGGAACAGACTAAAATGAATTTTAAAAGTAACATAATATAAACATTAAGATAAACAGATAAATGTTTTGAAATAATCGGCAGTAAATGCTCGAACGTTTTTCTCGAGGACACGTGAATTGACTTTCTTACTGCATTGAGGTTGGGGTGGATGAAAGATAGCTGAAATAGTGTCTGCTTCTTCTATACGGGTAAGGCTAGCGACCTCACTCTTAAACCTTCCTCGACCTCACTTTTCAACCTTCCTCGACCTCACTCTTAAACCTTCCTCGACCTCACTTTTCAACCTTCCTCGACCTCACTCTTAAACCTTCCTCGACCTCACTCTCAAACCTTCCTCGACCTCACTCTCAAACCTTCCTCGACCTCACTCTCAAACCTTCCTCGACCTCACTCTTAAACCTTCCTCGACCTCACTCTCAAACCTTCCTCGACCTCACTCTTAAACCTTCCTCGACCTCACTCTCAAACCTTCCTCGACCTCACTCTCAAACCTTCCTCGACCTCACTCTTAAACCTTCCTCGACCTCACTTTTAAACTTTACTCTTCTGTGCTTAATTGTAGAGGGGGTCAATTTGCATACTGTGAAATTGTTCACCCTCGATAGCATTTTATAATGACCAACCCCCTCCCCCAGATTAAGAAAGTTATAAAGGACCTTTCCTCATTTAATTATCAACCTTCCATATTAGTGACTCGAACTTCATAAAAAAAATCAACCAGAAACAAAATGCACTGGTAAGCTGATAATTCCTACCGGGTCACGTTATTTTGACTCCCCCCATTTTACAAAATTTAAAATACCCACCCCTGTTTATTTCACCCCCTAAAATTTGTTATTTGATGCTCATCTGCCCAACGAGCAGGACTTTTGAAGGAGTCTAACAGACCCCTAGTGGCATTGCCCCTAGTGTACTAACATTGGTTTCAGCAATATTATAATATTAGCAAAACGAGTCGATATACTTTCATTCTAGGCTCCAAAATCAACTAGAGGAAAAATCATTTCAATATAAATTAGAATGAAATCAGAAGGCCCCAGAACCGGGAAGTTAATGTTCGTATTGCCTGATAACCAGATCCCGACAGCCTTTTATATATCTAGAAATTGCCTGCCTTTCTGACTTGAAACATAATCATCCTTCTCTGCAACAATATGCTTATTAATACAAACAATCTTTCCGAGGTACAAAAATTCAAAAATGACTTTAAAAAAAGCAAATATTTTTAGTCATAATTAAGATTTAGTGTAGACAGAAGTGTAGACAGAAGGAGTTCGTTTTCACCTTAGGACTCTATTGGTAACATTTTCAATAGGCAAGTGGCACTGATTGGTCAACCTCAACAGTCATGTGCTCGCGTTTCTGATTGGCCTATTTCGATCCACAACTGGGTATATATATTTCCTAGCGTAGTGTTTTGATCTATGTTCTGACATTTTATACTCTAAAAAGCTAAAGCATGACTCAAAATGTTTGCTTTTTTTAAGCCATTCTTATTAATACTCTTACATCTGTATCACTCTTACCTTCCATTCAATTTTGCATTTCCATTTTTGCTTTTTTGTAGGTATCGGCGTGCTTTTTACGATTACAGGAGCAATCGAGGGCACTGCAAAAAATAGCTTTGTGATAAAGTTAGGTGCATATGGCGTTATACAAAGAATATCAATGGATAACAAGGGAACGTGACGCCCATTTGCTTGCAAAGTAAAAGATCTTACCCTTGCATTAATCATTGGTAAATGATCTTAAACTGATACTGTATGCAATGCGAACAAGAATTACGTTGTACATAAAAAGGGACCTTCTATGAGTCCACAAAATCGGGTACCGTGCGATTGGATAAACGCTTGGCAGAATGAAATGAACATTCAAAGCTACATTCAAAGGAACTCAGAAAAAAGCGAAACACTAAGAAGTGCTTAATGGTCGGGATATTCCGGTTTTGCTAACGAATTACTGTTATCTTGGCTTGGTACCCACCAGGTTTGGGACTATGCCCTAAAGAAAAATGTGGGAGACCACGCCCTATATACTTGCATAACCCGTTCAAATATATGCAATAAAATATTTTTACTTTCATTGCAGTCACGCTTTGCTCAGCAGCGTGAAAATGTAATGGACTTTCCTGTCCCCCACCACAAAAATTCCTATGCATCTTTGGACAAATATTTAAGGGGCATACTTTGAAAAAAATGGGATCCAACCCCTTATCACCTCTTGTCTACTATAATGCTCTCAGTCAGTTTCAAACAGATAAAACTGATTTATACCTTGCCAGGTATTTCATTGTGTTCTTTCAGACTACAAGGTCAAAATTTAAAAAAATTGTTCATCACTTAGCCAAATATTAAATTGTACATAAATACCTGCTTCGGGAGTGCGTGTAGATACACAAGTATACTGCTGAATATTTCTCCTAAATTTCACATGTGGTGCAACACATGTTTGGTATTCTGTGAATGGCTTGAGAGACTTGATGTCTTGTGACAAACTGGTGTTGTCTTCTGGCATGTCAAACAAAGTCTCCTGAATAATGAAAAGGTAATCATATTCATAGTTATCCCAATGCTAACAGCAATAATTATTTATTCTTTGAATCAATTTTAATTTCAGCCTTGAGCACTACTTTCAGTATATTAATCCTCCAGTCAACATCAAAATAAGTCCAGCAGAGGGAATTCTTGTGGGAAGGGGGTCAGAACATCAGGGGCTCTTGACACCATGAACCCTTCTTTGCACATGAATTTTAATTACTATCAAACTAGTAGTTTCATATTAGAATCATCATTTTTCAAAATAACTTTAGAGGGCATTGATCACCATTTACCCTTTATAACATATTGCTCTTCAGAAACAGATTGTCATAAGTGTTCTTATATGAAACAAACTATAATTGGTAATATATTTCCAATATGTTGGTAATATACTGGTAATAGACCATCTTGAGCAATTGTCATTAAATCATTGAGCAAATCATGCAAAGCCTGGCTGAAATCGATATCATAAGACCCACTTCAAAGATGAAAAGCTTAGGCCCTTTTGCAAAACAGTACTTAAAAAGAAGGTCTTAGACTTCTTGGTCACAATCACAATACTTGAAGTTTTATTTGCTTACTTGGACCACTTTGTCAATTGAGTACTGCTCTGCAAGATTGCCTTAATTAATTTTTTAACCATTAATACTCAAGAACAGATCAATAATTATAATCAAGCAAACTAAAATTGGTATTAAAATATCGTAAAACTCACCTTTTTTATCCAAGTACCTGATGAAGCAGTATAGTTTAAAACATAACTATACTCCATGTTTTTACAGTCTGGTCTGGACCATAACACTTTAATCTTGTCGCTTGACATAGGGTTTGCTTCAACAGAATTTATCCTGAGAGCAGATTCTGGGACTATAAAGTAAGATTTGCATTATAATAAAAACGAAGAGACTTGAACTATTTTAATGTGAATAAATCTTTTACCAATTAATGTGAATAGATCTTTTACCATCAATCAGTCATTGAAAATTTGCTTTAAAAGAAATACTTTACAAGAAAAAGGCTTTCAATAAAACAGAAAGCTAGTCACTACATGAGTTTGTTGAGCAGTTCCTTAGATCCAGAAATTTTCCCTTGTTATATCAATATTGAAAAAGATATTGCAGTTCTTGAATAAAATTATGGTTGTAATAACTTGCTATGAATATATGCCATGAGCATTTATAAGTCAGTGTTTTTGCTTCTGTGATTCAATGACTTTTCTCAGAATGCAGAAACCTAAAGTCACCCATTCATCTTTTCTGAGTGGTTTCATTTGGGCGGCCTTAGTGATGAGTAATGGGTGAAACACACATAAAGCCACAAATAAAGTTGTGACTATGGGTCATTAACATGTGCTATCATTCAGATAATTAAGAGTACAGTAACTGCAAAGTACATGTGCTTAAAATGGCTTTACCATTGCGATTGATATATTATTTTGAACTCAGGGTTTTTACATATGTCAATCCTGTATAAAAATTGTTTTCTATCTCCAATGAGATCAAGACATAGTCACCAAGAAAAAAACGTATGAAAAAGAGAAGTTAAAAAACGATTGATAAATCAGGCCTTGCCCAGAAAGGTGCTTAAAATGCATCATTTCCGCTTGGACGCAAAACATTTGGTTAATGTTCATTATGAAGAAATCCCAAAATTATGAAAACGTGTGTGTAGATATGACCTGAGACTTGTTCACATGATGCTGTATACAAATAAATACCACACAATATATCATACCAAAGGCCAAGGGGTGCAGTGCTATGGGGGCTCAATCCCATTTATCAATGCCAAAAAGTAGCCACTTTCTACTTTTGCTACTGCTTTTTGCAACATTTTGCATTCCTCTCAAAAATGCTCTCGAGGCAGTTCTATTTAGAGGCATGAAATAGAATGTCTTGAGCTTTTAAAGAGCTATGTTTCATTGAGCTCTGAAGATATCTAGCGTGACAAAATTGTATGAACATATCATTTATAATTGAGTCAAAGTGATTGATTCATTTCACATAATTTGAATATAAAAGAAAATAACACATACCATCCGACGCAATTAATCGAACGAATGTCTGATTAAACTCTTCTTTTCTGCTCTTTTTCATAAAAACATGAATAGTGACCTTAACTTCACAATAAACTAGATCTTTCAGGGTGCACAAGACAACTTTTTCATTTTTGCATTTATACAAATAGATTTCTGAATCCCAATAGCATGGCTGTAATACTTTGTCTTCAACACAATCACCATACAAATTGAATTTGATGGTTAAATTGTTTGTATTTGTATTTTTTCCATTTATTCTTTGTAAGTTGAAGCATAAAAAATCTGTGCCACATGGTGTATAGTTATAAATCTCTTTTGCCACATGAACACCTAAAAAACAAAGTTTAACAACATTTTAATAGATCAGAACAACCCCAAAAAGTTTAATGGGATAATTATCAGTTACCATAAAGCATGTGTTGTGTTAGATCTTTGGCTGAGTAGCACATTTTTATGTATACGCTTTTGGTGCATAGAACAGAATGGTTCTAAGTTGCTACTCTGAACTTCATGTGACTAAGCTTCAAGTTGCTGATCAGGCATCAGTTAAAACAACTCTCTCTCTTTCTCTCTGGTTGTTACTATATTTAGCTGTTATGTCCCTGGAGGTAAAGGGATTTTCAATGCCTATTAGTGTTAACTAGAGGGAAATTATGTTTTTAAATACCATATTCTATGTATAAATACCAGAAACTATGTATAAAACACACCTTTTTCAAGCTATTATCACCTTTGTTTAAGGGTGTGTGTTATACATGGTAGAATTGACTGTCCCATCACTTCCTTTTGAAGGCAAACTGTCATTTCATAGACAAAATATTATGATATTTTGAGCACCTGTTCTCTTAATTCTAATAATCGCACTTTTACCAGAAATTTAGTAAAAACTTCGAAATGCTCCAGCCACAATAGAAAATTATCTGACAAAAGCCTTTTACTCCCAAATGTAGGGTTGTACCCTGCATTATTTTAATTGGAGGGCACATTCCTGTAATTGTTGTGAATGTTGTGAATGAAACTAATGACGAACAAGAATTGCAGATAAAAAACAACCAGTAAAACACACGATTCCGCTATCAGCATTAACTGAAAAACCTAGATTGTGCAAAAAACTATAATCATGGTGACATGTTTCGGATTTTTGGTAAAGCCTGATCATCGTTCCATCAACAGGCATGTGCTTGCATTTCTGATTGGCCTATTTCGATCCACAACTGCGAATATATATTTCCTAGCACAGAGGTTTTGGTCTATGTTCTGAAGTTTTAGAACAGTGTCTGACAAAAAGCTTCAGTATATTCAAATGTTTGCTTTTTTCAAAGCCATTTTTAAGTTTTGACTTTGATTAAAAAATGAAATTTTAAATGCTCCTGACAGTGTCATACAGTTTTAAACTTTCTTTAATCTATGTAGGTGATTTCAATGAATCATAAAATCAAACAAGCATAAATTTGGCATTTACTTCAACCAGTGATAGTTAAAAATCTTCAATTTTTTGATGATATACAGTTCACATTGTGTAATACTTGCAATCATCATTTAGTACAGACTCCCACATTTTCGGCATTTAGTACAGACTTGCTGAGAACTGTTAATAAATGATCTGCAAGTTTGCAACATTTGTTTGCATGAATTAATTCTATTTGCAAAAGGTGTGAGATGGATCAAAAACTAATGTCGGCGTAGAATCAGGTTCATGGCACTGGTTTTTCTAGAGTGCCAGTCTCTTTGCATTTGCTTCAGGCAATATGTTTATGATAGTTTGCAAGTTCTTGTGAACTGACGAAAATTATGCAGGGCAAAAAAATTGTATTAAGTTATGTTTTTTCTCATGTTTCTGTCCTTACATTGTATTTCTGTTTTCTTTTCTTAGCATTAATAGATTCTGCTTATTGACATTGAAAAGATTTGTAAAAAAGGATTTATAAAAAAACCCAGAGGGGTGAACAACTCGGGCTAAAATGGGCATAAAAAGGCAAAATTAAAAATTTCCCAAAAATACACTGCCTATAAGCGTTGTATATGTTTCCACCCATACACCTTGTCAAAATCAAATAATACCTAAACTGAGAAACTTTGTCCTTCAAAAAATTCCTTTGCTAATTATTAGGTTAGATGATAATATTCGATATTTGGGTTTACCCAGTGTATGATATTTGGGTTTACTCTTCTGTAAGAGTTCACAATTACCAAACTGAAGTAGTAGGCCAAACAACAAATTTTCCAGGCAATTTAACTCTGAAAAAGGCCAAAATAAAAGAATTTAGCCTCAAAAAGCCCATCTGGCAACCCTACACAGCAAATCTCAGGAAAAATTTGTAGCTGACATAGCAAATCAAGGAATAAACATCTGGTATAAACGGGGACAAAACTTTATATCATCAAAGTTTCATTTCCCTTCCTCTACACTACATACACTTAATAGGCTAGATGAAAATAGGGTGCCAAGAAATAAAACTTAAGCAAAGGCGATCGTGCCGATGAATCTAAAACGAAAGGATCTTTCAATAACATCGAAAACATTCTTGATTTTATACCTTGACTAAAAATGCTGCAAACAGCAAATACCAGAAGCACACGAACGATTTGTTTTGTAGCCATCTTTGTTCTCATAGAAAGTTGATACGCAATGCCGCATGGGATTGAAGAAAGAAAATGTGGCAGCTTCTTGTGAGGGTGGGGGGGGGGGGACCTTGTACTGTAATCATGCTGTAATGGAATGCCTCTTACATCTTGGGGGGATAGAACAGGTTGCAAGGACATCGGCGACGGCCCAAATCTCGGAAAATAAACTTTTGAAAAAATGGCCTCTTTCTGAGGTGCTTGACCCCCTGAATAATTCCCGGGGCTCGGCCCCCTACAAACTAGTTTAGTTTGCTACCAATTTAAAAGCTATTATTAACTTAACCCCCCAGGAAAAAAACAAATATTTGCATACTCTTTTACCACTTTTTGTGGCTCTGTTGAGGGTGTAGAAGGGGGGGGGCTATTGCTAGTCATTAGATTTTTGCCTTCGGTTAGACAAGATTTCTTTTCGATACAAAATCGTCGTTATAACGTTTCATATACCAAAACCAAGATAGTTCTTGAATGAAATAAAATATAAAATAATCTGTCACAGGGGGGCTTGAAAATTGTTATCTTCTATCATGCGTCGAGTAGATTTAACTATCAAGGGGTATTTGATGGTCAAAGGAAAAGGCACCCTCATTCAACAGAGAAAACATCTAGAATGTGCACATATGTAATCAAAATTAGGCAGTTTTGGAAACCTCTTCCCCTGAATCATCAGTTATTGAGCTTTAGCTATAGGTGATAGCAATGACCGTAAAGTTTGTGTTTTTCCCCCTCTCTCCATCTTTGATTACGTTATATGTGAACATTCCCATACCAAATGGCCAACATCATTAAGGTCTTGGGAGAAACAGTTAAATGCCTGGTCCAATAAAGTATATCTTGCGTTAGAATTTTTTTCAGAAATATATCAAGTTATGATATTTACAAAACACCCTAAAATACTATATTTCTCGATCGAAACTGCAGTATTCCCATTAAAATAATTCCAATTAATCATAAGTCGTGTAAAAGTATATGGTTGGCCATTAGTCTTGAGTTTTGCACAAAATTAGTCATTAGTCAGTTGGCAAAACAGTCTGTTAGCCAGCTAGTCAAAACCCCTTCTACGTTCTCTCCGTCGCTTTGCTTCGAGAAGTGGGTGTCAAATATTTTTCGTAGAGAGGGGTTTAAGAAAAAGATCTTTCCTTCTAATTCCGAAGAAGCAGCAAAATTTTCGAAAGGTTCCAAAAAATCTGGTTCTTTGGGACAGAATCTGCCCCTCTGCCCAAAGGCGGGCTAATCCAGGCCTAACTGATGCATTAAGAGCTAGAAGACAAAAGCAACTAAGTCTTATTGAATAACAATTATTGTGCGAAATCCAAATATACATCGATTAATATACAGATATAAAACAGCAGACCTTAAATATACTCTATTTCAAACAAATACTAAGAATTCATCAGATGGTTACCTCTGGTAACGCGTGTAACTGCATGAAAATCCATTGTTTATTTTTTTAAATAATCAACAGGCCTTTAGATACGATTAGTAAAGACTTTTCAAGTCCTACTGAGCTGCGCGAGCAAAAAGAGCTCACAGGGAAACCTGGGAGATTGAGAGGCTTGTTATTATCAATTCTCAGCACCATCTCGAGAGAGTATCTGAAATGGCCTCTAGGAGCTATTGAGGGAATTTTCCAGGTAGTCCCAAATAGTTTCCAAACATTAATTAAACGTCACTTTCTATAACTAACACGTTTAACTAATAAGTACAAACTATTTTCTAAAATCATCAAAAAGGATAAAATATAACAATTACTATCCTAAAAAGCAAACATTTCTATATACTAATATATATTAATTAATTTATACAAATAGATTTGATGTTTTAAACACATTTCACCTTAAAGCACATTCCAGCGTTCATTTGGATGACACTTAAGTTACCAGATCATCATTCCAGGAAGAAAAGGAGAGAGGGAGGGTATATTTTAACTTAACTTTCATCTATTCATTCACAGGTATTTGTCTTTTGTTTTAATGTACTAGTGTCATTAATTTGACTTGATCAGATACACACTTCATTCCACAGTGAACCCAAGTTTAAGTTGTACAATGGAAAATGAAGACGAAAGTCATGGCATAAATACAAAATACAAAACCCAAAGAATAAGCAATTGTGGATGGAAGTAAAAAAAACAAAATTTGTAGTTATTTGACAAGATTGGAAAATTAGTCTTACATGAAAACAGTGCCAAATGTTTCAAGTGGGTCTTACACGAAAACAGTGCTAAATGTTTCAAAGTCATTCGTAATTATTTTATACTCCCTACTGAGTTAAAAGCTCCTTGATAGCTAAAGAAAATATGGCTTTATTTATTCTATACACAACAACGAAGTGAACACAATTTTGCTGATAATTTACACAAAAGCGAACGAATTACAGAAATCTATGGACCAGTTGATCTTGACAGCACAATTTGCTAACGACCGGTGACAGTATATAAATAAAAATACAAATACTGCCAATATTACTAGCTCATGCCGGTATATAAATTGTATTTCTAATTGTTTGGCTGCAACTAAGTGTTTAACAGTTTAAAGTGCGTGCTTCATACTTGCTCGAGCTCAAAAGACTGATTATGTCCTGCGTCCTCTGGGCTCCTAAACTGAAGTTGCAGCTGACCAATGCTGGGGTTGGCATCATCATCAAGGCTAGATTCCTCCTGAGCAACAGCATCTTCTTCTATTGGAAAAGCGCTGTAGGGTTGATTCTCAGTATCTTTAGGTACTTGGTATTCTGGAGCAAGGGGGCGGGGTCTAACCTACAAATAGATTGCAACATTTAAAGAGATCTATAAGTAGGCAAATAATCAAATTGAAATTGAACTTTGTTAACATAAATATCGCACAGTTATGTCTGCGAATACAGCTAACTTATCTCTTGATGTTACATACCAATGCAAAGTCACTCTGCGATGACCATCACCATACAAGGTATGGAAAGGGCAATGAAATTCTAAAGGGTGACATCACAAAAAATATCCTTTCAGAATTGTTTACTTTTGATCTCAGAACCTTTGAAAACAATACGAAACTCCTCTACACATAGACAATCAGCTAAATATGTCCATAATGGGGTGAAAAATTGCCAATGATATGTTGGGAGTTTGTTAACGGATCACAGTTATTTTCACTTGGTTCATAAAGTTTCAAAGTTGCGGTCCCAGTTGCGATTCACAAACCCAGCAAATATAAACTTTATCTGTCAGCGACACAGCAAATCTAAACTTGAAATGTCGGCGTGACACAAGACAGCATTTTTGTAAAAAAAAGAGGAGAAAAATTGAGACCTAAACTGACAAAATCTGACAAAGATCAAGCACCGGCTAGCAAGAAGGTCAGCAAAGTAACTTGATTACAGATCAAGCAGGCTGCAACAGAGTAACTTCGCGTGAAATAATTGCAAATTAGAGTACATTAATGCCACTTTGAAAAGTTAAATATTGTAAGGATGTTTTCGAGCATAACTCGTCATCAGGTCATTTAACTACAATGATTATTAATTCTCTTCTGGTCATAAATGTCATCAGCCTCAAGGAAGCGATTGTTGACTTACTATTGTAGTAGACCCAGAGCTGGAAGTGTTATTTCCTTCTTCTTTAAGGTGCCCATATTTCTTTGATCTGGAAGAAAACAATGAATATGAGGAAAACACGGACAAATTCATTTATGACTAAACCAACAAACAATTTGGAACTTCACAAAAAGTTCATAATTTGTGAAATCTTTTTGACTTGGAAACAAACTCCGAAACAACAAAAAGAAATAAAAGAATCACTATTCTGAATTTCAGTATTTCCAGAAAAGAAAGTGGTAAGATATTTACTTCTTCCATTTGCAGAAAAAAACGCCCGCGGCCAGCATCATAATGACCAAAACGCCAAGGACGACAAACAAAATGATTTTTAAAACATCTATAGAAAGATAAAAGCATGGAATTAGTTATCAAATTTCTTGCATAAACAAAGCCTTTTTCAAAGGGCAATTAGCTGCGGGGGCAAACCTTTGTTTATGAAGAGGAGGATCACTGTAGCTGGAGGGCAAATGCCCCCTAGTCAGTATGTCAAGAAAGGCCTTGTCCTTAAATACATAGAGACCCAAGTGGCTGGTGCACTTAAAGCTTGTTTTAAATGCCACAAAATGTGGCAATTTTATCCATCTTCTATAAAAATTCATTAAAGGCAATCGACATGTCCCGTCAGTTAGCCGTTCAGAGTTAACAAAAGCTTTGTAGCGAGAAAACATTGCGAATTAGCCTTACGTTGCTGATTGGATACGTAACAATAGGTCAATTGTGTAGTCCACCCAATGAGAAACTTAAATGGCCAGCGAAATGCGCCAGGACATAGTGCCATTTATCTGTCAATAATAATTAGCCAATCAACAAGCGTCTGAGTGGAATCACACTCGTTCATTGGTCAATTCTTGATTGAAAGTGTTTAAGCCCTTTTAGGATTTGTCGATTGCCTTTAAATTTGATTATTTATAAAAAAACGAGAAACTGCATATTATAAGATTTAATTGTTGAAAAAAAAGATAGCAGGAAATTTGAATATTTTTCAAAACAAACTGTGGATTAAAGACCAGTGAGATCAAATATTTGCACTAATGGCTTAGAAATACGGTATGCAAAATGATAACCAGCCAGCAATATTCTGGACTAGTTCCCCCAAATTTTAGAAATAAACTCTCTAAGAAATTGTTGAGGGAGAAGGGGGATACGTGCTTACAATCGCCTGAAACACATCTATACTAACTAGAAAGTTCCTTAAGAAACTCCAAAAGAACACTGGTAATTTTCTCTAACAATTTGCTTTTCTGCTTAAAATATCAAAAACAAATAACACAACTGAAAAGTATTATTTCCTTTTTGTTTTCAATAAAGAATCATAAATGCCAAACATTTTGATGATATCAAAGGCACTCAAACTGATGATTTCAAAAAATATTTCTTATTAAAAAACAAGGGTATGCATCACCTGATGAACTTGGGTCATTATTGACCTGGACAGCTTTTTTGAGTATCCACTTTGACTGCCTACATCCTTTGATTGTACACAAACCAACTCGTATGTAGTAATCTCTGTCTTTAATTAAACCATGAAGTGTATAGTTTGTCTCTGTTAATTTTATGTTTGGTATTTTTTGCGGCTTATGTCCCAAAGATTGTTTTTCGTGATATTCGATTGCAATATAAGGCCTTCCATTCCAGTACTTAGGGTCTGGAATCTAGAAAAAGAAGGAAAAAATCTATTTTGTGTATCTATACATTTAACCATGAAAGAATAATCATTCTTAATATTTATTGCTGTCTCCAAATATTGACTTAATCATTAAGACGATGTCAAAGATGCAATTATTTTTGACTGCTATTCTCATAATAACTTGAAATTTGACACAATATCCAAAAAGTAGTTTTTACAAAATATAATGTCCAGCTTGGTCCTGGTTATGGCGATACGAGTATTTAAAAAAACGTAACTTCACTTACCTTCCAGGAAATAAGGACATCGTGCTCTGTGCTTGCTTTGGATGACCACAGCACATCCAAAGAAACAATCGGAGCTTGTGAAGGAACTAGAAAGAGCAAATAGATGCAAAATAAATTGAAAACATCGGTGATGGAAATATCTTTTTGCAAAAACAGTGATAGAGTTTGTAAGAGCGCGTATCCTAGCACAGCAAACCAAACAAAATGACCTCCATAAGCAGGTCAAACAGCGAAATAAATGCAGCCCAATAAATAAAGAGGCATGGAAATTGCACAGTCCAAACAAGTTGCGTGTCATGTGCACAGTACTTGACTTCACATAAAGAAAACGTCCGCTCTGTCATTAATTGTAAGAGTTGTTGGTAAAGCCTAATATTCGGCCTAATATTAATTATCATGGGACTCTCCATTTACATATGAGCATACATCAAAATAAAATCCAATCCATACAAAAACTTAGATATGAAAATTTAGATTGTTAAGAACTGAAAACGTACTATATTCATCGGTTTTTCCATTGATACAATTATGACTCGTTTTGTTGTTTTCTTTGCTTGAAGCGTTAATGCAGATTTTATATGTTGCAAAGGGTCGTAAACCTTTGATCACATATGACATAGACATTTTGCTTCCACTGATGCTACCCTAAAACCGAATGAGACATATCAATAAAAATTAGAATAACTAACTTTGCCATTTAAAGGAGTTAAGCAGTTTATTAAAATATCTAGGACATAGTTCTCTGCATGTCCCAAATTACCAACAAGAAGTTTTGTTTTGATGGGATAACAAATAATTGCCTATTCAGAAACAAATCAGGTTAGTTTGGTTACAAATCTTGAAAAAACATGCATTAAGAAAATGGAGAAAATGTTTATAGAGCAGTCTTTTTAAACAGGTTCAATCAAAGGTTTCATAAAGCGAATAATCCCAAATCCTATTGAAAGCTATTCAATCAGTTCTTTTGATAACAGTCTGCCATATTTTTATTTTGCCTCGTGTGTGGAAGGCTCTATAAAAGCAAACAAATGGAGGGGACAAGAGAGGCCATGATCCCCATTTTTCTTCTAACAGCAAATTTAGTCGTTTTCCATTCAAAAAGCGCATTAGCATGAAAGAGCTTAAGCTCCTCCCAAGTTTCATAAAATAAACTTGAAACTTAAAATTATCAAATGTGTGTGTGCATGCAGAAAATATGCTGTGCTAGAAAAAGAAGATTTATAAAAGGCATAGAGAGGATAATTTTCTCACCGCTTGCTTCCGAATTGAACTTGTTTCATAACTAATATAGTATTGGTAAACCAATGGTTTGCAAGGAGACAGCCATTTCAATGTCAAAGTAGAGTTTGAGGCATGAACCACTTCCAAAAAATATGGCTTAAGGGCAGGAACTAGAACAACACAAAAACAAATTGTTTGATAGAATAGAATGCAAATTAATATATAATATTTTCATGGAGAAACACTCCACGAGAAGGCAAGGGAAAGCTGGCCTCTTTGATTGTTGGTTACTAATTCTCTTCAGCAAATAAGTTCTGTTCACTCTTACAAAGAGGCGTTATATTTCCATGAAAGCCTTTGGTACAAAAACATTTGAAGAAAGCAAGGAAAAGCAAAAACATAGAATGTCAAATGTTACACTTCACAGAGTATAATTGTTTCAGGGATATGGCACCCCTTCAAAAAATAATGTTCCAAAAACAGGGGCTTTATTTAACAAAAATTTTAACAAATTTTTAAACTTGTCAGCAAATAAATGATGGCTCAACAACATTGTTGGCAAATGGGACCTGTAATCCCCCTTGAGCAGAATAGTTAGCAGCCCTGTATAAAACCCAAAAATGACTAAGGGTAAGCAGGAATCTTTATCAAAGTGCAGACCAAAAATGCAGCCAAAAAACTTTTTTTGGCTCTTAGGAGTTCAAGGAAGACAAGTGGCCATCTCAAAATGCAAACCAGTATAAATTTCTTAATAAATTTTTGATAAGTAGAAGAGGAAAGTTCTAAGTAGCTTCTCTGAGCTTCAGGCTTAATGTTCCCATCAGGCAACAGCAACCTAAACAACTGCATCCCATTTGTGTACAGGTCTGGTTATATGGCATTTACCACTTAATGACAGACCCATAATAAGTAATTTTTGTGAATTGTTAATTAACATCATCACTAGAAAAAATTATAACATAGTCAGCACTTGTCTGTGGATCATCAAAACTTGAAAAAGAACAACTTTCTTACCAATTGACTTCACAGATGGTACTGAAATATTTAGAGCATCAGAAACACCAAATTTATTAAAACTTGCTAGTTTGATGTCAACTTTGCAATTCTTTGTTGCTTCGTCATCACAAACAAGAAGTGATTCAGCATAACATTGAAGCTCATTTTCTTGGCCATCACTGTCAACCACATTGCATTTGAATTCCCCCTTTCTCAAGTCTGAGCAATTGCGTGTTTGAAAAGATGATACATATGAAGCCAACTGTGGATTGCAGCCTTTTGGTTTTGGTAGCTTTCCATAAAACATGAAAACAAATGAATTTGATTTCCAATAGCTGGTAGCAATCACACTTCTTGGTATCTCTGGCTTTTCTAGAAAAAATGAGATAGTTCATTGGGTATCTTAGTTAGCAGGTAAATTACAGCACATTTATCACTAATTTTTAAAGAGCTGAAAACCAACTTAGTGACCAAATTGTATAATAGATTAAACTAAAAAATTTGCAACCTAACAAAATATTTTCAATTTGCTTCTTATTAAATAAAAAAATAAAATGAATGACATATTGTTTAAGAATACTGGATACAAGCTTTCTGTGTTTTATGGTTAGCATTTGAGGCTAAAACCCCAAACTCCAATTTTCTTTTGCTTTACTTAATAGAAAATTCTGGTAGGGCATGACTTTTGAATTGTTTGGGTAATGCTCCTTCAATAAAAGCTAATTGCCAAAATAGGAGAACCTGCTAGTAACTGAACATTGTATCCAAGGCAAGCCAAAGTTGAGCAGAAAGAGAAAATTCTGAGATAACAGAAATCTTCTAGGAACCATAGCAGTAAAGCTATAACCAGAATCCTCAAAATACAATCCTTGAATTAAGAGACTTAAATAACGTTTCTTCCTTTTTGATTGTTCTGTTAGAGCTATTAAGATCAAAACTAGTTTATGAATGGGCAGTACAGAAAAAAACTTGAATTTGAATTATAGTTTGAATTTGAATTTGAAACCTGATGAATTTGAATTATAGTATTTAGAAGTTACAAACTACTTGAAATTACCTGCATTAAAGCAAAGAAATTTCATGAAAAAAATTACCTGCTACTATGATGCTAAAGTTTTGCTCTGTTGTTGAATTACCAAAAGTAAGTCTTAGCCTGTATGTTCCTGATGTCTGCAAGGTAATGTTTGAGAACTTTATTTCAAAGCAGCTTTTCCCACCACATTCAGATCCAGCTATTTTGATTGAAGATCCTTTCAAATCATCTCCACATGAATTATAAACTTTCTGAATGTCAGTGTTCCTTGTAACGTTGAAATCATCTGGGACATTTGTTGCATTACAAACCAATACACCAATTTTATTATGCTGGTAAAATATGGAATCCTTTGGGCAATTCAGAACAGTGTTGTTATCTGAGGAAAGGGAAAATAAATATAAATTATAATAAGAAATTATCAAATAAGGAAAGCATTAAGAAAAGCAGCTGGGAAGTACCCAATCATATTTTTGGCTGAAGAGGCTTCCTTTCTGACAGGCACATAACCCATACGCAATGAAATATGAGGCCCAGACAGACAGAGATGGTTAGGTTGACAGTTACAGAATCTATTAAAAATGATTCTTAAAGGCCTGTAAAAAATGCTCTGTAAACATCGAAAGATTTCTGTAAATATACTTATCAAAGCCCTCTGACTGCAGGAGGCAGCACTTATTGAAAAGACTTTTGTAATTGAAAGGAACATGGCCTTGAATTTTTGAACCACTGGATGCCTGTCTAGGTTTCATGGCAGTTTTTAAAGTGCACAAGTTATTATCGGGAGTGCACAAGGTATTACCCAGAAGTGAAAGAGTGCATTTGTGATAAATGTGCACATTTGAGTGTGCATCAAATTTCTCATTGATTCTTGAGTGTGTGCATATTCTTTTCTGGCACTAATAATTTAGGCAGAAATAATTTAAAAAGGCCTAAAACATTATCTCCACAAAGCTCTCCACCAAGAGGGGGACAAGGGAGCAAATTGCTTAAGAGCCTCTGTGTCTAGGGAACCTCATAGAGAAAGGAATTCAGTTTTAAGAATGGAATTCCTTTAGAGTTAAATGATAGCAATCCGTTTATAGAATGGTAATAATAGTAAAATGTGACAATGAAACAGTTGAAACAAAGTAATATTGAAACAATTGCAAGAAAATGACTGGGGCCAACAATATTCTAAAGCATATTTTAGGCTAATCTAAAGAACCAGGTCACAAAAATTTTCTGCTTGCTTCGCTCGCAAGGGTACCTTTCTTTTTCAGATTTGCCCCAGGCTCACTGAAAACATTTTGGCAGCCCTGATCTCAAGTGGATCACTCAATTTAGAATGACACATTTTTTTCCAATCTCAGTTGTGGACAAATTTAAAATGTAATTTTGCCATAATTGAAAAAAAACTTTTTAATTTGATCCACATCAAACCACGCCCATACCACGCCCATATTTTTTGCGTGCAAGAGTGCACCCATTATATTACAAAATTTGATCTATTTCATATAGGTATTTTAGCTTCACAATTATTTGCCTTAGGCTTTCTTTGGTGATCTGTTTAAAGCTTATCGTTGAGCTATTTGCACAGAAATAACTATCCTTCGGATACATTAAAGGATAACTAACTATCTTCTGTAGAAGTTTTACAATGCTTTTTTATCCACGGGTGAATTAATTTTTTACCAAATCAATGCTCAAAATTCATTGGAATTCAGATAACTTACTGAACCAAAGTTTACTAAAAATTAATGTTTGCTTACATGAGAGAGACGTCCGCCTTAATCTACGATGGAATGGAAGACAGAAAGCGGCCTAAATGTAATAAGGAATTTTGAGGCTACAAAAACGCGCAAATTACCTGCTGCAATCCTTTGTATAGCCAAGCTCATGCATAAGACCAATATAAGCTTCATCTTGCTGTATTTTTCGAAAAAATGTATCTTGAAGCTGACAACGATCTCCACGTTTTCTACGAGCCATCAATTTAGTGGAGGTATTTAAACATTGTAGATGCCGATCCCATATTGCTTTGCGCCGGTGATTTTCTTCGCGAAAGTAATTTACCTCATTGGCTAAAACCCTCCCAAAGTTCGCACACTACTTCCTCTTTTCTAAGAAGGAAGGGTGTCCCCCTTTTAATGGAATACAAAGTAACTAGGGTAAATTCTCTATGATAGAACACTTGAAGCAAAAAATACAAAAATAGAAACTGTTCCAAATGAAGGGTTTTTACTGTTTTAATTCCCGTTTCTGTTTTCTTATGTATTTCACAGAGGAGGAAGTACAGAAGTGAAATTGAAATTCCCCGTGTCTTCAGGACCATAACAACTTAATGAAATAACAATCACACCTGATAATAGTTAAAATTTTTACTGATGACTGCATTAAGCGTGAAGCAACTAATTCAAAAATTGAAGTCTGGAATTTGTCGATAGAAATCTTAAATGTCTTTGCATTTCTGCCTCCAAACCTTCGTCCTGGATTTTTTACTTTTAGCGCTTAAAGGAAACTAATTTCATTGGTTTTTTGTGAATAAGCTCCTTATTTTCAGATAAGGAAAGCAAAATAAAACATGATATGTCTAATTTCTTATAACCAAGAGATTGACAATTCTTGATATGGCTCTGTCTCAAAATGATAGAAGCTTCTTTGCTTACTCCTCAAAGATTCAAGAAATCTTCACGCATTTTTCTTTGTAGCTACTTAACCTTCCTCTTTGTTTTGATGTGTTAAACAGAAAGGTTCTAAGTTGCTACTTACTGATGACTGCATTAAGCGTGAAGCTCGGAGTAGCAACTTGCTTTTCTATTTTGCTTTTCTTATCTGAAAATAAGAAGCTTATTCACAAAAAACCAATGAAATTAGTTTCCTTTAAGCGCTAAAAGTAAAAAATCCAGGACGAAGGTTTGGAGGCAGAAATGCAAAGACATTTAAGATTTCTATCGACAAATTCCAGACTTCAATTTTTGAATTAGTTTCAATCGAATTGTTCTTCGTCGCATAGGCGTAAACTTAGGGGGCTCTGGGGCTTCAGCCCCTCCTGAGGAAAACCGAGGGGGGGCTGAGCCCCCCTGGAAAATAAGGAAGTGCTTCACCAAATTTCAGATTAGTTCCACGTATATACTATTGGTTCCACGTATAAACATTTTGGGTGCCTAAAGAAACTGATTATGATTTAAAAACACCCTTTTATCATCTCATGTATGTTTCTTCTTCCTCGATAATGAAAAATGCACGAAAAAATCACCTTTAAGCCCTTAGCGAATCCATTTTCTATCCTGTGACTCCAGCAGCTGCCATTAGGAATTGTCATTAATTTTTTGAGCCCCCCCTGAAAAAAATGCAAGTCTACGCCTATGCTTCGTCGTCTCGACCCTTCCCTGTCGATTTCTTAGTAATTTCATAGCACTAAAAAACACAATTAAAAATGGGTGGTTTATTCATCTGTAAATGAGTTGATATCACGTACCTACCAAGCTGTTTTACTGCTTACATTAGCTAGAAATAGTACTGTTATTTGTAATGTAACCCCATAGGCTTCTTTGAGCATTCAGACTCGTGCCCAAACCTACAGAGATTGCGAAGGACAAATGCAAGCTAGGAAGGCGCTGCAACCCCATCCTAGTTCAACATTGTTCGAATGTAATTGCTTAGCATTCAAGATGAGGAGTGTGTTGGCAGCCCTCCGTCCTGGAATAAAAATGTATGCGAAATAATAAACAAGACTTTTTATCTTGTACGTCTCCCCAACAAAAAACGCTTGGAAGAAATAATTTGCAAAATGTTGTATAATTTATGTCGACGTTGAATCTTCTAACTTATAGCGTGTGCAATTGACATAAGATCTCTGCGTTTAAGTTCTACGATTTACAGATTTATATTCTTTGATTTTGTATATAATGCACCGTAATACACTGCATTGCATGAATATTTTCATATTCTCATATATGTATGGTCAATCTTTATTTACAAATTGTTATTGGAAATCCCATATATATACGGTCTGAGCCTCGTTAGCAAATACATAAGGCCTAAACTTGTTGCAGCTATATGAAGTGTAAGCGCGAACAGAACGCGCAGTAGCTTTTCCCTCCTAACCTGAGCAGCAAAGCCCAGCCTGTCAAACGACCGGCCTAAGCAATATACTGCCAACAAGATGTCACTCGAAGTTGACTTTCAACAATTTCTCGTTGGTATTCCTGGACAACTATCCCAGGCTCGACATCTAACAATCCTCGAAATCGTTAGTAATTTGAATATATTCGAGTTTTGGGATAGAGGTCTGCAAGAATTTTCACATGCAATTAAGGTATTCATTGAGAGGCGAAGGTTCGGCAAAACCTCTGTGTATCTTAGAGAACATTTTAGTAGAAATCAGAAGCGTACACTTCGAATCGTGTTTTGACCTTTTGTATTGCAAACAAAATTTGTACATCATGCTTATTTCTAAAACAGCTGATATACCTGAAACTTCCGGCAACAATGTACAAGGGTTGACCATTGGTAAATGAAGCTGCGAAGCTTTTTATGCAATACAATGTTACAAATTTGTACCTGGTAGAGCTTAAACGATAAGATCATACAAATGTCAAGTGCACACACTTATACGTTAGAAGAAACAATGTCGATATGAATTGTATAACATATTTATATCAACTTTTAACGATATATTTACAATCACATCGTATAATAGACTCTTGTCCCCTATTGCGGGAAATGTCACATCTCTGCGTAATCAAGCTTTTGGTCATGTAGCATATTAATCGAAAAAGATACAGCCAGATATCCCATGGAATGTCTAATACACGAGCTTGCAAAGCGCCAGTCATCATTTTATCTGTCAAATTCCGTATTACATTCGAGAATCTAATCAGGTAATGCCGTTAAACAGATGATATCAGGACAAAAAGACAGATGTCGCATTTTTCAATATAATGAACACATTGGTTTAACTCAAAATTCAGAATACTCTTCATAACATCTGCTTCATAACCCATGCCTAAAGTCATTTACACAATGTTCAAATAGGCTATATACAGAAAACCATTAACTCTATCAAACGAAGAACGGATAAAACGACGGTTGCACAAGAATATTATGGTACCCATCCCATGCCTACAAAGGCCCATTTATTACACGAAGGAAAACCCAAGGTGCAAGGAAACCCCTGTTAAATGCATCTAGACAAATTAGAAAAAGAATAAACAAAATTAACATGAGGCGAGCCTATCTGGTATTTATGTCGACTGAAAAAAACGAATGATCAAATGATTGTTCAGAACTTCTCAAAGATGATAGAACATATTTTTAAAGGACGAGGATATAAACGTCACGACCTGAGGATAAATGCCAAACAATGAGGAGTATAATCTGTTCTTCCAAAACAAATGAGAAATCCTGACTTCGAGAACAAATTTCAAAACAGAATCGTATAACAGAAAAGATTAGCTTGGGCGTGGCCGCAATCCCAGGAAACACTTCAATTTAATGACAATAAAACAAACGTTTGTGGATATTGACTCTCAAAACTACACTCTGTATGCCCGATGTTTAACCAGAGTTTACAAAACAAAACCAGGTGTAGCCCTTAAACTATTTCGATACTAAAAGAAACGTCGCAAGTGAACTTTATATATTAAGTTTTTACCCAAAATTAGTTCCAAAATTAATAACAAGTTTTAAAAGAATGTAACAAAATTACTCTAATTTGTCAGAACCAGGCGAAATAAAATATGTCAATAGTAGCTGAAGGGGTGAACTTGACTGTCAACACACGCATTGTGGTTATTCATAGTATCATCTGCAACTTTACCTCATAGCATCAATTGCGATGGCGGCAGATTAGACTGTTACACTGAACATAGATACTGTGAAGGATTGTCCCATTCAGTTATCTTAAAAAATAAAATGGCCTAGCTTATTTATAAACAAAGAACTTAAGTTCCCACACCGCCTATACCAAGCAAATGCATCGTATCACCCTACAATGAATAGACCCTTAGTTTTATCAAACGAGTTCAGCCCATATTCACACGTAATCGCAGATTAGTTGTACGCTTGCTGTCCAAAGAAATTCCCAGCTCCAGGATATGTAACGTCAGCAGCAAAATTTGTTGATTCAGCCGAGCCTCTCATTCGAGAGCCACCCATGCCCCCGTAGTTACTGGAGCCATATCCTCCAGAGGACCCGCGACCATAGCCTCCTCCGTAGCCACCGCCATAGCCCCCGGAATATCCACTTTTGCTTTCGTTCACTAAAAAAAAGACACATTCTGGTAACAGGGGGGCATGAACTAGTTGGGAATTTCTACAGAAGATGTTATAAGATAGGGAGACTGTTCTCCAGGAAAAAGGAGGCAAAGAACATTTTATAAAATGTGACAACGAAGGAGCCAAGGAATGATGAAAGGGAAATCGTAGGGTGCAGAAGATAAAAAGTAGCGTGACGGGGGGAAGAAACAGCTTTGGGAAGGAATGGGAAAGAGAACACAAGATAAAAGAAGAGGGTGACATATGTGGTGAAAAAACCGAAGCAGACATAAAAACCATCGCTTGCTAAAAGCATATAGAAAGACAGCATATCCCTACTAATCAAACAGAAAAAATAGAAAAGGACAAATTTTCGTCTTTATGAATGTTTTGATCATAACAATTTGCATTCGATCTATGTAACGTTGTATTGTAAATATCTATTTCTACCATGATGTAATGCAGAATTCGCTTAAAAAGCATCAATGTTTTTGCTGTGCAAGCTTGGAATGATTTTCCCATAACTGATTTTCTCAAAAACAGCGAACTACTATACCGCATTGTTATAAGAAACACATCAAAGAATACTTTATGCGTTGCCAATAACCAAAAACCGCGTAAACGACGGCGTGGTCTAAAAAATTGTCGTGTATGTAAAAAGCATTTTGGACTAGAGATTTCAGAAAAAATTATAGGGCTCTTTTTAATTTGTAACATAAAAACCGAATGGTTTTTTGTGTATAAATTATGATAAATGAAGTGATAAAAAGAAATGAAAAAGTGAAATGAAAAAGTGAAATGAAAAAGTGAAATGAAAAAGAGAAATTAACTTACTGGAGGAGCCGTATCCACTGCTGCTGGATCTCATGCTGCTCCCACTCCAACCGCCAGAAAATCCACCGGAATTTGACTGTAAGAATAACTCGATGTAGCGTCGACCTAGAGTGAATGAAAGTTTATCAAACCTTGTTAAAACTCTGCTCTTAGAACTTGTGTATACAATCTACTGTGTCAAACTTGGAAAATTGAAAAAATATGATAAAGTCGAACTCAATTATACAATATTATTGTACAATATTATACAATATTATTGTACTATACTATTATATTTACAATAATATTATAGAATGAGACATGTGGAGCGCAAGACACGAGAAGAGAATGGTAAAAAGGTAAACAGGGGACGCCAATGGGCTACAAAACACGTGCACCACTAAGAAAACTAACATTGTCAAGATTTCACTATGAAAAAATTGAAAAGCAAGGGTTCAATTGAAACGTCAGGGTTTTTTATTAAAAAATATCGTGAGTACTTCCTCTTGCAAAAAAGGATTTGAATATACGTGACAATAATTTTAAATGGCCAATTTAAAGTCGCTGAACAAGTTTACAAATTGTCAACGAATGTCTTGTCTTGTGGATGTCAACGAATGAAAAAGCTGCAAAATGTAAGACTTATCCAGACATACCCATATTCTGTTTGTGCTTGCCCATGGCTGCAGTCGCTGCCTCGTGGGTTGCGAAGTCAACATCAGCCTCACCCTTTGGCCGCCCGTTTGGCTCGTAAATTATTCTAATGTTAACTGGATTCAAAGGCGAAAAGAACTGAACAATATCATCTTCGGTTGAATCGAAAGGCAGTCCTCTCATATGCACACTGTGTCCAGTTGTACTGTTCATCACTTGCATGGTGCCACCGCCGTTTCGACCACCGGCGCGACCTGGTCCTGGACCACCGCCGCCAGTTCGCGATCTTGGGCCACGTCCACGTCCGCCAGAGCTGCCGAAGCCACCAGATCCGAAATCATCCATAAAGTCATCGTTGAAGCCGCTAGCTCCAAGTCCACCACGACCACGCGCCCTGCAATGTGAACCGATATG